AAGCGACTGTTATTATCCATTAGAAGTCTGTATTGTGGTATGACCATGAAAGTCTTCGTTAATTATAATTGACACCTACTTACCAAGATGCAGTTATACTCTTGCCAGTGGATCTCGCTGAGTTCCATGAGTAGATGAATAGATGTAATCGGTGGCTACAAATTCAAGGCAGACATCAATTAGGCAACTTCATGCATGTAGGCTACGCTGTATAGAAACCACTTTATTAAATGCCAGATCCTTGACGCCTTACATGATATTTGATTAAATATCTATTCAAAATATCTACCACCGTGTTATGTTGCCTAGCAATATGGCAACTTGGACAGCGCTGGTAACCTGGAGATGTACATTGTACACCTAATAACGTTGCTATGCGTTTTGCCATAATAAAAAACATTAAAAGATGCTATACATTTTGGAAATGCACTAGTGGGTAATGGTGGGGGAGTGTGCCACCTTCAAGAAAATGCCCAGATATCAGCCTTGGGGAGCTGAAGTCTTTTGTATTGTTTTAATAAAACTCCAAAGAAACCATAAAAATGCTGCAAGTTACAAAATCAAACAATTTAAAGGAGAAAAGGTATTGGAAAAGGGAACATTTTTAACAAAGGGATTTTAGCCAAATCTAAAATACCGGTATATTACAAAAGATCTTTCTTGCTTCAACTTGATTTCCGAGAAGGTGCATCTAATTTATTTCAAGATCCAATCGCCAATTTATGTGCAAAATCACAATTTCAGCATCCTGTGTCCCAGCATTATGTTATTATTATTAAATTACTTTTATCAGTTTTTAAAAATCGAATAAAAGCAGTACAATACATTAAGATAACAAATGATACATAATATAGCATTAAATAGACTAATACAGAACCTAAGACACAACCGTATGTCCGCAGAGGAACTGCCAAAGCAAAAAAAAACTCACTATGGTCCTCAGACTGGCTGACACACATGTAATGCTATAAAGCCAATTTTGAAAGAAATGTCCACTTGATCAAGTAGATTTGTACATCCTTTCTAAATGATTTCTGAAAGAGTTAAAACACTGCCTATTTTCTAGGACAAATTACACTCTGTTTCAGACTTTTATTCTGTAAGTAATTTAGAAAAAGAATAAGTAGTAAACGTTTGTTGGTAGTTTGCACATACAGCACTTGACAACACCTTGCTAGCAGCATTCCTATTTTTTATTCTTTTCAATTTTGTTTTAGTTGAACCAAGTGTACTTATATGATTTCTTTCTACCATGTGTCTAGAACCTTTTGAGCTTGGAATTTTTGGTTGAGTGTTGTCAATTTGAGCATGAATTCTTTTGGTGATGGGTTCGATTCCTGATATGGTCACTGTCTTTTATTGCTGGAGTCATTTTCCCGTCCTTAAAAAGGGAAGCTATATTTGACTGACAGATTGAGTTTTTTGCTCTCGTCATTGTGGGTTCGAATCTCTACTAGGTAGGCAAATTGCATGGTGTCTAGTTCTTTTTGCCAGTCAGTAATCACTGTTGCCGATTAAAAGTGCAGCTGTGGTGCAGGATGGATACATATTGCAGGGCGTTCAGCATCACACGGCACATCATTCCATTTCCCTTCTTGATCTACCACTACCTGTGCACAGTGCTCAATACCTCCCCCGTTATCAGGTTGCGGCCCCCACTGTGGACTAGTCAACCAGTTCCAGAACTCTATTAGGCACCATCATCTCTCACATCTCATGCCACTTATGTCAAGTGGTGAAATGACTGCACCTCAAGTAATATCCTTGTGAGCAATATATGCAGATATTAGTTTTTGGTGAACGTAACAAGCGACTGTACTTAATTCCATTAAAAGGATTGTGGTATGACCATGAATTCAAGGCAGACATCAATTAGGCATTTCCATGTAAGTACATGTACGCTGCGGTGAATAGATGCCTGACGCGAAAAGTGAAATTTGATTAAATATGTATTCAAAATATCTACCACCGTGGTATAGTGCAAAGCGAGATGGCAACTTGTGCAGCGTTGGTAACCTTGAGATGTACAAGGCAACCTTGTACATGTAATAACGTTGTGTTTTTCTATAATAATGAAACATTCAAAAATACCTCAGACAGTTTACCCATTCCTATTGGTCGAGAGCCAGCTGTTACATGGCTGGTTTTAAATGGTTGATAAAGATGTGGCTGGCTTGTCTAAATTATTTGTCCAGTTTCATGTGAAATTTGGAGTTGGACTCCTACATGTACATGTATGAAATCTGGTGCCGGCACGGTTTTATTGGTTGAACCTTCACAATCCTCACGCAGGCATGCACAATGCTACCAGTGAGTAAGTACATCATAGTCCTAAATTCACACTACACCCGTACATTTGCATTCTGCACGACATCACACAGCATTCCATATAAGTTGTTGTTTACCAGAGGGCCTTAGCATTGTGTGGTGTTTTGTTGAACGAAATCATTGGAATTTGTAATTTTTGCCTTTTTTTTTTACTCTTGTGGACCGAAAAGTTTAGATTTTTTTTACCGAAAGGGTAATTATTCAGCTCGGTTAACTATCAGCATCCAGACTTCAACCGGTCTTAAACAGAGTGTTTAATACCTTCCAATCACACATTTATTCCTTTATTTAAGGATTCTATACATTTTGCAATTGTACAAGTTGTTAATATGTCGGATATCAGCCTAGGGGAGCTGCAGTTTTCCTGAAGTCTTTTTTTATTATTTGTATAAAACTCCAAAGAATCCATAAAATTGCTGTAAGTTACAAAATCAAAAAATGAAAATGTGGAAAGGTCATGAAACAGGGAACATTTTTAGCCAAGGGATTTTTAAACAACCAAATCTAAAATACCGGAATATTTTCAAAATATCTTTCTTGCTTCAACTATATTTCTGAGACGGTGCATCTAATTTATTTCAATATCCAATGGCCAATTTATTTGCAAAATCACAATTTCAGCATGCTGTAACTAGGCATTGTGTTATTATTATTATTTGTTTATCATTTTATATAGTGAATCAAAACAATACAATACAAGATCATGTAATACATGTATAGCGAATAAAAACAATACAATACAAGATAAGAAATTATACATACATGTAACATAGCATAAAATAGACTGATACAGAACTTAAGATAAAACCATATGACTGCAGAGGAACAGCAAAAGCAAAAAAAAATCCAAAAAAAAAAAAATCACTATGGTCCTCAGACTGGCTGACACACATGTATATGTAATGCTAGAAAGCCAATTTTGAAAGACTTGTCAACTTGATCAAGTAAATTTTTACATCCTTTCTAAATGGTTTCTAAAAGAAGTAAAACACTGCCTATTTTCTTGGACAAATTACACTTTGTTTCAGACTGTTATTCTATAAGCAATTTAGAAAGATAATAAGCAGTAAACGCTTGTTAGTAGTTTTCACACACAGCACTTGGCAACATCTTGTTAGCAGCATTCCTATTTTTTAGTCATTTCAGTTTTGTTTCAGTCGTTCACCAAGTGTACATGTATGATTTCAAGTTGTGTGTCTAGAACCTTTTGAGCTTGGAATTTTGAGCATTTCTTGTAATGATGGGTCTGATTCCTGATATGGTCACTGTCTTTTATTGCTAGAGTCCTTTTTCCGTCCTGTAACAGGGAAGCTTTATTTATATTTGACAGACTGAGTATTTTATTCTCGTCGTTGTGGGTTCGAATCTCTACTAGGTAGGCAAATTGCATGGTGTCCATCTTTTTTTATTGCCAGTCAGTAATTACTGTTGCTTCTTAAAAGTGCAGCTGTGGTGCAGGTTGGTTGCATATTGCAGGATGTTGAGCATCACATCGCACATCATTCCATTTCCCTTCTGGCCATACCCACACCTGGGCACAGTGCTCACCATTCCAGTTATCAGGTTGTGGCAACTGCGGATTAGTTGACCAATTCCTGAACTCAACCTCATCAGTACCATCCTCACACTTCCAAGTACCTATTGACATTGATAGAAAACAGTAGAAGGGAAATAAATACAGAGGTGGGAACTAACTAGCAACGATTCACTTGAACAAACAACTCACCATATTTTAGTATTTATTTGTTGATGATTTGTAAATTTAATTTTTGATTTTCAACCGACCTTCTTCCTGGAGATCATTGCAGTTTATCCAAAAGTTGGATTGCAGTAGCTGGACCAGGAACTCAGTTTCCTCCTGAGACTGTGGCACAACCAAGACACTTCCCATCTTGATGCACTCATCTTTTGCCTCAGACCATGTCAGGCGCTCAGTGATAGCTTTGTAGCATTTACCACCCCACTGGATCCAAGTTGGAGGTCACGCCCCTCTACGACCACCAATGGAGGCCTTACACATCTCCTTACCATCAGTGCAACCCATCATCAGATGAAGGCATATCAAGCCAAAGATGAACCCTCTAGATACCATCATCTCCCACATCTCACCGGACTGGAGTCCAGTATTAAAATGACTGCACATCAAGGGAGCTGATCTTGACAAGCATCATGGCCCAACTCTGATATTTTCTTTTAATTTTACAAGGGAAGATATCAAAACATGCTGGGTCTCTTTCTATTGTATTGGTGTCACTCACTTCTGCTTAGTGTGTCAATCAATGACAGGAAAAGCAACAATCATTTGAGTCATATTTGACCATGAAAGAATCTCAATAATGATAACTGACATGTAGTTATCAGAAGTTGTTGTTCTGTTTCATTAACTCGAAGACTCCATCAAATAGAGATTTAAAGGAGCCATCAATATGCAAGTAGGCCACGCTGTATTGAACCTTGTTTATCAGAGGCAAGATTGGTGCAACTTATCGCCAAAAGTGAAAGTCAGTCAAATCTTAATTTCAGGTATATCACGCCCAGTCAAAAGTGATGGAAACCCAGTCAGATTTTGCAGCGCTTTTCACAAGCCATGAGATGGAACATTGCCACAAACATTTCCTTTAAGTAGCTTGTGTCACAACTTGAAAATGGATGTCTTGTGATTGACTTGTGATAACTTGGGGTGACTTGTTGCTGACTTCATTAAAACTTAATACAGAGCTCAAGTTTTCATCAGAGAAGAGCAAAACCAATAGTAAAATTGCAATCTTTAATTCTGAGAGGTTGCATCTACATGTACCGGGTAATTTATTTCAATATCCAATTGCCAATCAATTTGCTACATCACAATTTCAACGTCTTGTATGCAAGCATTATGTTATTATAATTAAATAAGAACAATACTATGCAAGATAACATAAAATAGACTTACACAGAAAATAAGACAAACCTATGACCGCATGGACAAAATGGTCAGCAAAAGCGAAAAAAAAATCACTATGGTCATCAGACCTGCTGACACACATGTAACGCTATATTTTGAAAGAATTGTTTACATCCTTTCTGCTTGATGTTGTTTGAGTTAAAAGTTTGCCTGATTTCTAGGACAAATCAAATTCCATATCAGACTTTTATTCTATAAGTAATTTAGAAAAAAAAACTCAAGCAGTAAACTCTTGTTGGTATTTTTCACTCTACGCACTTAGCTTCACTATACATAAAAATAACACTTAGCAGCATTCTCATTGTTTTGTCATTTAAATTTGTTTGGTATTTTAACCAAGTCTACATGTATTTTTCTTTCTACTGTGTGCCTTGAACTTTCTGAGCTCGGAATTTTTTGGTAGAGTGTTGTGAATTTGACTTTGCGTTTTTGAGGTGATGCGTTCAATTCCTATAATAGTCAGTGTCTTTTATTGCCATAAAGAGTTCTTTTTTCCATCCTGTATATTGAACAGGGAAGCTATATTTGACAGATTTAGTCTTTTGTTCTAATCGTTGCGGGTTCGAATCTCTACTAAGTAGGCAAATTACATGGTGTCCATTTTTGATTGCCAGTCTATAATTACTTGTTGCTGATTAAAAGTGCAGCTGTGGTGCAGGTTGGTTGCATATTGCAGGGAGTTGACTATCACAGCGCACATCATTCCATTTCCCTTCTTGATCTACCCACACCATGGCACAGTGCTCACCATTCAAGTTATCAGGTTGCAGCCACTGTGGACCAGTCGACCAATTCCTGAACTCAACCTCATCATTCTCACACTTCCAAGTACCTATTGAACAAAATAACAGAATTGAAATAAATACAGAGGTGGGAATTCCCAAACAACCATTCTTCAAAACAAACAAGCTCACAATGTTCTGCTATTAATTTGTTGATATTTTGTAAATTCTAATTTCAACCAACCTTCGTCCTGGAGATCATTGCAGTTTATCCAAAAGTTGGATTGCTGTAGCTGGAGCAGGAAATCAGTTTCCTCCTGAGACTGTGGCATGACCAAGACACTTCCCATCTTGATGCACTCATCTTTTGCCTCAGACCATGTCAGGCGCTCAGTGATGGCTTTGTAGCATTTGCGTCCCCACTGGTACCAAGTGGGAGGACACGCCCCTCTACGACCACCAATGGAGGCCTTACACATCTCGTTACCACCAGTTACCACCATCAGATGAAGGCTTATCAAGCCAAAGATGAACCGTTTAGACACCATCATCTCTCACATCTCATGCCACTGATGTCCAGTGGTGAAATGACTGCACCTCAACTTGTAATATCCTTGTAGAGCAATATGTAGATATTTGTTTTTGGTGAATGTAACAAGCGACTGTTACTTGTCCAGTTTCATGTGAAATTTGGAGTTGGACTCCTACATGTACATGTATGAAATCTGGTGCCGGCATGGTTTTATTGGTTGAACCTTCACAATCCTCACGCAGGCATGCACAATGCTACCAGTGAGTAAGTACATCATAGTCCTAAATTCACACTACACCCGTACATTTGCATTCTGCACGACATCACATAGCATTCCATATAAGTTGTTGTTTACCAGAGGGCCTTAGCATTGTGTGGTGTTTTGTTGAAAGAAATCATTGGAATTTGTAATTTTTGCCTTTTTTTTTACTCTTGTGGACCAAAAAGTTTAGATTTTTTTTACCGAAAGGGTAATTATTCAGCTCGGTTAACTATCAGCATCCAGACTTCAACCGGTCTTAAACAGAGTGTTTAATACCTTCCAATCACACATTTATTCCTTTATTTAAGGATTCTATACATTTTGCAATTGTACAAGTTGTAAATATGTCGGATATCAGCCTAGGGAAGCTGCAGTTTTCCTGAAGTCTTTTTTTATTATTTGTATAAAACTCCAAAGAATCCATAAAATTGCTGTAAGTTACAAAATCAAAAAATTAAAATGTGGGAACATTTTTAGCCAAGGGATTTTTAAACAACCAAATCTAAAATACCGGAATATTTTCAAAATATCTTTCTTGCTTCAACTATATTTCTGAGAAGGTGCATCTAATTTATTTCAATATCCAATTGTCAATTTATTTGCAAAATCACAATTTCAGCATCCTGTAACTAGGCATTGTGTTATTATTATGATTTTTTTATCATTTTATATAGTGAATCAAAACAATACAATACAAGATCATGTAATACATGTATAGCGAATAAAAACAATACAATACAAGATAAGAAATTATACATACATGTAACATAGCAGAAAATAGACTGATACAGAACTTAAGATAAAACCATATGACTGCAGAGGAACAGCAAAAGCAAAAAAAAATCCAAAAAAAAAAAATCACTATGGTCCTCAGACTGGCTGACACACATGTATATGTAATGCTAGAAAGCCAATTTTGAAAGACTTGTCAACTTGATCAAGTAAATTTTTACATCCTTTCTAAATGGTTTTTAAAAGAAGTAAAACACTGCTTATTTTCTTGGACAAATTACACTTTGTTTCAGACTTTTATTCTATAAGCAATTTAGAAAGATAATAAGCAGTAAACGCTTGTTAGTAGTTTTCACACACAGCACTTGGCAACATCTTGTTAGCAGCATTCCTATTTTTTAGTCATTTCAGTTTTGTTTGAGTCGTTCACCAAGTGTACATGTATGATTTCAAGTTGTGTGTCTAGAACCTTTTGAGCTTGGAATTTTGAGCATTTCTTGTAATGATGGGTCTGATTCCTGATATGGTCACTGTCTTTTATTGCTAGAGTCCTTTTTCCGTCCTGTAACAGGGAAGCTTTATTTATATTTGACAGACTGAGTATTTTATTCTCGTCGTTGTGGGTTCGAATCTCTACTAGGTAGGCAAATTGCATGGTGCCCATTTTTTTTATTGCCAGTCAGTAATTACTGTTGCTTCTTAAAAGGTACATGTATGAAATCTGGTGCCGGCATGGTTTTATTGGTTGAACCTTCACAATCCTCACGCAGGCATGCACAATGCTACCAGTGAGTGAGTACATCATAGTCCTAAATTCACACTACACCCGTACATTTGCATTCTGCACGACATCACACAGCATTCCATATAACTTGTTGTTTACCAGAGGGCCTTAGCATTGTGTGGTGTTTTGTTGAACGAAATCATTGGAATTTGTAATTTTTGCCTTTTTTTTTTACTCTTGTGGACCGAAAAGTTTAGATTTTTTTTACCGAAAGGGTAATTATTCAGCTCGGTTAACTATCAGCATCCAGACTTCAACCGGTCTTAAACAGAGTGTTTAATACCTTCCAATCACACATTTATTCCTTTATTTAAGGATTCTATACATTTTGCAATTGCACAAGTTGTTAATATGTTGGATATCGGCCTAGGGGAGCTGCAGTTTTCCTGAAGTCTTTTTTTATTATTTGTATGAAACTCCAAAGAATCCATAAAATTGCTGTAAGTTACAAAATCAAAAAATTAAAATGTGGGAATATTTTTAGCCAAGGGATTTTTAAACAACCAAATCTAAAATACCGGAATATTTTCAAAATATCTTTCTTGCTTCAACTATATTTCTGAGACGGTGCATCTAATTTATTTCAATATCCAAGTGCCAATTTATTTGCAAAATCACAATTTCAGCATCCTGTAACTAGGCATTGTGTTATTATTATGATTTTTTTATCATTTTATATAGTGAATCAAAACAATACAATACAAGATCATGTAATACATGTATAGCGAATAAAAACAATACAATACAAGATAAGAAATTATACATACATGTAACATAGCATAAAATAGACTGATACAGAACTTAAGATAAAAACCATATGACTGCAAAGGAACAGCAAAAGCAAAAAAAAATCCAAAAAAAAAAAAAATCACTATGGTCCTCAGACTGGCTGACACACATGTATATGTAATGCTAGAAAGCCAATTTTGAAAGACTTGTCAACTTGATCAAGTAAATTTTTACATCCTTTCTAAATGGTTTCTAAAAGAAGTAAAACACTGCCTATTTTCTTGGACAAATTACACTTTGTTTCAGACTTTATTCTATAAGCAATTTAGAAAGATAATAAGCAGTAAACGCTTGTTAGTAGTTTTCACACACAGCACTTGGCAACATCTTGTTAGCAGCATTCCTATTTTTTAGTCATTTCAGTTTTGTTTGAGTCGTTCACCAAGTGTACATGTATGATTTCAAGTTGTGTGTCTAGAACCTTTTGAGCTTGGAATTTTGAGCATTTCTTGTAATGATGGGTCTGATTCCTGATATGGTCACTGTCTTTTATTGCTAGAGTCCTTTTTCCGTCCTGTAACAGGAAAGCTTTATTTATATTTGACAGACTGAGTATTTTATTCTTGTCGTTGTGGGTTCGAATCTCTACTAGGTAGGCAAATTGCATGGTGTCCATTTTTTTTATTGCCAGTCAGTAATTACTGTTGCTTCTTAAAAGGTACATGTATGAAATCTGGTGCCGGCATGGTTTTATTGGTTGAACCTTCACAATCCTCACTCAGGCATGCACAATGCTACCAGTGAGTCAGTACATCATAGTCCTAAATTCACACTACACCCGTACATTTGCATTCTGCACGACATCACACAGCATTCCATATATAAGTTGTTGTTTACCAGAAGGCCTTAGCATTGTGTGGTGTTTTGTTGAACGAAATCATTGGAATTTGTAATTTGTGCCTTTTTTTTTTACTCTTGTGGACCGAAAAGTTTATATTTTTTTTACCGAAAGGGTAATTATTCAGCTCGGTTAACTATCAGCATCCAGACTTCAACCGGTCTTAAACAGAGTGTTTAATACCTTCCAATCACACATTTATTCCTTTATTTAAGGATTCTATACATTTTGCAATTGTACAAGTTGTTAATATGTCGGATGTCAGCCTAGGGGAGCTGCAGTTTTCCTGAAGTCTTTTTTTTATTATTTGTATAAAACTCCAAAGAATCCATAAAAATGCTGTAAGTTACAAAATCAAAAAATTAAAATGTGGAAAGGTCATGAAACAGGGAACATTTTTAGCCACGGGATTTTTAAACAACCAAATCTAAAATACCGGAATATTTTCAAAATATCTTTCTTGCTTCAACTTTATTTCTGAGAAGGTGCATCTAATTTATTTCAATATCCAATTGTCAATTTATTTGCAAAATCACAATTTCAGCATCCTGTAACTAGGCATTGTGTTATTATTATTATTTTTTTATCATTTTATATAGTGAATCAAAACAATACAATACAAGATCATGTAATACATGTATAGCGAATAAAAACAATACAATACAAGATAAGAAATTATACATACATGTAACATAGCATAAAATAGACTGATACAGAACTTAAGATAAAACCATATGACTGCAAAGGAACAGCAAAAGCAAAAAAAAATCAAAAAAAAAAAAATCACTATGGTCCTCAGACTGGCTGACACACATGTATATGTAATGCTAGAAAGCCAATTTTGAAAGACTTGTCAACTTCATCAAGTGAATTTTTACATCCTTTCTAAATGGTTTCTAAAAGAAGTAAAACACTGCCTATTTTCTTTGGACAAATTACACTTTGTTTCAGACTTTTATTCTATAAGCAATTTAGAAAGATAATAAGCAGTAAACGCTTGTTAGTAGTTTTCACACACAGCACTTGGCAACATCTTGTTAGCAGCATTCCTATTTTTTAGTCATTTCAGTTTTGTTTGAGTCGTTCACCAAGTGTACATGTATGATTTCAAGTTGTGTGTCTAGAACCTTTTGAGCTTGGAATTTTGAGCATTTCTTGTGGTGATGGGTCTGATTCCTGATATGGTCACTGTCTTTTATTGCTAGAGTCCTTTTTCCGTCCTGTAACAGGGAAACTTTATTTATATTTGACAGACTGAGTATTTTATTCTCGTCGTTGTGGGTTCGAATCTCTACTAGGTAGGCAAATTGCATGGTGTCCATTTTTTGTATTACCAGTCAGTAATTACTGTTGCTTCTTAAAAGGTACATGTATGAAATCTGGTGCCGGCATGGTTTTATTGGTTGAACCTTCACAATCCTCACGCAGGCATGCACAATGCTACCAGTGAGTAAGTACATCATAGTCCTAAATTCACACTACACCGGTACATTTGCATTCTGCACGACATCACACAGCATTCCAAATAAGTTGTTGTTTACCAGTGGGCCTTAGCATTGTGTGGTGTTTTGTTGAACGAAATCATTGGAATTTGTAATTTTTGCCTTTTTGTTTTACTCTTGTGGACCGAAAAGTTTATATTTTTTTTACCGAAAGGGTAATTATTCAGCTCGGTTAACTATCAGCATCCAGACTTCAACTGGTCTTAAACAGAGTGTTTAATACCTTCCAATCACACATTTATTCCTTTATTTAAGGATTCTATACATTTTGCAATTGTACAAGTTGTTAATATGTCGGATATCAGCCTAGGGGAGCTGCAGTTTTCCTGAAGTCTTTTTTTATTATTTGTATAAAACTCCAAAGAATCCATAAAAATGCTGTAAGTTACAAAATCAAAAAATTAAAATGTGGAAAGGTCATGAAACAGGGAACATTTTTAGCCAAGGGATTTTTAAACAACCAAATCTAAAATACCGGAATATTTTTAAAATATCTTTCTTGCTTCAACTTTATTTCTGAGAAGGTGCATCTAATTTATTTCAATATCCAATTGCCAATTTATTTGCAAAATCACAATTTCAGCATCCTGTAACCAGGCATTGTGTATATTATTTATTTAAAATATCTACCGGTACCACCATGGTTTATTGCCTAGCAATATGGCAACTTGGGCAGCACTGGTAACCTTGAGATGTACATTGTACGTGTAATAATGTTGCTATGCATTTTGCCATAATAAAAAACACGAAAAGATGCTATACATTTTGCAAATGCACTAGTGGGTAATTGTGGGGGAGTGTGCCACCTTCAAGAAAATGCCCAGATATCAGCCTAGGGGAGTTCCAGTTTTCCTGAAGTTGTTTGTATTTTTTAATAAAACTCCAAAGAATCCATACAAATGCTGGAAGTTACAAAATAAAAAAAAATAAAATTTGGAAAGGTCATGGAAAAGGGAACACTTTTAGCCAAGGGATTTGACCCAAATTTAAAATACCGGTATATTAAAAAAGATCTGTCTTGCTTCAACTTTATTTTCGAATTAGATAATTGATTTCAACATCCAATTACCAATTTATTTGCCACATCAGAACTTCAGCATCCTGTATCTCAGCATTTTGTTATTATTATTATTACTTTTATCATTTTATATAGCGAATAAAAACAATACAATACAAGATAACACATTATGCATAACATAGCATAAAATAGACTAATACAGAACCTAAGACGAAACCGTATGACTGCAGAGGAACAGCAAAAGGAAAAAAAAATAAAGGGGAAAAAAATATTCACCATGGTCCTCAGACTGTCTGACACACATGTACATGTAATGCTATGACTGGTACCATCTTCCAACATAGGGGGCGCTCTTCAAAACCAATGATTATATGCTAAATATGTATTATGTGCCCTTTTCAGGCCGTATTGTATGTAGACTTGACTCAAGTCGGAATTGCTTTAAGTCGGTATCTTAAAAAAAAGGGAGCAAAAATCACTTAATTTACGTCTTTCCAGATGCCCGACAAGGTACACTTCAGTGCGTGTTCCTTTTCAGTGCCGTATAACAATGCGCACACACTGTATGTACATTGTACAACACGCGTATTACACGTACATGTGTTTGCATCGGTTTGCATGTACTGCAGAGCATGTGCATACATGTGGTGCAAAAGTTAGCAATTCCGACTTGATCAATCTGCCATCAGCACCCCCCCTCGCGTGAACGCGCCTGTATTCATCGATACATATGCAACACCGTCTCTATGCATATGCAACAACATCGCTTGACCAATCAAAGTAGCAAATTTTTGAAGACTCGTTTATTATTTTCAGTAGGTAAGGAAGGCTGGATAACAATATGCAAAAGTTTAAAAACGTAATCTTCATTTGTAGATTTCAAACACATTATATTAGGATGATAATGCTAAGATCAGCTTCTCTTGGATTGAATTAATAAAGAATATACGACATTCAAATGTTATTCAAAACAAAAGGGAATTTTATTGAGGTTAACCTGTAAAAGATGTTGAGATCCATTGATACCGCTTCGTGTTGTGCGTACCCAGAGCCGTTTCAAAGCATTCGAACGTACGCGTGCGTGTATCTGTTTCTACTCGTCACCATGGGATGCGTGTGCGTTCTCCGCGAAACTTTGGCTGCGCGAATACGCAGACAATGCTGATTGCGTGTTAGGAATAATATCAAAACAATCTGCGCACGTTTTTAAGAATAAAAACGCTCATTACCTGAAATACTGTGATATGATTGGCTTCTACCGAAATCGGTAGAAGCCAATCACATCGAGAATTAATTTCCATAGACTGTGTACAAACGTGGAACAAACCAGCGCGTACGCTTGGCAGATTCACCAAGTCTGGGTTGCTGCATCACTTGAAAATAACATGTACATGTACGTTTTTAACATGATGGTCTGGATTCGACGCATGAGGGCGCGCGTTATGTACTGTAAGGACGTATGCGATATGCGCTGTGAGTGGATAATGGATTTACAGACCGAGCGCAACCCAGACTTGGCCAAGTCTATATTGTATGGGTTTTGGGACTTGATTTTTATATTCCTCGTTTATATCAAAAATATCTATACCATTATTGGGATATGGTTACTTCTAAGAAATAGTAAGATACTTTAAGGGCATTTTTGTTGTATCTTGAGGGGGCACTTTACTGTTCGAGGGGGCACATTTATGGCCGCAAAAGGGGCACTTGGGAAAATCTGGGGGGGGGGGGCAAAAGCCCCCCCGGTTCCGCCGCCCCTGCCACTGGATCCAAGTAGGAGGACACACCCCTCTACGACCACCAATGGAGGCCTTGTGAACACATCTTGTTACCACCAGTGTAAACCATCATCAGATGAAGGCATATCAAGCCAAAGATGAACCCTCTAGATACCATCATCTCCCACCGGACTGGAGTCCAGTGTTAAAATGACTGCACATCAAGGGGGCTGATCTTGACAAGCATCATGGCCCAACTCTGATATTTTCTTTTAATTTCACAAGGGAAGATATCAAAACATGCTGGACCTCCTTCTGTTGTACCAGTGTCACTCACTTCTGCTTATTGTCAGTGACAGGAAAAGCAACAATCATTTGAGTCATCTTTGACCTTGAAAGAATCTTAATAATGATAACTGACATGTGGTTACCAGAAGTTGTTGTTTTGTTTCATTAACTCGAAGACTCCATCAAATAGAGATTTGAAGGAGCCATCAATATGCAAGTAGGCCACGCTGTATTGAACCTTGTTATCAGAGGCAAGATTGGTGCAACTTATCGCCAAAAGTGAAAGTCAGTCAAATCTTAATTTCAGGTATATCACGCCCAGTCAAAAGTGATGGATACCCAGTCAGACTTTGCAGCGCGTTTTGCAAGCCATGAGATGGAACATTGCCACAAACATTTCCTTTGAGTAGCTTGTGACATAACTTGAAAATGGATGTCTTGTGATTGACTTGTGATAACTTGGGGTGACTTGTTGCTGACTTCATTCAAACTTAATACAGAGCTCAAGTTATCATCAGAGAAGAGGAAAACCAATAGTAAAATTGCCATTTTTACCCCTCAGTCGAGAGGCTCAATGGGAATTGTCATCGCCTATGGCGTCCGTCCGTCCGTCCGGGCAACTTAGTTTCTGGATGATAACTTGAGTTAGATGTTGTTTGGGAGTGTGACTTCAGTAGGAGGTTGCCCTTAGATGTAGGTGAGTTAAAGGTAAATTGTTTCTGGATGATACCCTGAGTTAGAAATGAGATTTTGGTGTCTAACTTTAAAAGGGGGTTGCCCTTGGGAGTAGGTAAGTTGGGATTGGTTTTGGGGTCAAAAGGTCAAAGGTCACCGTCGTGAGTTAAAGGTAAATGGTTTCCGGATGATCGATAACTTGAGTTGGAAATGAAATTTTGGTGTCTAACTTCGGTAGGGGGTTGCTCATTGGTACAGGCATGTTGGGATTGGTTCTGGGGTCAAACAGGGGTCAAAGATCAAAGGTCAAGGTCACAATGTTGAGTTAAAGGTTAATGGTTTCCAGATGATAACTTGACTCTGGCTGAGGGGTTTCAAAGGCAATGCTGTTATTTTTATTTCTGAGAAGGTGAGACTAATTTATTTCAATATCAAATTGCCAATTTATTTGCCACAACTAAATTTCAACATCTTGTAACATTAAATAAGGACAATACAATGCAAGATAAGAATTATAAATCAACATGAATACAGAACACAAGACAAAACTATGACCGCATGGGCCAAATGGCCAGCAAAAGCGAAAAAAAAATCACTTTGCTGACACACTTGTAATGCTATATTTGAAAGAATTGTCAACTTTATCAAGTAGATTTTTTACATCCTTTTTGCTTGATGTTGCTTGAGTTAAAAGGTTGCCTCTTTTCTAGGACAAATCAAATTCCATATCAGAATTTTATTTTTTAAGTAATTTAGAAAAAAAGCATTAGCAGTAAACTCTTGTTGGTATTTTACACATTAAGCACTTAGCTTCACTAAACATAAAAATAACACTTAGCAGCATTCTCATTGTTTTGTCTTTTAAATTTGTTTGGTATTTTAACCAAGTTTACATGTATTTTTCTTTCTACTGTGTGCCTTGAACCTTCTGAGCTTGGAATTGTTTGGTAGAGTGTTGTGAATTTGACTTTACGATTTTGAGGTGATGCGTTCGATTCCTGTAATAGTCAGTGTCTTTTATTGCTATTTAGAATTCTTTTTTCCATCCTGTATATTGAACAGGGAAGCTATGTTTGACAGATTGAGTCTTTTGTTCTCATCGTTGCGGGTTCGAATCTGTACTAAGTAGGCAAATTACATGGTGTCCATTTTTGATTGCCAGTCTATAATTACTTGTTGCTGATTAAAAGTGCAGCTGTGGTGCAGGTTGGTTGCATATTGCAGGGAGTTGACTATCACAGCGCACATCATTCCATTCCCCTTCTTGATCTACCCACACCCCGGCACAGTGCTCAATACCTCCCCAGTTATCAGGTTGCGGCCCCCACTGTGGACTAGTCCACCAGTTCCAGAACTCAGCCTCATCATTCTCACACTTCCAAGTACCTATTGTAAAAAAACAGAACGGAAATCAATACAGAGGTGGGAATTGCCAAGTACCGGTATGATTCTTCAAAACAAACAAGCTCACAATGTTCTGGTATTAATTTGTTGAAATTTTGTAAATTCAAAATTTCAACCAACCTTCTTCCTGGAGATCATTGCAGTTTATCCAAAAGCTGGATTGTTGTAGCTGGAGCAGGAACTCAGTTTCCTGCTGAGACTGTGGCACAACCAAGACACTTCCCATCTTGATGCACTCATCTTTTGCCTCAGACCATGTCAGGGGCTCAGTGATGGCTTTGTAGCATTTGCGTCCCAACTGGTACCAAGTTGGGGGACATGCCCATCCATGCCCAATGGAGGCCTTACACATCTTGTTACCACCAGAGCAACCCATCATCAGATGAAGGCTCATCAAGCCAAAGATGAACCGTTTAGACACCACCATCTCTCATGCCTTACTCCACTGGTGTCTGGTACTGCAATGAAGTAACTGCATTTCATGTTGAATCATTCTGTAAAGAATTCAGCCTCCAATATTTTCTTTTAATTAAGAGAGTGAAGATACCAAAATAAGTTGGAAGCCCGGCCTTTGTATCACGGACAATATGAACTGGTGCAGTATATTGATCAGAGGTAGTACAAATAAAAACAACCATTACGACTCCTGTTCCCATTTCTGTAACAATGAGTCAACACAAAATTATGAGAATGGACCCTAAATGCATTGAATGGTATGCAGAGATTCTGGGTGATTCATTAACTTGAAGATGATTTTGACTTATTTGTACAAGTTTAGTAAAAAACAGGGAACTCAAAGGGCGCCCTCTATTTCTTAAAGAAGATCTACATGAAGCACTCAGATCTAGGATGTGAAAGCCTAATTCTCTTAGTAAAAGAATAAATAAACCCCTCAAACAAAAACCATTTAAAATTCCGTTGTCATGGTTTCCAAAAACCACCCCTATTTTCACACTTGAGAATTATTTGGAAACAACGAAAATGGAAGTAGCCCACATCCGGCTGAGGAACCCCTCACAAACATGACCAAAACAGAACTATCAACCATTCCTTAACTCAAAACCAATCCGCAGATTGTCATCAAACCTTATGACAAAGGCCAAGATCATGAACCGCGAGGACTATCTGCCAGTCGGTTTCAAACATACCATCATCTCCCACACTCTGTTATTTTCTTTTAATTTCACAAGGGAAGATATCAAAACATGCTGGGTCTCTTTCTGTTGTATCGGTGCCACTCACTTCTGCTTAGTGTGTCAATCAATGACAGGAAAAGCAACAATCATTTGAGTCATCTTTGACCATGAAAGAATCTCAATAATTATTACTGACATGTGGTAACCAGAAGTTTTTTGTTTTGTTTCATTATTAAACTCGAAGACTCCATCAAATAGAGATTGGAAGGAGACATCAATATGCAAGTAGGCCACGCTGTATTGAACCTTGTTATCAGAGGCAAGATTGGTGCAACTTATCGCCAAAAGTGAAAGTCAGTCAAATCTTAATTTCAGGTGTATCACACCCAGTCAAAAGTGATGGAAACCCTGTCAGATTTTGCAGCGCGTTTTACAAGCCATGAGATGGAACATTGCAACAAACATTTCCTTTGAGTAGCTTGTGACATAACTTGAAAATGGATGTCTTGTGATTGACTTGTGATAACTTGGGATGACTTGTTGCTGACTTCATTCAAACTTAATACAGAGCTCAAGTTTTCATCAGAGAAGAGCAAAACCAATAGTAAAATTTCAATCTTTAATTCTGAGAGGGTGCATCTACATGTACCGGGTAATTTATTTCAATATCCAATTGCCAATCAATTTGCTACACCACAATTTCAACGTCTTGTATGCAAGCATTATGTTATTATAATTAAATAAGAAGAATACAATGCAAGATAACATAAAATAGACTAACACAGAAAATAAGACAAACCTATGACTGCATGGACAAAATGGTCAGCAAAAGGGAAAAAAATCACTATGGTCATCAGACCTGCTGACACACATGTAACGCTATATTTTGAAAGAATTGTTTACATCCTTTCTGCTTGATGTTGTTTGAGTTAAAAGTTTGCCTCTTTTCTAAGACAAATCAAATTCTATATCAGAATGTTATTCTTTAAGTAATTTAGAAGAAAAGCATTAGCAGTAAACTCTTGTTGGTATTTTACACATTAAGCACTTAGCTTCACTAAACATAAAAATAACACTTAGCAGCATTCTCATTGTTTTGTCATTTAAATTTGTTTGGTATTTTTACCAAGTTTACGTGTATTTTTCTTTCTACTGTGTGCCTTGAACCTTCTGATCTCGGAATTTTTTGGTAGAGTGTTGTGAATTTGACTTTACGTTTTTGAGGTGATGCGTTCGATTCCTGTAATAGTCAGTGTCTTTTATTGCTATAAAGAGTTCTTTTTCCATCCTGTATATTGAACAGGGAAGCTATATTTGACAGATTGAGTCTTTTGTTCTCATCGTTGCGGGTTCGAATCTCTACTAAGTAGGCAAATTTCATGGTGTCCATTTTTGATTGCCAGTCTATAATTACTTGTTGCTGATTAAAAGTGCAGCTGTGATGCAGGTTGGATGCATATTGCAGGGCGTTGAAGATCACAGTGTGCATCATTCCATTTCCCTTCTTGATCTACCCATACCTCAGCACAGTGCTCAATACCTCCCCAGTTGTCAGGTTGGGGCCACTGTGGACTAGTCAACCAATTCCTGAACTCAACCTCATCATTCTCACACTTCCAAGTACCTATTGAAAAAAAAATAGAATGGAAATCAATACAGAGGTGGGAATTGCCAAGTACCGGTACGATTCTTCAAAATAAACAAGCTCACAATGTTCTGGTATTAATTTGATGAAATTTTGTAAATTCAAAATTTCAACCAACCTTCTTCCTGGAGATCATTGCAGTTTATCCAATAGTTGGATTGCTGTAGCTGGACCAGGAACTCAGTTTCCTCCTGAGACTGTGGCATGACCAAGACACTTCCCATCTCAATGCACTCATCTTTTGCCTCCGACCATGTCAGGCGCTCAGTGATGGCTTTGTAGCATTTGCGTCCCCACTGGTACCAAGTGGGAGGACATGCCCATCCATGCCCAATGGAGGCCTTACACATCTCGTTACCACCAGTGCAACCCATCATCAGATGAAGGCTTATCAAGCCAAAGATGAACCCTCTAGATACCATCATCTCCCACATCTCACCGGACTGGAGTCCAGTGTTAAAATGACTGCACATCAAGGGAGCTGATCTTGACAAGCATCATGGCCCAACTCTGATATTTTCTTTTAATTTCACAAGGGAAGATATCAAAACATGCTGGGTCTCTTTCTGTTGTATCGGTGTCACTCACTTCTGCTTAGTCTGTCAATTAATGACAGGAAAAGCAACAATCATTTGAGTCATCTTTGACCATGACAGAATCTCAATAATGATAACTGACATGTGGTTACCAGAAGTTGTTGTTTTGTTTCATTAACTCGAAGACTCCATCAAGTAGAGGTTTGAAGGAGACATCAATATGCAAGTAGGCCACGCTAATACAGGCTGATAAGGTATATCACGCCCAGTTAAAAGTGATGGAAACCCAGTCAGATTTTGCAGCGCGTTTTACAAGCCATGAGATGGAACATTGCAACAAACATTTCCTTTGAGTAGCTTGTGACATAACTTGAAAATTGATGGCTTGTGATTGACTTGTGATAACTTGGGATGACTTGTTGCTGACTTCATTAAAACTTAATACAGAGCTCAAGTTACATCAGAGAAGAGGAAAACCAATAATAAAATTGCAATCTTTAATTCCGAGAGGGTGCATCTACCAGGTAATTTATTTCAATATCCAATTGCGAATCAATTTGCTACATCACAATTTCAACGTCTTGTATGCAAGCATTATGTTATTATAATTAAATAAGAACAGTACAATGCAAGATAAGAATTATCAATAACATTTAACATAAAATAGACTAAGACAGAAAATAAGACAAACCTATGACCGCATGGACAAAATGGTCAGCAAAAGCGAAACAAAATCACTATGGTCATCAGACCTGCTGACACACATGTAACGCTATATTTTGAAAGAATTGTTTACATCCTTTCTGCTTGATGTTGTTTGAGTTAAAAGTTCGCCTCTTTTCTAGGACAAATCAAATTCTATATCAGACTTTTATTCTATAAGTAATTTAGAAAAAAGCTTAGGGCCAAAAAAAAAAAAGTTATCGGTTTCTGGTATGGAGCTTGCCCCAAAAGTGGTGCGGCGACCGGCTTTTTTTTTTTTTACCTTTTTTTTTTTTTTTTGGGCTTCAAATGTCGGCTGATGACTGCAAATGGTGCCTGACTATAGTGCAAATATATGGGAGTCCAGAGAGGCCACATAAAGCTTATTCTCGATCATAACCCCATCTAAAAACACGTTAAAATTGTGCAGCAGCAGGATTCCAGTCAAACCAGTGAGTTTGGCGGTTTTGAGACATCATCTTGTATTGAAAAAAAACTTTTTCATTTTGCCGACGCCCGTGGCTGCGGCGACGCGCGCATACCAGAAACCGGAGACTTTTTTTTTTTGGCCTAAAGGGAATATACAACATTGCAAACATCAAAAAATAAAACTACAATGTACCAAGTTTTTATGAAATACCTTACTAGGATGTTGGTAAATGACAGTCTCAAGCATCTTGTAAAATTATGGCACCTGGTGTGAAGTCATTTTCAAGAAAATGGTATTTTTGTAAACATTTCCAACGGTGGTCGGCCGACCAGCATTGGAAAAACCTAACTATTTTTCAACTACATGTACTGCTCTAAATTTCCCATTTTTTTCCAGTCCAAATTTTGTTTGTTATTGGTTACATGTTCATGAACGGGTGCAGGCCAGCTAGACTGGTTCCCTTGCCTTACAGTTTTCCATCATCTATATATTAATTGATCCATTTTATCTTTTGTGGAGTCAGGGAACCAGACTACTTGAACATTTTTGTTTTTCTTGGTTTTTCCAACCTTTTCGAACACCAAACTTCAAAATTTGTCAGTGTAACAATATTTAATCTATTATACTAACCCCTCAAATAGTTCATTTCTGAAAATTACAGCAAAAGCCAATGATGTACATTCCCTTTAAGCAGTAAACTCTTGTTGGTATTTTTCACTTTACGCACTTAGTTTCACTATACATAAATATAACACTGAGCAGTATTCTCATTGTTTTGTCATTGAAATTTGTTTGGTATTTTTACCAAGTTTACGTGTATTTTTCTTTCTACTGTGTGCCTTGAACCTACTGAGCTTGGAATTTTTGGGTAGAGTGTTGTGAATTTGACTTTGCGTTTTCGAGGTGATGCGTTCAATTCCTGTAATAGTCAGTGTCTTTTATTGCCATAAAGAGTTCTTTTTTCCATCCTGTATATTGAACAGGGAAGCTATATTTGACAGATTGAGTCTTTTGTTCTCATCATTGCGGGTTCGAATCTCTACTAAGTAGGCAAATTACATGGTGTCCATTTTTGATTGCCAGTCTATAATTACTTGTTGCTGATTAAAAGTGCAGCTGTGGTGCAGGTTGGATGCATATTGCAGGGCGTTGAAGATCACAGTGTGCATCATTCCATTTCCCTTCTTGATCTACCCACACCTCGGCACAGTGCTCACCATTCAAGTTATCAGGTTGTGGATTCTCTGGACCAGTCGACCAATTCCTGAACTCAACCTCATCGTTCTCACACTTCCAAGTACCTATTGAACAAAATAACAGAATGGAAATAAATACAGAGGTGGGAATTCCCAAACAACCATTCTTCAAAACAAACAAGCTCACAATGTTCTGGTATTAATTTGTTGATATTTTGTAAATTCTAATTTCAACCAACCTTCTTCCTGGAGATCATTGCAGTTTATCCAAAAGTTGGATTGCTGTAGCTGGAGCAGGAACTCAGTTTCCTCCTGAGACTGTGGCACGACCAAGACACTTCCCATCTTGATGCACTCATCTTTTGCCTCAGACCATGTCAGGCGCTCAGTGATGGCTTTGTAGCATTTACCACCCCACTGGATCCAAGTAGGAGGACACGCCCCTCTACGACCACCAATGGAGGCCTTACACATCTCGTTACCACCAGAGCAACCCATCATCAGATGACGGCTCATCAAGCCAAAGATGAACCGTTTAGACACCATCATCTCTCATGCCTTACTCCACTGGTGTCTGGTACTGCAATGAAGTAACTGCATTTCACGTTGAATCATTCTGTAAAGAATTCAGCCTCCAATATTTTCTTTTAATTAAGAGAGTGAAGATACCAAAATAAGTTGGAAGCCCGGCCTTTGTATCACAGACAATATGAACTGGTGCAGTATATTGATCAGAGGTAGTACAAATAAAAACAACCATTACGACTCCTGTTCCCATTTCTGTAACAATGAGACAACACAAAATTATGAGAATGGACCCTAAATGCATTGAATGGTATGCAGAGATTCTGGGTGATTTATTAACTTGAAGATGATTTTGACTTATTTGTACAAGTTTAGTAAAAAACAGGGAACTCAAAGGGCGCCCTCTATTTCTTAAAGAAGATCTACATGAAGCACTCAGATCTAGGATGTGAAAGCCTAATTCTCTTAGTAAAAGAATAAATAAACCCCTCAAACAAAAACCATTTAAAATTCCGTTGTCATGGTTTCCAAAAACCAGCCCTATTTTCACAATTGAGAATTATTTGGAAACAACAAAAATGGAAGTAGCCCACATCCAGCTGAGGAACCCCCTCACAAACAGAACTATCAACCATTCCTAAACTCAAAAACAATCCGCAGATTGTCATCAAACCTTATGACAAAGGCCAAGATCATGAACGGCGAGGACTATCTGCCAGTCGGTTTCAAACATACCATCATCTCCCACACTCTGATATTTTCTTTTAATTTCATAAGGGAAGATATCAAAACATGCTGGGTCTCTTTCTGTTGTATCGGTGCCACTCACTTCTGCTTAGTCTGTCAATTAATGACAGGAAAAGCAACAATCATTTGAGTCATATTTGACCATGAAAGAATCTCAATAATGATAACTGACATGTGGTTATTAGAAGTTGTTGTTTTGTTTCATTAACTCGAAGACTCCATCAAATAGAGATTGGAAGGAGACATCAATATGCAAGTAGGCCACGCTGTATTGAACCTTGTTATCAGAGGCAAGATTGGTGCAACTTATCGCCAAAAGTGAAAGTCAGTCAAATCTTAATTTCAGGTATATCACACCCAGTCAAAAGTGATGGAAACCCAGTCAGATTTTGCAGCGCGTTTTACAAGCCATGAGATGGAACATTGCCACAAACATTTCCTTTGAGTAGCTTATGTCACAATTTGAAAATGGATGTCTTGTGATTGACTTGTGATAACTTGGGATGACTTATTGCTGACTTCATTCAAACTTAATACAAAGCTCAAGTTTTCATCAGAGAAAAGGAAAACCAATAATTAAATTTCAATCTTTAATTCTGAGAGGGTGCATCTACCGGGTAATTTATTTCAATATCCAATTGCTAATCTATTTGCCACATAACAATTTCAACGTCTTGTATGCAAGCATTATGTTATTATAATTAAATAAGAACAATACAATTCAAGATAACATAAAATAGACTAACACAGAAAATAAGACAAACCTATGACCGCATGGACAAAATGGTCAGCAAAAGCGAAAAAAAATCACTATGGTCATCAGACCAGCTGACACACATGTAACGCTATATTTTGAAAGAATTTTTTACATCCTTTCTGCTTGATGTTGTTTGAGTTAAAAGTTTGCCTCTTTTCTAGGACAACTCAAATTCCATATCAGACTTTTATTCTATAAGTAATTTTGAAAAAAAAAGCTTAAGCAGTAAACTCTTGTTGGTATTTTTCACTTTACGCACTTAGCTTCACTATACATAAAAATAACACTTAGCAGCATTCTCATTGCTTTGTCATTTAAATTTGTTTGGTATTTTAACCAAGTTTACATGTATTTTTCTTTCTACTGTGCGCCTTGAACCTTCTGAGCTTGGAATTGTTTGGTAGAGTGTTGTGAATTTGACTTCACGATTTTGAGGTGATGCGTTCGATTCCTGTAATGGTCAGTGTCTTTTATTGCTATAAAGAGTTCTTTTTTCCATCCTGTATATTGAACAGGGAAGCTATATTTGACAGATTGAGTCTTTTGTTCTCATCGTTGTGGGTTCGAATCTGTACTAAGTAGGCAAATTACATGGTGTCCATTTTTGATTGCCAGTCTATAATTACTTGTTGCTGATTAAAATTGCAGCTGTGGTGCAGGTTGGTTGCATATTGCAGGGAGTTGAGTATCACAGCGCACATCATGCCATTCCCCTTCTTGATCTACCCACACCCCGGCACAGTGCTCACCACCCCAGTTATCAGGTTGCGGCCACTGTGGACTAGTCGACCAATTCCTGAACTCAGCCTCATCATTCTCACACTTCCAAGTACCTATTGAACAAAATAACAGAATGGAAATAAATACAGAGGTGGGAATTCCCAAACAACGATTCTTCAAAACAAACAAGCTCACAATGTTCTGGTATTAATTTGTTGAAATTTTGTAAATTCAAAATTTCAACCAACCTTCTTCCTGGAGATCACTGCAGTTTATCCAAAAGTTGGATTGCAGTAGCTGGAGCAGGAAATCAGTTTCCTCCTGAGACTGTGGCACAACCAAGACACTTCCCATCTTGATGCACTCATCTTTTGCCTCAGACCATGTCAGGCGCTCAGTGATGGCTTTGTAGCATTTGCGTCCCCACTGGTACCAAGTTGGGGGACATGCCCATCCATGCCCAATGGAGGCCTTACACATCTCGTTACCACCAGTGCAACCCATCATCAGATGAAGGCTTATCAAGCCAAAGATGAACCGTTTAGACACCACCATCTCTCAGGCTTTACTCAACTGGTGTCTGGTACCGCAATGAAGTAACTGCATTTCACGTTGAATCATTCTGTAAAGAATTCAGCCTCCAATATTTTCTTTTAATTAAGAGAGGTAAGATACCAAAATAAGTTGGAAGCCCGGCCTTTGTATCACGGACAATATGAACTGGTGCAGTATATTGATCAGAGGTAGTACAAATAAAAACAACCATTACGACTCCTGTTCCCATTTCTGTAACAATGAGACAACACAAAATTATGAGAATGGACCCTAAATGCATTGAATGGTATGCAGAGATTCTGGGTGATTCATTAACTTGAAGATGATTTTGACTTATTTGTACAAGTTTAGTAAAAAACAGGGAACTCAAAGGGCGCCCTCTATTTCTTACAGAAGATCTACATGAAGCACTCAGATCTAGGATGTGGAAGCCTAATTCTCTTAGTAAAAGAATAAATAAACCCCCCAAACAAAAACCATTTAAAATTCCGTTGTCATGGTTTCCAAAAACCACCCCTATTTTCACACTTAAGAATTATTTGGAAACAACGAAAATGGAAGTAGCCCACATCCGGCTGAGGAACCCCCTCACAAACATGACCAAAACAGAACTATCAACCATTCCTTAACTCAAAAACAATCCGCAGATTGTCATCAAACCTTATGACAAAGGCCAAGATCATGAACGGCGAGGACTATCTGCCAGTCGGTTTCAAACATACCATCATCTCCCACACTCTGTTATTTTCTTTTAATTTCACAAGGGAAGATATCAAAACATCTCTTTCTATTGTATCGGTGTCACTCACTTCTGCTTAGTGTGTCAATCAATGACAGGAAAAGCAACAATCATTTGAGTCATCTTTGACCATGACAGAATCTCAATAATGATAACTGACATGTGGTTACCAGAAGTTGTTGTTTTGTTTCATTAACTCGAAGACTCCATCAAGTAGAGATTTGAAGGAGCCATCAATATGCAAGTAGGCCACGCTGTATTGAACCTTGTTATCAGAGGCAAGATTGGTGCAACTTATCGCCAAAAGTGAAAGTCAGTCAAAAACTTAATTTCAGGTATATCACACCCAGTCAAAAGTGATGGAAACCCAGTCAGATTTTGCAGCGCGTTTTACAAGCCATGAGATGGAACATTGCCACAAACATTTCCTTTGAGTAGCTTGTGACATAACTTGAAAATTGATGTCTTGTGATTGACTTGTGATAACTTGGGATGACTTGTTGCTGACTTCATTCAAACTTAATACAGAGCTCAAGTTTTCATCAGAGAAGAGCAAAACCAATAGTAAAATTGCAATCTTTAATTCTGAGAGGGTGCATCTACATGTACCGGGTAGTTTATTTCAATATCCAATTGCCAATGAATTTGCTACACCACAATTTCAACGTCTTGTATGCAAGCATTATGTTATTATAATTAAATAAGAACAATACTATGCAAGATAACATGAAATAGACTAACACAGAAAATAAGACAAACCTATGACTGCATGGACAAAATGGTCAGCAAAAGCGAAAAAACTCACTATGGTCATCAGACCTGCTGACACACATGTAACGCTATATTTTGAAAGAATTGTTTACATCCTTTCTGCTTGATGTTGTTTGAGTTAAAAGTTTGCCTCTTTTCTAGGACAAATCAAATTCTATATCAGAATTTTATTCTATAAGTAATTTAGAAAAAAGCTTAGGGCCAAAAAAAAAAGTTTCCGGTTTCTGGTATGGAGCTTGCCCCAAAAGTGGTGCGGCGACCGGCTTTTTTTTTTTTTACCTGTTTTTTTTTTTTTTTTTTGCTTCAAATGTCGGCTGATGACTGCAAATGGTGCCCGACTATAGTGCAAATATATGGGAGTCCAGAGAGTCCACATAAAGCTTATTCTCGATCATAACCCCATCTAAAAACACGTTAAAATTGTGCAGCAGCAGGATTCCAGTCAAACCAGTGAGTTTGGCGGTTTTGAGACATCATCTTGTATTGAAAAAAAAACTTTTTCATTTTGCCGACGCCCATGGCAAGATTGGTGCAACTTTTTTTTTTGGCCTAAAGGGAATATACAACATTTGCAAACATCAAAAAATAAAACTACAATGTACCAAGTTTTTATGAAATACCTTACTAGGATGTTGGTAAATGACAGTCTCAAGCATCTTGTAAAATTATGGCACCTGGTGTGAAGTCATTTTCAAGAAAATGGTATTTTTGTAAACATTTCCAACGGTGGTCGGCCGTTGGAAAAACCTAACTATTTTTCAACTACTGCTCCAAATTTCCCATTTTTTTCCAGTCCAAATTTTGTTTGCTATTGGTTACATGTTCATGAACGGGTGCAGGCCAGCTAGACTGGTTCCCTTGCCTTACAGTTTTCCATCATCTATATATTAATTGATCCATTTTATCTTTTGTGGAGTCAGGGAACCAGACTACTTGAACATTTTTGTTTTGCTTGGTTTTTCCAACCTTTTCGAACACCAAACTTCAAAATTTGTCAGTGTAACAATATTTAATCTATTATACTAACCCTCAAATAGTTCATTTCTGAAAATTTCAGCAAAAGCCAATGATGTACATTCCCTTTAAGCAGTAAACTCTTGTTGGTATTTTTCACTTTACGCACTTAGTTTCACTATACATAAATATAACACTGAGCAGTATTCTCATTGTTTTGTCATTGAAATTTGTTTGGTATTTTTACCAAGTTTACATGTATTTTTCTTTCTACTGTGTGCCTTGAACCTTCTGAGCTTGGAATTTTTTGGTAGAGTGTTGTGAATTTGACTTTGCGTTTTTGAGGTGATGCGTTCAATTCCTATAATAGTCAGTGTCTTTTATTGCCATAAAGAGTTCTTTTTTCCATCCTGTATATTGAACAGGGAAGCTATATTTGACAGATTTAGTCTTTTGTTCTCATCGTTGCGGGTTCGAATCTCTACTAAGTAGGCAAATTACATGGTGTCCATTTTTGATTGCCAGTCTATAATTACTTGTTGCTGATTAAAAGTGCAGCTGTGGTGCAGGTTGGTTGCATATTGCAGGGAGTTGACTATCACAGCGCACATCATTCCATTTCCCTTCTTGATCTACCCACACCATGGCACAGTGCTCACCATTCAAGTTATCAGGTTGCAGCCACTGTGGACCAGTCGACCAATTCCTGAACTCAACCTCATCATTCTCACACTTCCAAGTACCTATTGAACAAAATAACAGAATTGAAATAAATACAGAGGTGGGAATTCCCAAACAACCATTCTTCAAAACAAACAAGCTCACAATGTTCTGCTATTAATTTGTTGATATTTTGTAAATTCTAATTTCAACCAACCTTCGTCCTGGAGATCATTGCAGTTTATCCAAAAGTTGGATTGCTGTAGCTGGAGCAGGAAATCAGTTTCCTCCTGAGACTGTGGCATGACCAAGACACTTCCCATCTTGATGCACTCATCTTTTGCCTCCGACCATGTCAGGCGCTCAGTGATGGCTTTGTAGCATTTGCGTCCCCACTGGTACCAAGTGGGAGGACACGCCCCTCTACGACCACCAATGGAGGCCTTACACATCTCGTTACCACCAGTTACCACCATCAGATGAAGGCTTATCAAGCCAAAGATGAACCGTTTAGACACCATCATCTCTCACATCTCATGCCACTGATGTCCAGTGGTGAAATGACTGCACCTCAACTTGTAATATCCTTGTAGAGCAATATGTAGATATTTCTTTTTGGTGAATGTAACAAGCGACTGTTACTTGTCCAGTTTCATGTGAAATTTGGAGTTGGACTCCTACATGTACATGTATGAAATCTGGTGCCGGCATGGTTTTATTGGTTGAACCTTCACAATCCTCACGCAGGCATGCACAATGCTACCAGTGAGTAAGTACATCATAGTCCTAAATTCACACTACACCCGTACATTTGCATTCTGCACGACATCACATAGCATTCCATATAAGTTGTTGTTTACCAGAGGGCCTTAGCATTGTGTGGTGTTTTGTTGAAAGAAATCATTGGAATTTGTAATTTTTGCCTTTTTTTTTACTCTTGTGGACCAAAAAGTTTAGATTTTTTTTACCGAAAGGGTAATTATTCAGCTCGGTTAACTATCAGCATCCAGACTTCAACCGGTCTTAAACAGAGTGTTTAATACCTTCCAATCACACATTTATTCCTTTATTTAAGGATTCTATACATTTTGCAATTGTACAAGTTGTAAATATGTCGGATATCAGCCTAGGGGAGCTGCAGTTTTCCTGAAGTCTTTTTTTATTATTTGTATAAAACTCCAAAGAATCCATAAAATTGCTGTAAGTTACAAAATCAAAAAATTAAAATGTGGGAACATTTTTAGCCAAGGGATTTTTAAACAACCAAATCTAAAATACCGGAATATTTTCAAAATATCTTTCTTGCTTCAACTATATTTCTGAGACGGTGCATCTAATTTATTTCAATATCCAAGTGCCAATTTATTTGCAAAATCACAATTTCAGCATCCTGTAACTAGGCATTGTGTTATTATTATTTTTTTTTTATCATTTTATATAGTGAATCAAAACAATACAATACAAGATCATGTAATACATGTATAGCGAATAAAAACAATACAATACAAGATAAGAAATTATACATACATGTAACATAGCATAAAATAGACTGATACAGAACTTAAGATAAAAACCATATGACTGCAAAGGAACAGCAAAAGCAAAAAAAAATCAAAAAAAAAAAAAAATCACTATGGTCCTCAGACTGGCTGACACACATGTATATGTAATGCTAGAAAGCCAATTTTGAAAGACTTGTCAACTTGATCAAGTAAATTTTTACATCCTTTCTAAATGGTTTCTAAAAGAAGTAAGACACTGCCTATTTTCTTGGACAAATTACACTTTGTTTCAGACTTTTATTCTATAAGCAATTTAGAAAGATAATAAGCAGTAAACGCTTGTTAGTAGTTTTCACACACAGCACTTGGCAACATCTTGTTAGCAGCATTCCTATTTTTTAGTCATTTCAGTTTTGTTTCAGTCGTTCACCAAGTGTACATGTATGATTTCAAGTTGTGTGTCTAGAACCTTTTGAGCTTGGAATTTTGAGCATTTCTTGTAATGATGGGTCTGATTCCTGATATGGTCACTGTCTTTTATTGCTAGAGTCCTTTTTCCGTCCTGTAACAGGGAAGCTTTATTTATATTTGACAGACTGAGTATTTTATTCTCGTCGTTGTGGGTTCCAATCTCTACTAGGTAGGCAAATTGCATGGTGTCCATTTTTTTTATTGCCAGTCAGTAATTACTGTTGCTTCTTAAAAGGTACATGTATGAAATCTGGTGCCGGCATGGTTTTATTGGTTGAACCTTCACAATCCTCACGCAGGCATGCACAATGCTACCAGTGAGTAAGTACATCATAGTCCTAAATTCACACTACACCCGTACATTTGCATTCTGCACGACATCACACAGCATTCCATATATAAGTTGTTGTTTACCAGAGGGCCTTAGCATTGTGTGGTGTTTTGTTGAAAGAAATCATTGGAATTTGTAATTTTTGCCTTTTTGTTTACTCTTGTGGACCGAAAAGTTTAGATTTTTTTTACCGAAAGGGTAATTATTCAGCTCGGTTAACTATCAGCATCCAGACTTCAACCGGTCTTAAACAGAGTGTTTAATACCTTCCAATCACACATTTATTCCTTTATTTAAGGATTCTATACATTTTGCAATTGTACAAGTTGTTAATATGTCGGATATCAGCCTAGGGGAGCTGCAGTTTTCCTGAAGTCTTTTTTTATTATTTGTATAAAACTCCAAAGAATCCATAAAAATGTTGTAAGTTACAAAATCAAAAAATTAATATGTGGAAAGGTCATGAAACAGGGAACATTTTTAGCCAAGGGATTTTTAAACAACCAAATCTAAAATACCGGAATATTTTCAAAATATCTTTCTTGCTTCAACTTTATTTCTGAGAAGGTGCATCTAATTCATTTCAATATCCTATTGCCAATTTATTTGCAAAATCACAATTTCAGCATCCTGTAACCAGGCATTGTGTTATTATTTATTTAAAATATCTACCGGTACCACCGTGGTTTATTGCCTAGCAATATGGCAACTTGGGCAGCACTGGTAACCTTGAGATGTACATTGTACGTGTAATAACGTTGCTAGGCATTTTGCCATAATAAAAAACACGAAAAGATGCTATACATTTTGCAAATGCACTAGTGGGTAATGGTGGGGGAGTGTGCCACCTTCAAGAAAATGCCCAGATATCAGCCTAGGGGAGCTCCAGTTTTCCTGAAGTTGTTTGTATTTTTTAATATACTCCAAAGAATCCATACAAATGCTGGAAGTTACAAAATAAAAAAAAATAAAATGTGGAAAGGTCATGGAAAAGGGAATACTTTAAGCCAAGGGATTTGACCCAAATTTAAAATACCGGTATATTAAAAAAGATCTGTCTTGCTTCAACTTTATTTTCGAATTAGATAATTGATTTCAACATCCAATTACCAATTTATTTGCCACATCAGAACTTCAGCATCCTGTATCTCAGCATTTTGTTATTATTATTATTACTTTTATCATTTTATATAGCGAATAAAAACAATACAATACAAGATAACACATTATGCATAACATAGCATAAAATAGACTAATACAGAACCTAAGACGAAACCGTATGACTGCAGAGGAACAGCAAAAGGAAAAAAAAATAAAGGGGAAAAAAATATTCACCATGGTCCTCAGACTGTCTGACACACATGTACATGTAATGCTATGACTGGTACCATCTTCCAACATAGGGGGCGCTCTTCAAAACCAATGATTATATGCTAAATATGCATTATGTGCCTTTTTCAGGCCGTATTGTATGTGTTTTGGGACTTGATTTTTATATTCCTCGTTTATATCAAAAATATCTATACCATTATTGGGATATGGTTACTTCTAAGAAATAGTAAGATACTTTAAGGGCATTTTTGTTGTATCTTGAGGGGGCACTTTACTGTTCGAGGGGGCACATTTATGGCCGCAAAAGGGGCACTTGGGAAAATCTGGGGGGGGGGGGCAAAAGCCCCCCCGGTTCCGCCGCCCCTGCCACTGGATCCAAGTAGGAGGACACACCCCTCTACGACCACCAATGGAGGCCTTGTGAACACATCTTGTTACCACCAGTGTAAACCATCATCAGATGAAGGCATATCAAGCCAAAGATGAACCCTCTAGATACCATCATCTCCCACCGGACTGGAGTCCAGTGTTAAAATGACTGCACATCAAGGGGGCTGATCTTGACAAGCATCATGGCCCAACTCTGATATTTTCTTTTAATTTCACAAGGGAAGATATCAAAACATGCGGGACCTCCTTCTGTTGTACCAGTGTCACTCACTTCTGCTTATTGTCAGTGACAGGAAAAGCAACAATCATTTGAGTCATCTTTGACCATGAAAGAATCTCAATAATGATAACTGACATGTGGTCACCAGAAGTTGTTGTTTTGTTTCATTAACTCGAAGACTCCATCAAATAGAGATTTGAAGGAGCCATCAATATGCAAGTAGGCCACGCTGTATTGAACCTTGCTGTCAGAGACAAGATTGGTGCAACTCATCGCCAAAAGTGAAAGTCAGTCAAATCTTAATTTCAGGTATATCACACCCAGTCCATAGTGATGGATACCCAGTCAGACTTTGCAGCGCGTTTTACAAGCCATGAGATGGAACATTGCAACAAACATTTCCTTTGAGTAGCTTGTGACATAACTTGAAAATGGATGTCTTGTGATTGACTTGTGATAACTTGGGATGACTTGTTGCTGACTTCATTAAAACTTAATACAGAGCTCAAGTTACATCAGAGAAGAGGAAAACCAATAATAAAATTGCAATCTTTAATTCTGAGAGGGTGCATCTACATGTACCGGGTAATTTATTTCAATATCCAATTGCCAATCAATTTGATACACCACAATTTCAACGTCTTGTATGCAAGCATTATGTTATTATAATTAAATAAGAAGAATACAATGCGAGATAACATAAAATAGACTAACACAGAAAATAAGACAAACCTATGACCGCATGGACAAAATGGTCAGCAAAAGCGAAAAAAACTCACTATGGTCATCAGACCAGCTGACACACATGTAACGCTATATTTTGAAAGAATTTTTTACATCCTTTCTGCTTGATGTTGTTTGAGTTAAAAGTTTGCCTCTTTTCTAGGACAAATCAAATTCCATATCAGAATTTTATTCTATAAGTAATTTAGAATAAAAAGCTTAAGCAGTAAACTCTTGTTGGTATTTTTTACCTTACGCACTTAGCTTCACTATACATAAAAAATAACACTTAGCAGCATTCTCATTGTTTTGTCATTTAAATTTGTTTGGTATTTTAACCAAGTTACATGTATTTTTCTTTCTACTGTGTGCCTTGAACCTTCTGAGCTTGGATTTTTTTGGTAGAGTGTTGTGAATTTGACTTCACGTTTTTGAGGTGATGCATTCGATTCCTGTAATAGTCAGTGTCTTTTATTGCTAAAAAGAGTTCTTTTTCCATCCTGTATATTGAACAGGGAAGCTATATTTGACAGATTGAGTCTTTTGTTCTCATCATTGCGGGTTCAAATCTCTACTAAGTAGGCAAATTACATGGTGTCCATTTTTGATTGCCAGTCTATAATTACTTGTTGCTGATTAAAAGTGCAGCTGTGGTGCAGGATGGTTGCATATTGCAGGGAGTTGACTATCACAGCGCACATCATTCCATTTCCCTTCTTGAACTACCCACACCATGGCACAGTGCTCAATACCACTCCAGTTATCAGGTTGCGGCCCCCACAGTGGACTAGTCCACCAATTCCTGAACTCAGCCTCATCATTCTCACACTTCCAAGTACCTATTGTAAAAAAAACAGAACGGAAATCAATACAGAGGTGGGAATTGCCAAGTACCGGTATGATTCTTCAAAACAAACAAGCTCACAATGTTCTGGTATTAATTTGTTGATATTTTGTAAATTCAAAATTTCAACCAACCTTCTTCCTGGAGATCATTGCAGTTGATCCAAAAGTGGGATTGCTGTAGCTGGACCAGGAACTCAGTTTCCTCCTGAGACTGTGGCACGACCAAGACACTTCCCATCTTGATGCACTCATCTTTTGCCTCAGACCATGTCAGGCGCTCAGTGATGGCTTTGTAGCATTTGCGTCCCCACTGGTACCAAGTTGGGGGACATGCCCATCCATGCCCCATGGAGGCCTTACACATCTCGTTACCACCAGAGCAACCCATCATCAGATGAAGGCTCATCAAGCCAAAGATGAACCGTTTAGACACCACCATCTCTCATGCCTTACTCCACTGGTGTCTGGTACTGCAATGAAGTAACTGCATTTCACGTTGAATCATTCTGTAAAGAATTCAGCCTCCAATATGTTCTTTTAATTAAGAGAGTGAAGATACCAAAATAAGTTGGAAGCCCGGCGTTTGTATCACGGACAATATGAACTGGTGCAGTATATTGATCAGAGGTAGTACAAATAAAAACAACCATTACGACTCCTGTTCCCATTTCTGTAACAATGAGACAACACAAAATTATGAGAATGGACCCTAAATGCATTGAATGGTATGCAGAGATTCTGGGTGATTCATTAACTTGAAGATGATTTTGACTTATTTGTACAAGTTTAGTAAAACACAGGGAACTCAAAGGGCGCCCTCTATTTCTTAAAGAAGATCTACATGAAGCACTCAGATCTAGGATGTGAAAGCCTAATTCTCTTAGTAAAAGAATAAATAAACCCCTCAAACAAAAAACATTTAAAATTCCGTTTTCATGGTTTCCAAAAACCACCCCTATTTTCACACTTGAGAATTATTTGGAAACAACGAAAATGGAAGTAGCCCACATCCGGCTGAGGAACCCCCTCACAAACATGACCAAAACAGAACTATCAACCATTCCTAAACTCAGAAACAATCCGCAGATTGTCATCAAACCTTATGACAAAGGCCAAGATCATGAACGGTGAGGACTATCTGCCAGTCGGTTTCAAACATACCATCATCTCCCACACTCTGTTATTTTCTTTTAATTTCACAAGGGAAGATATCAAAACATGCTGGGTCTCTTTCTGTTGTATCGGTGCCACTCACTTCTGCTTAGTGTGTCAATCAATGACAGGAAAAGCAACAATCATTTGAGTCATCTTTGACCATGACAGAATCTCAATAATGATAACTGACATGTGGTTACCAGAAGTTGTTGTTTTGTTTCATTAACTCGAAGACTCCATCAAATAGAGATTTGAAGGAGCCATCAATATGCAAGTAGGCCACGCTGTATTGAACCTTGTTATCAGAGGCAAGATTGGTGCAACTTATCGCCAAAAGTGAAAGTCAGTCAAAAACTTAATTTCAGGTATATCACGCCCAGTCAAAAGTGATGGATACCCAGTCAGACTTTGCAGCGCGTTTTACAAGCCATGAGATGGAACATTGCCACAAACATTTCCTTTGAGTAGCTTGTGACATAACTTGAAAATGGATGTCTTGTGATTGACTTGTGATAACTTGGGGTGACTTGTTGCTGACTTCATTCAAACTTAATACAAAGCTCAAGTTTTCATCAGAGAAGAGCAAAACCAATAATAAAATTGCAATCTTTAATTCCGAGAGGGTGCATCTACCAGGTAATTTATTTCAATATCCAATTGCCAATCAATTTGCTACATCACAATTTCAACGTCTTGTATGCAAGCATTATGTTATTATTATTAAATAAGAACAATACAATTCAAGATAACATAAAATAGACTAACACAGAAAATAAGACAAACCTATGACCGCGTGGACAAAATGGTCAGCAAAAGCGAAAAAACTCACTATGGTCATCAGACCTGCTGACACACATGTAACGCTATATTTTGAAAGAATTGTTTACATCCTTTCTGCTTGATGTTGTTTGAGTTAAAAGTTTGCCTCTTTTCTAGGACAAATCAAATTCCATATCAGAATTTTATTCTTTAAGTAATTTAGAAAAAAAGCATTAGCAGTAAACTCTTGTTGGTATTTTACACATTAAGCACGTACATGTAGCTTCACTAAACATAAAAATAACACTTAGCAGCATTCTCATTGTTTTGTCATTTAAATTTTGTTTGGTATTTTAACCAAGTTTACATGTATGTTTCTTTCTACTGTGTGCCTTGAACCTTCTGAGCTTGGAATTTTTTGGTAGAGTGTTGTCAATTTGTGGTGATGGGGTTCAATTCCTGTAATGGTCAGTGTCTTTTATTGCTATAAAGAGTTTTTTTCCCATCATCTTGAACAGTGAAGCTATATTTGACAGATTGAGTATTTTGTTCTCATCGTTGTGGGTTCAAATCTCTACTAAGTAGGCAAATTGCATGGTGTCCATTTTTGATTGCCAGTCAATAATAACTTTTGCCGGTTAACATGGTTAAAAGTGCAGCTGTGGTGCAGGTTGGTTGCATATTGCAGGGAGTTGAGCATCACATCGCACATCATTCCATTCCGCTTCTTGATCTACCCACATCTCGGCACAGTGCTCAATACCTCTCCTGTTATCAGGTTGCGGCCCCCACTGTGGACTAGTCCACCAATTCCTGAACTCAGCCTCATCATTCTCACACTTCCAAGTACCTATTAAAAAAAAACAGAATGGAAATAAATACAGAGGTGGGAATTGCCAAGTATCGGTATGATTGTTTAAAACAAACAAGCTCACAATGTTCTGGTATTAATTTGATGAAATTTTGTAAATTCAAAATTTCAACCAACCTTCTTCCTGGAGATCATTGCAGTTTATCCAAAAGTTGGATTGCTGTAGCTGGACCAGGAACTCAGTTTCCTCCTGAGACTGTGGCACAACCAAGACACTTCCCATCTTGATGCACTCATCTTTTGCCTCAAACCATGTCAGGCGCTCAGTGATGGCTTTGTAGCATTTGCGTCCCCACTGGTACCAAGTGGGAGGACATGCCCATCCATGCCCAATGGAGGCCTTACACATCTCGTTACCACCAGAGCAACCCATCATCAGATGAAGGCTTATCAAGCCAAAGATGAACCGTTTAGACACCATCATCTCTCAGGCCTTACTCAACTGGTGTCTGGTTCTGCAATGAAGTGACTGCATTTCACGTTGACTCATTTTGTTAAGAATTGAGCGTCAGATATTTTCTTTTAATTAAGAGAGGTAAGATACCAAAACAAGTTGGAAGCCCGGCCTTTGTATCATGGACAATATGAACTGGTGCAGAATATTGATGAAAGGTAGTACAAGTAATAGCAGCCATTGTGACTCCTATTCCCTTTTCTTCTGTATAACAATGAGACAACTCAAATTATATGCCAATGGACCCTCAATGCATTGAATAGTATGCAGAGACTCTGGATGTTTTATTAAACTTGAAGATGATTTGATTTGTGTGTACATGTACAAGGTACTGTAAGTCAAAAAAGGAAACCCAAATGGCACCCCTATTTCTTAAAGAAGAGCTCTTTTTAGATCTAGGATGTGCAAGCCCATTCTTGTAGTAAAAGAATCATTCAAATCACTCATGTACAGATCCAGTTATGGACTTTTAAAGACAAATACAGTTATAAAATTGACGGTGTCCACAGATCACTATAAAGAGAAGTTTCAGCAAAACCAAAACAATTTACATAAACATATCGGAACACTATCACAACCATGATAACTGGCTCTTACCATAACCTTTATTTAAGCCTTTCTGTTTCCAATCTTAAAACAACATGCTTTATAATTCCAGAGTTGATAGTCCTGCCCTACCTTATACTGGTACTAATTGTCTACCTTGGAGTTTTGTGGGATTATCCTGGTGTTTTTTTTTCATGACACGACATGGTTTCATTTGACTGAAGTATCATGTACCTAAAATGTGATCTCTTTCACTATTTTTGGTGATATTGTTGGCTGGTGTGATGTGGGATATGATGTTTTTAACACAAGTGGTGTCACTAGGAGGGGGGGCAAGGGGGCACGTGTCCCCCCCCCCCCAGCAGATGTCCGTTGCCCCCCCCCCCCCCTCCGGTGCCCCACATTTGAAATCTTGAGGTGAAAAACAAAAATTATACTCCTTGTTTTCGAAATAGAGCTTGGACTGGTGTTCATATCTAAAGGCCATTAATGTACATGTACACGTACATGTATATCAACCTGTATTATTACGTACGTGTACGCCAATGTATTACATTTTTGTCATGCCACTGTTGTGCAAACGGCGTCTATAATGATTACGCATGCATGGTTGTATAATGTCGAGTTGTATAATGTTGACAAGTTCATTATGGACGAATTATGTACGCTAATGTTCCACTTCCTTCCACATAAAAATACCTGTTTCAAATGATCAAGTTTGTAGTTATAATTAACCAGTTGTGTTTGAAAAGTTATTTGTATTTGATGAAGTATCCCTCCATATTAAATTAATTATAAAAATATGACTATACTACAGGGAAACCTGTGGTAAAGCAATTTTTTTTTTTATAAATGTGGGCGGGCGTTTTTACCCCGAGGTCCGGTTAAAAATGCCCGCCAAACTTCCTCCCGAAAAGGGGGGAAAATTTCTCCTTATCAATATAATGACCATGATATTATATTTGCACCTGATAGAGGAGACATGTATTGCATAAAACCACACATTTATTTCCTGGTGTCTCCAAGTAGTACTGAGATATTTAACAAAAACCTAAAAATCAGGCGTTTTTACCCCAGTTTACCCTATTGACTACCATTTCACCTTGCTTCATGTTTTCATTATCTCTAAATTACATTACTAATATTAGTTAAAACATCCATGAGCAAAAGATTTCAGTCTGATGAAAGCATCAAATATTAAAGGTACATGTCAGTATACCCGTTGGTGGTTTAGCCTGCTATTTTTTATAACAGTGTTTAATGCATGAACATAAAATTGCTCATTCAATTTTCTTCACAGTCCATGCTACACAAAGGCAAGATATATTGGTCACAATGGTTTTAATGTTTTAGTGATTGCAAGCTCAACTCCGTATTTGGTGAATTGCAAGTTGTCTATTTTTAATATGAGTCCAGGCGTGTTCACTGTGGGTTTCTTAAAAGTGCAGCTGTGGTGCAGGTTGGACAAGACACTTCCCATCTTGATGCACTCCTCTTTTGCCTCAAACCATGTCATGGGCTCAGCGATGGCTTTGTAGCATTTACCATCCACTGGATCTAAGTAGGAGGACACGCCCATCTAGAAGCCGTACACATCTCGTTACCACCAGTGCACCCCACCATCAGATGAAGGCATATCAAGCCAAAGATGAACCTTTTAGACACCATCATCTCCCACATCTCACCCCAACCGGAGTCCAGTGCTGAAATGACTGCACATCAATCTGGAAGAGCATCATTGCCCTAACTCTGATATGTGCTTTTAATTTCACAAGGGAAGATATCAAAACATGCTGGGTCTCTTTCTATTGTATCAGTGTCACTCACTTCTGCTTAGTGTGTCAATCAGTGACATGAAAAAACAGCAACGATTATGTGAACTCGTTACTGACCATGAAACGTCTCAATAATGAGAATTGATATGTGGTTACCAAGATGCATAGAATCTATCCGAAGTCGTCACGTTGTTTCATTAACTTGCAGAGTCCATCAAATAGACATTTGAAAGAGACATCAATATGTAACTAGGCCACGCTGTATTGAAGCTTGTTGTCAGAGGCAATATTGGTTGTAATTAATCACAAGAAGTGAAAGTCAATCAAATCTTAATTTAAGGTCCCACCCAGTCACAAGTGATGGAAGCCCTGCCAGATTTTGCGGCATGTATCAAAAGCCATAAGATGGAATAACATTGTCTGAAACATTTCATTTGAATAGCTTGTGACGAGTGTTGTAGTTGAGTCCATCACAAATCCCTGCAAGTCCCTGCATGCAAGTCCATTACAAGTCCATCATACGTCCTTCAGTCTCAAGTCAAGTGATTCCATTGTCATTGTACATTACATCCCATTTCTTGTGACTGGACTTATGAAAGCACTCGACTACAACACTGCTTGTGACATGACTTGAAACTGGATGAATTTTGATTGACTTGTGATAATCTGTGGTGACTTGTGACTGACTTCATTAAAACTCAATACAGAGCTTAAGTAACATCAGAGAACGATGAAACCAACATTAAAATTTCCATCCGGATAGGCTCATCATGCCATATGAAACACCGACATTCATGTACAATGTACTGTATTTTGTCTTTAATGTGTGAATTGTGTGCTGTAAAATGTTAAAACCCACATGCTTTGTTTCTGCTTTTGAGAAGTAAAAAGCACAGTAGAACGCCATTGCAATGAACATGATGGGGTCCATAAGAAATGTTTGTTGTAGTGGTTGTTCGCTATATAGTGATTGTGCCTTAATTGTACATGAAATACAATTAATATTTCAGGAGCTAAATGGGATATTCGTTATAGCTGCAAGTTTGTTATAGTGGTGTTTGTTATAGCAGCGTTTTACTGTACTATCGCAATCGGTGTCAGAAAACATGCATTATCGACTGAGTTTTCACTTCTGTTTGGTGTGACGCCCTTGCTTCTTTTCCCTCATAAACAGGTGGAGGAGGCAAGGGGTACCAGACCGTCATCAACCAGCTTGGCAACAGAGCCCGACACTTTCAGAAATGCGTTAAAAAATGCAGCGGCCACATCAAGAGACTGGGGAGTGAGAATGAAAGAGAAAGGTTAGTAATAAGTAGAAGAGCGTGCGGATCGAGTCTGCAAAGTCTTCAAAGCAGTTTTGTACTTGTACTCGTACTCACACTCATACTCGAGTACTTTTTTGGTACCTCTTTGTACTCGTGGCAAACTACTGGCACTCGTACTCATGGCAAAGAACTCAACTACAGCACTTCTCACAATCTGCTTGAAGAGCCTGTGCAGCGTATTGTTTTAATGCAATCATTTGAAAATTCATCTTTGTGTCTCATTTTACCTTACTTTTTGTTTTGCCTATTTCAAGGGTATGCCTTTTTGGTTTTTATGCTCATGCAAATTTTCACATTCAGGAGCAAAATCAACCATTGTCGAGTTACAGCTATTTCAGTACCAACATTTGCCAGAATTTTTGATATTTTGCCGTCGTAAATTTAGTTTCCTTTGGCGATTTGTTGTTGTTTAAGTACATGCCAATATTTCAATGAGCAAACTGTTCTCACAAATGTCTCAAAGAGCTATTTATATGGTTCACAATTTGAACAGAAAACCCCCTGAACAGAACAGTGTCTTCCTGAAATGATATCAAAGCAACAGCGCCCTCAGTTTTCAGAAAAGCATGGACAGTTTTTAAATGTTTAAAGAAGTGCAGTTTTTAATAACATTAACCAAAAAAGGGATGCCCACTAGTTTTCATGGTACGAAGTATAGGTCAAAGTACGAAGCACATCACTAATCGGAACCTTGTGACAGCTATTTGACATTGGGTATGCATTTCCTGCATTCGTTTGTGCACCAACAGAGCCAGACTGTGGGCGGATCTAGCCAAGGTTGCTCGAAAGCAGGAGGTGTGGGACGTCTGCCGCGTAGCTGCACGCTTTGCCTTGCTGTACGATGATGACCGCTGGCATATGGTCAGGCCGTCCACTGGGCGCTCAGACACCCGCAACGATAGGTAAGTCACCTTGCCATCTATCAACTGTCAGTTTTTACCAAATTTCCAAGTGTCTCTAATGACCAAGGATTGACCTGCTCTAAGTTGTTAGATAATGAAACTTTAACATCTTTATCTCTTTCTCCTGGCAGCATTGTCTCAGGCCAACCGGAGCAAGCTGAGACACCAACCAAAAGCAGAAATGCAGCCTCTGAACCTTCTTGCCAAGAGGTTCACTCCCTAAACCACTCTGACTAGGACCTGCCCTGCTCTTTAATATTAACTAATTAATCTGTTATGTCTTTCTCTGTCCCCTGGGTGGGTTGTCTCTTGCCAACCAGAGCAAGCTGAGATGTATACCAAGAGCAGGAAGGCATCTTCTGAACATCCTCCTTGGAAGGCTATGTGCCCTGAAGAGGATCTCGTTGTCTCCAAATTGTAAACTTATTGATCTTGAACGTCTTTCTCTTTCGCCTGGCAGCATTGTCTCAGGCCAACCAGAGCAAGCTGAGACACCTACCAAGAGCAGGAAGGCAGCTTCTGAAGCTCCTCCCCAAGAGGTTCACACTGTGTCCCACTCTGACAAGGACCTGATAAGGACGCTTTCTGAGATCCACTTCTTGAATGCTGAGGTGAAGTCCAAACGAATCCTTACTAAACCTTAATTTCACTTTGTATGAAAGAAAAATGTGACTTCATTGCAAAATTACACCCACTGCGTACTAGCCAAAATTAGAACTGGTGTGTGTATTGATAATTTATTTCCTTGAACTTTATATTTTATGTGTGGTGAAAAAAAATCAAGACCACATGTGCAAAAATATGAAAGTTATCGCTGTTTTATGATCTGGGTTAATAAAAGCCAATTCATCACATCACCAAATGGCACTTCATACCTCAAATTGTGCATGGCTATACATACTTCAACAGTTTTATCAAATTTTTTTTGTAATGGTAACATTATGAGTAATCAACACCATAAGAACGAGCTGAAAATACTCTCAAAGCTGGTAGCTTTGGTCAAGGCGTTCAACGGAAGTGCCTGATGATCGATGGTCGGTCGCTAACATAAACAGTATCCACGCACTATGCACTCACATGTACTGTACGAAGCGCGAACAGCGACCTCACACGGCAAGGCTGCAATATGCAAATCAGTTGGTGCTTCTTCTCTCGTATGCTACCATCTTCTCTTCATCACACCTGCAACTTGGTGGAGAAAAGCCATGTCTTTGTGTCATCGTCCAGGGTGATAATGCCATGTTCGCCGTGGGGTGGCCGGTGCTGTGGACAGGACTCGATGATATGGTCAACTGACTGCTCTGGGTGGCCACAGTCGCATGCGGCAGAGTCCCTGAGCCCCCAGCCTTTCATAGTCGCGGCGAAGCGGCCTACGCCAGTTCTGAGGCGGTTCAGCATCGTCCATTGTTGTGAACGAACGCTATGAAACAATTGTGCACCTTGGCTAACGTTTTTCTTTATTTTGTTGCTGGATTTCCAGCGACGCCCTTTCAGCGACGACCTAATTGTACGTGAGTAAAGATGACATTTTTATTCAGTACTTGGTCATGGGGGCTCATTTTGTACATGGACAGATAGTGAATAGTGAGCTGGATAGTGTGGCTACATTCTGCAGCAAGTTAAAAAAAAAACGCAGAACAAATATAACTTGATATAAATCCAGCGACAAACTCACAAAAATTGCCGGAAAAAAGTTGGGTCATTACGACCGTTGTTCCAAGGAGTTCAGTCACCAGCAACTGATTTTCATATTGTAGCCTAGCCGCGTGAGGTCGCTGTTCGTGCTTCGTACAGTACATGTGAGTTCCTAGCACGGCTTCTGTTTTGCTTAATTTCGGCCAACCATCAATCATCGGACACTTGCGTCGAACGCCTCGACCAAGGCTGCTGGTATGGTTGAAGTAAGGGCAGCAAAACACACTAACATGCCAGCTTGTTGAAAAGTAGTAAATTTATATGTTGTGTGCATGCTGTGTTTGAGTTTGTTAAATAGTCAACCATGGTAAGCAGTAGGGGCTATAAAGTGTCTTGCCGACTGGAGTCAGTATCATTTGGTGAGTATTATTTGATGAAACTGTATCTTTGGTTTTTTTTCAGTCCTCAATCCATCTCCTGAGATCGGAAGGCGTAAGCTTAAACAACGAGCCCATACCTCCAGTGGATAAAAGCAAGCATCCCAAGGGATATGTGCCCACGAAGCCTGAGGATGATCCAGATTGGATTACATACAGGTGATTGATTAATTAATAACACATTAGAGAGGTTTTTCCAAGGAGCAGAAATCAATCAATCACAGTGTCATCTTTGATGACTGTAAGCTGTCCTGCCAGACGTGAAATGCTCTTGTAGAGTATGGCATTTACACATTTATAGATGTTCACTGATGCACTGCATCTTTAAAACACACATGATGTGCTCCACAGTAACTGACAGATTTGTATTCGAGTTGTACACATCGAGTCGGAGACCAAGTCATGCACGTCCATCCATGTCAAGTCTCAGTCACGAGTCACAAAGGTCGAGTCCAAGTTCTAGTCATGAGTTAACTTTAAGTACTTTATATTGGAAATAAATGTGGCGGTGCTGCTGAAACCTCACATTGATTCCCTCAATGAATATATCAGAAACAAGCCAGCCGCATGTGCTGTGTATGCACAGTACTAAGGTGTTTTTCTTTTTTTCGCACTGACTGTATGGCTTGAAAAGGAAAAGATCGTCTTCAAAATATAATTACACTGTCCCCCCCAAAAAAAAAATCTTAGGGGGGGGGGGAATTTGGTCAAGTCCCGAGTCCTAGTCCCGAGTTTGAGTCCAAGTCCGAGTCCGTAAGGTCGAGTCGGAGTCTGAATCTGAGTCATTTATCAGTCCGAGTCACGGGAAATGGGACTCGAGTCACAAGTTGTACAACTCTGGTAATTGTGTGACATAAATGAGCAAGTTTTAACGAGGACTATGCATGACCATAGTTATACTACTTTCACCCGAAGGCAGGGTTAGATTACTCTAGTCAACTATTTATGCAAATTGAGTGGCTCAGAGTGGAATGGGTGGAATATTGTCGCAAGGTAAAATCTGGACTTTTCTTCGCCGTGTGAAATGAGATTTGAAGGTTTGCATGGTGGAAAGGTACTAAGACCAGATAAGTTTGCGGTAGCACCATGTGAATAAATCTCTTTTGTGAGTATGTGTGGTTCTGAAAAGAACCAGAGGGACTCAACGTTTCGAACAGTATGCTCTGCTTGTCGTCAGTGAAATTGAAAATTTCGAGTGAAATGGAAAAGTCAAGATTTTACTGAGCTTGACGCTTGACTTCGCTTTACCCATGATTTGACCCATGACTGCTCCATACCAGTGAAATTACAGTATCCAAATCAAAACAAAATAACTGTTTTATTCAGGGGTGCAGATCCTCCTGCAATTGCCTGATTTCTAATTTTAACCAAATTGTAAAAAATCTTGGCACCATACATGTTTGTGTAAATATTTTTCCTTTGTGTCGCAATTTTCAGGCAAAAATGTCAGAATCCACAAATACATATCCCTTTATATTACAAACAGATGTTAGTATTTCTTTCTTTTTGAAAATATTCTATAGAGATTGGATCAAAGATTTATCGGACTCCATCACCAAGGGATTCCTGAGAGGGTCTGAGCTTGGCGTGCAGCTGAACGAGCCTTGGGTCGTTTGTAGCGCCGCTGCCTACCTGTGGAATTACAACAATCACCTTCTGTCTTCAGACAGACACAGGGAATTAGTGGCTTGCTATGGCTCACTACTGCAGGATCTCAAACAAGTCGGACACGCTGGGTGAGTATTTGGCCAACCTGAAGCTGCCTTTCTGTACAGCTTTTTGTTATCCATTTAACATAGTTTAACATTTCATTTTCACAGACACGAAAAATTAATCTCAAAATGTAGCACACGTACCTTTTCATATATACCTTTATGTTCGTGTCCATTTCGAGTGTCTGTCAAAACATTCCATGGATTGATTGTGAATGATAAGCAACATATCTACAGGGTGTATCAAAAAAGAACCCCAAATGTAAATGTACATTATAAAAAATCTAATAAATATTTTCTAATAAGTTACAGATAATGTGAAAGGCCAATGTGTCCTCTTTCCAATGATACCTTGATTGTGTGTCTGTGGCAACGGATGACTGAGCATTTGTTGTTAATCTGTCAAGAGTCAAATCCTGCACTGGGCCAAGTTTGTGCAAAAGGGTAACTGGTATTCTGGGCACGTGGAACGGCTTATTTTAAAGAAAGAAGACATCCTTTTCCTCAAAACAATTTATTCCATTTTGACACAGTGATTTAACCACTCTTAATGTTGAAGTTAACCCCTCCTGGCCACCACCTCTTTCCACACACAGCTCTGCACGACGTCGCATATCTCCAACCGTAATTACCTTTGCATAACAAACCAGCCAGCAACCAGTTACTTTTGCACAAACTTGGCACAGTACAAGTTTTGACCCTTGACAGAAGACAGAATAACAATGAGTGCTCAGTCATCAGTGGCCACAGACACATAATCAAGGTATCATTGGAAAGAGGACACATTGGGGTTTCACATGATCTTTAACTTATTTGAAAATGTGTATTAGATGTTTTATAGCTAACGTTTACATCTGGGTTTCGTTTTTTTATACACCCTGTATAGCGGATAAAAAAAAAAACTTGCTTGTGGAAAGCCAACTTAATAACAATCATTGACTCGGCTATGAGGTGGTACATCCAACATGTTTTTTTGTCTATAAATGGTCTGGACTTGTGATGGACTCTACTCAAAACTGAATGTCAGTTATTATTATTCTTCCTCTTCGTACTACAGTGAAACAGTGATGCTAGTAAATTTATGCACTGCCCTGGCCTACGGTTTGGTTCAGCCGTGGATCCCCAAATCGCCGGCCCGGGAGGTCGCACCCCCACCGTCCCCTTCCCCGAAGGGTCGCGGGGAGAAAGAGTCACCCAGGAAGGCCAAGTCAGTCACCAGTCACACCTCCGCTAAGACCAAGAGCCTGACAGTGGACCCAGAGGGACAAGATGACATCAAAAAGGCTTTGGAGGTGAGAGGCTAAAAGTTAAAGGTTAAAGGCCAATATAAGTGATTCACAATCATTCATGTAGGTTCAGGTCAGGTCCTGGCTGGGAGAGGTCCTCCAGCAACACAGGCCCATCTGATTCTCTGCTTCCAGTCAAATCATTCCTCCACGCAGAAGCACAGATCGTAAGTCGTGGGGACTCCTGTGTCTCTCTTTAGGACATCGATGTAGGGTTGCCTCCTCTAGCCTCTGGAGGCCTTTCCTTGGGTTGATTCCCACAGGGTGAGGGAGGAGGCTGCCGAAAAATAAATCTTCGCTCACGAATCTTCTCACTTACATGTACCTTGGGTAGACCACCATAGAGGTGGATGTTCCTTATATGGTCAGTCCATGACACATCCAAGGCCATCCTCGGCATGCGGGTGTACGTCCCATCTTCTCCTGCTGAGTAGTAAGCATCCAGGTTATGGCACTGAGATTGACTCTACTGGCACCACGAAGAAAGAGTGCTTCAGGGTGTCGCGTAGGCCGGATTTCCAAAAACGTTTCATTTTGTGGAGTGCCGTCCAGGCCAGTGCCTTTCAAACATTCTGGTCCTTGTCTGTTGATGAGATCGAAGCTTTAATGTATTTGAAGTCAGCAACGACCTCGAGAGCAGTGCCGTCAAGAGTGTAGTCAAGCATAGGCCGTATTCAAATTACTTTGGTAAGGCTTGTACATATAATTACACACAAGTCTTTGCGGAGTTGCTGCAGCCGCTTCCCATAGACGCGTGTGTAATTTCAAGGCAATGATCGATGGTTGGGCGCTATTAAACAAAACAGTATAGCCGGGCGCTACGCTCTCACACGTACTGAACGAAGCGCAAACAGCGGCCTCACGTGGCTAGGCTACAATATGCAAATATGAGAAACTCAAAATAGCATGTGGAGAGCAGCTTTTAAAGATAACATGGAAAAATCAGAAGTCATCTCTCTTTATGAATATCTGGGATAACTTGGGGACAAGTTTGACCATAATATACCCAATGTGTTGGCTCAGGTATCAGTTTCAGGGCTCTGAATAACTTGACTGGAAATATTATCTTGTAATGCACTTGCATACACTTTGTGTACAATTGTCTGATTCCCTGCCTTCCCCTGCAGGTGTGTGAGTATGCCATGGAGGTAACCAACGGCACCAGACCGATGGACATTGTACCCATCTCAGTCCGTCATCCCCTCATCATCATCTGGACCAGAGTCAAACAACTCCTGGGTCAACAGATTCCTAAATCCCTGGGAACTGAAGATGAGGTAGGGTAATAATTTCCTGCAGTAGCATAGTGAGAAATATTTCATGGGGTTGGGATAATACTTGCTTATTATTTAACAGTTCCTGGGTCAACAGATTCCTAAATCCCTGGGAACTGAAGATGAGGTAGGGTAATAATTTCCTGCAGTAGCATAGTGAGAAATATTTCATGGGGTTGGGATAATACTTGCTTATTATTTAACAGTTCTTGGGTCAACAGATTCCTAAATCCCTGGGAACTGAAGATGAGGTAGGGTAATAATTTCCTGGAGTAGCATAGTGAGAAATATTTCATGGGGTTGGGATAATACTTGCTTATTATTTAACAGTTCCTGGGTCAACAGATTCCTAAATCCCTGGGAACTGAAGATGAGGTAGGGTAATAATGTGATGCAGTAGCATAGTGAGAAATGTTTCATGGGGTTGGGGTGATACTTGCTTATTATTTAACAGTTCTTGGGTCAACAGATTCCTAAATCCCTGGGAACTGAAGATGAGGTAGGGTAATAATTTCCTGCAGTAGCATAGTGAGAAATATTTCATGGGGTTGGGATAATACTTGCTTATTATTTAACAGTTCCTGGGTCAACAGATTCCTAAATCCCTGGGAACTGAAGATGAGGTAGGGTAATAATGTGATGCAGTAGCATAGTGAGAAATGTTTCATGGGGTTGGGGTGATACTTGCTTATTATTTAACAGTTCTTGGGTCAACAGATTCCTAAATCCCTGGGAACTGAAGATGAGGTAGGGTAATAATGTGATGCAGTAGCATAGTGAGAAATGTTTCATGGGGTTGGGGTGATACTTGCTTATTATTTAACAGTTCTTGGGTCAACAGATTCCCAAATCCCTGGGAACTGAAGATGAGGTAGGGTAATAATTTCCTGCAGTAGCATAGTGAGAAATGTTTCATGGGGTTGGGATAATACTTGCTTATTATTTAACAGTTCTTGGGTCAACAGATTCCTAAATCCCTGGGAACTGAAGATGAGGTAGGGTAATAATTTCCTGCAGTAGCATAGTGAGAAATATTTCATGGGGTTGGGATAATACTTGCTTATTATTTAACAGTTCCTGGGTCAACAGATTCCTAAATCCCTGGGAACTGAAGATGAGGTAGGGTAATAATGTGATGCAGTAGCATAGTGAGAAATGTTTCATGGGGTTGGGGTGATACTTGCTTATTATTTAACAGTTCTTGGGTCAACAGATTCCTAAATCCCTGGGAACTGAAGATGAGGTAGGGTAATAATTTCCTGCAGTAGCATAGTGAGAAATATTTCATGGGGTTGGGATAATACTTGCTTATTATTTAACAGTTCCTGGGTCAACAGATTCCTAAATCCCTGGGAACTGAAGATGAGGTAGGGTAATAATGTGATGCAGTAGCATAGTGAGAAATGTTTCATGGGGTTGGGGTGATACTTGCTTATTATTTAACAGTTCTTGGGTCAACAGATTCCTAAATCCCTGGGAACTGAAGATGAGGTAGGGTAATAATTTCCTGCAGTAGCATAGTGAGAAATGTTTCATGGGGTTGGGGTGATACTTGCTTATTATTTAACAGTTCTTGGGTCAACAGATTCCTAAATCCCTGGGAACTGAAGATGAGGTAGGGTAATAATTTCCTGCAGTAGCATAGTGAGAAATGTTTCATGGGGTTGGGGTGATACTTGCTTATTATTTAACAGTTCCTGGGTCAACAGATTCCCAAATCCCTGGGAACTGAAGATGAGGTAGGGTAATAATTTCCTGGAGTAGCATAGTGAGAAATATTTCATGGGTTGGGGTGATACTTGCTTATTATTTAACAACTCCTGGGTCAACAGCATTAAATCCCTGGGAACTGAAGATGAGGTAGGGTAATAATTTCCTGCAGTAGCATAGTGAGAAATGTTTCATGGGGTTGGGGTGATACTTGCTTATTATTTAACAGTTCCTGGGTCAACAGATTCCCAAATCCCTGGGAACTGAAGATGAGGTAGGGTAATAATTTCCTGCAGTAGCATAGTGAGAAATATTTCATGGGTTGGGGTGATACTTGCTTATTATTTAACAACTCCTGGGTCAACAGATTCCCAAGTCCCTAGGAACTGAAGATGAGGTAGGGTAATAAATCTGATGTTACAGTCACACGTCTCTTTTCTAACAAACCTGGTATTCGTTGTGTGGCAGAACAACAGTGAAGGTCAGCGACCCTTGACCCGCTCCCTGGTTGCCTTGGAGATGAGGTCACTGAACGGCAACGGATTGACAGACTTCAAGGAAACGCCACCGCTAGCAGAGGTAGGTAAAGTTACAAAATAAGTATAGAGTTATTGCCTGGCACAGAAAGAAACTCGATCAGAAACTCGCGGCCTGAACGAATTTTGTATTCCACTTTACCCATAAGCACCTGTGCATTACATTGTATTTATTCACGGATGAATCCATAGAACCATTGAGTGCTTGGGCAGTTTGGGGCGGTACGATGAGTAATAGGCAGGGTGGTTTGGTGCTATACAGGGACTTATGATTTGAATGGCTTGTTGGAAATTGTACGTAATTTTGATTGAGTCCTTGTCAGCCGTGTTTGCAAAATTTATTGTGGTACTTTCATGTAAAGAAGCAGTTTTACACAAACATCAGTGATGTATTGGTAGCCAATGAAATACATGTATGTCTGTGGGGACATTACTTCTTTATAACCGTGTGTTGCTTGAAATTTGTGAGTTTGAGAGGGGATTCAATACACTGGCAGGGCCTAGGGGTGAAATGATTTGTGATACGAGAATGCCACAATACACAAACATACACAAGTGGCACAAACTTAGGCCGTGTCAGAATTACTTGGCTTTGGCTGGAAATTACACATGCTCCTACGGAAGCGCTTGCAGCCACTTCCTAAAGACTTTCCAGCCATTGCCAAGTAAGTCGAACATTGCCTTAGACAAAAGATTGGCTTTTTTAAGGCACCGAAAGTTAAAAAATTTTGGAAGACACATGACGGAGATTCCATGAGTAACAAAAATTAGTTTTAATAATGGAAGTACAGGGGAAAAAAGGAACAGCAGCAGTTTCAATGAGTTCCAAACATATTAAAAGTTACTCTTATTGCAACAAGTACAGTGTCAAGATAAGTTATGAATGAATACAACAAATGCATGCATGTCATTCAGCTGTAGTAACTTAGGTTCTCAAAATGTTGTAATAGCGCTAAGGTATTGCTTGCTTGCAATCAGTATTAAAAGCGCACATAAAATGTATGTGTGAAATTTGAATTTTACCAACCCTCTGTTCCCTTGTCTCTCCAACCACCCCCCCCCCCCCCAGCCCGCTAGTGATTACGAGAAATCGTAGCCCCTGGATCAAATCATTTCTAACTTGACCTGTTCCTAACATCTGTGCATTCTAACATGCAGATATCCAACATGGTAGAGGAATGTGACTGGCAGGATGTTCTTGTAGAGCTCCAAGTCTGGACCCGGCTCGCGGAGCTAGCGCTGTCCAGTCGAGACCACCAGCTTGTGATCCGTGTCACGGGCAAGGCACTGGAGTTTAACAACGGTGGAGTCAGGAGCAAGAAGATGGATGAGTAAGGACTGTCTGTTGGTCTCTTTTTCTTTCTGTGTGTCTGATGGTCCCATTAATGCTCATTATAGACTGATCCATTATTAAAATCTGAAACCCATAACACTTTGACCAATCACAGCCATGATTAATTACATCGGACATGCGTGCATAAAGGTCAGCCGACATGCGTGCATGTGTGTATGACGCGAGCGGCTGGACATACAGTGTGGCATTGGAGAGGTTCATGTGTTGCTGCCCACGTGTGCAGGGCCTATGGGCGGGGCCCAAATGCAAAGTAAATTTGAAGAGAAACAATTGAGGTGAAAGTTGCCTGGAGTTGAACATTTTATCAAGTTTTGCGCAATTGAATGCCAAAAAATTTCAGGTCAAAAATTGCACTCATCTTGGCTCATCAGAACTGGTAGGAACTAGGCAATAGTCTATTCCACTTTGTGCTCTTTTTTATTCCCAGGAAAAACAGCCAATTGTGTTCAACTTTAACACCTCAATCCAAGTGTGAGTTTGAGTCTATAGTGTCGAGTTTGAGTCTCGACTCACCAGACCATTATGGAACAAACTGGACATCCACGTACCAAATGTATTTGTTTTGCACACAGATTTTTTGTCAAGCAGTTTTCCTTTTTGGGGGGTTGCATTGTTTTGGGGCAATAAGTGTTAATTTATTCGTGAGACTTCCCAATGATGTATTTGTGTTTTGAGTGGTGCTTCTCCCCTCAACAGTTACAAAAGAAGAGTAGGGGGATACCACTGGGATGGACATTCCAACACACTGCTGGCAGCAACTGACATTCATGTGAAGACGCTGCAGGTTTTGTGCGCATGTATTCAGAATAGAATTAGTCGTGCGTACTCCGCAACATTCATGTGTGAACCAGTATGCGCAAGTGTTGTATCTCTCCCACTAGAACTTTCGAAAACAGTCACAAAGCGTCATATGTTTGTACATAGGGTCCATAAATTGGCATCTTTGAGGCAGGCCCTTAGTGGTTCATTCTTTTATGAATAGCTCATTTGCATTTATACATACAACTTTCAAACCCAATTCTCAACTCTTGACTTTTTTCAAGGCACAAGATGATGGTGTACAATGAGATGCTGAGCTACTCCAGTCGCATCCTGGGCCAGAGCTTGATGTTCAACATGCAAGGAAAGAACGCCATCAGACGTGCTGCGTTGGATGCTTTCCTGAATGCAGCAAGGTAATTAGTATTATTTATCTTTAAGCTAACTTGGATCCTCGATTCTGATTGGTCGGTCCATGGCAACAACAGTGTGATATGAGGCTGTATTGCACTGTCCATATCACACCCTGCGTATTGCGCTCTTCAAAGATGCGAGCGACATTCCTGCTGCATGCGCTAAACCGCTAGAAGGTTCGTTTAAAGCGAGCTAGGTCCAACTTTACTGCGCATCAAGTTTGCTTGAAAATAAATTTGTTAATCACCCTCACGCTCGTGGACACGGAAAATGTAGTGCGTCTGTGTCCCACATACCACTCGGCCGAATATGTGGGACACAGACACATTACATTATTCCGTGTTCCACTCCCCCTCGGGGGATAACTTATATTATTTAATTATTTTCTGGTAATGAAACCAGTGATTCCTCAAAAACACCGACATTGTAAAACACAAGCCTGAGACAGCTAGAGAGTGAAGACATTGAGAAGAAATTACAGCTTTAGAGATGGGAGGAAAACCCTAGAAGAATATTCTGGAAAAACCAATGGAATCCAGTACGGACTGAAAACCCAATCCACATGTGGACCAGGGCAAGAATCGAACCTGGACCATTGAGGTGGAAGGGGAGGAAGGAACCACTGCACCAACCTGACTCACCAGGATGTTCACACTCACTGCCCAGAGGCCAGAAATGAATCCCTGCAAAATATCAGCTTACTAGATTTCAAGTGTTTGCTACAAATTTGAACTTATATACCATATCCGGCACAATGAGAAAAAAAGTCATATTTTGCCGTCTTTCTTGACGACACAGTAGTCTGGTACCTAAGCCACAATACCATGAGGCTCATGTACATATTGTCAGTAGGGTTGCTACTTTATAAGAATTTGTGAATAAATATTTTGATGGTTTTGTTAATGCCGGGTATGGATACAAGACCGAGAATGGCTCGGTCATTACTGCAGACAGATTGTACTGTCTAGGGAATGGAAATTATTGGAGTAAATTCTCTTGCTCTAGGACACAATAGTCTGGTACTCTAGCCATTATCATATTACTCATGAACATATTCTATAGGGTTCCAGTTTTCAGTAGAATTTGTGAAAAAACTTGAGATGGTGTTGTTCATGCTAGGTACGTATGCAAGGCCAAGAATTGCTGCTTGGTCATCACTGCTGACAGATTGAACTGTTTAGGGAATAGAATTTATTGAAGTAAGCTGTCTTGCTTAAGGACACAATAGTCTGATACCCTACCAATCAAAGTATGAATTAGAACTTGTGAATAGTGATGGAAGTGGTTTTTCATGCCAGGTATGGACGTAAGGCCAAGAACTACGGCTTGGTCATCACTGCGGCCAGACTCTACTGGAACGGGTGTTTGCCATTGGTCAATGAGCCAATGGAGAGACAGCTACTCAAACAACCAATCACAATCATCCTAGACTGTGTGACGGCCACTGCAGACAAGAATGTCAAGAAGGAGGTTGGTGATTGGCTGCCTTCCTTAAGATTACAAGTAATCATGGTATCACTGTACGAACTAGGGAGGAAACAGTTGGTTAAGTAGTCCCTTTTGATTGAGACATCGAACAAAAAAAATCCCTCCCCACTTCCGAACACTTACTTTACAAAGTTCGAATTATTTATGGCCTGACGATAATTCAGGCATATCTTTTGTGTGTTATGATTTCCTGATTTTGAAAATATTTCTTTAGCAGGGGACCACCATGACCAACGGAGCACCCGCAGCAGGACCCGCTGCCAAGGGGGACAGCCCTGCCCCGACCCCAACTAGCTCCCCTATCGCTGGTATCTTATCAGACCCAGAGGATGATCTCACTCTCAGGGCTGCCATGTATGGGGTCATGTTCCAGGCATATGTAGATCAGGTAAGGAGATCGGTAAGACTCATAGAGCTATATTAAATTACTAGAGCGCTAACTCCTCATTCTTGCGCGCGGAGACGCTTTGAAGCCGTCCTGGGTGCAGACATTTTGAATTCATGTGCGTATTTGTAGAACATAATGAAATTAGATGGATTGAATTTTGAAAGTGAACTCTACATGCAACGCTCAGGTAGAACATACGCAAACAACTTAAGCGCGTCATGAAAATTAAAAAACGTCACGGCAAAAAGCATCTGCAGCGAATACGTGCACGCATTGCGCTGTTTGCGTAGAGCAAAATGACACGCGTGCGTTTCGGTTTTGGGCGTATTGGCTTCGATGACGCACCGGTATGGAATACAAACGCAGATATGCAAATAGCCGTACAAAAGCCGTACAAAATTTCTAGTTCTCCATAGGTTTGTGTACAAACATGGATGCGCCCAGCAGGCATTACTTTGTACATTGAGTTAGCACTCTAGTAATTTAATACAGTTCCATGGTAAGACTAGAGAATACAAATGATTTCACGAAACAGTATGTACCGTACATCATGCAAAAGTTTTAGGGGAAAAAATGTGTGTCCCATCTGCAAAAAGTACCTACAGGCCTCTTCACACTATTGTTATTGAAATCAACACAGGTAGAAGCCGTGTTGGATTCTTGCTAGTGTCCAAGGGCTTTCCAAAATCTCATTTTTCAACCACGGTCCGAAATGGAGTTTGTTGTCAAGGTGAAAGGCTCTTAAGATAGATTTCCCCAAACTTGGAGTACCTGCAAATTATAAAATCTGGACGTCAACCGTCTAAGATTTTCGGATGTCTGTTTGTGTACAGTTAAATTATCAGTATTACCAAGCTGCAATCTTGACACAGTGGCTTTCATTCCTTACAGGGTGAATGGGAGGAAGCCTTAGCGGCTATGGATAAGGCTGTGGCTGACATGCCTCGCACCAAGCACAGATTGTAAGTTGCAGAATCTTGGCTACCCTTATTTTATTGTGTTGTCATCGTCACTGTGTGTCAGCGTTGTGGGACTCAAGACCAGGACTCGGATTGGAGTCCATCTCAAGACACAATTCAGAGACTCAGACTCGACTTGAGTCACATCTGCAAAAGACTGAGACTCGGACTCAATCATCATGACTCACACTGTATGCAAATGATCGACTTATGACTCGTCAACACCTTTTTTTAGAAAAGAAAATTGCATTTTAAAAACATACCTGTAGTTCTGATATTTATTTCTGAAAGTAACGTTAAAGCATCGCCAAAAGAACGTTATGTATTGAACTGTACCACACCACTGTCCAGGTGGTGTTGCATATAACAATGTTTGTTATTAAATGTGTCCGTCCCTATTTCTCCCGACAGCGCATCACATGTCCATACACATTCATTTTTTACCAAAGTGACTTGGACTCGGACTTAAAGGGAATATACAACATTTTCAAACATCGAAAAATACAACTACCAAGTTTTTACAAAATACCTTACTAGGATGTTGGTAAATGACAGTCTAAAGCATCCTGTAAAATTATGGCACCTGGTGTGAAGTCATTTTCAAGAAAATGGTATTTTTGTATACATTTCTAACAATGGTCGGCCGACCACCGTTGGAAAAACCTAACTGTTTTTCAACTACTGCTCCAAATTTACAATTTTTTTCAGTCCAAATTTTGTTTGCTATTGGTTACATGTTCATGAACGGGTGCAGGCCAGCTACAACTGGTTCCCTTGCCTTACAATTTACTGGCATCTATAAATTGATCCATTTCATCTTTAGTGGAGTCAGGGAACCAGACTACTTGAATTATTTGTTTTTCTTGGTTTTTGCAGCATTTTCGACCACAAAACTTCAAACATGTCAGTGTAACAATATTTGATCTTATACTAACCCCTCAAATAGTTAATTTCTGAAAATTACAACAAAAGCTAATGATGTAAATTCCCTTTAAATCAAATGACTCGAGACACGGACTCGACTCATTTGACTTGAATACAACTCAACTAAGAAAGTTATATCAGTTTGTCAATACACTAGTATCAGTATTTTCATATTTCCTGTGTTTGTTTTTTAATTGATGTTTATTCTCAGGTTGATATTCAAGCATCGCTTAATGGTCAAGGCAAAATTAGGCAGAGATGTCAGTGTGGATATTGCCAAGTTTAAGGTGAGTTTACCAAATATTTGCCTTACGTTACATTTGCCCTTCTCAAAAGGCCATTATTCTGAATGAATATTTTAGATGAATGAAACATAAAGAACTTATTTCCAATCCTTTTTTAACAGCTATAAGAAGTGATGATTTCATTGGGTAAAAAACAAGTGGTCAGATTGCTAGATAAGACACCGATTATGTAGCATCCAACTTTTAAAAATACGATGGGCGTTCCACTCTTGCGAATATGTTGCGTTTGTTAGCTAGGCCCTGCGAGCATGCCGACACAAACTGGAACAGTAATGTCATCAACAAAATGTTATCAATGGGAACATTAAAACATGGAGGCCTTTATTATTTGCCCATTACTCTGTACAAATATTTTGGTCACTTCTTGGGAACATAAAACTGTGGAGGATGTTATCTTTTCAGCGCCGTAAAGCTTTTGTCACTTTGTGAAAATGTTTCTTTCACGTGTCATATGACAATTGTGCAACATCATAAGCGCACGTGTCCGCTCCCATCCAGATTCGTGTAAACCAATGTACGATGCACGTTAACAAGGAGATTTTGTGTCACTTCATGCGAACATTATGGACCCATTGCACACAATTTCATGAATTTACGTTCTCAAGATGTGGAGACAGTGTCTTTTGCACTTTTCGAACAAACAAAAAGACGTGGAATGCAGGCAATATGTCTAATGATGACAATTAAGAAAGCAAACAATGTTTCGCTTTGACATTTGGGCATATTGTACTTTGAGACAAGTAAACAGTGAAAAAAAAACAGTAAGAACAGCAACGATTTGTAAGTTAAGTCTTCGTTTTTTCCTCAACATTAGGATGAGAGTGAAGATTACCTGTCCACAATGTGGCGCAAGGTGGCGCTGTGCTCCAGAGATCAGCGCGAGCAGCTGACGTCTTACAAGAATGCCATTGAGGTCTTGCAGGTAAGAGACTGTGACGGACTTAATGGAGTACTGAAGTGTGACGTCATTTAGAACCAGAAAGTGCAGTGCAAACGAATGGAGTACGCGTACATGTTGGTTCTCGGGCTGAATCACGCGCTAATGTCTTTTGCACACATTTTGTGCGCCTGACGTATTCACTTCGGTACTCCATTGAGATTTCACTTGTAGTGGACTACACTACAACTCTGCTGACACTTTTAGCATGGGTGGCACAGGAGGCACAGTGCATAAAGGGCTCGTCTCTCACCGTTGTGGCCCAGGTTCGATTCCCGGCTCAGTTCATATGCGAGTAGAGTTGTTAATGACACATTTGGCAATGGCTACCATGGGAGACGCAGTGTGTAAAGCGCTCGCCTTTCACTGCTGTGGCCCGGGTTTGATTCCTGGCTCGGGTCATACATGAGCAGAGTAGTTACTTACACTTTTAGCATGGATGGCATGGGGGGCGCAGTGCATAAAGCGCTCGCCTTTTACCACTATGGCCCGGGTTCGATTCCCGGCTCAGGTCTTATGTGAGTAGAGTTGTTACTGACATTTGTGGCATGGGTGGCATGGGAGATGCAGTATGTAAAGCGCTCGCCTTTCACCTCTATGGCCTGGGTTCGATTCCCGGCTCGGGTCATATTCGAGTAGAGATATTACCGCCACTTTTGGCATGGTTGGCTTGGGCGCTGCAGTATGTAAAGCACTCGCCTCTCACCACTGTGGCCCGGGTTCGATTCCTGGGCTCGAATCCCAGGCTCTGGTCATATATGTGAGTAGAGTTGTTTGTTGTTTCTCTCCTGTGCCACTAGGGCTTTCTCAGGGTTGTCCAGTTTTCCTCCCTTTGCAAAATTTATCACTCTTGATCTGGTTGTGCTCCATGGTTAGACATGGGTCGTATGGTGGTTGCCTAAGACGTCTTTTGCTTGACCACGTTGTAGCTGCATCCTTTGCAATTCAGCTTCTGCTGTGAGTAAGGACAGTAATCCCCACAATTTATTTATTCATATTATTTATTTTGTATTGCCCTTGTAACAGGTTAGTGCAAGTGACTGGCAGAAAGTAGAGTACTTGATGGAGTTTTCCGAGTGGTTGTACGTCAATGAGTTTCCCTTGATGGACTGCCTGGATCAATTGGAATGGGCCGCTGATATCCTGTTGAACATGAAGATTGAGACCAGGGCTAAAGTCACCGAACAAGGTAAGGAAGTTACTCTGAAAACTTACTTGGAACATCTAGAGCCCATTTTATGGCGCTGCACATTGCATGTTTTTCTGCTCATTGAACCTTGGCTATTTCATGGGAACTGTAAGCAATAAGCTGGGCAGTGAGCATGCTAACTTACAGGGGCAGAATTTGCTTAAAATAGTTACACAACAATATAGATAGTTTTTAGCACAAGTGTTAGCATGTCTACATCACAAAATGTGCTTAAGGATACCACATTGTTATCTGCAGTAGTTATAAAACTTTTCTGCTAAATGTTAGGCACAGCCATAAAATTTGCTGTATTTTAAATTTTCTTGTTCTGAACACTCACTTTGAAACATGGCACATTGGGATGTGATAACCCACGAGGATGTGATAACCCACAAACCTTAGCACATCAGGCAATGTTGTTGTGTTGTAACATGGCATTATTATGTGCATATAATTGTTTTTAAGATGTAATCAAAGGGATCATGTTGGCAGCTCTGTGTGTTTTTAATCCTGAAGTCAATGCTTTGGTTGTTGACTGCGAGTATCAGTATCGGCTTGCACTAATGTGAGCATATACTACCTCCTTGTTTGCTTTGTCCATTCTAACAACATTGCATAAAGCAACCGAGATGAAACTATTCAAAAGTCTTTGAGAATGATCAAGGTGACGTATCAATGAGATTGATTTTATTACTTCCAACACAGCAACAGGAAAGTCCAAAAAGAAGAAAGGCAAGAAATCTGCTGAGCCAGTGTCCCACTCCCCTGCCGCCCCTCACTCCCCCACCCCCACGGAGACAAAAACAGCGACAGAAGGGGCGACAGACAGCGAGGGGGAGGACTCCAAAGCAGCCCGGTTTATCCCGATCAAGAAGCAGTCGGTCATCGGTCTGTCGGCATCCAACTTGAACTTGTCTGCTTCTGAGCTGACCAGCGTCAAGCAGCTGGAGCACCTGGTTCGAATCCACACCATGTTGGCCAAGATGGCCGGCCGGGGGTCGCCCATGCACAAGACCTACTGCCTGCTAGCCTGGGGTTTCCTGGTCAGAATTTGGCAGGTAAGCATGAATCTGTTTTGATTGTTGATTGTTGTGATGTGGGACATGACGTTTTTAACACCCGAGGTGCTTCGCCTGGGTGCTATGCACCCCGAGGGGTAAAAAACAGCATATCCCACATCACAGCAGTGAACAATTGTTTAGTTACATCGTGCCAAGAAGACAAAGCGATAAATGGTCGTAACTTACTTTGCAAGAAATAACTTAAATCAGTGCGGTATAACCCTTGATAACTGCAGGCTTTCCTGGCCTGCATGAGACTGAGCAGTTTTGATTCGCATTGCATGTATGCAGCTTTGCGCGCGTGCCCATTGTACATGTACATGTACCGGTATATATATATGAGGTTAACCAATGTGCATTTTTACCGACTGGACACGTGGCCGTTCTCAGCCAGTGAATTACAGTATCCAAGCGCAATATAAAACAATTGGCTTTTGGCATTCTTCCAGTTTTCATTCCAGTTGATTCTGCTTTCTCTTTATGCATGCGTGCGCTAAACTTGTTGCGTGTTCAGTGCACCCTTGCGATGCTTTTGTTGAACTCAGTGGTTATGTGTCTAACTGGAAGGCTCGACTCAGTGTGATGACTGACAAGTGTATTGTAAAAAGTTTGCTACCCCTATGCAGCCAGGACTACAGAAACTATCTTCAGTGTTCATTTTTTTTTAACTTGTAACTTGGGTTCATAAAGCTGAAACTTGCTTCCTATTCATATTTTTAAGGTGAAATTTGTAAGGGCGGAATTGTTGACCGCATTTTCCTGCCAAACATTCCTTCACCGTGTGATTTTTGTACGGATTGTTTTAGCTCCCCCACAGCGACATCTTTTTTGCATTACTACTGACTTTCAGGGTATGACCTTCTGCTGCCATAGCGAATTAAATTACATTTTGTTCATATTTTTATATTAGGGAGGGAACTGAATTTTACATTTTTATTGTGTCTGGACTTACAAAGATGCTCCGTTTAGAAAAAGTAAATATGTCTGTGGCGACGTGTTAACAGAAAATAAATCACAGATCCACGCTTTGGTTGTAAATCCTCAGTACGACCATGTGGTCTGAAGACTTACGCAGGCGTATGCATGCCCTGCATAGCAACTGTGCTGCATACGCCTGCGTAGTTAAGCCAGTATACATGTACTGCTGTATTGTAACAAGCTACTGTAAGACTGTTGTATATTTGGCCAATCATTGGCTTACATGCTGCTGGATCAATGCTGGTTCAAAGGCCATTTATTCACTTGTTCTTGAAGCTGGTCTTTTTATCACGTTAATACACCCCCACGTGATTTAGTTATGACCAGTCAGAAGCTATCAACTCTCAAAGGTATTTATTTACACATTCTAATCTCTGCAGGTTTCTCTCAGCTCTGCCGGTCAAGTATTCAAAGAGATGGCCAAAGTCTCCATCTCCAATGAGCAGCAGGGAAGCCAGAAGAACTCGGCCAAGGGTAAAGCCAAGAAAGACGCGGGCAGCAAGGGGGGTAAGGAGCAGGAGACGCCCAGGGATAAACCCAAGAGGAAAGGTCCGCTGGACGCGGTGCCACTTCATCCCGAAGACTGGGCCATGTATGATGTCCCAGATGAGGTGAGATTTTTGATACTTTTGAGACTGTTGATACTTCTGCCAAGATCTGTTATCTATAAGTGTGGGCGGGATCACGTCAACTGGTGAAAACATCTATTCATTTGAACACCAGTTTTCATCAGTTGCTGATGTTGTTTCATTCAGCACTCCAGACTTGAGAACGAACCATTGAGTTTCAACAAACTTGGTGTGGAAGCTAGATGAGCCAATATAAACAATTCCTGGATGTCTGCGCACACCTTTTTGACAAGGAGTTAGCAGTGACATGGGAATGCATTTGTCACAGTTCATTTGAATAGCTTGTAACTGGATGATTGGAAAAATATTGATCTAGTCATTATTCAATTACAGTGGAAACATTGTGCCTGAAAACTGATTTTAATGTTTGTTTGTTTATTTGTTTTTTGTCAGATGCGAGAAGCTTTTAAGGAAGATCATACTGGAGAGGGCATCAACAAAGATTCCGTCACCAAACCGGTAAGAACTGTTTTCTGAATTTCTTAATTCTTCATTGCTGCATTTCCAATAGAATATGTAGTCTGAATCATGGAAACATGCTTCACTCCAAGTCAACGCATACTGAAATGTAAATAGGTACAGTAGGAATTAAGCCTGAGAAAGTATAGATACAGTTGTCTTATTTTGACCCCCAAAAAAACAAGGTTTTGCAGAAGAATTATGGTATAGTGTGAAGTCATCTCTTCAAACAATAAGGCAGCTTAAAGCCCAGTTCACACTTCACGCGAAAGCAGAGCGAAATTTGTGACGTCAACAATACGTTTCAAGCAGGTCCACCATTGTGGACGACATGAATTTGGCTTCGCACTTGCTTTCGCGTGAAGTATGAACCGTGCTTTAGTGTATTTTTATCAGTCTGTCGGATGATTAAAGCAGTCATTCCATATCTGTCAACTTTGATAATTCTCCCTTACTTTTCCCCGCACCCCGCGTCTCCATCCTGTCTCTCAGTCCCCGCTCACCCACCTCCAACTCCCCCACACCCCTGGTCAATTTTGTTTACAATATGTAATATTGTTGACATAATACAAGTGTATGCATGAGGACAGGCAATGACCTTGTGCTTCTAATTTCGTTTTTAGTACTGACAGCACATGCAGCATGATGCATCTGATTCAATATTTAAATAGGTTGACCCTATGTCATAAGGCAACCTGACAATCAACACACTGGCTGGTATCAGACTTTTAATGGCTGTCCAATAATACATCATTTTGAGCCCGTGTTCAAACTTAAAATGGCGCCTGCTGGAAACAGAGCGATGATATATCAGCTTGAACATCATAGAGCATTAGATAAAATTCGATTTATTTTTTTTCATTTGCTGCTAGTCTTTGTGACAGAATCATTCCCAGCTTATTAATTTCCATGTTTGTCTTTTTTTGGCAATCTTTTCTATCTGCACAGACGCTAACCCTCTACTACCTGGATTGCCTAGTGTCTGAGCTGCGAGGGATTGGCTACAGTCACCTGACCTTTCCTGCTCTCGTCTTAGGAGAAGTCATCGCCAGAGATATCGTGGAGTCCAATGTAGCTGGCAACACATACAGGCTATTGTGAGTAGTGCTGCAGCGGAACCTCTGAACCAAAAAAAGTTTTGTCAAATATAGCACTACTGAACTGAACCAAACCGAAACAAACTCCATTGTTCAGTCCGTGCTATAGAGCAGCTGTGTGCCTAGGTTTATACTGGCACTTGACCGGCTCTTTAAAAGTGGTTTATTATGCATGCAGGTGTACATGTAAATCAGCAGCAACTTGTTTTTTTGACGTTCCAATTTGCTGATAACACTTTCTGAACCAAATCTGAACATACCCGAACCGACTGTATTTGAGGGCTCACTTGCAGCACATATTGTGAATGCTTACATATTGGTGGATGCTTGTAAAATACACCATGTGGAGTTTCTTCCATATCTAATGCAAAAATTGAGAGTTGGTTCCTAGGATGAAACAGAGGTGTTAGCTTGACATTTTGGTCTGCATGCTTTGACTTCAATTTGGAAAATGCAAATCCGCCACAAGTCCCCCAAATGCCCCCAAAGTCAATCACGTTATGAATATGAGGGCATTGTAAGAGTACATTTCTATGAGCATGAGTATGAGTACTTTCCTTGAGTATGTGCATTTTGAAATCGACATACATGTACATGTTCTCATGGGCTTTTTGCTGTCAAACTAAGGCATTTTTAGAAAACAGTAGAAAATGGGATCCTTTTTTGTGTGTACCTCATAAAGAAATTAAAATTCTAATGGGAGAATATTCCCATGAGTACGAGAACGAGTACAAGTACTTTGCCATGGGTATGAGACGACTACAGGTATTTTTTTTCTTTGAGTACAAGTACTTAAAAATGTATTTGACTACAAGTAGGATAACTACAACACTGATATATCCACAAATTATTCTCAATTTGTACTCTCCTCATCAAATGTACATGTGTACATGACTTGTTTTTTTCCTCATAATCGTCCCAGGTCTGCCGAGATTTGTCTAGAGTTGAACCTGACGTCAGCAGCCAAGTTTCACGAGTCCTGCTCCGGCCCATTGGGTGTCAGTGAAGAAGATATGGCCAAGTAAGTCAATGCTCACACCAGAGAGATGTAGTGTGAGTTTTACTTGACTGAATTTGAATGTTTAAGGCCCTGTTCAGTCAATAATTCATAACTTAACTTGGAAAGCGGCCTCTCTTGACAGGTGTCGGGAGGAAACAGCTCGCTTCAAGGAGAGACAGAATCAAGTGCGAGTGGAGGCCCAGCGAGCTCAGGAGTTGCAGCGTCTCATGTCGGCCGACGACAAACTCAAGAAGAAGCCCTCTAGGACCATCATTCCTGCTGATCAAAAAGTCAGTCTTTCGCTTTTATTGCGCACCCTCTTCCCTTTATATTGTAGATTCACATCATTTTCCCAACAAATGTTCCACAAACAAGCATCCCTTCAGTTTACATATTGGACCAGTTGGAGTTGCATTCAGCTCAAAAGCCATGCTGATATTGTCCTAGAGCAAGACACTTTACAACAATTGCTTTTCTGATGTGTTTTTCGTATTGAGTCTTACTTACGGTGTAAGTACTCAGTTCCATGCAATACTTGCATTATATCCACATTAGCCATCTTGAGGTAGAGGGCACAATTGTTTTGTTTTTTCAAAATGCAATCAAGTGGCTTCCCTGGTTAGTCTAGTTGTAAAGGCAGACTTATTAAACAGCCACTTGAGCCAGACATGCTAACACGCCTTCTTGTAGTTTTTACCAAATTTAATTTAAAGGTCAAAAAGTCATGTGCTATTGCAGTGGAATAGTGTTAAACAAGCATATTGGCTTCTGCGATTTAGAATTCAACTTAGCATCAACAGAGGTGTTTTTTGGACTACTTTATTCGACATAAGTTAGTCTTTCCAACTGTCTACAACACGGCCAACTCTTTGAGATAAACTAAATGTGAAACAGTTCCACCACTACTCTACTCCAGGAGCATATTCTGTTGTGGCTACTCTGGTGTGCCACAATTAAGAAATGAAAATAGCAAAAGAATTTCGCAAGTGGCACAAGTCCAGCTTTGGTCAACTCGAGGAAGCTGGCATGAACACACACTGTTTGCCACACATACCTTTTGTCATTTTTCCTTCACATATTGTTACTATAATTGAGTACATTTGTGTCCATTGCAGACTGATATTGTGGAGTCGGTGCTGGGTCACAGTATACCACTGAGTGGTATGACCTTCAGACAGGCCTGGACCCAACAAGCAGAGATCCTCATCAAACAGGTAAAAACTAGACATTCAAAGGAAACTTTTGCGACCGTCTGTTTGTCTCTAAGGCTGATAACTCACAAAAGAAATTTGTGACCAAACCCAACAAAGAGTTACAAGTCGCCAGAGCCGCTTTTAAGTACTAGGCCTCAGTGCATAACAGAAATCAGTAGAAACAATCAAGTAAAGTCTGTCACGAGCCAATATAGCCCATCAGGCCGGTGTTTATCTCAGGTTTAAGTTCAGTAGCATGAAACGACTGAGAATATTTCTACTCCCCCTGGATGGGATGCCAGTCATTGCAGAATACTCCAAAACTAATGCCAGTACCCATTTATACTCTGGGTGGAGAGAGGCAAGTGGGGGTGAAGGGGCTTGCCCAAGGTCACAACATATGGGCAGCAGCTGGATTCGAACGTCTGACCCTCTGATCACGAGTTACAAACCCAAACCACTAGGCCACACAACCCCCCTGAAACAGTATCAGACAAATTTTAACTCACATAAGATCTGCCTATTGATGCCAGCAGAGTAGTCTTTGCATATAAAATGCTTAAATAGTGAAAAAAAAAATGTAAGGCCTTTGTTGTTGGATCAGGTCACATTGTTTCAACTAAATAGTTTTGTTCCACTAGTGGAGCTAATTTCACAAAGAATGTAATGTATAGACTAGAATATCTGCTTCCCTCTAGAATACACGTACACATGAAACAAAGCATAATGTCATTATGTCTATTTAGATTCCAATATTTTACTGACTTTTCTTTTTTTCAGGGTTATTACCAAGCGGCAAGACAGCTGTTAAGCGAAGCCCATCTCTCCACGAAGGCCTTTGATGACAAACACACTGAAGCCCAGATACTCCAGAACCTGGCCAAGCTAGCCTTCCAAGAAGCCAACTACGGGCAGGCCATCAACTTACTTCTGGAAGCTCAGAAGTTTGACGGGGATGAGTCCTACTGGTTGGATACCATACTGCTACTCGTGGATGCCACGTTGGGCGATCTTGAAGACAGAGATCGTAACAACAAAGCCAGAGCCATCATCAAAAAAGCACTGGCATCCTACACTAGCTTCGCTACGCAGAGACCAAACAAGAAAAACTTGATTACCTACATCGGGTCCACACTGGACGCTAAGTAAGAAATTCATCTTAATTCATTTTTTTTTAAGAAAGATTCTAAAGTGTAGTTGCTTCATTTGTATGATTAACTGCAGCTGGTTTATACTCCATACAGTTGACTTTACAAAGCATTCGCAGTGAAATTCATCAAGTTGAAATGTAGACAATATTTGCAAAGCCACAGTCCAAAAATATGCCTGGAATTCACAAATTTGGGATGCGCTCACTTTTAAACAAGTATGAACCTGCCTTTGTGCTTACTTCACTGCCCAAAAACCAAGATTGTAAGTGATGCTGTGGGTAAAAATGCCAGGCAGTGTATACTTTGTTCAGTAGTGGAAGAAATTTCTGCAATTGTTTTCACTCTGAGAATGTGTAAATGGGCTTGGAAATTTCAAATTTAACCCAGCTGTAGTGGAACAATATTTCAAAAAATGTAAATGTCGGACTCTGGGTTTCGGTTATATATGACTTGAAGCTTTGCATGGTGGATTAGATAAAGTAGAAAGATTGCAGGTAACACCATGTGGAAAGTAAACTCTGCTTGGAAGAAGTGTGGTTCTGAAAAGAACCGGTTGGTCGAGTGTAGAACTCGATGTTTCGGACAGTGTGCTCTGTCCGTCCTCAGGAGGGTGAGTGTTGGGCTATGGATGATGCTGGGTTTCATGTTGTGTTAGACTGCATCAGCCTTATTAATCTTGTTCCTTAACACATTGATTAAAGGTTGCTGTGGAAAGGACCTTACATAAAAAACGCGCCTGACAAGTTGTTGTACCGGTGTCATATGAAATTCTGACTTCTATGAAAATCTGACTCCTTTTCCCTATTATTGGTTAATCCCTCGCATGTGACAAGTATATACATGTATAGGCCTATAAATAGGCTATTATCATACTTATGCATGTGCAATACTACCAATGAGTTCATATTTCATGGACTCGGATATTCAAGCTATACCGGCCCAATTTATCACAGTTTTTGCTAGTCTCGGGTCAAGACGTTGTTGTTGAATATTGGATACGCAGTCACTTATCACAAGAGGGCATTATCAAAAACCTTCGAGCCTGTAGCGTACAAGATGCTACCAGACTTTAGTGCAATTTTGTGGCAGCTCTTTGTCGCAAGTACATGTAGTATGCATGTGACTGAAAATGGACCGTATTTTCCTGCAAAAGAAGCTCATGCACACTAGTTTCCCCAATTTGTAGGGGGACTTTACAAGATTCCCAAGATGTTGTTTTGATAATGGTTCGTGGGTGATAGCTGTTGGTTTTGATAACGCCCTCTTCCGGCAGGTGATCGCGTATCTATACAGACATCAATGTCTTGACCCAAAAGTAAGTTGTTGTATGTCTCTCACCATCATTGATCACATGTATTATCTTTTCTGCAGGTTTGCTTCAGTTCAGATCAGTCAAGTTCTTGAGGAGAGTAAAGACACCATGAAACCCAAGGCACATAACGAGCTGAAGCTCGCATGCAAGGTGAGTCACTCACACATTAAGTCAACATTTTATCAAAATGTTTTATCAAATAGCTGGAAACTGGTGGTAAGCTTTCCTTTTCCAATCTGAATATACTTTTAATGTTTCTAGGCTAATCACAGATTCTTGCAGTGTTCAAGGGCGTTTTGTTGCCTGCAAATTCTATATCCATGAGCAAATCTGCACTGTAAGTCAAGGCATAAATGTCAGTGCTCCAGACTTAACTCAGCACCAAAAGTTGCCAGAACTTTAGATTTTGTGCTGTGGTACATTTTCTGTTGTTTGTGATTCTTCCTTCCTTTCTTACAAGTGCTGCCTTCATCTGGTTGAAGATAAACGCCCCGCCAGAAACACCGGGGCAAACCCATTCTCTTAGCAATAGTGTTACTGGGTTCTTTTATGTGCATTACACACAGGACCTACGGCTTTACGTCCCATCCAAAGGACAAAGCAATAATGGTTAAGTGTCTTGCTTAAGGACATAAGTGTCGAGTCCGGGACTCGAACCCACACTCTGCTGATCAGAAACATCCGCAGAGCTTGAGTCCGCTCGGCCATGACACTCCACTTCATAGGCCATTGATGATTAACTACTTGACAGTAAATCATTGAGCAAACTTTATGCACCATCTTTTTTCATCAAGAAAATTTCTCGATTTGAACATAAAAAGAAAGTAAGCAAAAAAGAAGAGCGTGTGAAGAGCCAACGACATAACAGCAATAACAGTTGCCAGGAAAAGAACGAAACATTATCTATTTTCTTACAATGTGTACGATTGAATTTTTTTTTACCAAAAGCAGACGTCTCATAGTTTTAATACATTTCAGAGGAATGGGAATTTGCACACAATAAGTTCCAGTGTAAAATTCACTTCAAGGTCCCTTTAATCTGTCTACAGAGATTGCAGTTTAGTGCCAAGGATTTCATCGAAGCCAACTACAAGCGAGAGGCTGCACAGGTCATGCAGCAACATGCTAGCGTACTCAGGTACTTCTGTGGAATTTTTGTCTAACCTATTACATATTCATTAGCGAAAGGCTCTCATCAGTCAATTTTCCATTTCAAGAAAAGCAAAAAACATTAACTGCAGGACATCCTTGTATGACACATGTACTTGTACTCCTAGCCATACTTATGACTGTGTAGTTCATGCATGTCAGTTTATTCCCAACTATGCATATATGTTAGTAGAGCTTGGCTAGTTCCCTCTTTACTTCGAGCACAGATCTCAATACATGTAGTCTTTATAGGGGTAAGTTTTATGAAGCTCCCCAACACGGCACAAACAGTGAGCGAAGCAATGGCAGTAGACTGCTGGGGTGTTGCTAGGACTGTGCATCGGAACAGGGTACCCGAGTACCAGACAGCTGATGTCGGGAACCAGATCGTGGGGTCGGGTACCCATAACCAACTTTACAAATTACTTAGTAACTTCTCAGACGATGAAAAAGAAAGGACTTGAATGTCGTTTGTGGGGAATTTTCAAAATGAAAATCAGGCCGCATGGGAAAACAAAATGTATTTCTTGTTTATGACACTCGTGAAAGTTGCAGTTAACACCGTAAAGCTATAAAGCTCATTGTATACATAGTATCTAGCTGTATTGATGCACCAATGTAGTATTATCATGTGAACCTTTAATGAACACTCTGAACAGCAACTTCCGAGATTTAAATTTTTGGGGTTGGGTTTGTATAACACGTACCCGGGTACCTGCCTTTTTTTTTTCAATCTGGTACCCCGTTCCCTTACTACCCGTAAATGCACACCCCTAGATGTTGCTTGTTATTAAATTTGACGAGCAACAGATGGTTTACATAGCCGAAGTCCATGCTCATGAAGTCTTCCGTATACTGACCATGATACATATTGCTTCATGGACAAGTGGTGCACTTTATACTACCACCAAGTTTCCATGACTTCTCATTGTAACGTTTTCCTCCTCAGGTTGTTTGCATGCGACAGTGACGACAAAGAGCTACAGCACAGCTATCTCCTGCAAGCCCAGTCCATCATGCAGCAAGCAGTGCAGATGATGGACAGCCTAGTGCAGGACGTGTGCACGCTGTCTGCAGTGCAAGAGGTATGGCACCAAACAGATCCTCAAAGTACTTCCTAAAGAATTATTCCATGTCACCTTCAACAGAGTTCCCAACCACTCTGGAAATCGGGGGAAGACCTTTTGAAATTAGTTTCCATTTTTTCAGGCAGAGAAAACTCTTTGGGGGAAAAAAATCAGGGAAAACTCAGGGAACTTGACAGAAAATTGAAATAATAAAAAATTGAAAATTGAAATAATAAAAAGTGTTATATGCATAGCAAACAACTGGAAGTCTTTGAGCACATGCATATATACCCAAGCGCTACAGAGTTGAGGACAAATAGCCTATTTAATGGAAGGGTTGTTTGGGAAAGTGCAAGTAATTTTTCAACTTATTTCAGATTGAAATAGAAGTACCTTTGTGTTGAAATTTGTTCCAATATAAAGGATATCTTTTAAAACTAAGTAGAATCTATGGGTCAGGTCTTACAAAAACAGGTTTTGACCGCTTTAACTCCTGGTACAGTAAAACTAGCCTTCCTTGGTGACCCAAAGAGCATTCAAGTTTATACAAAATAAATTTGGTGCTTATATAGCGCTTTAGACCAAACGTTTCAAAGTGCTTCACAGTTATTACCCCTGTTCATCAGGCCATGAGACCATTGTTCAGCAGCAGCTCAAGATCAGTGCAATCTGGTCTCTACCTTCACTGGTACCCATTTTATACTCCAGGCTGGAGCGAGGTAATTGTAGTAAAGTGTCCATATGGAGAACTTTGCCACCCATATGTGCAGAAAATCAAAGCCCTGCATGCTCTGCGGTCACACACAACGGTGTATTGACCCGGCGACCTGCACAGCCCCACTGCGTTGACCGGACTATACATAAACAGCAGGTCGATCCTCGGAACAAAAACGATGTCTGATTTGACAAGAAAAGTGCCCCTTGTCCTTCTCATCCAATCTAAACGGTTGTTACATGAATGGAAAGCTTATTGTGTTATCTTTCAGAAACCGTGCGAGGTAATTGTATGCGACCGGGTTCACACGTGTGCTGTTCGAAGAAGTAAACCTGCAACCTAAAAAATCGGGGAAATGTGCCGTGACCTCCATAGGAAACGCGAAATTTTCACTGAGTTGCCCGTTTTTCAATGAAAAAGTGCACATAAAAATTATTCGCCTTTCTTCATAAAGAAATCATATTCATGTGAAAGAGGAAAATCTGCATTTTGTGATGCGATGCGAGGAAGTAAGTTTAACCAACACGCGTATTAACGAAAGTTTGCTCAGAGTGCCTAGACATGAGCCAGTCTTCCCACGTAAACAGAGCTCCACTAGTGGCGAGTGAGCAAATGCTCCCTAGTTCTCCATATGTGCCCATGAACACATGCACCATGTTCCCTTTCAGGGTTTGAATCCACCTACCACGGCACATGAGTCAAACACAGTAACCAATAGACCACGGTGCCCAAGCTTTGCCTCAGGAAAACAGAGTGCTCCATCGACAGACTTGAGGGGGGGGGGAGTTACTACACCACTCGACGCAGTCAATATTTGTATATGTCCTCCTTGTCTTTCCAGATGAGAAGCATCAGCCTGCCTCTGCAGCGTGAGTCCTGTGCCCTCAAGATCTCCTATGCTGAACTCCTGATTGACATGTTTGTTATCTACGCAGAGGAGCAGAGACATCACCAACTAGCCGAGGCTCAAAAAGGAGAAGTGGAAAAGGTAATAAACGTTTTATATTGAAATTAAACTAATGACACTCATAACCCTCAATATGAATAAAAGTAATAATCAGGTGGAATTTTGACCGTTAGTCCCTGTATCGGTAAAAACAATTTTGTCTGTTTCTCCTTGAACCATCTCACTGTATGATTTCATGGATTCATGAAGGAGTAAAAAAAACATGCGATAATTCAAGTGCTAATGGGTTAAATTATTCCTATCCATGAAGACGATGATCAGTGAAATAATGAAAGCACACAAAATAAAAGGAAGAGGCTTTTAAAGAGTAGAGATTTGTAGAGAGTTTCCACTTCTGACACAGTGGTGGCAAATAATATTAAGACCAGAGAGTTCGTAAAATTACTAAACAACGACAAAAACACTGAGAAAGGAAAGACAAAACGTAGAAAACTCACTGTAGTAATTAACTCTATAAACCTAAAGAGCCCACATGTGAAAGACATGAGATTGGTCTAGAGATATTCCTGGAAAAAATGAATTGTTTAAGAAGTTTTGATGTAGAGAGGTACACGAAGTTGCTTCGAAAGACAAGGTGCTGCTACAGAGAAAGACCTTTTCCCCCATGTGTGACATGATGTGAGCTCAGAAACACATCTGAAGTAAATGCAGTAAAAAAATATGCAGGAATAGTTGAGGGAAGAATGCAAAATTAAACAAGCAGTAACTCGAGGTTGAACCCCGAGGTACCCCCTTCAAAGCCTTGTAAAATCTCGAGGTAGACCTCGAGTTACCGTCTGTTTAATTTTGCATTCTGCCCTATTAAAGCTATAGTCCATCATTTGTAATTTGTGCATTTTGTTCATTTGAAGCAACAAAAGTGTTCAAAATCTAATGAAGGATACTGAACAACTAACCTGATGAAGTTTCAGCTCAGCTTCAGCTGTATATTCCGAGAAAAACAGCATTATAGGATCTCAATTTCAAATCAAAAGTTGCTGAATCATGTTTTGAATTGGGCCTGAATTCAGCATCCGAGACGTGTTCTCACTGAGCCGATTGGAGCTATACGCGATGTCGCACACTGATCCGACGAATTATAGCAACCGTGGGCGCGTGTTGATTACTTCAAAATGACAGCTTGCCAGAAAGAATTTCACAGGGAGTTTAGTCCCCTTACTATCTTTCAACAAAGTATGTTTCTCAACAATAATTACACCAGTTACTTTTCGGATGGCTGCAAATGATGGACTATAGCTTTAATGGCACTGTGTGACTGCTTCAGAGAATTCCAAGTGGCACACCGTGTACATGCACTGATTCAATTATTCTCCTTTCTTTGTTTTCAGCTGGTAGAAGACTTCATATCGGCCACACCAGTCCTGACTGATACTGACAAACTGTGGCAGCAAATGGCCAGGTGGGTGTATATTGTATCAGGTATTTATATAGCTCATGATTTGGTTCTCTTGTGAAGGCAAACTGTTGTTAATGCAAAACCAAAATAACCCAGTTTTTTGTTGGAATGTTACATTAATGTGAACATTTGTTAGGAGAAAAAAAATTCAAATTTGTTAAAAAGCATTGACAGTACATCTGCAGCATCTGTGGTAAAGTATTTCAAATTGTTCAATGTATGTATTCTGTTTAAGGTTGAAATGTTCAAATGAGGATTCAAGTTCTTTGTTATGATTGCCAGTATTGTAGCATAATGTGAGATTCCTTCTTGCTTGTCCTAGAGGGCCAGCAGGCAATCCTCTTTGTACCTGTCTCACTGACCGATATGACGGACTGTCACTTGTGAATTAAACTTGCTTATATATGTCTCACCTTGGCCCAAAAATTTGACTCAGATGACTGACATTGGTCTGGGACCTGCTTTTAACCAGTTTGACACGCACTGGCTGTCTTTATGCACAGGCATGGCTGACAGGTTAAAACGTCAAGATTGCCTCCAATCGCCTCTGGGTGACGTCTAAACACGCTAATCCCTCGTGTCTTTTGTACACACACACAAAGTCCGTGACGTCAGTGGAGGCGGGCCGTGTGTTGATTTTGAATTGGCTGCTGTGCACGACCTATTGTTCTGCAATTTACGCTCTGTTGGAAATATCAAACAAATACTGTTGAAATGACTCTTGCGAATCAATATTTGTGGCATTCGGCTGTACATCAGAAGATGGCTGCTATATTTTGCCTCATTCCAAAATTGAAATTTTCAGCAAAAATAATCCTGGGGCGAACTCGTTAACAGGGAAGAATGCCAAATTACCAAAGAGTAACTTGAGGTTAAACTTAAGGTACCTCATACAACCTCATAAAACCTTGAGGTAAACCTCGATTTATTGTCTGTTTAATTTTGCATTCCCACTTTATTAGGCTTGCCTAGTCTTGTCTGAGTTTAAATTATCTAAAATTTGTAACTCTCTTTTTTTCTTTCTCTGCAGCACGTTTGCCACCGGTGCCCTGTCCCTCCTTCAGAGTGCACACTCTTTGGCTGGTTCCATCAGTCAACTCAAAGCAAAGGTCAGATGAATTTCTGGAAATTAGACAGAGTGTGCCACAAAAAGTGCAACATACAGAAAACAAATGATTAAAACTGTTTGTTTTTCTTCAGTAAAATTATATATCACATTAAAGCCTGACTATTTCTCAATCCACTCCTTTATACCCCAGTCCATTTGGGTCCCTAGATTCAGAAATACAATCAATTAAGTGAAAGGGTGTAAATTTTACTTGGGCCACTCTCAACTTTTTTTTTCCAATTTTTTAGAAGTTTTTGCCCAAAATTTTTGGCCATAAAAAAAAAATTGTGTGTGTGTTTTTTTTTTGGGGGGAGGACTATTTTGACGTTGGTGGCACCACACTGATATTATACTATGCAAAAATAGGCCACATTCATATCACCAAGGGCAAATCGTGGGACTAAACAACAAAAAAATTTGACAACCTCTTGGGTGGCGGAGGGCTCGAGCCACTGAATGGCTCTTCAATGCTTAACCCAGATTCAGCATATCCGGTGAGAGAGGGGCGCATCAACATCATAAATTAATATATTTCAATGTGAATATTGAATTAACATCAGCCCGGTGCGAATCCATCTTGTTAGTTTCATTGCACCCGCTGCTATATCTGATTCGAAGCAGCCAGCCGACCCTTGCAAGCTCGGTTGTCGAGTGGTAAGACGTCTGCACGAGTCAGCAGGAGGTCGTGGGTTCAAGTCCCACCCGAGTGATTTTTTTTCTCACAATCATTCGGGGGCAGTATACAGGGCAAAACCTAATATTGAAAAGATTCACAAGGGACAAAAAAAAAGTTGACCCCAGATAAACAATCTGGGAGTATGAGGTTCTCTTCAAAAAAATAAAATTACATCAAAATATTTCTACTATGTGAATCTCTGGTTTAACAATTGAATCTGTTTTTATCATCTGCTTTTATTTTGACTGTTGCAGAGTTTGTATAACATGGGTCGTTGTCTGCGCATGTTAGCTAACAGCTGTAGTGCTGCACCACCAAGCCAATGGGATCTACAATACATGGTGAATATTGACATATCCGCAACCAAAATATCAAATAATCATAAAGATATGTCAATGTTGCTGTAGTGTATTTGTGTGTCAAGGGTCTTTTGCGTAGTTTATTTTGTCAAGTGTCAGACATGGAACATCTTCATCCCTTAAAAATTTGTTAAAGAGCCATTTTCCCTTGAAATTACAGTTAACTTAATTTTCACGGATTTTTCAACATATTAAGCCAGATTAGGAGTCCCGTGAAAACACCCTTAAGAAAGTCCTTTGTTTACTCATGGAGATAGACCCAGTGTACCGTTATGTTTAACCAATGATAATCCTCAGTGGTCAGGGTCATTAAAAAAACGTGAAAATACCCTTACAGGATTAGTCCTATATAAGCCCCATGTAAATGTCCGTGAAACATCTCTTAAAGATTCTTTTCACGGAGAAATGGACTTTTAATGAATTTTTAAGGGATGAAGATGTTCATAGTACATTGGGCTGGATAGCTGATTGGTATATACATGTAGAGCATTGGTTGAGCATTTCTTGCCTTCTGAGGGGGTACTTGTGCACGGAACCCACACAGCCTGCAAAACAAAAGTAGCTCTTGAGGCTTCCATTTTACTTTGTTTGGTTGTGTTAAGATTATTTTTGTTCATGTTTCAGAATCTCACAGCTGGATCGGGAGTTGGCCAAGGAGGCGGCCAGCCAATCAAGAACATCGATGATACGGAGGATGGTGAAGCAGTGCCTGATGGGAAGGATCCGGAGGTGTCTGCCTCTCAACAGATCAAGTACTCAGCAGTAGCAGCTGATATCAAGGTACGGCAAGCACATGTGCTTTCCAACAAAGACCATAGTTGTTGTCAGTGGCCGTAGTGGTTGTCGGAGTAGCAGCAACATTTCTTGTGAATTTGTGAAGTAATATTTTCTCATTAGCTGCTAATATTGCCAACTTTGATTACCCAAACTGTTGTTTTTTCCCTTTTTTATTTCTTTATTTTTAAATTTTTTGATTTGCCAGGCTAATCAGACGGTCTCTGAGCTGTATTTGGCCCAGGCTACGGAGGTTCTTGCGCAGAGTGTGCAGCTCGCTCTCCAGAAAGGAGACAGGGTAAGGGTCAAAGGTTGAATCCAACCGGTGCATTGGTAGTCCATAATCTGAACAGTAGCTGTCTCAGTCGCTAGTATACAGTAATCATTGTCTGCCATGATGTAGCCCATGGTACTTTGTTCAACTGAGGGGTGTAACCACTGATCTCTATATAAAGACTGGATAACGGATAAAGAGCCGCACAATGAATAAATTTGACGCCATATTGGTGGGACCGGTGAGACCGGCTGGTGATCTACAAAGGACAAGTTGCCGTCTTTATAGCATCATGGTTACTTTTGTAACGTCGCGGTTCACTTGATTTATATTTTGACCACCACCACTGATTACGGTTTACAATTTCTCTAACGTCGTGATTTACTCTGTTTTTTTAATGCCGCAGTTCCTTTTTCGGCGTTTTGGAAAAAATAATCACTGCGGAAATGTGTCCTTTTTAGAACATCATAATACATGTACGTGACCAAACTGCGCGTCAACTCTTGATACAGCGGGTGTGCTATATATGCGTAGAACGTTTGTAATATACGCGGCCATCTTCGTGAGACCGGAGGCGAATTGGTCCATATACAAAGTCTACTGTGTGACTGGTGTATGGATATCCGCTATCCAGTCTTTATATAGAGATCAGTGGGTGTAACGAAGTGAAGCCAATTTGGTGCCATTTCATTGCTTCTTGAGGCTGTAACCCATGGACTGCCTAAAAAACAGTGCATGACGCTTTGTGGTCTCTTCTTGTGAGCATCAAGCACTGTCCGTGTTTGAATGTCCCTTACCATGGTTTCCCTTAACTTTTCCTTTCCATTCGTTGAGGGGGTACTTGTGCAAGGAGTCCAATTGTACTGTATCACAACAGACAACATACTGTGGTATTAATTTTTTTGATAACTAGTTGAGTCTTTGAAAAGTAATAATAGGATGCATTGGTAAGTAAAAAAACACCCATTTGTATGTATTGAATGGTGGTCTTGTTGCTTCCAACGTCTAAAATAGTCCCTGCCTATTACCACTCCCTGTACTGCCCATCGGTACCTATGTACTGCCCTAAAATGCCCAAGCTTTGAATGGATATCATTAGGGAATAAACGCAATGTAGTACAGTAAAGTAGAGGTGCAAACAGTTTATTAGAGCTGCAAAGTTTTCAGTTCTTTGAGGTTCCTGTCATCCTTGTGTCATGAAGCATTTTATAGGATATTCCTGTTGGAAAAGTATTTTGTATGTGGTCATTTATGATTTTTCACAATTCTTTCTTGCAGAGTTTGGTAGCGGCCGCATGTTTTGAGCTTGTGGAGAGCTGTGGTCAGTATGATAGTGCAATGACCTCTCAATACTTAGCTCTCTATCAGGTGAGATAGGGAAAATTCAGATATGTGCATTTTAGAAACTTAGCACCTGAATGGATGAGCGTACACATATATTTAGCCAGCCAAAACCATCATTATTTAATCCATTGTTGTCCCTGTGTACATGTACATATGCTTTGCTATTCAGAAGCGTTATTGGTTATCCCAGTGTGCGTTTCAGTCACGTGATCGTGTCTGCATTCGCTAGCTTGGCCCTGCCGATGTGCCAAGCCCAAGTGGAATGATAGTGTCATCAAAATACTGTCGACAAAATTGGCGGCATCCTGTATGCCAATCCCACAAGTGTCACTTTTGAAAACAGCTCTTAAAATCCTAAACATTTCTTCATCCTGTGACTTTTGACATTTCAGCTGCAGTGCATGTCCACTTTGAGGGAAAACTAAAAGACTGAATCATAATAGCAATATGAATAAGTTATTGAGGCCAATTTAATTGCTTTGCAACATTCTGGTTCTTGTTCCCAGAGTTGTGTAAGTTCCAAGTGTCTTGAAGACCTGCTGCTGCGGGCCCAGCGTGATCCATCCACCTCCAAGCAAGCAGCCCTACTGCAGCAACGACAGCGACTAGAGAGTGACGCGGCAACCACCAACATGGCCTATAGCACCTTGGCTAAAGTGGTCAACGAAAGCTTGCAAGAAACTTCTGAGGTAGGACGATATATTTGGACTCTGTTTAGGAACTGTAGGCAGTTGGTGAAAACAATTAATTAATTTAGCTCCATAGGTAATATGCAGTTTGAGAAAACAGTGAAAAGGTTTTTTTCTTCAAGATTTGATACTAACTAACTACACGTATATTCTGCTGCAACTTCTAACTGACTGGATTGATTGTGACCTGAAATATACAAGTAAAAACAAATGTAAGTGGCCTGATATTTCGGCCTTAGCACGGCCTTCTTCATCAGAGGCAAATGGCAGAGGAACAAGAAACAAACATGCAGGGGACATACAGGCATGCAGGATTGGAATGAGAAATACAAAGGAGGGATTGAGGGGGGGGGGGGGGAGACCAGTCTGCATGAATATCAGGAATAAGGGAACAAAGGAGTGTGGTGGGAAGGATCAGAGGGGATTGAAAGCAGGGATGATGTGGGGGAGGGGGGTGGGAGAGGGGGACCAAGGGAGAATATTAATAAATGTGGTATTAGTGTGAATGGGGGAGGAGGGGCTTATTACAGAATAGGGAGGGGGAACAGATGGAAGAGGAAAAGGGTAAAATGGAAAGGGAAGGGCAACAAAGAAGGTGATAAACCCCAAGAGGGTTCGCCAGGATGATCTTAAACACATGGAGGGAAAAAAATTTAATCGTTGCCTTGTTGCATGTTGAGAACGTGTGGTTCAACATTTTGAAGAGCTTCATCAACACTTTCTCCCTTTTATAATAAATTTGATCACACGGAGGTATTATTCAAACAACTGCTGGACTAGTTCCTGTCTCCTACATAATAAGAGAAGACAATGCGTTAATGGAGGGAACGGATTTCAACTGACCACGACGTGAATTTCCAAAGATGTGTCGGACCATCTTCTGTCATTTTCTTCAAAATGACAGCATATAACATATGGCAAACTTCACAGAGTATTGAAGGATCATTACAATGTTTCAACCAAGTGAGGTTCACCCTCTTCCTCCAACGTACAGCTACACAGGCAAAAGAATTAGATGCCTATTTTGGAGAATTTGGTAGTTTTCTTTTTTCTTTTTGTAGCAGAAAGTGATCATGAGGCCTTTAAAGTTCATTGTATCAAATGCTTAATCCAGAAAAGTTTGTAATTGATAATTGGTTTGTAAATCCAATTAATTTTGTGAAGTGAATGATGTTTGCCGTCTTGTTTGCACGATAGGCATGGAAACGTATTGCAGTCAGCCCACAGCACATGGACCTCATGAAAGAGCTGCCTCCAAACTTCAACCTAGTCATCCTGCAACATTCTGAAGACAAGTTAGTAAAAAAAAGTTCTTTCCACTTTTCTTTAAATGTTACTTTGTTTTCAACTCATTTCTGGAATTCCTTGTATCTCACCAACGCATTTTTTGTTATCTCCCTGATGCAAAATTCCTGCAAAAACACCCTATAATGTTTTTTATTCATTCTGTCAATTTTCTGCACCAGGTCTACACTTTACGGCTCCATTCTGGACAGACCCAAACCAGCGGGAGGCAAGGAGGGGGGTAAACCCTCCAAAGGGAGTCAGAGTTCAACATCCAGGGCAAAGGTCACTCGGGCACTGGTGGATCCCCAGATCCTGGAGTCACTGCACAGGAGGTCTGTAACCAGTCATGTTTTGTAAATCATAAAATTTAGCAGGCCGGATGTTTCAATGATAGAGAATCTTTCTCAAATGCAATATTTTTAGATCTTTTTCTTTATAACCAGACAAATCTGTTTTTATATATTTTTATCACGTCACCCCAAAAAACCTCAAATTCTCTCGTTTTAAAAGGTTCTACTATTACCTCATAGTGATGTTTCTGACATAAGGGGGAAAGCCTGCATTAAAATTAATGAAAAATATATAATTTTCTCAAAATCAGGGAATATACCAAAAACAAAAACAAACAACCAAAAAATTGAAAAATTAAAAGCAAACCTAGCAAACATACAAAAAAACAAGCAAGGCTTACATGTAAACACTCATATTATGAAACCAATTGAGTAATTATTTGCAAAATGCAAAACAAACAAAAACACATAACAGTGAAAAATACAAAATGCTACTGAGCTAAAATAGAAACTAAACATCAATTCTAAGTTAAGCTGTATTGAGCAGAAATTTTCAATTACTATCACAAAATTTCATCACAAGTGAACAATACAGATCATCTTGGTTAAAAGACAGTTAACAAATATTGATAAGCAAGTAAATGTATATACATGTTCATTAAACACTTAAGAAAAACGGTCAAGGGAAAAATCTGATTTCAGAAAAATACACACTAAAGAAAGAAAGTTTTACAGTGTTGCTTTCACTGATACCTGCAGTGGAAGCTGGTGGATCTCAATCGGTTCCCTTTTTGTCTCTCAATGCAGATTCCGTCAACATAAACAGGACGTTATGGCCACTTTGCTGAAGGCAGAGTACCAGCGATCACAGCAGGCCCAGCGACAGAAGATGCTGGAGAACATCTCAGATGACATGAAGGAGAGCATCAAGGTAATTGTCAGGACGGGTGTGAGTAAACCGGGATGCGGACCCAGTACGAACCCAGTACGAACCCAGTACCCGTGTTTTGTAGATCAAGTGCATTCAGCATCCAACTTTGAGGTGTGTTTTGTTATTAACAGTGATTCATAAATACCTAAGACTGTTTACCCATTCCCATTGGTCGAGAGTCTGTCACGTGACCAGTCTTAAACAGTTGATAAAACACCAGCTGCTAATCTTAAACACTTTTCCAGTGCCACATGAAATTTGGACTCCTATGAAATCTAATAGAAAACTAAGAGAATGGTTCTGAAAAGAACCAGAGGTATAAATTTGACGTTCTGGTCAGGATGCTCTGACCGTCTTCAGGAGAGAGTCAGAGCACGGAGACTTCAGGAGACGGTCAGAGCATACTGACCAGAATGTCGAGTTTATACCTCTGGTTCTTTTCAGAACCATTCTCTTAGTTTGAGAAATTATTCCCACATGGTGTTTCCGTACACCTTTCATTATTTAGTATCTCCACCATGCAAAGCCTCAAATCTTACTTTCCTATGAAATCTGGTCCCTTTTACCCTTTGTTGAATGTTCACAGTCCTCACGTAGGCATGCGCAATACTACCAGTGAGTCAGTATTTCACAGTCCTTATGAATAGGAATAAATATGTGCTTGGCCAGTATTAAACAACATGTTTAAGACCGGTTTGGAGTCTTGAACGATATCAGCATCCAGACTCCAAACTGGTCTTGTTTAAAACCAGCCAAGCACACATTTATTCCCTTAATGTAGAAGAGGTCTACTCATGGGAATCCCTGTTTAACAACAGCACCCACCTCAAAGATGGCTGCAGTGCAAATGATGCATTGGCAAGCTCATGAATAGTCTACTATCTCTGTATTTATTGGGAGTCAAGTCCAAACCTAGTTATTTGAATCGTGCTATTTTTTTTTTTAAATTACAGGATTGGTCCGGGGATATTGAGAAAGCTGAGGAGAAACTTCAGGAGCAGTTTCTTGAATTGTTACGAGAGTTGGAGGAATATCTGAAACCCGTCCTGTCTTACTTGGACCCAGCTATCAGGTAGATGATATTGAAGGGACTTGGATTTTATGTTGGTTTCCCTATTGAACAAAATAGTGTAAAAAGGTTGTCGATTCCCCCTGTTGTCTTATTTAAATTAAGTTTTGATTAATTTAAGTTAAAACAGTTAAAACATACTGTTTTTTTGTTTAGTACACCCTGTGGAGCAAACGCTACCCTTGGCTTGGCATTAACTGCTATTTGCACCCCTTATGGGTAGAGTTGATCATTTGCAGCTATCCAAAAAGTAACTGACGAGATTATTGTTGAAAAGCTTACTGCGTTTAAAGATGGGGATGGCAATAAACTCCCTGTGAAATTATTCTTCCTGGCATAGTTCTAGTCTAGTTCTATTACACCACTTGAAGCAGTCAATATTTGTATATCACGCGGTATGCCACTTTTTGTTTCCGCTGAGTAAATTGGCCGTCACGCATACAAACAAGGCATGTGCCACATTTAAGGTTGGATGACAAATACATATGATATGAAATTGATCAAAATGGAAATGTATTATAAAATTGCACAAAGAAATTGACCGGAGCAGGGTTTGAACCTGCGACTTCTGGAATAGCGTACCAATGCTCTACCAGCTGAACTATCCAGGCCAATGTTGGCAGTTCCCCATCAAAATAAAAAGAATTGCAATTGGCAGAGTAAAATAACAATGGATTAAATTGATTTTCCCCAGAGCTTTGGAGACACCAGGACCCGCTCCAACATCTCGTTCAGATCCATCGACCTCCACTTCCCCAGAGGAATGCGTCATCCTTCTGGCTGATAAGTGGCTCCTAGAGATGCCTCTAGAAGCCTTGGCAATCTTCTCTTCTCCAGCTATCACCTCCCTATCTCGTGACTTCTCCCTGCAGATGCTGTACCATCGCATCCACAAGGAACCAGAAGGTAACCCAGAGGTTTTCATATCTAGTTTTGTTCTTAACTGACATAATTTTGAACTTCAGTGCTATCCAAGATTTTTTTTTAAAGAACAGAAAGTTAACAAGCTTGCTCGGATGAGATCGAACCCATGAGTATGACCTCCTGCTTACTAGTGCAGATCAGTGTTGTAGTCAAGTGCATCGCAAAGCCATCATGAGTCCTCGTAAGTCCATCACAAGTCCTTCAGTCTCGAGTCAAGTGGCAAGCTCTTCAAACGAACTGTGGCAAAGGCAATCCATTGTCATTATTCATCCCCTGTTAGTTGTGGCTAGACTTGTGAAAGGACTTGTGATTTACTTGTGACCAGATTTATGACAGACTCGACTGCAACACTGTAGCAGATGTCTTAAGGACCGGACCACCAAGGTCACTTTGAACAGGGATGCCAGGGAACAGGGATGGCTATTGGATCTCTGACGTTTTCATGTTTTGGAGAAAAAAAATCATTCCGGCATTCCGTCTCTTTGAGGGCCCAAACAACAAATCCTTGTGTTGCATGCATGGAAAAGAAAGTGACTTGTAGTGAACTTGTTTGGACTTGTGATGGACTTGTGGGGACTTGTGGGGACATGTGATGGACTTGTGGGGACATGTGATGGACTTGTGGGGACATGTGATGGACTTGTGGGGACTTGTGATGGACTTGTGGGGACTTGTGATGGACTTGTGATGGACTTGTGGGGACATGTGATGGACTTGTGGGGACATGTGATGGACGTGTGGGGACATGTGATGGACTTGTGATGGACTTGTGGGGACTTGTGATGGACTTGTGATGGACTTGTGGGGACTTGTGATGGACTTGTGGGGACTTGTGATGGACTTGTGGGGACATGTGATGGACTTGTGGGGACATGTGATGGACTTGTGATGGACTTGTGGGGACTTGGATGGACTTGTGGGGACTTGTGATGGACTTGTGGGGACATGTGATGGACTTGTGCGGACTTGTGATGGACTTGTGGGGACTTGGATGGACTTGTGGGGGCTTGTGATGGACTTGTGGGGACGTTGCGATGGACTTGTGGAAACATGTGATGGACTTGTGGAAACATGTGATGGACTTGTGGGGATATGTGATGGACTTGTGGGGATATGTGATGGACTTGTGGGGACTTGTGATGGACTTGTGGGGACATGTGATGGACTTGTGGGGACATAATAATAATAAAAATGTGATGCTTATATAGCGCGTTATACCAAAGGTTTAAAAATGCTGCACAATTATTACCCCTGTTCATCAGGCCAGGAGACCATTTTTCTGCAGCAGCTCGAGATCAGTGCAACCTGGTCTCTGCCTTCACAGGTACCCATTGTAGAGAAACAATTGTAGTAAAGTGTCTTGCCCAAGAACACAAGCACCATTTTCCCCGTTAAGGTCCGAACTCACGTACCATGGCACATGAGTTGAACACCATAAGCACTGGACCACAGCGCTCCACAGTCATCAGTGTCGGAGACAATATAATAATCAGTTTTGGCCTTCTTTTTGACAGAGGAAGCAAGTAGTGACGACAAGAAGAAGAAAGAAGCAGCTAAGATCAAGGCAGCTAAAGACAAGGCTAAAGGAGTCAAGATGGTAGGTTGACAGAAAAACACTCATTGCTTAGCAAATTCATGTGCTAAGCGAAACGCGGTTGGGAACCAGTCACGTGCAATATTGGTTGCATTGCATTTTGACTGGTAACCTGCATTTAATGAGCAGATACTTTCTGTGCTTAACAAATTTTTGTGATAATTAGAAGTTCCATGAAATTGGCCATTTGTTATCTCCATGTGGCATTTGCAAAAGCCAGGCTTTGCCTCCAGCATTGGCTGCACCTCTTGCTTCAGAATTGTGCAATGCAGGCTCATCAGTTCAAACCAAATTGAAATAAAAAAAAAAGTGTACTCAATGTTTCCCAGCGGAGAAAAAAATCCACAATCTAGTTCAGGTAAGACTTGAACCTATGACTTCCTCCTTACAAGTGTAGAAGCATTACCACCCAACCACCGAATTGAAATGTTACCCTACCCTTATTTGCTTAACAAAATTGACTATTGATAACATAATGAATGATATACCCGGTACATGTATATTGTTTCTGCAGGTGCCAATTGATCGCCCAGTCCCACCTGGTTGCCTGCCCATTGACACCCACAGCTTCAAATGTATCCTTTAAATTCACAATCTATGTGAAATTTAATTGACTGGATCATAATACAGTGCATTGGTGATCTAGCCACTGAGTTTTCTATAGCCCTGCGGGTAGCAAAACTAGCAATGATGCAGATCTGGCAAATGGTGATCAGAGATCACTCAGAGAAAATTCAAGTTTATATTTCAAATCATCAAATCAACCACTGAGGGAAACGGAGTAGTAGGCCTACTGATTTAATCAGTTTGAGGTTGAAAAAAAATGAGTGGAGTGGGATTCGAGCCAGCAACCTCCGCAACACATCACCACATCACTACTCTACCAACTGAGCTATCCAGCTCTACTTTGGCAGTCTTTAAATTTGTCTTTTTCAATTTTGATAAAGATACGTAAGACAGAAATAATAAACCCTAATGTGCCATTTTGGCAGGGATAATGCTAAAGTACAATGCCAGCATCACCAGAAAGCCTGCAAAACTGGGAAGTTAATCCTCCCTTTAAAGGGGACAAATTTGGAGACTACCAGTTTGGTACTCTGAGGTTTCAGATACAAATTCAGCACCTGCTAATTTCTTTGTCAATCTTAACTTTAATCTCAACTTGATGTCATTCAAATGTATGTCTCCAGACACAATGTATAATAGTGTGGGAAGCATGACAATTTGAAAGATGCCAAATGTCGGAAATATAAAAAATTAGCATTTTTGTGTATTATCAGCATAGTTTTAGATTGATTATTTTCCTTCAAGTGTGTCATTGAACAGATGTCATTGATCCACATTATGACTGCCCAGGAGAAGGTAAAGATTTGCAAAACATTTTCAATTTTTGCAATTGCTTCATTTTTGTTTCAATATTTAGCCACTTGCTGGAATCAGTTCTTTATAAATATTTTTGAACTTTACTGAAAAATAGTATTTGTAATACCATTACTTTGCATGTGACTGTGCAGAATAATTTTAAATTTGATGAACCTCAAATAAACTTCAGTTCAAGAATGCTTTCATCAGGCAATTTCCTGTTTCTGAGACCACGTACTTGAAAGGGGCATAATTTTGCCTGGGAAGCCCATATCTCAAAAAGTTAACTGTCATTGAAAAGGAGAAGATTTTAATAACACATAATACGCCCTTTTTCGGCCGGTTGCCCAGAAGTGTCTGATTTGGACAGAACGCGTCTCACATATATCATTTCTTGTTCTTTTGATGACATCCAGAAGCTGGCTATCCTGTGTATGAGCTCCAAGAAGCCTTGAAGCTTTACAACAACCAGTTCTCAGCACGTTGGGAAGGCATTACCGGCAGTGAACATGTTCCAAGGTAAAATGAACAGACAACCAACAAAAATACCATCTCGGTTTAATTCCTGATTATTGTGTACTCTTAAGGAAATGAAAGAACTTCAATTTCTGGCGTTGTGTTGGCATTTTTTTTGGTTTATCTTAGTAAGACATAAGAAAGATATTTGTTGCAAAGAAGGAAAAAAACAAGACTCGCAAGATTTGGAAGACTCAAGTTGTTGTACAAATGCAGCCCTGCTTTTTTGACATTCTGAAGAAGCTGGATTATAGAATTTCAAATTGCATATCACTGCTCCCTAATTTGTGGCACATATTAAAATAGAAAATTCCTAAATGTCTTAATAATAATGGCTTAGAACCGAGAGTTTCAGCATTGACTGTGGTTTGAAATTTGTCTGCGTCAAAGAGGCTTGGACTCTATTGGAGATGAAGATAGCATTATGGCAAACTTGACAGTTGCATGGGGGGGTCAACCCCTTTTCAGAATTTGCAGGGAAAAAAACCAAGGTGGTATTTTGCCCTTTACCGATACAGTGCTGTTACTATATACTTTTACATTGTGTACTCATTTATTTTCATTCTTTTTTTTTGTTTCTTTGCTGTACAGTGTTGGTGAATGGGAGGAGCAGTTCCGTGAGTGTGCTGCTTTCATCTTCTACGGACTGGAGAAGTTCTTCTCTCATCTCTCTCCTCAGAAACTGGCTCCTATGAATCTCTCGGGTAAGAATCAATGTCTTGGCACTGCTTAACAGTAAGCAGCGGAAACATTGTGCTAAAGCCCGAGCACGCTATCAGATGTATCATGATAGCCCCTTTTAGTGGCAAAGCATTGTACTTGTTATTGTTCAGATAACCTGTCACGGGGCAGTAGCCTTTTTAAAAAAGTACACAATGGTTTCTCCATTAAAAAATGGAGCCTTATGACTGTACAGTGGTCACATGCCCAGATTCGTCTGTAGCACAAATTGCGCTAATCTTTTAGGTCTAAAGCTGTTGTCTTGTTTTTTAATTTGAGATAAAGAATTGTAACCAAAAAAACAAACAAATTTACTTTATTTTCTTTTTTCCCTGATTTTGTATGTTCATTATTATTTGGCTCGAGAGAAATGTTTTGGGTCTAGAGCTGTTGTCTTGTATTTTTAATCATCTGAAAGAATTTGTTTTGTTTAATCAACAGAATGCCAGTTAGTGATACTGCTGGATCTGGTGCAGACGAGCGAGAGTTTCATGCGGCAGTCCAAGATTGACGTCCAAAAAAAGTAAAATTCAGTCCAAAATTTGACTGCTGTATTTAAATGATTAGCATGAACCCAAATTCTCTTAGGCCAAAAAAAAAAATAATCGGTCTCTGGTCGGACCAAAGTTCCAGAATTGATGCGGCGACGCAGCCCTTTTTTTTTTTTTTTTGGCTTTTTTTTTGTTGTTCAAGCTTGGATTGTACAGATAAGGTGGGGTACTATTTTGCTTTTTTTTTTTTTTTTTTTTTTTTGGAACATTTTGGAAAAAAAAAGATTGACGCGCATGGTTAAAATCGACGAGCGCTGACCAGAGACCGACTATTTTTTTTTTTTGGCCTTAAATGTTTTTTTTACTGTCATGAAAGTGATGTTGGACGTGTTTTGTTTAAACCCTTGAAGATGCATTAACTTTGACTTTGTCTCAGATTCCATGGCTACCTAAAGCAAGCATGTCCCACATCACTAAGCAGCAGCAGTCAAAAATTGTTAAATATGTGAGGCGTTCTGGCAAAATGAGACAGCGCTGGGCAGAGTTTGGATTGAGGGTTGGTGGATATTCGGAAAGAGAATAAAATTCTCCTCACAATACTGTTTGTTGCATTTCAATGGGACATTCCGTTGACAAGTTATGGCTGTTTAAAGTTTGCGTTAATCAACAAGTCCAAAAAGTGAAATACTGAAAAAATGGCCTTTAAAGTTTTGAGATTTTGTATTCGTGACAATGAAAGATGCCAGTTGTTTTTCCTTAAAAACACAGCTATTCCACAATTGTTATACTGTGTCTGTAAAATATGTTAGATTACAAGTTACATATAAGAGATTTCAAATATCAACTAGATTTATGTTTGTGGACAAACATAGGGCTGTTTCGGTAATTTTTTGCGACGTGTGACATGTAAAGTTTCAAGTATAAGTTCCATCAAGGAAGGATGTGTAGTTCTGTTCATAATAAATGGTGGCATATGATATGTGATAACATTCTCATAGGGTTTTGAATAATGACGTCACATGTCATGTGATGACGTCATCATGACGTCACTTCAATTTTCATCTACAACACTTCCCGGCTTAGGTACATACCAAGTTTCAACCCAATCGGACCTGCAGTTCTATAGATATCGGCCTTCAAAATATGCACGTTTAATATGACGTCACATGTCATGTGATGATGTCATCGTGACGTCACTTCATTTTTCATCTATAACGCTTCCCGGTGTAGGTACATATACATACCAAGTTTCAACTCAATCGGACTTGCAGTTCTGGAGATATAGGCCTTCAAAATATGGTTTTTTTTATCTGACGTCATATGTCACGTGATGACGTCATCATGACGTTAAGTTAATTTTCATCTATAAGACATCCTGGTCTATGTAGTTCTGGAGATATAGCCCAATCTGTCAGATCTAGCCGAATTCTGCTAGAAAATGGTCACAACAGAAAAATCGCATATAATGTGACGTCACGTGACTCGTGATGACGTCATGATGACGTCAATGTTCGGCACACAACTTCAGATGCTGGTCTAAGTGTGTGCCAAGTATAAAGTCAATCGGATTGATTTTATTGCTTAAAGTGCCTTCCACTGTAAAAACGTGTTCAAATGCTATGAAGAATGGCTGAAAAAGTCAAGAAGAAAAAAAAAAAACTTTAACGAAAACAAAGGCTGTTTCGGCCGGTTGCCGAAACAGCCAATAAATCTGAAAATCGTGCCCAGTTCCGTCTCATAACGCCTCACATCTAACAACTTATTCCCAAGTTGTAATCGATTTCATGACACATCCACTCTTGTTTTCAGCAAAAACGAGTTATCCCTGGAGAAATCGGTGGAGACATCGATGCTTCTGAGTCTGAGCGGGGCTAGCTGCGTCATGGCAAACCAGTGGCACTGCACGCTGCAGCACAACGCCAACAAGTTCCAGACACTCATGAAATGTAAGGACCTAGTGGTTTAGTGGGATGGGTTTGGTGAGGGCAGAGTTTTGGTCAAATCCATTGCTAGACGAAGTCAGTTCACAAATCTGGTCACAAAATTTTCTTCTGCAGGACGCATGTGTGAAACATCATGTGACTGAATTAGTATCATATCTATTGAAATAATTAGTTTGTCATATGTATTGATCAGGGGTGGAGTGTGGCCTAGTGGTTAGGGTTCGTGACTCATGATCAGAGGGTCAGGGGTTCGAATCCAGCTGCTGGTCATATGTTGTGTCCTTCAAGCCACTTCACCCCACTTGCCTCTCTCCACCCAGGAGTATAAATGGTCAGTTGTTTCATGCTACAGAAACCAGAGATAAACGCCGGCCTGATGGGCCACATTGGCTCGGGACAGACTTTACTATGTATTGATATTACGGGAATTGGTACCTCGATCAGGGAGACATTCCAATAGGGTTGTGCACAAAATGTGTCAAACTTTAATGATCCCTAACCACTTTTCCCTTATCCTACCTGCACAAATTCTGGTATATTCACGTTTTGGACCATGAGCAATCGATCTAGCCTATTACACTCAGACACGAATACATGTACAATCAAAACATCATTAACCAATATATTGGATTTGCCGCAGCCTGAATGTGTTTATTAAATCTTCATGACAAATCAAAGCATGTTTTGTTTTCCGTTTTACCATACCGCACCACCAACATAAATAGACGGCCAGATACCAGTCTTTCATTGCTGAAATCCTTTGGGCAAACTGACTCTTACAAACCATTGGGTTGATCAGACCCACCGAACCTGGGGTACATAACCGGGCCCCCACTCCGGATCCACTTTAAACCGTACCTGGGGTAATAACGGTCCCCCACTCCGAAAACCATCTGTGGTATATACACGCCCCTTCTAAATTGCTCCGTAATTGATAGGACACTTGTAGAAACTTTTAAAGTAATTGCCTTAATTGAAACACAAAGTTCGCTGGCATAAATAATTGGAATGCTTCGCGATCGGAACCGACTTCGTGGAAGCAAACCCTAGCCGGCACAGGCTGGGTTATTGTTGTAAAGGTTTGGAATTAAACAATTATAAATCAATGTCAACACATTTCACTGGACAGGCTCAGCGACCCTGGAATATGGCTTGCCGAACCCTGTCCCACGACCACAGTCGCGCTTTCCCACACTTTTTACGGAGTGAAAAAACCCTCAAGGTAAACCCACTCTTCCTGTTTGCCAAAATGAAGAGTCAAAATCCCGTTGGGAAAAACTCCGCAAAGAAGCGCCGAGAAACCGCTAAGTGGCAGCAAAAGTCTTCAGAGCACTTACATCCGAATACTCGTGGCTGGCTCGCAAAAAGAAGCGTGATTAATGTTCATTGCAGGCAAAGATGACACGCCAGACTCACCCCGCCTTGCTTGTTGGCTCTCAGATCCACTCGGTCCTGGTGCAGGTTCGATCGGCAGCTCCGGTTGTCCTAACGCCGGGTGCTGACTTCTGACCACCGGCGTCGGCACATCGTCAATCCGAACACGACGTGCCCTCACCCCAGACTGCGTGGCCCGTGTACGGGGTCTCCCGCGCTGCCTCCTGCCAATGCCGGCATCCATCCTGTTCGCAGCTGGAGTTGCTGGAGTTGATGACCGGGTGGATTTAGGCATTCTTGGAAGTTACTCAATGAGATCCAACGTCAACCAGACAACGAAACTACTTTAAGAAATTCGAAGACAACTTCGGATAAATTTCGAAGTATAACTTGAAGCTGAACAGGAGAATAGCGATAACGATGTTTCCACATTCAGTTACTGCAACGAAGTGGTCTTCTCCACGTGACAACAGCCCACACCTTGCCTCTGTCTAACCACGTTGCTGCTGGGCTAGCCAATCCGCTCATTAATGCATTATTCATGATCTCCAATAAATCATTAAACATAAAAACCATTCGTGCTGCGTGTAAGATATTTTATCGTTCAGTCGATAAAATTGATTTGCAACATTAAAATTGTGCATCTACAAAATAGGAGTTGTGACATTTGGAGACACTGAAATGTCTCCCTAAAGTCCGCTGTCTCCCTAAGGTATAACTAATGACGACAAAACATCTCCGGCAGGGTACATTAACAAACTTAGATATTTAATTTGTTGTTTTTACCGATTGAACCTAACAGCTCTCTTGGAGATTGGAAGGACGTCTGGCCAAACAGTCCGCCGGATGTTCATCCCGACCTGGAAGCAGGAAGGAGAGGAAGAAGAAGAAGGTGAAGGAGCTGATGACAAAAACGACGGCAAAAACAGCGTCGCCTCGCAGCCCCAGAAAGCCAACAGTAGCGGCAGCGACGGAAAAGGAGACAAGTCTAAAAACGTAAAGGGCAAAGGCGACGATGGTGGAAAGGCAAAGGTTAAAGGTGAAGAGGGCAAGAGCGCCAAGACCAAAGGCAAGAAGGAAGAGAGGAAGATCAGTCAGGTGACTGAGGTCAAAGTTCAGGGTTCAGCGACCGACACGACCAGCAGAGAGCAGTTAGCTGGGAACGAAGAGCTGGAGTTGATCAGCAGGCATTGGTTCAATTATGTGTGTTACGGGTTGCCCAATCTGATGGTGACCCAGGTTCAGTAAGGCTTAGATTTCTGAGGTTGAGAGGTTTTTGTTAATGTTGTTTGCTTTGGTTTTTGAATTTGATAGATTGTGTTATTGAAAGTGGGTGTTTATATTTTAATGCATATCCCCGAATTATATATTCTAACATTACAAAATTTGTAAGAACAAGAGAGTACTAGTAATTACCGACCGGTTCTCAATATAGGTTCTGATCGTATGATGTCAAAGTACCACCTGACCAATCAGTTTCCCCATAATTGACCACATCACACCGTTGCAGTAAACTAGGCTTAGTTTCACATAAAATAATCGCAAATTCTTCATCAGATGGCATATTAAATGGTCACTACCAGTGCTGCTGTGTATAGTAGTCATAATCCTGCCAACCCAGCACTGGGTGTTGGCTCCGCATTTTTCTCAGAGTTTTTGGACCTCAATCACAGTAAGAATGTTACGAGTCCACTTACATCCCTGGGCATTGCATGTAATATGACATGGCATGGCATATTTGTTGTCTTTACATTTTCTTTGCCATTTAGATTGCATAGCCTTTGTGTACATGCCATTAGCTTCCCCGAGTCAGCTAGAGCTAGCCCTAGGTCGTTCCATCAACTTGGAAGTCATTCTCATGGCTCAGTCAGGTCAGCCGTGACAGATCCTGGAGTGGGGCAGTGTTGGAATTACAGTTGACCCTCATATTACTATAATTCAAGGAATCTCTGTCTGTCTGTCTGTCCGTCGATTATCTCCAGAACCGGGCACCGTATGGAGTTGAAAATCGGCGGGTGTATTGCTCGGGGCCACAGAAAGTGCAGTGCCAAGTTTGAAGTGGTTTGGATGAGCGGTTCTCGAAAAAGCTGCAAAAAAGCAGTGTTTTCGGAGGCAAACGTGGCAGCTTAGAACATAACACCACGCACTGCCGTTCTTTTCAATTGTTTACGTCATGTTTAAGCTAAAGCGCACGTGCTCAATATGACGCAAACAATGCAAAAAGGACGGGCACGTGCATTGTAGGGCGATACATTGTCCAGTACGGGTGAATAGCACTGCATACCATGTTTTCGTATGTACACGGGCACATTATTTTTACAGTCGACTGAGCGACCATTGTAGGTGGTCGAACTTCAAACTTGGCACAAACTTTGACGTAAGTGTGAAACTTTGACAACCTGTGAAAACAACACCATTGAATCGCGTGCGTTGTTTGCACGAGCAGTTCTCCAAAACTCTGCAAGTATGCAACCTATACCAGCGGCAAAGCAATTTGCGCTTCCCGAACATGCACATTTTAGACGGGCACTGCACTAGTTAATACAATTCTGTTACGAACATTAACAATTGACGACACACAATTATTTTCACCAGCAGTTTAGCTGACAGTTTATTCAAAAAACTTGTTCGGAAACATAATATTTACATGTACTTTTAGTTTTATATACAGTGTCCATGATGGAAAGTGGGAAAGTTGTTTAAACTTTTAAACAAAAAAAATGGATCCTACAAAAATGACCCAGCACAATCAATTTTAAATGCTTAATACAGGCATGCCTCGTTTTTTTCTTCTCATAAATGCCATTAGAAATTGATAAACACTGTACAAAGTCTTGTGACTTTGGAATTTTTCTCTAAAATGCCTGATAATACACGCACTTGGACTTGCAGCACACATTTTGTTTGGACAAGGTACTTGAGCAACGTTACACCGTCTCGACCCAAATTTACTTGGTTTCAGACAGGCATAATCTATGAATTAATGCCTATTTACTAGAACAACATCTTAACACTCTGGAGTCATTTGGTACATCTGCAACAGTCAAGTGACAGTGAATTGTATTGGCATGTACTATCTGCTCTTTATGCCATTTCAAAGGTCGAACTAAAAAAATGTGTTACTTTGTAGCTCAGGATGCACCAAAAATATTTAGTCAAAACAGTTTTGGATATGACGTTGTGCAAATTTGGTAGTCTTGAGCTAACAATTAGTCATTTCAACAGCATTTCATGAAATGATTTACATGACCCGCCCTGTACACTATGCACATGTTTAATCTTCCTCAGCTAGATGCAATTTTGTATTCATCCTTGTCATCCGTCCATAGAACCTTTGTATTACATTGTAAATGTGCGTCACTGTAGGTGCCTTATAGATTTTCTTCTAATTCTTAAAATTAACAATGAATTTGTTCTATTAGCATTGAAGTTGAAATATGTATTTGGCATTGCAATACACTGTTTGCGCAATGAAAATTTGATGTGAATTGTTTTCATAAAAACTAATGAAATAAATACTTTCAATAATTGGTTTGGTCAACTCTGTGTTCACTTGTTTCCATGTGAATTCCATGCTGATGCGTTTCCATTGAGCACCAAATACACGTATAAACCTTGTAGCATAAATGCCAACTGTTGTCCATCTTGGAGAATTTCTATATCAAAACACATCCAGGATTTTCTCACGGTATTGCTATCAAGCTAATTTTAAACTCGTTAAGAACAGGTTCAATTGCCGAACGATAGCATGAAGAACAACGTCTACGCAAAGTTCAAGCTTGTTTTCCAGTTTGTCAGCTCAAGCAGGTGTATTTTGAGCCCATGCACGGGCCTCCCATACACAAAGAATTAAGTCACAGCTTTTTCAAGGTTTCCATATGACCAACACTTTCCATCTAAGCTGCTCATTATTATCCTTCCCTTTCACAGTTTCCTATGTCACTGACAGTGATTAGTCATCAGCTGACTGAAGGAAAAGCTATATGCCCATTTAATCGGGATAATCACAGTTGGAAAACTAAATTATAACATTACTTTTCCATTAACGATCATATCTTCTATAAGGGCCCGTGACCATTCAGCCCCGGTATGAAAAGGGCCCCCCGGTTTAGCTCGTCCCGTCCCAAGAAGTCCTCTTGTACCGGCCCAGGAGCTAGTCCTGTTGCTAATCAGGAACTCCTCTATCCTGGGGTCTATTGTTTGCAAGTATTGACACATGTAATATATCCCAGAAGAAACCCGCTTGTGGTTTTCATCTCTCTGCGCGAAACAATAGAAAACTTTCGTCAGCACAGATCAAAACCCCTGCCATGTGGTTTCGTGCACAATGGGACCGTAAATTACCAAGTCATTATGGAAGGATTTTATCTTTAATCCGGTAAGTCTGCTATTGTTCTGCTCTGGACGTTCTCTGAAGGGCAATAAATTAATGCGCCTGACTGACTTCAAAACTTCTGGTCAGACAGGACCATGTACCGGACGAGACTGGGCTGAAGACCGGACGGGGTGCCGGGGGGCCCTCTTAATACCAGGGCTGAATGGTCACGGTCCCTAAGACACTTCCATACAACAATATTTTCTTGCTTTGTGTGCCTTATCAATTAGAATGAGCAAAACTGGGAACAGAATTCCACTACAGTACTTTTCAATCAGGATTCCATCTTCCGAGAGAGATATTTTCAGATGCTTTTCCCTGTTCCACTTTGAAGAAAAGTACATGCCTGGAGGGTAAGGACGAACAAATCTGAGTCTTTTCATTGAGATTCTGTATAAATAATTATGATTTCATGCTCTGAGAGACCTTTTCTAAGGGTACCATCATCCCTTTAAACAGGGCATCTTTTAGGGATGAACATAACTGGCAACATGAACTTCCAATGCTATTGTCCCTGTAGGATTCCATCTCTGGGGGGGGACTTGTTTTCCTTTATGTTTTTCCCTCTGGCAGGACCATCATCCGTGGCGCAATGCTCATGGCCATCAACTCTTGGAAGAGCAGCTTGCAGGCATAGGGCAGACGGATCTGGGAAATCTGCATCAAGAATAGGGGGGAAAAAAAGAGCAGATTTCCAGCATTATCAACAGATGCTGAAAATTCTTTGACATTTTCAGAAATCTATTTTGCAAATGCCATTGGGCAAGTCGATTATGCACTGTTTTGTGAAATTGGCTGCAGTTGGTTAGGTGATGGGTGGAAGGGCTAGGTTTCCGTACCTGTGTTTTATTCTTGCAGCCCCGGCACTCAAATGTGTTGTTCCTCAGGTTGGCGATGGCCATGAGTCCGCACAGGTTACAGACATGGACTCGGTAGGGGTCCGATACCTCAAACAGTCGCTCCCTCAAGAACTGGGCCGAGCCATGAGAAATCTGACAATCGCGTTCCATTTCACCGAAACGTAGACCGCCATCACTGAAATTGAAAAAAAATAATAATAATTGTTCCCTTTAGACAATACAAGGTTCATACTGTCCTTATATCTTTCTGCTGGTCCTAGTGAGCCCAGGGTAAGCATATAGTCATCTTTGTAGCCAACTCACTAACTGTTAATTGTGACTTAAAAGACTGTTTTCTGGCTGGAGAAGCGAGCTGGGCAGTGCTATTGTATAGGATTACCACATACTGGGCTATATCTGGCCAATTGCCTACACCATATGCATGAAAAGACTTCCAGTCAATAGCCTTTCCGAACCAATTGAATAGATGATTTACTTTAGTCGAGCCTATGCACTGCTCTATGTGTTCTGGCAACATGAGCAGAGGTTGAAATGAGTATTGGCAATTACGGTATTAGGAAAGAGAATAATATTCTCCTTGCAACACTGGTTGTTTCACTTCAATCAGACAGTTATTCCGTTGGCAAGTTATGGCTGTTTAAAGTTTGCAATTATTACCATGTCAAAAAAGAAAATTACCGTGAAAAAGGCCTTTACAGTTTCAAGTTTTGTATTTGTGAAAATGAGAGATGCCAATTGTTTTTTTCCTAAAAAACTCTTTTGATATTCCATGACATTATACTATTTCTTTAAATGTGTAGTAGGCATACCAATATTACAAATGTCAATCAATCTGAAAATCCCCCCCAAAAATTGTTTCTTTGCAGTTTTTTCCAATAATGGCCTGTGCCAGTTCTGTCTCAGTTTGCCAGAACGCCTCACAAACTTTTTCAAGTTTGTTGAAGCACATATCTAAACAAGGAATTGATCTGGACATTACCGTGATCTGCCCTCCATAGGCTGTCTGTTCAGGATCTGCACGGGCCCTCGTGCTCTAGAGTGGATCTTATCATCCACCATGTGCTTCAGACGCTGGTAGTAGGTCGGACCAAGGAAGACTTGCACGCCAATCTTGCGGCCAGTAAAACCGCAATGAAGCACCTGAAAGAAAAACAACACAGTAGGGTCAAAAGGCTGGCAGGAAATGAATGACTGAGATTGATTGTGGGCTGTCACATGTGGGGGTCAAATTCCTTCACCATCATAGAATTCCACCAGTGTTATAGTCACGTACTTTTTTCCGAGTACAGAGTACTGCCGAGTACTTAGGTTACTGAGTACGAGTACGAGTACGAGTACTTGTACTTCCGAGTACAAGTACAAGTCTCCGAGTACGAGTACTTGTACTTCCCGAGTGCGAGTACGAGTACTTGTATGCCGAGTACTAGTACGTGTACTTCTATTTCCGAATACGGCCGTACGGCAAATGGTTCATTGTGCGTTATTGGCCCAGGCCCAGTCAGACCGATTTACTTCACATAAGGTGTTGGAAATAGACAGATTTCCTATACACTTCATGTAAGGTGTCAGAAATACACGGATTTCCTATATACTTAACATAAGGTGTCAGAAATAGACAGATTTCCCATCAAATTAACGCAAGGTGTCGGAAATACATGAATTTCCTAAAAACTGGACGTAAGGTGTTGGAAATAGACGGATTTACAATGAACTTAACGTAAGGTGTCGGAAATACACGGATTTCCTATAAACTGGACGTAATGTGTCAGAAATAGACGGATAACGTAAGGTTATCTTTATAAGCAAGTCCCTACCTCATTGCCTCTCTGATGGTACCCATACTCATGCAGCAGGTCCGATATCTTCTGCACGTTGACCGAGTCGTTGAACGGTGTGGCATCACCGATCTCTCCCTTGTTGGCCGATACTTTGCCCTGGAGGCACTCAATCAAGTGACCAACGGTCATACGGCTAGGGATGGCGTGGGGGTTGATGATGATGTCTGGGGTGATACCTTCACAGGTGAACGGCATGTCCTGAACAGGTGCAGTACAACAATACCAATTAATTAGTCTCTCCCAACAAATGTTTCTGGTAACCGACAGACCCTAAAATTTTGAGTGTACATAGGGACGGCAGTTGAATTTTTTTCCCTCCATTCTATGAAGGTAGTAAATCAAATATAACATGGATTATTTTGGGAAAGTAGTGCAAAATTACTGGTCCCTCCACACTGGCTGCATTTGACTACCAAAGGACCACAATTTTTGTGGAACTTCCCTTCAAACTACGATGTATCTGTACTAGTATATAGCAGCTCACTTGTTTGTTCTGGCCTCTTGTTTACTGAGGGCAAGTCATGCAGTTTTCACCAAATTATATGCAACCTATATTTCTACGGGTGTACATTTACAGGTTGTATGGGAATCGGGTACCCGACAGAAAAAAACACGATTACCCACATGCCCGTTAAAGAAACCCAAATTCAAATGTAGGAAGTTGCTTTACAGATTGTTCATTAAGGTCTGCATGATAACACTACCACATACATGTACAACAAGATTGTGTTCAGTGGGCTCAATACATGTAGCTTTACAGTGTAAATTGCATTTTCGCAAGCGTCATGAACATCAATCTGTTTTGTTTTTCCATGTAGCCTGGTTTTCATTTTGGAAATTCTCCACAAATGACATTCAAAACCTTTCTTTTTCATAGTCTGAGAAGTTACTAAGTAACATTTACAGTTGGTTACGGGTGCTCGATACTATAATCTGGAACCCGTTCCTGAGACATTCAGCAGTCAGTTAGTCGGGTACCCGGTTCCGATGCACAGCCCTATATATTTCCATTTTTTTTTTGATTTCATGCTTAATTACAAATTGTAAATTTGATCATCATGGCCCCCCATACTTGTGATCTGCTGTGATTATCCCAAGTTTAAATATAGCACTGATGTACTTAAACACTGTCAGAAGTAACTGTACCAAACTGATTTACTTAAACACAGTCAGAAGTAAATATAGAACTGATTTTCTTAAACACTGTCGGAACAGCTGGAGAGACAATTACCTCTGGTCTGTATTTCATGCCGCAGGTACCCTTCTGCCCGTGCCGACTGGCAAACTTATCTCCGATTTGAGGAGTACGCACTGATCGAACCTTTAAGAAAACAAAAATGGCATCCAAAAAATTAACAAAACATCATTTATCTCAACAGATGCAATTTGTTCAGTCGCCAAACACTCTCATGTACTGGAGTCATCTGTTGTTTGATACCGCAGAACATATCATGTCTTGGATACTATGCTTTCATTGGCCTACAGTGGTCCAAGGTTATAAACACAAATATGTGCCGATGTAAAAGTCATGTCATGAACCCTTTAATTCTGACCTTGATCTTGCAGAACTTGTAGCCTTCCTGGTTGATGCTGACCATGACTTGATCAATGATCCCGGTCTCCGTGCGTCGCATGAACGTACTGCAGTCTCGCTTGGTATACCGTTTACTGGTACCCTCCAGCTGTAAATGCACATGCAACGTGTTAGGAGCAATCCCATTGAATATCCAGGACAATTCATAGACAAGTGTAACAATAGACCCTCTCCAAGACAGCCATCTTTGTAAGAAAATTACAACTGCGTATTCAACACCATCAGGTACGTGTGCACGCAGTGTGTAAAATGTTCTTAACCACAAACTTGATGCTTGGAATTTTCTTGAAATACGGCGCAGCCGATGCGCGTCACGAAAATTTGACACCCAAAATGCTGATGCACGTGACAATCTGTAGGCAGTGACGTCATTTAAGAGATATCTATAGGCCCATTGTATGGGCTCCATGCGCCAACGAAAGAGGGCGCCCTTTTTTACCTAGCAACGACGTCCCATGGGCGGGACATTTAGCTGGTTGACATTTAGCTGGTTGTGTGCGTGTGACGCACGTACACAAGGGGATTTGTACTGTGTACACACAGTGGTACATACGGCCGCGTGTCGCAGCAAAATTGCAGTCAGGCAAGATGGCGTCGGTCCGTCACCCCCAACTAAACTTTCTCTGCCGGTGAGGGGGTACTTGTGAACGGAGCGGATAGGGCATCATTTGTAGGAGTTGTAGGACAAACTACAAATTACCCCAGATATTTAAACTATCGGACTGAATAATCTGTGAGGTGCTTTGGTTGAGGGGTGGGGCTCATATTCTTATGTGCAGTATCGACAACCTGTTTCCCACTTCTACTAGTACGCTACTACTTACATGTATCCTGGTATTGGATCATTGAAAAGGCAAAAATCTTAAATTTTAAAATGAGGTTCGCAATGAGAGTGTACAGGGTACTAGACTGTATCAATGTGTTGCCACGTTAGATACGAAAACAAACGTGACAAATTACTATTTTTATGATAAAGTAGTTGGCAAAATGCAAAAAAGGCATTTTTTTTAGGAAGACAAGTAAATATCAACACAATGTTGAAAGTCAACATTAAACATATGATACACATCAATGACTTGTTATTTTGATTTCAAATCCGATCATGGGAAGCCAGTTACTCATTCCAGGGTCTGCTATCGAGACCAGAATGAAATGAAGCAAATTTGCTAGCAAGCTATGAATTCCTGTTTGTCTGGTACCTCATCATCATCCTCTGGCTCAGTGATGGTCTTGCCAATGAGGACGTCGTCTCCAGAGACACGAGTGCCTGGGGGAATGATACCATCCTCCTCCAGCTTGTCATAGACGGCTGGCCGCATCCCTGGTGATAGCAAGGAAACAAGGAGATGCCGTCAGATATCTTGACTTCAGATTATTACACCTCATACATAACATGAGGGGCAAGCCTATAGTGCTCTTTGTTCCTGACCGACTGTCACTTGTGAATCAAACTTGCGTCAGTCTCACCTTGACCCAAAAGTTTGAAATAGTACAGTGTGTATCAAAAAAATGATACATTTAGAGAAAATAATATTTAAAAATACTAGCTCCTATTTTGTTTAATAATAACTTGTATACGAATGATTATTTCTCTACACAATGCTGTTTGCCCTATCTCATTTGGACACCTACATCCAGAGATATAGACAGTTAATTGAAAGGGATGATATGTCAATGTGGTCCAAGTTGCAGCAAAGGGGATGAAAGGAAATGAACATGCCAGCAATCTCTGGATGCAACCCTGCAAATAAATTCCCATAGACACTAGTGCTAAATGCCCATACTTCAAAATTCTTTTAAAAATACTCGGAACTCTCACAGGTATTCAAGCTGCACAGAAAAATGCTGATCAACATGTAATCTTTTGTTTTTTTTTCATTTTTTGGTGGGTTGACCATTGACTTTTCAAGATATTCTCACCCAAAGAAGACAACCCCTATTTTCTCCAAAGCGGAAAAGTAGCCATCTTGAAAAACGATCCCTCCACAACATGGCAATATAGTACCACTTTCGAGCCCAATAGCATCCAAAATGCTCAAAATTGGAAGCCCCAAGTCCGGGCCAGAGGTTCATTACCAAATCTCTTCAATTCCCCAATTTTACGGCGCTCAGACTTCTCTAATATAGAATATTTTGAGGGTATAACTTTTATTCATGAGCTCGGCGGATGGATTTTGGCCTATTTACCGGTTTGCACCCCTCTCTGTTGGCCAACTTACCCATTGTTCTTTGCCAATCAATATTGAGTTGGAACAACCTAAACGTATGCTCCGATTATTATGTTAACAAGTTACACAATCAATGAATTGTGAAGGCTAGAGCATGAGCAGACTTCCACTGAATAGCCAATGTGATTTGATTGTATAGAATGTTGTGCACTCCAAAAATTTAGAGTTTATTGAAAAGCACAGAGAATACAACTTTAAACCTCCTGCCATTTGAACAGTCACAGACAGTCAAAATTTCCATCCACTTCCCCTGCTTTAAACTTGTAACACCTGCTAGTCACCAACAGTCAGATCATATGTCAAGCAAGCAGTGTGACTAGTCAAACTCAGTCAACAGACCATGAACAGACAAAGCAGGCAAGTTTTGGGCACAGCTGGCTGATCAATTACCCAGTCAAAGCATAGCTGTATCAAGTTACATCAACAGTCACAGCCAGTCAATCCTACTTTGTGTAGGCTGGGAATTCTTAACTGTCGAAAACAGTCATTGATTGATTTTGACTGAAAGGACTACTTAGCACAGAATGTATGTCTGCATCAGAGGTTAAGGAAATAATCTCTTTAATTGCATGTCACATTCTGTTTACCTCTACAAGTTTCTCGGGTAGGCTTTTCAAAATACTCTTCCTGATCCATCTTCTTAGACTCGGAGTCTTTGTAGGAACGGTAGAACACTGACCTGATGGAAAGAAGAATGAGATATTACTCCTCTTCAAAAGTCTTTGTACACATCAAGTTTTGCATAACAACTTTTTTCCATAGCTACCATACTTCAACATCCTTTGAGGTAATCTGTTGAGTATAGGTAACACTTCAGAAAATGAAAAATTCATGAAATAATCAGCAGAGGGTTTGGGGCCACCTTAGTCCATAGAGCAATGTAGGGTCCACGATATGTTAGCAATTATAAGATGGAATTTTGCGTCGGGGTGATATAAATCAAGTTAGGTTTTGCCCTTCACCGACGTTTTTTAAACACATCTGCACTAGAAAGCAGGAGGTCGTGGGTTCGAGTCCCACCCGAGTGATTTTTTTCCAACTTTCACTCGGGAGGTCATACACTGAGTATACAGTTTTAAAAACGTCAGTGAAGGGCAAAACCTAATTTGAGATATGTTAGCATTTGCCTAAAAAGGCACCCCTTAAAATTCCAATTCCTTTTATTCTACACAAACCTTTAGATTAACCCTGCTTTCCCAAATCCTCCAGAATCATCTTTGCAAAATGGAGGATTTTGCAGGATTGAGGCTACATGGCAAAAATGTGTTGCTGATTTCAAAGGATGCACTGTGTCAAGGTCTTGGGCGGACCTTGTGTTGTTTATGCTCAACCATGCATAAATTTAGGCCTAGATTATACTTGAAATCCTCCGCACTGCTCCAGGATGTCACTGGCTCTGCCTCAACATATTGACAGTGATTACCGTATGATTTTTCAGGATTGAGGTTACATCCTAACAAATATGGGCATTAGGGTTAAATGACACCTTCATGGGAAAGTCTCAGGAATTCCACATTTCAAAAGGAAACTTTTTGAAAAAAATCCAGAAAAAATGTCTGACACTAACCTAAAAAATCCTCTATCCACAGCTGCAGAATTCAGGATGACCGAGTCTTCCTGGTTGTAGCCAGTGTATGAAGCAATAGCCACGATGGAGTTAATACCAGCCGGCAGCTCTCTGAATCTCAGGTACTCCATGGACCGTGTGGTGGTCAGTGGTTTCTGCGGGTAGTACAACACGTGGGCTAGGGTGTCCATGCGGACGTGGTAGTTGGTGATGTAGACTCCCATGGCCTGCTTACCCATAGCGGACTGGTAGGTGTTACGCGGAGACTGGGGGAGAAAGGGGGAAACATTTTAACATTTGGTTTGTCTTTTAACAATTTCATTTTTTTAAATTTGTATACTCAGTACAAGCTTTCTCAGTTGGGACCAAGTCCACAGGCAAGGGTTGGTTAGCCAATTATACATCTTATATAGAAGCAAGTACTGCAATCAATAGCTTGTAATGATGAAGTTATGCATGAAAGCCAGCAGGAACCACTACATATAATCAAATGTAGGGATGTGCATGGGAACCGGGCACCCTTGTATCCGACTGCTGATGTCAGGAACCGGTTCCAGATTATGGGGTCAGGCACCCGTAACCAACTTTACAAATCATTTAGTAAAATTTCGATGCCATTTGTTGGGACTTTTCAAAATAAAAACCTGGCTACATGGAAAACCAAAACTGCGAAAGTTGCAGTTTACAACGAACATGTATAGCTACAAAGCCTTTTAGGTAACTTCTGGGATTTGAATTTTTGTGGTTGGGTTTCTTTAATGGGTACCCTTGTTTTAACTCAATAGGGTACCAGGTTCCCGTACTACACCACTAATCAGATGACTTACCAGGTTTCAGGTTTAATTTGAACTAATTCAGAAAAAAAATTGACAAGCATGTTTTCATTGAAGTGGATTATATCAGGAAACCCACAGGACTTTAGATAACCCCAAAATAGCTGCTGAGCATGAATAATGTTGTAATTTTACATAAATGTACATAAATTTAAATCACATGATTACATTAAACTTTTTAAGTACAAGGTGTTCATCGTTGCTCGTTTAAGTGCGACATTTGGCATCATTTACTGATCAGGGGATAAGCGTGACATCCTGTGGAGTTCCTGTAGTTTCCTGTAGCCAGTTATTAACCCCATGCGCTCGGGAAGCGGTCATGGCCGCGGCCGCTAATCCTCATTGGAATGCAGTTGCCAGCTGTGGTATGCCGTGGCACAAGGCTAGTGGGTAGTTCCACAGCTGCTGCTTTTGGCAGTCCCGCTACCACACAAAGGCTGTGCAGTCATGCGGGCCACTTGCTCTATGTGTGGAGGAATGTCCCCATAATAACCCGTGCTTAAGGGGTTAACCTGTTTGTATAACAATCATATAATGGAGAAAGTTTTTAAGGGAATATTTTGTCAACTACTAGGCCTATGCCCTAACAATACTAATCCCTGAGGCCTTATGTTTTCGTATACTGAGTAGGAACACACTTGAGCTTCAACTATGTGAGTGATAATAACAAATACAAAACGTGAAGAAAATTTCAGCAGTCTCGATCCAGGGATTGTTATAACCCATTAGCACATGTACTACATTGTATTACAATGTGTGTATTCGCTGAAAAATCAATAAAAGCATAGAGCGCTTGGCGGGCGCTACAGTGAGTAATAGGCAGGGCGGTTTGGGACGCTAGAGTAACTCAAGGGTCAATCAGCTACTAGGGTTAGGGTGTCTCACCTGGTTGTGATCAGGGAAAGGAATGATGGACGCGCACACACCAAGAATCATTGATGGATGGATCTCACAGTGTGTGTAGGTGGAGCAATACATGACAACCTTCTCATGTAGGTCATCCGGGGTCATGGCCAGCATGATGGTCTCTTCCTCATTGGTGTCGATATACTCTACAACACCGCTGGCCACAAGGTCCTGCCAGCTGTCAAGAAAGAAGAAGAGATGTTTTTTTTTTATTCAAGGTATTTTTTTTGTGGGAGGGGGGAATCGCCAAAACACAAGGCCGAGGCACTTAACAGCTTCGGCTACAAATTTGAGAGAACAAAAAAAAAGAGTGGAAGAAGTCATAGTAGCAAGAGGTATCTGTTCACATTTCATTTGAATTGTGAAAGATAATAGGTAGAAGGGAAGCAATATTCAGGTAGGGAGTTCCAAAGAAAGGCAGTTCCCGGGAAAAACTTGATGAATATCTGGCAGTACTAGCATTAGGAACTATAACAGGCGTGATAGGGAAGCAGAGTAGGTTGCTTGGTAATATTTATAAAAATGACTTAAAACCGTCTGTCATTTGTCTTAAAGGGAAAATACAACATTTGCAAACATCGAAAAATAAAACTACCAAGTTGTTACGAAATACCTTACTAGGATGTTGGTAAATGACATGCTTAAGCATCCTGTAAAATTATGGCACCTGGTGTGAAGCCATTTTCAAGAAAATGGTATATTTGTCTACATTTCCAATGCTGGTCGGCCGACCACCGTTGGAAAAACCTAACTATTTTTCAATTACTGCACCAAATTTACAATTTTTTTAAGTCTAAATTTAGTTTTGCTAGCTTTTGGTTCCATGCTCATGAACGGGTGCAGGCCAGCTAGACTGGTTCCCTTACCTTACAATTTTCTGGTATGTTTGATCCATTTCATCTTTAGTGGAGTCAGGGAACCAGACTACTTGAATATTTTTGTTTTTCTTGGTTTTTCCAGCATTTTCGAACACAAAACTTCAAACATGTCAGTGTAACAACATTTGATCTATTATACTAACCCCCAAATAGTTCATTTCTGAAAATTACAGCAAAAGCCAATGATGTACATTCCCTTTAAGTGTATATACAGCCAAATACCATACCAGAGATTCAAGTATTTTGATGCGTATCTCAGTATTTTAAAATAACGATTATTCTATTCATCTATTACATTCCCACATTTTGTGAATGGAGTCTACTATGTTTCATGGCATTTATTGGAGGCAATTTTAGGAGCCAATGAATACAATGGTAAATATTGATTATCATACTTCCATAGCTGTGAATCAAATTCCAATCCTGCAGGTTTTATTTCCACACGCATAAAATAGTGATTTCCTAAAATTCATCTCTTACCAAGGGGCTCCACTTGTCAAAAGTCATTCCTTGGCTACACCAGCCCATTGCCAAAAAATAAATTTAATAACCCTCCCCAATCCTGAATGGCAAAAAGTGTCAGTTGATTTTGAAGAACATACAGGGTGAATAAAAAAAAAAAAAACCAAATGTCGGGACCATTGTTTTAGTGAAGTTCTGCAGGTAGCACTTTCAAAATTTAGGACATAAAAGCCCTATCATAAGCTTTCTTTTAGTACAAGAATCACTCAAATCACTCATGTACTTTTCAAGTACTTTTCAGAATTTTAAACACAACCACCATTTTAAAATTGTGTCCACGGATCACAAGAAGGTAAGTGTTCTTTCAGCAAAACGAAAACAAATCACATAGGGATGTGTGTGAATTGTTTTCGTTTTGCTGAAAGAACGCACACTTTTTTTGGTGATCCATGGACAGAACTTTTAAACCGTGGTTGCGTTTAAAATTCCATGCATAACTGAAGTCCACAATGACATTATAATATCCGCACAATGTCTTAACAGTGATTGTTGGAAGATGTTGACGTTTTGAAGCAGTGGTCATCCCTCCTCTGAACAAATTCAAGAAAGAATAAGTGTTTTTGGAGGTCTGCTGTTGTTTCCAATTTTTACATGGCGGCAGTTTGAGGATCTTGAAAGATTCAAGGGTCTAGCTGTTATGGTTCATGAACAAAATCCTTACCTGTAGTTATTGTACTCCCTTTCCTTCAGCATTTCAATGTGTTTCTTCTTCAGTAGGAGTTTCTGGTTCTCCACGATGAGCAACGGTCGACAGATGCGACCGGCATCGGTGTAGATGCGAATCTCTCTCTCCCGGATGTCACGCACCATGGATACCTCAGAGACGATGATGTCCATCTGTCGACGCAGCTTGCGCAGGGTATTCATGAGCTGCTCGGGCTCGCGGTGGATGCCCACCCAGCAGCCATTGACGAAGATCTTGGTGGCCCTAGGTTTATTGAGGGAGAATGCCAAAATTAGACTGGTGGTAACTTGAGGATTACCTCGAGGTTTTACCTTGAGGTTTACGGTTTCCCTCAAGGCTTTACCTCATGATTTTACCTCAAGGTTTTACGAGGATTTACAGGGTTATCTCAGCGTTCAACCTTCAGCTACTGCTTGTTTAATTTTGCAATAATTATACAAATTGAACGAGGAAATTTACTGGAGTGGGGTTTGAACCTGCACCTTCTGAAATATCAAGCAGTGCTCTACCAGCCGAGCTATCTAACCCAGTGTTGGTAGTTTCCCACTTTGTCAATGTTATTGTTCAAGTGAAGACCGGAGAATTAAGGGAGTTCAATTTCATGTAGCAATTAACGGGTTTGAGACTGATCACCAGTTTATCAGAGTGGTTGATTAACATACTCATTGATGGCTGAGGGGGCAATTTCCTCCAAGTTCTCCATGCTCCACTCCTCCAGAAACTCCAGGATAGGGCTGGGCATGGAGCCGACTGAGATGTAGGCCATCAGGGCAAGGTTCTTAACAAGACCCACAGCATGACCCTAGACAAAACACAAAACAAATATAGTCCTGTGTAACTAGCAGCTGCCATGTTATCTGTAAAACCCAGGGGAACTGGTTTGTGCAGCGGTACTTTCCTCGCCTTACACTTCTGTGGCCCAAGTTCGAATGCCACCAAGGGTCTACATTTTTTATTTTATAGGGGAAAAATGCCTTCTCTCTTTTCTGGGCGTCAACACTCCGAGCAACGTTTTTAATTTGGTTTGCTTTAGCGTGGTAAGGTGGCAGAAACCAGACTACTCTGTGAGAACTGGATTTTTAGAGTAATTTTTTCAAAACTAAACATTGGAATATTTTGTTTCATTCAAAGTCTCATTCAAACGTGGATAACTTTTGTAATGCTAGGACAAGCAACTGAAGAAAATCTATTTTGGGGGTGAATCTCGAAAATGGCATGGAAAGAGAATCTCGAAGCATTTTGAGAAGAAATTTTGTTAATAGCCCATTGACACATTCTTCATGTACACTAACATCGAGGGGCATCACCCCAATGTATACTAATAGTGACTAGGCCCTTCTTTCCTAAATCCCGAACAATTCTCCCAAACCCCCTGGTGGACTTTGAAGGATTATGGAGGGTTGGGGTTATATTGGTTATACCCACTGACCTCTGGTGTTTCGGCCGGGCAAATCATGCCCCAGAGTGTGTTGTGAAGCTGACGTGGTCTGGCCAGCTTGCCGTCTCTGCCGACGGGGGAGTTGAGTCTACGAAGATGAGAGAGCGTCGACACAAACGTCAGTCTGTTCAACACCTGTGAATAGAAAGCAAGAACCAGAAATTAACATGAGTGGGAGCTGGGTTCCCAGAAATCTTAAAATGAAATTCCACGACTTTTCCAGAACAGAATTAAGGGTTTCCATGACAGAATTCCTCCGCTGTTTTTGGCATTTTAGGAGCCTATTTTCAATACACTGGCCAGTCATCAAAATGTGGCAACCACTCCCTTTCAGCCTTCCTGTTTGACACAAGACCACTGAGCACCACAAAAGCATCACAATGGGGCACTGAACATATAACAATATAGAGGATAAGTGTAAAGAGAGGATTCCATGACTTTTCCATGAATTGTTTTTTTTAATATCAACTTTCCACAACTCCTTGTAAAATAAGAAAATTCCGTGACTTCCCATGATAGCTTTCAAATTCCAGGATTTTCCAGGATTTTTCAAGATTTTTCAAATTCACCAATGTAGTGTGTAACCCTTCAAAATGTCTCATGTCAGTGGTTTGATGCGTTAATAAACTGTGATGTGTGAAGGCTTGTTCATATCAAAGAGGCAAAACTTGAAGGGTTGTGAATTATTAAAGACCAACATGGTTGATCTGTCAAAATCAAACACTGTGCAATAGAACAATTCTTTGTTGTCATTACTTTGTTTCTCTCTATTCCCTCCCTTTCCTCACCATCCGCTGTCCCTCCAGCCTGCATCTGAACCTTTTTGTCTTTTCCCTTTCATCCTGGCTAACGTTTCTTGCTTGTTTGCTGCTGCTCTCATATAATTTTGCCCAAAGCAAGTTTCCCCTTTGTCCAAATGTCAAGCTTTTCTGACTTTACAAGTTTCAAAATAAAGCTGTTCAAATACCATTTTTTTCTCTCTTTCAATAAAATTCTTGATCAAGTTTCAACATAGAAGAATTCAGTAGCCCTAACTCTGTTTAGAATTTTTGCAACAACCTCGCTGAGTGCCTCGTAAGTCCTCCACTTTGCAAACCAAATGACACTTTCTCGTGCCTGCAATACAAACTATTCATGGGTTCTGGAGGCCCTGTGCGGGATAGGTTTATTATCTGACCTGTGAGACACCTGCCCTGGCAGCATGTGCTTTCTTCTGATCGCCCCAGTTTCCAGTGGCTAGTGAGTACTTCAGCCCATCAGAGATGATCCTCGTCTTGATAGCCAACTCCATACTGAAATCCTAGACAATACAAAAATGAACATGAAAAGCTTGCAATTGCGGTACATGTAATGTGTAACCTACATGTACTTCAAACAAAGACTAATCACCAGCAGTCAGATCATATGTCAAGCAAGCACACTGTGACTAGTCAAACTGGGTCAACAGACAAAGCACGCAAACTGTGGTCACAGCTGTTTTATCATTCACCCGGAGTCAAAGCATAGCTGTATCATGTTACTTAAACAGTCCCAGCCAGTCAATCCTGCTTAATGTAGTCTGGGAGTTCTTAACTGTTGAAAACAGTCACTTGTTTGAGTTTTACTTAAAGGACTACTTGGTACAATAAGTATGTTTGCATACGAGGGTTAAACAAGAAACCAGGGAGGTGTTACATTGTTCTAGTGACTGGGTAACCTTCTGTTGCAACATGAGACCCATTCAATCTTTTCAAGGCTCGCTTTCACCCATTTGTCTCTGTACAGCCCCAAACAGCCCTGCCATACTCTCCCTGTATAGCCCAAAACTGCCCGATCACTCTAGGGTTTTGTGGATCCTTCTAATAAATACAATGCAATATAGAACAGGTGCTGATGGGTTATTAAAGAAAATGTCCAAGGTATACTGTGTGGACATGAAGTGCCAGTGCCTTTAATGAAGTGTCTGTACAAAACCTGTTCATGCCAAGTTTTGGCATTATAATTATCATCATGTAATCAGAAAATGATAATGCAGAATTTTTCGTTTGTGCTGTAGCCCCACTGACTGACTGTCACTTGTGAAATAGACTGGTTACCTATCTCACTCACTGTCTGTCACTTGTGACATACGCTAGTCTGAGACTAGTTTTTCGAGGTTTGCCTTTTTATGTACCTCATGTAGCCTCTACACCACATGTGCATTAGTCTGGTGCTGCTTGTTTCATGTACTTCTATGATACAAGTGTAGGCAATAAGTCAAGTCTCCATGCAAACCGCAAAAGTTGGTTATTATTTCCTTCACAATACCACTGTATTGTTTTTAGCTTAATTTACAAACTTTTAACCCATTCTGAATCAGCTGAAAAGAATATTGTACACTCTTGATTTTGTTTTGTTTTAACTTACCTTGCCCTTATCAATGAACTTCTGGGCGTACATCCGGACCTCCTTCAGCAGATTTTTGAAGAGGTTTCTGAAGAGGAAGGCCAGCAGGGGACCAGCTAAATCCAGCCGTTTGTTGCCATAGTGATCACGATCATCCACTTCCCTCCGACCCAATGCAGCAAGGAGTAGTCTGTGTACGCAGTATCTATGAAGTACCACAAAAAAAGTAGGAAAATAACCAAGCAGGAAGGTTAAAGAATGTGTCATGAATTTACAAAATCTTAAATCACATGTAACAGGGTCACCAAAACAATTGTTCCCTTAACTTATGGAACGACCCTCTACATCAGCAAACTAAATTTTCCCTTTCTGCTATTCTTACCCAAGGAAGTAAGCCTTCTTGGTTTCGCAGAAATCACTGACGCCCACATGAGGCAGCATCTCTTTCTGTAGGATCTCCCGGGCGTATTTGATTCGTCTCTCCTTGGTGACACCCGGCTTAGCTCCACGAGCACCGATGAAGTTCAACGCGACACTCTGCTCCTGGATGACAAAGGCCTCATCCAGCGATGGTTTCACCTATAGTAGAGGATTTCAAATAATCCAACAGTCAGAACTACAGCAGAAAAATCCACAGTAACCCTAACCTTCCTCAATCCTCCAAAGTTCTCCGGGCAGTTTTGGAGGATTTTGGAGGATTGAGGCTGAATGTAACGTACAAGTTTGGAGGATTGAGGGCACATGGACATTCAGTATCGGTTGAATTTGGAGGATTGAGGCTGAATGGTGTTTGAAGACGAGGAGGATTTTGGAGGATTGAGGATGAATGCATATTGAGAGGCAGGACTGTTGGAAGATTTTGAAGGATTCAAATACTTTACACAATGGCCTAATATTAGCAAAAAAGAATACCGACATATTGAACCAGATTTCCCTACATAAGGGACCTCAACAAAAAGGGCCGAGGGGGTTAGGGTTAAAACCCTCGTTTTGTTTGATCAATCACAGACAGTCAATTTTTCTTGCACCTCCCCTGCCATGCATTTGTAGACAGGCTAGTAATAAACAGTCAGATCACGTGTTAAAGCTGTGACTAGTAAAATTCCATCAACAGACAAAAGAGGTAACTGGTTAGTACAGCTGGCATATCAATCCCTCCAGTCAAAGCATGGCTAAATCAAATACTTTACACAATGGCCTAATATTAGCAGAAAAGAATACTGACATATACTGAACCAGATTTCCCCACATCAGGGGCCTCAAATCTCCTGCAGCTGAAGCCAGTGACAAAACCGAAGCTTCAAAAATAGCCAAAGTTTAAAAAATAGCCAAAGTTTAAAAAATAGCCAAAGTTTCCGAACTAGACATGGTTTCACAAATATCAGTTTAGGGTTACACAAGGTCAAGTTCAAAGGTTATAGGTTAAGAAACCATGCATCCTTCTTACCATTTCCATCATCTCAGGATCGTCAAAGTCGTAGACGATGTGTTCTAGGATGTCTCTGTCTGCGACAAAGCCCAGGGCTCTGAAGACAATCATGATGGGAATCTCCAGGCGTATGTAGGGCAAGATGGATGCAATGCGCTGGCCAATGGCACTCTTCCTAGAGCCCTGCAAGTCACAAAGAAATGTTAGAGTTTACATTCATTTTGTATTTTCCACTGCAAGTGCATAAAATATAGCTACATTGTAAACGCACACTAATAGAAAGCCCTGCTGCTAAAGGATACCATACCTGTCAATAGATGTTAGGTTTGGGGTAGTACCATGTTGGCAAATCTCTTTTGTGACTTGTGTGGTTCTGAAAAGAACGGCTTTGGTAACTTGAAGTTTCAGACAGTCTAGTCTCCAGAAGACTGACAGAGCGTACTGTCCAAAATGCCAAGTTACCAAGTAACTAGAAAGTCATGAAGTGATGTGGCCCATCAGACTGGACTTTATCCCCAGTTTCCTTGGCATGAAACGACTGAGAATAATTTTATTCCCCCTGGATGGGATGCCGGTCCATCGCAGGTTACTCCCCAGCTAATGCCGGTACCCATTTATACTCCTGGGTGGAGAGAGGTAAGTAATGGTGAAATGGCTTGCCCAAGGACACAACGTTATCACCAGCAACTAGATTTGAACTTCTGACCCTCTGATCATGAGTCACGAACCCTAACCACTTGGCCACACTCCCCACAAAGTTACAACACCGGTTCTTTTCACAACCACAGACAGTGGACTACATAGTTCTACCACAGACTCAACAACTATTGACTTTCCACCACGCAAATCTTCAAGTCTTAATTAACATACCTGTCCTCCTTTGGCCATGAGATGGACCCATATGGTACTTGTAGGACGGGATGAGTTCTCTAAGCAGGATCGGCACTCAGCAGTGAAGGCATACTTGGAGTCTTTCTTGCAGAAGACATAGACCGAGTTAGTGGCCATCTTCTCCTGCGCTATCAGCACCTTCTCTGAACCGTTGATGATGAAGTAGCCACCAGGATCGAGAGGGCATTCATTCAACTCTGATGAGAAAAAAAACAAACAATTGCCAGTGAAAAAAAGGAGAAAATTGAGGATACAAGCTACTGAAAATACAAACAGCTCTGAACAATGTAAAGCAGCAACTTTTTGACAAGAAATAGTTTAGCAGCAGAAACCAGAGTTGTATTCAACCTCACTTGCATTACCTACTACAGGGGTTCCCAGAATTTCATAAAAACAAAATACTATGACTTTTCCGTGATATTTCCCTGAGAAATTTCAAAAATTCCATGAGAAATGTTTCACTTTAACAAGGTTGCTGGGAAGTCAAGAGGTGGTGCAGCACAGCCAATTGTTAGTGTCAGGAGAGGTGTGCAATATTCACACTGCATAAACTATAAAATGCCATCATAGCCAATTTAATAGTCAATGGACACAACTTGGATACATGGCACAAGACGCACCTACGTCAAACTGGCGAAAACCTTTCCCTTCTGGGTTACTGTCAAATTTCCTGAGTTTTCCCTGATTTTTGGTGTGTTTCCTAGCCCAGGTTGGACGACGTCTTCATTTCATAACAACTGAGGGTATAACTTCAACTACCATAGCGAAAAAAATTATAACACATTTTTTTCATATTTTTACCTGACGGAGGAAGCTGAAATTTCGCTTACATATTCCTTGTGTCCAGAATTGTGCCTGTGCTGGGTTTAGAAAAGGCAAATATGTCCGCGGGCGGCGTGTTTACCGAAAATAAACCGCAACATCTACGCTTTCAATTTTCAGTACGAACTCAGACGTACACGCGCGTGCCATTTGCTGCCATGGCGGCAGCGTGCTAGGTGTGCATGCACGGGGATTTCGTACTGAAAATGTTTTCAACGAAAGCGTGGAATTGCGGTTAATTTTCGGTAAACACGCCGCCCACGGACATATTTGCCTTTTCTAAACCCAGCGCAGGCACAATTCTGGACACAAGGAATATGTTAAGTGAAATTTCAGCGTCCTCCGTCAGGTAAAAATATGAAAAAAATGTGTTAGAATTTTTTTCCCCTATGGCAGGAGAGATTCATACCCTGGACTCCAATGCGTGTACACAATGGAGTCCAACCTGGGCTAGTGTTTTTCCAAAATTCCCCGAGTTTTCCCTGATTTTTGTTTTTTTCCCCAAATTCCAAGAGCTCTCCCCGACTTCAAATTTTGAAACTCATCTCCAACATGGCTGGAAACCCTGTTAACTATTGCATCATTACGAGTCTAGGAGCTAACACGGGGTACTAATGCATAGTACTACTAGGACGTCCTTGAAATGCCTATGTTTATTATATCACTAAAACATTGGAAAAATTACCATATGCATGAGGTGTCATAACAATGATTTATGCTTTGCCTGAAGCTGATTAAGCTTTATTTTATTATTTAAATCAGGCTTCCAGTGGTAAAAATAAATCAGCGTATTGTATGCTTACAGCTTTCTTAAAAAGTACCTGGATGACTGCAATATTATGTCAGTAAAAAAAAACCTCATGATTAGTTTGGAAAATGCATGATGTCCGAAAAATTTACACCGTCTTAAAAAAATCATGACGAATGAAGACAATATTATTCTGATATTGTCCTCATCCGACGTTTTAACACATTTCGCTGGTTCCCACACAATGAAGAGCGTAGAAACTCACAGTGAGCATAGCGCGCGGTACCGTCGCACGTAGAAGCAGCAGAATATATGCGCACTGTATGTTGTCAACAACCACAATGGCAGCTTCGACTCGTTCAATATTTTTATAGCTAGTGCAATATTCTTGTATCCCCCTAAAGCTATCCAATATTATATAAGTATTTTATGTGGCACTGTGGACTGACCTGTCAAGTCACGATCCGTGAGGCCGCTGAGCAGGCAGTACGTGGAGCGAAGCATGATGGGAATCTTGCCAATGAACGTCTTGAGATGCTGAGTTTCTGACGTCTCCTCGCCATCTTGGATCACTGTCTTCATGATGTCCACATAGAGAGGGGCTGAGTAGCTGCAGAATGGAGAGGTGCAGGCTTTGTTTTGAAATTCTGCTTTAACCCCAACTCCCTACTGTCTTTTACTAAGTACTGGACCAAGTCCGACAAAATCCATCAATCACACTGCTTACAATGCATGCTCTGCTTTAGGCCTCCAGACCCAAGTCCATCACACTCCATCAATACCTAGTCAAACCTGGCCTGCAGGACCAAGTCCCCAAAATCCACCAAAATTGGGGGTGGATTTTGATGGAGTTGGGGAGTTTATGGTTAAAGGTACGTAGGATCATTTGCTTCTGTGCATTTCTTTCCATCTGAAGCAACAAAATTGCTGAAAATCTTATTACAGTGCATGACAACTAACCTGTTGGATTTCAAACTAAATTTGAGCCCTGATGACGATTTGCTATTAAAGACAAACTTGCTTACATGAGGTTACGGAGTCGTGCTTCGTTGGGCATCATTGGACTCGGTGAACCATCCTTCTCCCAATGTGTAGGTTTGGACAGGTAGATTTGCTCAAACTTCACCAAGTAACGTGTCTGTCAAAGGAAAAAAATATCACACTCAAGAATGAAAACAATGAAATTTTAGTAGATACAAATAACTAAAAAAAGCAAATCCTACATTTACTGAAACCAACTTATTCCATGACAACTTGCTTTTTTGATGTGAATGGAGTTAATATCTTGCAAGTCACTATTTCCAAAGCATAAGGCTCATAAGGAGTAAAAATTGTGGATACTTTGTATGCAAAGTTGGTCTGTACAATAATTTATGTAGAATATGGCTTAAAAACATCATCAAACTTAAAAATTGAATCATTTGCATAAAACAAAAAAGTGATAATTGTTTACTGTATCAATATAACTTTCCTTTTTTCCCCTTTATAAATAATTTAAACCAAAAGTTCCCAGAGTGGTAGGAATCTGATACATTGTCATGCAGTATGTGGTACTTAAACCATAAGTAAGATTTGGGTTTTGGCTCAATCCTTCAAAATCATAAGTTAGTTCTTGAATTTGTGTGATAGAGAGGTGACCACTGCCTCAATCCTTCAAAATCCCGCAACTCACTTCTAAGGCAATGAAGCAGTGTGGATATCTATAGAGTAATTCGGAGAACAAATTGGAAGCCATTTTGAGGTGGAAACACGTTCGTGCGCATGCTGCATGCGTTATAAAAGACATAGTTTGGAGTGTGTGCATACTACCTGAGCGCGACTCGCGCGAGACCTAATTCCACCTCTGAAAATGGCTGTTGCCGAAGTAGTCTATAATGCAAGGTAAGGCTCAAGACCTTGACACAATGCATCCTTACATATCAACCAGCACTTCAAAGGAATGTAGAGCCTCAATCCTCTCAAATCTTCCAAAAGCGCCTTGTTTATTTTTGAGGATTGATTGGGATTAGGATTCAATAACTTACCGGTATCTCCATCTCGGTGGATGTGTGCTGTGCCTCGGCCTGTAGGTCGACTGCAGGGGCATCCTCCACGATGCGCTGTACTGACATCTGAATGAACTCATCAAAGGAGTCCAGCTGCTGACGCACAAGACCCTTCTCATCAAAGTAGGAGCTGATGACAATCCAGCAGGCCTCCTGCCAAAGATCTTGTGTGACCTCTTCAGAGTCATCCTCTTCATACGGCTCTGGAATGAGAACAGCCAACAAAAGTTTAAAAGATGAGGAGGCATTAAAAGTCCAGAAAACTATGTATACTTTCCTTATCTCCCCGGTAGTCTGTTATTAACACTAACCTCACCTAAAGCTACAAAATACTACTACATGTTGTATGCAGTACTTCAGCATGTAAGTGGGCACAAAACAAATACACATAGTATTTTTTGGTACATGGTGCCTACATACATAATGTTTGTAGTATTCTGTAGTACTCGGTTCTTTATCCCAAAGTAATGGCTAGGACACTGAAAAACAAGGCATTTGTGCCAAATATATCACACACTTTCTCTTTTGTTGTATTGGCACAATCAGTGGATCTATGGGATCAATTGTTCACACTCCAAAATATAGACGCGGTGTGATTCTATGTTTTTGCCCAGAAGCCGTCCATCTTTTGCCCAAACTTACAGGATAACTAGACTTATTTTTGCTAATAAGCAGTTCAGTATTGTTTTTGGTGATTAAAAAGTGACAAAATAGTTCCGATGCCTATTTGAGTTTCTGCTACCCTAGCAACGGACTTTTTCACGCATTTTGGTGTATTTGTCGGTTAGCTTGCTGAAACAGAGGAAGTCCAGTATTTCAGCCACATTTTTGGGGCTATCATCTACATGAAATGGGGCTTTGTTTGCACGGAGCCCCATAGTTCTAGGGGTACCCCAAGCCCTGACGGTTCGTGCCCAACATTTCAAATAGTATAAATAATTAGTTTGTGAAAACGTTTAATTTTAGAGCCAGACACGTCGGCTGCGGAGCAGCGGGTACTGGCATAACTGGTGGAGCTCAATGCAGTGAGGCGCGCCGCGCCCTCTTGTGTGCGCTCTTCACTTGCGGTCGTGTAGTGCATCCGGTACTTCAGAGAGCTCCAAAGATTTGTGAAAGACAGGCATCAGCCGTGGTGTACGCATGCTCAGTGGATGACTAAAGCTCTAGTCTGGTTCCCTGACCCCATTGGCCTTGTGTTTATTGTAGGGGGGGGGGGGAGGGGTCAGGAAACAATCGGCAATCGTGTAGTGTAGGGCCCCTGTTTTGTTTCGATCAAATTAGAATCAAAAATTTTTTTATTACTAAAAATGACATTGTCAACCTAAAGCAGACTTCTCTCAATGTAATGACACCTTTTTGGTTATTTTTGAACAGTTTCTTTGGTAGAAATTACGATTTTTTTTATGCGGTTTGAGGGCCGGTTGTTGCCGTGCAGCGCGACTTGCTTGCTCACAGTACACAAATGTACATCGCGCAGTGACCGCCATCTTTATTTTCGTGTTGTGTTTTGTCGTTGTCATCATCATTTTACCCCAAAATTTCCCTCAAAAATTCAAAACCCTGCCATTTATCTATGACATACCTGTATGTTCTTAATGTCGACAACTAGTTTGGTAGGTCAAATCATTTAAAAGTGGATTTTGTTCCCTTATAGGAACCGGGCCCGTAGGTACACGTTCGCCAAACAATGTGGTAAATCACAGAGACGCCATGCTTTTTAAAACCGTCGAAATTCGTTGCCGATTTACCATGATTACTGGATGTACATGATGTAAGACCTCTGAAGGTAGGGGTATGTCATTTTTTAGGATGCATGCCTTGCAAAATATAACTTAAAGGCGTATACGCAGAAATAGGAGTGCGTAGCTTTAGGAGGTCTGACAATATTTAACTCTGTATTAATTGTACTTGGTTTACAGAGCTATATTAAATTACTAGAGCGCTAACTCGATGTACAAAGTAATGCCTGATGGGCGCATCCATGTTTGTACACAAACCTATAGAGAACTAGCAAGTTTGTACGGCTTTTGTACGGCTATTTGCATATCTGCGTTTGTATTCCATACCGGTGCGTTATCGAAGCGGATACGCCCAAAACCGAAACGCACGATCAGCAAATGAGTGTGTCATTTTGCTCTACGCAAACAGCGCAACGTGTGCGCGTATTCGCTGCATATGCTTTTTTTGCCGTGACGTTTTTTTAACTGTCATGACGCGCTTAAGTTGTTTGCGTATGTTCTTCTTGCGCGTTGCATTTAGAGTACACTTTCAAAATTCAATCCATCCGATTTCACTATGACTATGTTCTACAAACACGCGCATGAATTCAAAATGTCTGCGCCCAGAACGGCTTCAAAGCATCTCCGCGCGCAAGAATGAGGAGTTAACGCTCTAGTATTAGTAATTTAATATAGCTCTATGACTTGAACAAGTAGGGTAGACGTCCTGAATTTCGGCACGTCCCGAAATTCGGCACCCCTATATAAAAAGTGAACTGGCCCGCCAACGCGGTCACGTGACCAGCCATGTTGCAATGCTATCGGGTGACAAGACGAACTCCCGCCCTTGGCAGTACGGGCGCACGCACTAACTCGAGGATTGTCTCAGTCTGTAGAGAATGTCCCCCAAAACAGGGACAGTCGACCCCCGAATTTATTTTGGAGCAGCACTGTCTCCCGATTTGGATAATGTCCCCCGATCGGGGGACAAACGTTTTGAGCCTGGTGTCCTGACTTAATTGACCTGTATGTCATAGTAGGTTTGGTTAGGCTGGAGAATAATCTTGGGCACGGCAGATTCGTGTTTTGTTTTGCACGATGTGAATGTTTTGTTCTCAAAATTGTTTTCTTCATATTTAGCACCTTTTGTGAAATCTTTTGAGTGATGACAGGGTTTTGGGCTAGTCTTTACAGATGACCTTGTTGATTGTGTTTGAATTTGATGTTGGGTGAGTACAGGATTGGTTTCAATTTCAGAACTTTTAAACTAAGTTTTAAAATAATTTTGCACGCTCATGATGACCGAGAATGCTACCCAACCCAGGCCCAATTATACGATACATGTATTTATAAACCAATATTTTTCAGGCTCGTTTGTTGAAAATGAGCTGTATAATTTTTTTCTGCTTAAAAAATGTGACTAAACAAATTAGGGACAGGCAATAGTTGAAAAGATCAGCTGCTTTTTAGAAATGAACTCCTTTTGCTCAACCATCCCCATTAAATTTAAAAAAAAATGTTTGATAAGATCGAAGTTGGCACAATTTTAATCATTCGTTCATTGATAAAGTGGTTCATTGTAACAATTAATCAGTTGTCATTTGTTCCAACTTACCTTTATGTGTTTTTTTTTTCATTCTAGGATTACCAACCTTCCAACGGTGCTTCTGTGACGGCAGTGCTAAATTCAATGCATCAAAGAGTGAACAAGCTGCTAGATATTGTTTTGGCTTTTGTTCAGAAGAATGCTAATTCAATATTACTTTGAAATTATTGAAGAAATATGATACCTGCTTTAATCATGTTCAGGCATGTCAGGAGAATTTTTGGCACAGAAAAATTCCTTAAAACGCTACAAAATGCTTTATTTGTAAGGACTCATTCAACCAAGTAATTTCTGTAGGTGAAAGAATATTATACCACAGGTCAATATTGTTGACATTGTTGTCGGACAAATTCATGATCGTGATATGAATCTTCTTGTTTTAAAGGTAGGAGTTAAATGTATGTGTTACAAGTTTTAACTCTACTGGTTAGAATGAAACCTACAAAAAACTGAAATAAGATGTACTGAATGGAATTAATTACAAACAACAAAGTAATGTTGTAGGCAGAACAAGTCAGGTGTGTTTACAAACACAAATGCCCCGCAACCGTGACTGTTCCCATGACATAACACCACTCTTTTAACATCAACTTACATGTACCTTGGTCACATGGAACATTCATTGACAGCATTAGTGTCTTCTGTAGGTTTTATATGAATTAATCCCTAATCCCTATAATCTCAGAATAAATACAAGATTTCTATTGTTTTAGCCACTGTGAACTTGACCCTTGACCTTTTTGCCCCAAATTCAATAGGCTTCTTAGGATTACCAAGAACAATCCACAAACCAAATTTGAAGTTCATATGTTAAGTATTTCTCAAGTTATCGCGCTGACAAGATTTCTATTGTTTTAGCCACTGTGAACTTGACACTTGACCTTTCGACCCCAAATGCAATAGGCTTCTTAGGATTGCCAAGAACAATCCACAAACCAAATTTGAAGTTCACATGTTAAGTATTTCTCAAGTTATTGCGCTGACAAGATTTCTATTGTTTTAGCCACTGTGAACTTGACCTTTGGCCTTTTGGCCCCAAATGCAAAAGGCTTCTTAGGATTGCCAAAAACAATCCACAAACCAAATTTGAAGTTCACATGTAAAGTATTTCTCAAGTTATCGCGCTGACAAGATTTCTATTGTTTTAGCCACTGTGAACTTGACCTTTGGCCTTTTGGCCCCAAATGCGAAAGGCTTCTTAGGATTGCCAAAAACAATCCACAAACCAAATTTGAAGTTCACATGTAAAGTATTTCTCAAGTTATCGCGCTGACAAGATTTCTATTGTTTTAGCCACTGTGAACTTGACCTTTGGCCTTTTGGCCCCAAATGCGAAAGGCTTCTTAGGATTACCAAGAACAATCCACAAACCAAATTTGAAGTTCATATGTTAAGTATTTCTCAAGTTATCGCGCTGACAAGATTTGTCCGGACACACACACCCACACACCCACCCACCCACCCACACACCCACCCACCCACCCACCCACGGAAGGACAAGGCGGAAACAGTATGCCCCTTCGGCTTCGCCGCGGGGCATAAAAACCATACAAAAGCAGCATCGGGGAAAAAAAAACATTACATATTCCATAAACAATATATATAGTTGGTAGATTGACAAATACATTGAATGTAATAACCTGATTAGTTGTAATCCCTTGTGATTAATTTTTGAGTGCCAAAAAAGAAGGAACATTTATTCATTTCTCTTGTATTATTTTAACTGTTAGTTTGATTTTTGAATCGAAAGAATAAATACAAATGGAGCCAACAGGGAAATGCTTTTAAAATTTGTGAATACTGGTCTTTAATTTTAAATACAATGTACTTTTATTTACCACCAGATAAGACAGGAATAAGTATCTTCACTTGGCATCTTCACTTGTTGATTTATGTTTATTCAACTTTCATGCACTAAAATGTAAAGATTGCGCATCATAATGAATTAGAATTGGATATAATAAAAAAAAGTCATAAAAAAGGCAATCAGGAAGCAGTCGTCAGGCATCTGAAGTATTCAGGTAAGTTCATTAAGAGCCATCTACACTAAGTGGTTAAATAAAAGTAACTTTTCACGCCAATTTGAATTTTGTTTAATCACAGACATGACAGAGAACTGCCAAATTACAAAATGCCCATCCATATAAACAATAATAGTGGTATTTAATTTCCCACTTGGTGATTTTGTCCATCAACTTCCCTCTGCAATCACCACTGACTGTGCTTGCTTTTCCTCATTAGTCATCCTCACCTGACAATATGGATATAAACAGTTAATTTAGTAATATATAATTATGTGACTAGCCCAAATTAAAGTTGGGGAAAAATATTGTTTAGTTCATCATGACAATTTATTTTATGTACAGGTAGGTTGGTCTATGGTCGAATGTCGCACGTGCAAAACAAAACAAACTTTACCGTTTTCGATACCAAAAATCGATTCTTTGCATTGTAATATTCGACTTCAACAATGCTGTACCAATGGTACTGCCAGTATCGATACTATTGATATATTCGGTATCGATACTGGAACCATGAGGTTTGCAGCGCTGGAGGCCGAAATATTCTCCGGCCTGTAATTTGAGATTTATACATTGGATTACGTAAGTGAAACACTGGAAAGGGGTGTCTTTCGACAAGGAATCCGATTTTAGCATCCTTGACATGCGCCAGACACCCCCTGAGGGCGCAAGATCTTATCTTTGAAAACTGTCCCCATAAACGGAGACATTCCGTGTTTACAGGGACACATTTTGTCCCCCGATCGGGGGATTTCCGCGTTATTGAGGACAATCCGCGAGTTGGTGCGTGCGCCCGTACTGCTTGGGTTTCAACCAGAAATAATGGAAACTTGAGATGCATTCTTGCCAAAAAAATTGGGATTAAAAATATCTCCATAAAAGGTAAAGTCACGTGACATTACCAAAGCAGGTTCGGGATCGATAAAGTTTAGGTATCGCAACATGCGCTATGCCATGTATGCCCACATGCTGTGTGTCGACGGGAGTACCGGGTAAATCGATACTGCATATGTCGAAAAATAATAATCGACTCTTATGGTGCCGAAATTCGGGACGTCTACCCTAGGCATATAGGCTAGGCCGATTTCCGCTAGGCCTACGTCGTAGAGTTGTGTACAAATACGTCATGTACATTGGGTTTGCTCGTCCGCGATGTGTGCGCGCTGCTGTCTACGAAGGAAATGAGAAATGTCCCAACAGTCGTGGCGCTACCTGCCGTGCTCTCCCCCCCCCCCCCCCAACCTCCCCCACCCCTGTGTTACGTAGGATAGTATTTATCGTACATTGTAATCTGGCAATACCGATTTCTTGTGTTTTGACACGATCGACAGTACGACCGCAAGCAAATTATCAATTTTAGTTTACATATACAAATTACACTCAAATTACCTTCATCTTGACCATACATGATGTATGTTTATTAAGGACGATATTGAGAAACTTCTGTGGACTCAACTCCAATTTTCTAGCCGATGGGGATGGATTTTACCAACCCTACAATTGCACTCTGTTCTACGCCACGGAATCCATCACCGTTTATTGTATACAACAGCGCCGCCAACGTTTCGTTAAGTGTAATAACGGGGTGACCGTAAGATCACGGTAAAATTCTGCTAGATTTAACCAAAATCTGCTGAATCGCCTGTTATTACACGAAATACATGTACCATGGAGAAATAAAACACATGTACATTGTAAACACTTTACTCACATGCAGGTGTTATAGAAATTTGCTTAAGCTAAACTTAAATCGTAAAATTTACTTCAAATTGAAAAGTTAAAACAATTTGCACGTGTCTAGCCAGGGAACCACAGATTGAAGCCTTTTTTAAAACAAATCTGCTAAGTGCTATTTTTTTCTTAATCTCTCATTTATTTCTGCTAGGAATCTGCTTAAAAAATCATTCTGCTAAATTTTCTGTCTAACTCGTTTTTTTCTTGAAAAATTATGTCAAAAATTTAGCTGAAATTCGGCTAAAACGGTCGTCCTTTTTAATAAATATAAAGCACTGGCTCTCACTCACCCAACGCTTGTTTCCGCGTAACACGAAGATGGGAACCAGTTAAAAGTAGTTATTTGATTGGTCAATTTTTTAAAACATTTTCATACGGCGCGAGATAGAAGATTTTAGACGGCACACGGCAAAATCAAGGCGTATGTTTTCCCTTGATTTTGAAAGCCAATAGAAGATAAATATATGACAATTGCTTCGTGCACATACCGTGAAGGATACTGAGGTTGGTAAGGACATTTTATTTTTCAATTCGCGCTGCTGGGGAGTGTTGGAACCTGCCATATATTGTTTTTGTATAGGCCAGGCCCGGGTACCCAACCAACTTCGCCCCATTTCCACTTTTTTCCCCCATGGCCATGATGGCCATGCCATGGTTTCATCACTGTTCATGCCCATATGGGTTTAATCCTTATTTTTAGGAGTAGGACACCTCTAATTTTCACAAGTTCTGTTCAAAACTGACTTTTGCAATTGACTGTCCGGTACCAAAGTAACTTTTGGGAAATGGGTCAACTCGTACCCGAGTTAACTCGTACCCGAGTCAACTCGTACCCCAAAATTGACACCCAAGTCAAGTCGTACCGGAGTTAGGTCGTACCCGAGTCAAGTCGTACCCCGATCAACTCGTACCCGAGTCAAGTCGTACCCGAGTCGACTCGTACCCGAGTCAACTCGTACCCGCAGCTCAAAATAGTTGCCTATTTTCGAAAAGAAAATCAGTGAAACGAACGGAAGATCGGAGGGATATGGCCGGTTGTCCGTGCAGCGCACGGTGACATCGTTTGTGCCGAGCCTGTGCGCGCACTCGCTGGTCAACGTGGTCGTACCGTGCACTGAGTGACATCGTTTTTGCCGGGCCCGTGCGCGCACTCGCCGGTCCACGTGGTCGTCCGTGCACGGTGACATCGTTTTTGTCGGGCCTGTGCGCGCACTCATCGGTCAACGTGGTCGTACCGTGCACGGTGATATCGTTTTCGCCGAGCCTGTGCGCACACTCGCCGGTCAAAGTGGTTGTGCGTGCACGGTGTTTTTGCCGTCGCGTAGTTAGTGTCGGAACCTTCGCCGTTTTTCAACGGCATTAGGCCTTGGTGTAAGTTGTAGTTGTACATATTTAATACGGGGCTAATTTTCATACTTCAAATAAATGTTCTACCCAAAGTATGCATGCTTTTATCAATTTATTTTATTTTTATATTACAGATGATCCTGTGGTTTTCCGATGAACCATTTTCTGCTGCTCGAACCGATCGATCGGATGGTCTAGCTGTCACACAGTTCATGATGAATCGAATCGGATGTCAAGTTTCGAGGACGAAACCCGATTAGCTCAGTTTTGTTTAAGATAATAAAACTTTCTCTTGCACTTGAATTACAATTTGCTAATGTCAAACAATCTTTCACACCCAAGGATCAACTAACAAATTGGTCCCCTAAAACTTATAGAAAGAGCATCTCTGAATGAAACGAGCCACCATTTTCCTTTATCGTGTTTACTTCCTTGATGCCTCAAATGTAAACAAATAATTAAAAATCCTACATTTCTGTTGTTACCAAAATAATATTCTAGTTGAACTTATCGCAGAAACTTTATTTAAGCTGCACAAGATTTTTTTAACGACATTTACCGAACTAATTGTACAAAAAATGACCAACATATTAAAGAATCATTATAAATTAAATAACGATGTCCGTGTGACTCTTTTAAGTTTCCTGTAATATATTTTCTCTTCAGATTTGTACTTTCAGGGCCCCCAATCTTCCCAAAGAGATTTGTGCCATGTGCAGTTATTATTCAATAAATGATGCCAAAAATGGAGTGAGTGAACGTTGAAAAATATTACTTTTACATTACAAAATTCATTTTTTAATAGCAGCTTTCTTTAAAAGAAAAAAGGTCTAAAATACTAAATTCGTAAAAAGAAAACTATGCCCTTAAAACACCTTAGAACAAAAAAAAGATGTAGCAGTTCGCACAGTCACTCCGCAATCTCAGTGATCCAGGGTCTCTGAAAAAAAGAAAGGAAAAACATCATTACTAAGAGAAAATACTACACAAATTTTAAAATAACACATCTGAAGATCTGGATGAAAAGTGAAATTTACCGTTTATCAGCGAGGGCTCCGTCGACTCGCGAGTACCACACTGATGCCGTTTTGAAAATGTTCTCCGCGCAGTACCCGTCCGTTCGCGATGAAGCCCTTGCTGATGAACGGTACATTTTCCCTTTTCATCCAGATTGTGAGCAACATTTGATACCACCGCCTTCAACTAATCCTTGAACTTTATTTGTTTTTCTGGCGGCGTAACTACTATTTCTCAGTCGCCGTTTTTGAGGGTAAAATCGGAAGTTTTGTTAACCATCCATCCGTACTTCCAAACTAAAAAAGGAGGGGAGTACGAGTTGACCTGGGTGCGAGTTGACCCGGGTACGAGTCGACTCGGGTACGAGTTAACCTGGGTACGAGTTAACTCGGGTACGAGTTAACTTGGATACGAGTTGACTCGGGTACGAGTTGACTCGAGTACGAGTTGACTCGGATACGAGTTAACTCGGGTACGAGTTGACCCAAAATCAACTTTTGCAGGCTGCGCTAAACTTTAGCCTAGAACTTAGAAGTCTTTTAATTGTCTTTTAAAAGTTTTATTGTTTTTCCTCAAATGAATGTTCTAAAGTTGTAATTTTGAAAGCACTTTCAAAGAAAATGTGACTTTCCTACCTTTTTTGTACTCCTAGAACTATGAGGCTCCACGTAGTGAACATATCATACTAGATTAAGAACCCCGCAAAATTGTTATCAGCACAAAACACTAATTAGGGGCCTAAGTACAAAAACGTCCATCAAAATGCAGACATTTCCCACAGAACCGCTGCACAGTTTGCCCCCAAACTCCGTACTACACCTCATGACATACTCACAAAATATGCGCAGAACTAACATCGCTGGATTTTGTCGTTTTTTGGCTTAAATGATGAAAAATATGCCCTTTCCGCACTGAGCCAACCTGACACTTGAAACATGCACGCATATGATCGAGCGATGATTTTCGGTTTGCTCGGAGCGCGCCGCGGGGGGTACGGTACAAGCGAAATGATAGTTTGCGCATGCGTACAAGTGCAAGTATCATTTGCGTGCACGTTTCACAAAAACATGTGTATACAGAAAACTGCCTCTATTTTAATGAAATTTAAACATTTTTTTTCCAGAAATTAATACAAGTTGTTTCAAAACTTATGATTCAGACGTGTGAAAAATTTCAAAATCATACGATTTATGATACGCATGGAAGAACATTGGATTCATAATACGCTTGGGGGAGCAATTGAACCCTGTGATGTTACATCAAAAATGCACGTTATTTATTGTAATATAAAGTTTTAGATACATGTTTGCTTGGGTTCACTCTGACTACTGACTACTGAATTGAATATAATTTATTCATGTTTGTCACATCAAATGATGGATTAGTTATATTTGAAATCTTTTAGTTTCAGACACCGTCAGCAGTTCTACGCTCGAACGTTTTCAAACAAAGATGGCAGACATTACATGCACCAGCTTTGATGACCTTTACGACCCTGAAAACGATGAAGTTGATGAAACCAGACCGGATATACGCAAGAACCTGCTGGAGGTATGTGTTCATTCCTGAGGTCTCTTTTTTTCTCATCAAGTGGCCTAGTAGCTAATGAAAGGTTTTATCACACTTGGACATAATGCATGATTAGGGGGAAAATATGAGGACTATCTGGGTTTTTTTTAAACAACAGAAAGTGTTAATTATAGATTTAAAATGAGCTATATTGTGCAATTGTAAGTTTTGGTTTTTCCAACATCAAGTGCAAGGCAGATATTACTGTATTAGGTATTACAATTGGCATCTCCCCTTATGCAAAATTCCCAGGAAGATTCCACTAACTCTAACCTTCCCAAATCCTCCAAAATCCTCTTTGTAAAATAAAGGATTTTGCAGGATTGAGGCTATAGGGCAAAAAGGTGTTGCCGATTTTGGAGGATGCACTTTGTCAAGGTCTTGGGCCAGATGTAGCCTACATGTACGTGTTGTTTATGCGCAAGCCATGCACAAAGTTAGGCCTACATGTAGATTATACTTGAAATCCTCAGCACTGCTCCAGGATGTCACATGGCTCGGCCTCAACATAGTGACAGTGATTGCTGGAGGATTGAGGCAGTGGTCACCCCTTCAAGGACCACATTCAAGAAATAGGCTAACGGAGGATTTTGCATTTTGCTGGATTAGGGTTGCATCCTGGCAAAAATGGCTAGGGAGTTAAGGTTAAAAGAAATTTTAGGCAGCAATATTTCCTCGGATCAGCCGATTTCTTCTTCTTGTTTCACTTCACACTTACAATGTGTGCCATTATAAATTAGGAAAAAAACTGTATTTTTGTAATTTCCTCTTTTGGGGTTATTCCAGTTGCATTCTTGAAAAATGTAGCAGTTTGTTAATACACAATTTCTGGAAAACTTGATTATACATTCAACTTGCAAACTTGAGTTTCCGGAATTTTTCATAGATTATGTCCCTTAGGCCAAAAAAAAAAGTCTCCGGTTTCTGGTATGCGCGCGCGTCGCCGTAGCCATGCGCGTCGGCAAAATGAAAAAGTTTTTTTTTCAATACAAGATGATGTTTCAAAACCGCCAAACTCACTGGTTTGACTGGAATTCTCCTGCTGCACAATTTTAACGTGTTTTTAGAAGGGGTTATGATCGAGAATAAGATTTATGTGGCCTCTCTGGACTCCCATACATTTGCACTAAGTTTAGTCGGGCACCATTTGTAGTCATCAGCCGACATTTGAAGCCAAAAAAAACAAAAAAAAACAGGTAAAAAAAAAAAAAAGCCGCGTCGCCGCACCACTTTTGGGGCAAGCTCCATACCAGAAACCGGAGACTTTTTTTTTTGGCCTTATTCTGATAAAGAATTGACACCTCCAAATATGCCAAGTATTTTCCCACTTTGCCTGCATGCAAAATTGCAGTCGAAAACTCGGCAGCAAATCTGAGTCTGACTCAAGACATTTACAGACTCAAGACATTTACAGACTCATCCTCTGGAGCTATTTGCCAATAAAAAAAAATCCACATTTCTATTTTAAAGATAGTTGGTATTGTAATTTCAATGATTTCTGCCTTACATGTATACAGGATTTTGCAGCTCCTACGGCCAAGCTCACGAGGGAGAGCGTTGCCCACAGCCGTGAGCACATGCAGGTCCACCTCAGGATACGACCCTTCACAAACCGGGAGAAGGAACAAGGCGAATCCCAGGTAAAAGTTCCATTCAACTCTTTACGGTAGACATAGGGGTGCATACCTATGTTCCCCAATACCGATGTTCCCCAATACTGATGTTCCCCGAAATCCCTACCCAATAACCCTAGCCCTAATCCTAAGGATTTCGGGGAACATCGGTAGTGGGGAACACCGGGTAGACCCCAGACATACATGTAGACTCCAAACTGTTAACATAATATGTATATGTATGTATGATTACGTTGTTTTGTTTTGTTTTGTTTTTGTTTTTGTTTTTGTTTTTTTAATTCTGGTTATGAGTTTCTTCAAAAGCCCCAATGGTAAATGGTGCTTAGCTCACTATAAAAGAAACTAGTAGGGTGAAGTCACTCAAAAAACGTTCAGTTTTAGAGGTGAGAGGAAAACCCAGACACAAGTGAATTGTGATACACTGAAGAAACTGACAAAATCAGGAAGGGATTGAAAATCCAATACACATGTTGGCCTGGGTAGGATTTGAACCAAGGTCACAGAGGTGGGAGGCAAGGAAAGTAACACTACGCCAACATGACTCCACTGCCCAAACCGGAGATAAAGACACTTTATTTATTTTTCGGGCTTATGATTGGCCTTTTCCGTCTTGGTTCAAATGTTTTAAGGCCCGTTTATATTTCACTTTTATGTCAAGTTAATTCAACAGCCCCTCACTGTACACAAATCTAACACTTTCACTGCAAAATTCACTAGAATTGGAATATGTTCGATTTTTGCAAAATTTGCAGTGTGAATTTGGGTTTGCTGCATCTTCACATTGGTTTTCACACAAAGCATGAACCTGGCCTTATTCACCAACTGATTCAAATTTCCCTTAACAAAAAAAACCACTTTCAAAATTGGGTGTCAAAAACACCTGGAGGTGTCCAATAGATTTCCAGACCCCACTCTGGATAAAAAAAATCTTATCATTTGGCAGGGAGATTTGAATTATTTTATTAACCCTAACCGAACACAACCCATCAAAGTTCAACAGCAGGTTTTGTTTAAATCTGTTGGGATAGGTACAGTACCCCTAAACTGATGGTCTTTTACACTGGGGTTGGCGTACCTCCAGAAACTAAGTCCAACAGTGTGTGTGTACGATTTCCCATGTGGGTGTTGGAATTTGCCAGAATGGGTATGGTTCCTAGTAAATTAGGCTGGGGAGTTGGGGTTAATACTGTTTGTCCACGTTTCCTACATGTAGGACTGTATGGAGATTTCTCAGCCTACTTCACTCCTCATGAGGGCCCCTAAGGACAGTTTCACCTTCAAGTCCAGCCAGCGGGGCTTCAGCAACATGACTCACAAGTTCACCTTCAGCCGCATCTTTGGCGAGGACACCAGCCAGAAGGAGTTCTTTGACGAGACCATGCTGGGCACGGTCAAGGATTTCATCGACGGCCAGAACTGCTTGGTCTTCACATACGGGGTCACAAACGCCGGGAAGACATATACGATACAGGGTAGGTAATAAACGGTCATTTTGCTACCATTTGTTGCAAGATTATGCATATGGGAGACCTGTTTGTCTTGCAAAACTGGCACTGCAGACCATTTTGTGCTTGCTGTTTCAAATCCTGAAGTTGTCAGTTTTCCGGCTTCGCTTGAAAATTGTACAGCTGCTTGACTTATTGTAAGGCCATACGTGAACAAGCCATGCACTACCGAGGTTTGTTACCATCCCACATGTGCCATTTTCTGATTGTTCACTAAATTTGTTCGATGAAAAGTATCAGAAATGGAAAGAAATTCTACTCGTGATTCAGGCATGCAACTTTTCCTCGGATCAGCTGATTTCCTCTTTATTCTCGTATCTGCCATTCGAAATTGAAAAACATTGCACAAAGTCTTCCGAATTTTTGAATTTCCTCTCTTTTTTTGGCGAATGTACAGTTGCATGCCTGGTGATTAGGTGGTGGAATTTGCATGTGACAGCTAAAAAAATGTGAATATACATATGTACTAGTTACATGTAGTTCATTTCGACAAAGTAGTTTCACTCACTGAACTGAAAGATTACTGCAAGGTTCTGTTGTGTCAAACGTTGATTATTGTCAACAAAAGTAGGCCCTCGGTTTAGCATACATGTATACTTGCATGAAAGTGGTTTTCAATGATCAACTGGCAGGTTGTAAGTTAATGGGTATGTTTCTTACTTTTTTGTAAATAACTGCCACCTAAAAATGCCTGTGGCCTTGTTGAATTCCAGAATTAAGAAAAAGAATAACAACCTCTTTAAAGGTAATATACAACGTTTGCAAACATAAAAAAAACAAAGCTACCAAATTATCATGAAATACCTTACTGGACTGTTAGTGAATGACAGTCTAAAGCATCCTGTAAAATAATGTCAATGGTGTGCTGAAATGTGTGCAATTTTTGTATCAATTTCCAACGATGGTCAGCCAACTATCGTGGAACAAAACTGGCTCTCTTTTTTTTTCAAATACTGCCCCCAATTTGCCAAATTTAGTTGGTCCACAATTTGTTTGCAATCGGTTACACATCTGTGAACGGGTACAAGCCAGCTAGTCTGGATCTAACAATTCCCAGTCATCTATAAATTGCTCAGTTTCTTCTGAAGTAGGGGTCAGGGAACCAGACTACAAGATCATGATATCTTTTTCCTTGTTTTATTTTTCAGCATCTATGAACACAAAACTAACCAAAAATGTCATTTTTTGTAATTTGTCATTTGTCCATGCGTCACCTGTTAGGCGTGCCACAAGATGGCGGCATCTTGCCTCGGTCCTTGGACGTCATCTTCAACAGTCTTGAAGGCCGTCTGTTTCCCAGCTTGCAGCTCAAGCCTCGTTTCTTCTGTGATGTGGCCAAGTTGGACGAGCGCCAACGTAAGAAGGAAGAGTACATCAAGGACTCCGTGCTATCAATGGCTGAGGGAAACTCAAACAAACAGGTGACATGAAAAATAAATCAGACAATAAACTGGGCTCAATTTTCATGGATCTGCTCACCACAAATATTTGTGCTTATAATAAACATTCTGTGCTTACAGTGCTAAGAAAGAAATGTTGTAAGCAGAAAATCCTTTAAATTTGTGTACGTACGTTGCATAAACACAATAATTGAAAGGAAGTACACATTCATGGAAAAGTAAAAATTGCTAGCTGAAGTATAGTTTGTGCTAAACAGTTTGCCTTAACCCTGACCCAGCTATAGAAACAATTGTGCTATATCTATGTGTTTGGGCACTTCCTTGGTAACTGCTGTTACATTTAGAGTGGGCCTTCTGTCAACTCTGTGCTATTATTCTGCTAAGGCATTTAGGGTGGATTTTCCTCACAGAAGATAGTTTTCTCTCGGAAATTGACGTTACCAAAAAAAGGACATTTTATAAACTGGCCTCTTTTCAGCTGTGTCCACTTTTGCATGGAATTGCCCATATGTACCTTTGCCCTCTGTCAATCAGCATGCAGCTTGGTCATCTCACACCTTCGTTTGTCTTATATTTAAGGCCCATTCTCTCCTTCACCTCATTCAGGAAGGGACCCAAGACAGTTCTGGCATGGATGAAGCAGATGACTCAAGGGCCTCCAGCTACACAACAGCAACTGAGGATTCCCAGTCAGAAATTTCTGTCAGTAGTATCACAGACGATGGTAAGGCTTCTATATCTTCCAGCACCTTGGTTTAATGCGTCTATCAATACGAGTGATTCCAAATACAGTGCGCCGCCAAGAGGTTGCCACAGAGAGTAAATTTTTCACAATGCATTGTGGGAGACAATCGACACATTCGCAGCGTAGGACACTTAAAATTGCTACTTTGTCCAGTCTAGTTTGTCTGGGAATCGCCCATATTGTCGTAGTCGTCGTCTGTCTGTCCGTCCGTACTTACCAGCACTTGTGGGGTACCTGTCCTTTGTTGGAGGTACCTCCAAGTGAAATCTTTAGAAAAAGGGATAAAAGGACAACAATGCAAGTACTCTGGAACTCCCATCCGCTAGAACGTCCATCCGTCCCCCCCCCCCCCCCCTCCCCCCGATATAGTTGGCTCCCGATCTCCCATAAAAAATTGAATACGACCTATTTAAAATCATTGTTGAGTCAACTACCTGTCAGCTGATTTGATAATGATGCATGCACCAGCTGTTTCACCAGATTTTAATTACCCGAGCAGGAGGTTGTTGGCTTTTGAATCCCATCTGAGCAATCCGGTTCATACTCGGTGCGAACGCGAGTTTGTGACGTCAGGGCAAGTTTACACGCTGCAAATTTGCAAAAGTTGAACACATTTCAACTCCCGCAGCGAATGCTTTCTGACGTCAACTTCGCTTCACATGAAGTATGAACCGGCCTTCAGACATCACGGAGAATACAGTGCTTTTACATTCAAGCAATTGCAGTCATTTAAGACATTTTTAACATGACATTTGTCCTGACTGACTCTTTCGTCTCCAGCAAGCATGCCCAACGTTCTTGATGACATCAACAGCCGTATTCCTGACGACACGTCAGTTGATGTGGAGGCCCAGGGTCCCCTGAAATTCTCCGTCTGGGTTTCATTTGCCGAAGTCTACAATGAGTACATCTATGACCTACTGGAAGCAATACCGAAGGCCAAGAAAGTCCGCAGGCAACCCCTCAAATTTTCCGAGGATAAAAACGGGCAAATATACATCAAAGGTAAGACTTCACAGTGTTGATGACAAAGTATTGAACATTTCTGAATAGCACTGAACACTTGCACGAGATTAAGTCCATTTATTCATTTCTAACTCTCTTGCTGGAAAAGATTCAACAAGCTTGCATTTTGATGTGTGTTTGTTTATTGGTTGGCTGGTTTGTTTGTGAATTTTGTTCATGTATTAGTTTGTTCTTTCTTTTGTTCCTTTACTTGTTCCTTTCTTAATCTATCTGTTAGGGTAGTTTTGATGATACAAGCCAGGAAAGTGGTTTAGAATTAGGGATCTTTTTTTCTCTTTTAGTGTACCTGCATGATTTTCTCGTTTTTCACTTCACCTTTATGTCATTCAAACTTGAAAACACTCCATAAAGTCTTCTACAACTTGTCATTTTCTCCTGTTACTTCCTCGTTACCTGCCTGTTAACCCTTTAACCTCGGTCTTGTCTGTTTGTGTGAAGGATTGAAGGAAATCTCTGTGCAGAGTGCTGACGAGGCCTACAAAATCCTCAAGATTGGCCAGCAGAATCTAAGCATGGCAGCCACCAAGCTCAACCATTGCTCCAGTCGCAGGTACATTGTATGGCATCATCTCCTGCATGAGTTGTAATCAATCCTCATTCTTGTTTTTGCTTTATTTTTCCAACATACTTTTTTCCATGGATCCGACGAATTATAGCAAGCGTGTGTGCGTCGTGCCAAGACTTAAGGCGCACAGTTGGAAAGGCCTTCTTTCGTTGATTTCTTCAAAATCACAGGGAGTTTAGTCCCCTTACTATCTTTCAACCAAGTATGTTTTTCAACAATAATTACGCCAGTTTAATACTTTTTGGATAGCTGCAAATGATGGACTGTAGCTTTAAGATGGGTTTAGTGAAATCGGTCTCAGGACGCGTCTGAGCTAAGATCGATCTTAGAGCGGGGACTCGTCTTTAAGTCCTAAGATGAGTTTCGTGAAATCAGCCCCTCATCAAATAGATCAACAGTTTGGCAGACCACTGACAAAGCTTGGATGACTCACTTGGTAGAGCATTGGTACAGCATCCCAGGGATTGCAGGTTCCAATCCTGCTGCAGGCAATTTCTTTGTTGAACCTTGTAATGAATAAAAATGACTTCATTTTGTTGTTGAATTTGTCCCTCAGTCACTGCATCTTCAGTATCAAGATCCTGAGAGTGGTGGACGTGGAGAACCCACATGTCGCCAGAGTCAGTCAGTGAGTACATTCCCTCAATATGTCAGGGTCCACTTGAATTCTCTACAGTGTTGTAGTATCCATACTTGCACTATAAATGCTCAGTTACTTTGTTTTGTACATTTTGTTTGTAATCCACAAAATGTAACTAAATGTTTCTACCACACTTGCCGCAAAAGGGATTGTGTTTACACCTCAAAAGAGTAAATTGGAAAACTACTCAACCAACTTACAGCACTGATCCATTGTCAGTGAAATTTAGCAAAACTACAAAGTTGTGAGGGCATCCCTTTTGATTTCAAGTTTAACTATATTGCAATAGGCTATCACTTGCAAATAAAACCATACTGCCATGTGGGACTGAATTTTGTAAATAATGCCTAGTCTGAAACTTCAGGACTGTCAGTACTTTGCATGGTACCAAGCCTGCATTTACAATACATTTTCACTGTCATGACACCAGACTACTGAAAAATTTAGACATGTACGTACCAACCTAGTCTGTTAAGGCTTCAACATTAATCACTTGGCTCAACTCACTGGTGCGAAATCTTAAAGAAAAAGTCTCCTTTCAAATTTGAATTCAGACTTCAAACTTTGCTTCCAGAGAAATACTGAGGAAATTTTGGAGAACTTTGTTAGTGAAAGAAAGAGTCCGGGCATATTTTTTCTGCACTTGGTGTTTCAGTCTGAATAACTCCCATCTTTAACGGCTTTCCTTCTCTTTCTAGGCTCTCATTCTGTGACCTGGCGGGATCGGAGCGGTACACTCGTACCCAAAACACCGGTGATCGCCTCAAAGAAGCAGGAAACATCAACACGTCATTGCTGACACTCGGCAAATGTATACACACACTAAGATACAACCAGAATCACCCAAAGTAAGTCGCTAGTTTCCTCATTTCATGCTCATTCAGGATTCCCACAGTCAGGAACTAAATTCCTGGAAAATCCTCAAAAGTCAAGGAGTTCTGTTGTTTTACAAGGAGTCGTGAAAAACGGATATTCCAAGAAAAGTAACGAAAAAGTCATGGAATCCTGTACAACCCCTGTGTATGTGATGAAGCATAATATTTGGCAGTCTTCCAGTTCCATGCCAGTTTTAAGAGGTACCCTTGTTTTTTTTTTTAATCTGTATCCGATTCCCCGTAAATGCAGTATTTGCGCTGCGAATTCCCAAAAGTAGAACACATTTCAACTCCAGTGAATTTCATGTCAGTAAATATTTCCTGACGTCGAAATTAACTTCGTATTTGTATTCGCATGAAGTATGAGCCAGCCTTTAATTAAAGTACAACAAATTGTTTACAAGCGGAAAAAATTTAAAATCTTTGCAAACATAAGGTCATCTCAAGAATCAGTTTTGAACAATCAAACAACTTTATAAACCAATGGGATTTTTTTATCATTTTTTGTTTCAGATCCAATCCAAAGATTATCCCGTTTAGGGAGAGCAAGCTCACACGATTGTTTCAGAGTTTCTTCATGGGTAAAGGCAAGGCTTCAATGGTTGTCAACGTCAACCAGTGTGCCTCGGGCTTCGATGAGACCCTCCAAGTCTTGAAATTCTCGGCAATAGCAAAACAGGTATGGATTTGAATTTTTGATGACTACAATTAATTTGTGGTGAAAAGCTGCTACAAACTGAGTGCTGAAACATACAGATTATACAGAGCCTGGGATTTTCAATCCCAGCAGAATGTTTGGTTTACTTTCTTTATCTTTCTTTCACCTTTTTTTAAACCATTCTGCTGGAATCCAAGCGTCAGGGTTTATAACTTGATTAACCCTCCAATGCAAGCATACATTCTGTGCCAAGTAGTCCTTTCAGTCAAAATTAATCAAGACTATTTTCAAAAGTAAAGAAATCCCACCCAGCCTTAACATAAAGCATGGTCATGCCAAACCTACCCGAAACATTAGAGATATAAACTGAATCCAAACTGAAACCGATCTTAACTCCCTCAAACCGACCCAACCCGGCAAAAAATAAGGTAAAACTGACCCGAACCGACCCCCCAAAAAAGAACATCTGGCTTGGACAAAAGGAACACTTCTTTGGCATGAATTCTTTTGCAAAACCATTGTCTCTCTCTCTGTCATACTCAGTGGGTTGATCGAGAGTAACTCCGCTTATTGATCTAACGCATGGTATCACCACGCGGTATCATGAAAACTGTTACAATGTATCTATTTCACTGTCAGTCCTGATCCGTCTGGAGAAAATTAATACCGTGGGAACTTGATAGTGCGCTCGGTGGCCACACCACACAATGGGCTGCGGTCACAGTGACTGTCAATACTATTGCATCACCTGAATTTCACAACTGTTTCGGTTTATTTTGTTTTTTTCAAAAGATGGCTAAACCGACCCGAAAATGTAAATGCAAAACCGAACCCAACCCGACCCGACTGAAAAAATGGACAAACCATTTCGGTTTGCGGTCGGGTTTGCACTTAATTAGTCAAAAACCATTCCTTTGCCATTGTCCATCCTTTTCTGTGAAACGCGTGTTTGGCTGGTGATTTTACTTGGCTGCATTGCTTTTAATTGAGCTTTATATTTGAGATGTGAATAAAATTAACAGTCTGTTAATTAACTCAACAGGTGACCACAGTGACCTCCAAGCTGGACAACAAGTGGAAGGTCCCCGCAGCAGGCGGGCCCAAACTGGCCTCCTCCCGCGCCCTCTCCCTGGCCCTTCGGCAGTCGCTGTCTCGTAACAGGGCGTCGGTGGCTTGGGCCACACCCGGCCCCCAGCTAGACTCCAACCTGGACCTAACGACTGTCGATGAGTCCTTCGAGGAAGATGAAGATGATGAGGAGGATGACGAGGAGGAGGAAGATGGAGAGAGGACACCAAGGGAGTCCATGGTGAATGAGGAGTCCAGAGCTGTAAGTCTTGGGCTGGGGACAGGACGGAAGAGCTGTATTGAATGTCAAGAGTTTTCTTTTCCTTGACAATACATCTCTCTCGCCACATCCATGTTTATGTACAGACCTGTGGAAAGCTCAAAATTTTGTAGAGCTATTTGCACATCTGTAAGGGAATGCGGCTAGTGGTTAGGGTTTTTGACTCATGATCATAGGGTCAGGGGTTCCAATCCAGCTGCTGGCCATATGTTGTGTTCATTGGCAAGCCACTTCACCCCCACTTGCCTCTCTAGCTGGGGAGTAATCTGCGATGGACTAGCATCCCATCCAGGGGGAGTAGAAATATTCTCAGTTGTTTCATGCTACTGAAACCGGAGATAAACGCCAGCCTGATGGGCCACATTGGCTCATGACAGTCTTTACTTTTAAACTTGCACGTCTGCGTTTGTATTCAGATTGATGCAAAAAGTAAATCAATTCATCTAAAACCAAAAGGCACAATCGGTAAGTGAGGATTCATTTCGCTCTGTGAAAAACAATAAACATAATGCCATTATGCTCTTCAGTAAGTCATTGTGTATGAAATGTTCCTCATGTAGCCGGCGTGATGAAAGTTGCCTCAAGATAGAAGTAAATTTGAATTCTGAGTGTTGGTCTCACCAACAATGTTTTCATCAGCACTGTGTATGCAGTTCCATGAAAGAGCTTGCACGAGGAAAATTCATTTAGTGCTCTTTGTGGGGCTCGAACCCACAAACTCGTGCTGACTAGTGCAGACATCTACCACATGACCACTGAGATTCCAGGGTCAGCTGGCCTTTTGTCATAGTAGAATACTGCCTCTTAAGTAAGTAAAGTCCGTCATGAGCCAATGTGGCCAGCAGTTCTCTCCGGTTTCAGTAATATGAAATGACTGAGAATATTTCTATTCCCCCTGGATGGGATGCTAGTCCATCGCAGTACCCATTTATACTCCTGAAGAGAGGCAAGTGAGGATGAAGCAGCTTGCCCAGGGACACATCATATGACCAGCAGCTGCATTCGAACCCCTGACCCTCTGATCATGAGTCCCAAACACTAACCACTAGACAAAACTCCCCCATTGTAAGTAAGGTAAATCTTAATTATGGGATTTGCACTTCACCGACTGTTTTGTCTTTTATTTCTAAACTTTTCATTTCGCACCCTCTGCAGGCATTAATCAACCTGGTTGAGATGCTGAAGACACAGTTGATTGAGGAGAAGAAAAGGATGATGATGTTGGAGGTGCAGATCCGGGAGGAAGTCTGTCAGGAGATGGCCCAGCAGCTGGTCCAGATAGAGGGAGACTACAAGTAAGACATTACAATGTAGTGAGAGTTGAATAAGGACAAGTATAAGAATGATATTTGTGACGAAAGGGAGTTTATGGTTGGGCTGATGATGATGGTGATGGTAGAGTCAATGGCATTGTGTGGCTAGTTAAGGGGCTTTGTGTACTTTGTTGATATAGCTTAAAGTTATGATATTCATGAATGTGCGTAAACTAGCATCATTGGCAATCACAATAGCATTGGCCCAGCATTCACAAACTGCCTTTACTCTGTCTTTGACACTGTAAACAGGGGCACTTGTGGGAGCGTACATTAGAACTGGGTACCAGGTTACCCAACCGCTGATGTCAGAAACTGGTTCCAGATTATAGAATCGGGTAACCGTAACTAACTTTACCAGTCACTTAGTAACTTTTCAGACAATGAAAAAGGAAGGTTGTGAATGCCATTTGTTGGGACTTTTCAAAACGAAACTGGGGTACATGGAAAACCAATACAGATGGTACGTTTATGTGCATTTTTATGCGGGACAGATGACGCTCGCAAAAGTGTTAAGCTAAAAAGCTCTGTAGACAACTTCCGGGATTTGACATTTTGGGTTGGGTTTCTTTTATGCTTATAGGGCACCCGTGTTTTACTTCAGTAGCGCACCCTGTTCCCATACTGCCCGTAAATACATGCCACTAGGCACTTGTGTTCAAAGATGCTATGAAGCAAGCATATCCAATGAACATAATGTTTCTGCATCAGTTGACAAAAACTGGAACGCAATTAATCCAAAAGGTAATAAAATTGATTGAATTTCTCTTTTCAGGGACCAGCTGGAGAAAGAGCGTCTCACCACAGAAGAGATGTTTGAAAAGCGACTAGAAATGTACGAGAAATCGGTCAAGACTACGCGTAAGAGGCCGCGCCCTGACGACGAAGAGGAATACGTGTCAAGTCTTCTCCTTCATGCAGAGCAGACAAAAGTCCAGGTAATGAAATCTAAGGTGGTTGAAAGGGAACAGAAAACCAACAAGTTAATGTACTAATGCTATGTACTCATATCCTCGCTAGCCAGGGTAGTCTTACTCTTGAACATACTAAGACGGTACCCTGACAAAGCGAGTACATATATCTACTAAACACAGCAAAAAAAGAAAGTCCATACTCATTGGAGGGTTCATAATTTTGAATCTGATCATCTTACGATAACGTCATATACATAGACCTTTGGGGAATTTTGTTAGCTACATTTTGATACCTCGTTTACTACCAAAGACTGTAAATCGTCTAAGATTGACAGTTTAAAGATTACGCCAGGAGAAACGTCACGAAGGCAACACAAACAATTCTTGAGGTCAGCATGACGTCAATGGGGAAAACAAAGCCACGTGTACGTACTGAGTCATGCATAGATCGCCGTATTAATATGAATTTTCACTCATTTCTTTAATTCTCTCGCTTCTTTCATTGTATTTTCGAAGTGTTGTTGACTCCTGAAATGAGTTATCAGTATGTGGAATACACAGCAACTTTTAACCATCTTTGATGTTTCAAGTTTTGACAATATTGGCGTCAAAACCACGAAATCTGATGCGAAATCTAAAATGTCGCTGTACTTCATTGCAGCATAGCTTCACTTCCCTTTTTGCCTGTGTTTGTTTTCCCCTTTGCGCTGTTGCTACGTGGAAGTGCAACGAAAGTCCACGGATGTCCGATCTCGAGAATCTGACTGACTGACGACGAGTGTTAAAATAGTAAATAGTGTGGACTTGGTTTGCCAGGGTAGTCTAACGACGCACAAGAATTGAACTACCCGGGCTAGCAAGGATGTGTACTCATTTCATGAACATTAGATGGTACTTTGTTACGAGAACTCAAGTCAGTAGAACACTTTGCATGTGTGTGCACTGCCTAATTGTATTTTGAATGTGCACAAACTCATGTATAAACCTATCGTCTTTGTGCATTCAATGGCAATGAAGTGTCAATCTGCCTCCCTAGAGCTTCCTTTGCTTTGGTTGAGGCTCCTTGTGTAAGAGATTACGGGTTCGAGTCCCATCCCAGCAAGTTTGTGAATCTTTACTTGTACACATTGTCCGTATTTCTAAAGGAGTTGTTCCGAAATAATAGTTTTAGTATCCCATCGACCACGTTGCTGTTTTGCAATCTCAATTCAGAACCAGGAGAAGATAAATGAAGGCCTGCGCCAAGACATTGAGACGCTGAAAGAGGCTCTTGAAGAGAGCCACGAGAAGATGAGCTCGCAGGACGAGACGTTGACGGAGCTGCAGAGGTTGACAGAGGAGAGCAAGCAGGCCCTGAGGGAGGCTGAGGCTAAGCTATGTGCCAAAGATGAGAAGTTGGACGCATTGCTCCATAAAATACAAGGTGGCCAATCCACTCACGCTATCAATTCTATCAGGAAGACCCCCTTCAATGGCGAAATCATTGTGCTAGCTATTGTGCAGATAATCGGTCATGGGGCAGTAGCGTTGCACAGTAGTATGCATAATGCTTTCGCCACTGAAGGGGGTGTGTACAGTGTTCAGTGATCATGTGCCTGGATTCATCTATATTATAGCTTTGAGGGGATTCAAGAAAATATTGCATGAGCTATAACAATATAACACTAGTTGACGAGTGCAATATTGTCGTAGTGAGTGCTATATATATTCTTGTATCCTCTGAAAAAAAAAAAGCCATCCAATAATATTATTTATATCAGGCCGACTTCATTTGCAAGAAATACCTTTCAAGACACTGTCTTTATTTTTTCTTATGGTCTTCACTTACCAAAACAACTTTTGCGCCTCATGAAGCTGCCATTGTGGTTGTTGACAACAGTGCGCATATACCATGCTGCGCGTCTGCGTACGACGGTACCGCCCGCAGCGCTATGTTGACTGGTTGACAACTGAGTTTCTACGCTCTTGATCGTGCGAATATGCCCGGATGAGGGCAATATCAAAAGTAATATTGCCCTCATCCTGGTACTTTTACTGACATAATAAATTATTGCTGTCATCCGGGTACCATTTACGAAAGTATACACTACGCTGATTTACTTTTACCGCTGGAAGCCTGTTATAAATAACAATGTAGAATATTTTACTGTGAATGTTTCTCTACGTCAAATTCACTTTGCATTTTGCCTGTATGAAGTGTGAAATAGCTTCAATACTGTGGCCCCTATTGAGTGCTGTTCCTCTCTGAAGAAAAATTCTGGACATTATTCTCAATAGTATTTCATGGTTGGCGGTCTCCTCTTGTCAGTGTTGTGGATTGATATGTAATGAGAGTTTATTTTGCCCCACAAGAAATTTGCTTTGAAAATATCAGGTCAATTCAACACGCGGATCTTTAAAGCTTGAAAACATAAATTATTTCCAATTAAAACAAATGTCAGATGTTGTTAATTATATTTCCAACCACTTTACTTAGATTACAGGACCATTTGCCTTCCTCCCCCCCCCCCCCCCCATTTACCCTTATGGTACTGAGATGTTAATTTTAATGTTTCCGTTTCAGAACTGGAAGACATTCACAAAGACTCCAGACAAAAGGTGTGTACCGCAAACAACAACATGAAGTGCTTCGTGGTCATAAAGAATATTTATTTGTGCTTAGTGGTAATTAAGAATGTTTATTTCATTTCCAGTATTTAGTATCATTATTTTGGATGCTGCAAGCGCGATGTAGAAAGCACATTATCAAGTATACAAATTAAATCTCCTCCAGTGAAACTATTGTGATTTTGTATAATGTTTGGATTTACACCAGAGCTGCACAATTTTACAACCTTTGAGTAAGGAAATAGATAATCCAATCGGGTGATTCTTTCAATTTGGGGTCCGCAGAGTTTTTCCCTGTTTCTGTTGCATCTGACACGTATGATTTTTTTAATTCTAGATACACTCCTTAAAGCCCGGTTTATACTTCATGCGAAAGTGTAAGCGAAGCGAAATTTGTGGTGTCAGCAATATGTTCGAAGCCATTGTTTACAATATGACTTTCGCTTCGCACTTGCTTTCGCATGAAGTATGAACCGGGCTTAATGCAGTTGTCCTCCAAGAATGATTATGAATATCAAACTTCCTACCAAACAATTAAGAAAAAATATGAAGTCACTCTTAAAGGGAATATACATCATTTGCTTTTGCTGTAATTTTCAGAAATGGATGGAATTGGGGGGTTGGAAATATATAGCAAATATAGTTACACTGACTTTTTTGAGGTTTTGGGTTCAAAAATGCTATAAAAACCAAGAAAAACAATCATTTTCCTGTAGTCTGGTTCCCTGACTCCATTTAAGAAGAAACAGAGCAGTTTACATACATTGAGGTATTGTAAGGTCAGGGAACCAGTCTAGCTGGCTTGTACCCGTTCATAGGTGTGTAATCGATTGCAAACAAGTGCGATGGTCAATTGGGGCCAGTATTTGGAAAAAAGCCAGTTTTTTCCAACGCTGGTCGGCCGACCAGCGTTGGAAATTGATACAAAAATACCACTTTTCTTGAAAATGACAGTATACCAGGTGCCACGATTTTACAGGATGCTTTACACTGTCATTCATTAACAGTCCAGCAAGGTATTTCAAAATGATTTGGTAGTTTTATTTTTTGATGTTTGCAAATGTTGTATTTTCCCTTTAATGACACTTGAAAGAAAAATTACAAAGTTCCAAGGTTAACATGTCACATATTGGACACTACATTTATGGAATGACCCATTTGTTTTGCAGTTTAAATAAATTGGATTTAATATTTATTATACATGTATTAACAGAAAAAAATAACCAATCCAAACACATTTCCTTCTGTTTTCTACAATGAACGGACGCTTGTGACACTGAATTCTCATTCATGATTCAAGTTGGAGCAGGAGACAAGTGACAAGGAGAAGGTTGCCGCTGAATATGAGAGAAGCCTGGCCCTGAAGAGTCACGCCATTGAGGAACTGGAGGACACCAATGAGGAATTGGAGGACGCCAACCGCCGCTTGCAGCAACAACTAGGTCTCACTGAGGTAAGTAGACTCTTGAATTCTAAATAAAAGAGGAAAAGAGGCATTTTCAGATTTATTTCAGGGGAGAATGCAAAATTCAACAGTTGGACAAGGCAAACACGTTGAGGTTTTCAAGGTTTAAGAGGGTTTTGTGAGTTTAGAAAAGGTAAAATCTTGACTTACCCCTTGTTTAATTTTGCATTCTTCCTTGAATATTATAAATATCGATTTACATGTATGTAATATTGAGAAAGCATTCATGTACTTCTATTGCCGCATTTGCCACAACAGACAAACCCATTATGCCCCGCCCACTGGGCCGGTACACACACAATGATATGCGCGCCTCTCTAATATGCTGTAATGTATGGTCCAGACACGCGTGCACACATGTCGGATATTTGTACACGCATGTTGGATGTCAATCACAACTGTAATTCATCACATCATGGAGCATGGCTTCATTGATAGTCTATTCCAGAGAAACATATAATACTCTATCCGTTTGTGTACTAGCAATGGAATTTAATTCTGTCTCATTATTGAAAAAAATTCCTGACCTAATTTTGACACCAAGTAGCATCACACTCTTTTTGATTTATCACGCACTTTAAATGTAAATATGCATACCAAGTATCCCCTTCAGTCCGGAACATCACGTTTAACTGATGCTGCGTGGTCATGTGGTACTATGTAGAGACCAATTCTGTTAAACAAACTCAATCCTCAACAAACAGAAGACAACTGTTACCAAGTGTAAGTCCAATAGACCTATTAGACATACTAATGACGTCACGCTTTGTTTACACGTTCATTTTCCTATGGTAGTCAAGCAGGAAGGATTCAGTATCATCCCCAGATCCCATAGGTAAGCGGGCATGTAAACAAAGCCGTGAAGTCACTATGCCTTAGGTCTATCGACTTCGTGGGATTGGACTTCAAAAAACTGAAAAGGTGTCGAGTTCATTCACAATATTTTTCATCGCAGAGGAGGAGGGACCACCTTTTAAAGAAAGAAAAATGACTTTCTGTCGTTGGACCAGAATTTGAGCAATGATATTCTCTTTGTAATTACCTCAAACTCTTACCTTTTTGTCTTTAGAAACTACAGACGCAGCTGTCCCAATCAGAGTCGACCCTGAAGGACACCTACCAGGTCATCCAGACCCTTGAGCAGGACATTGACAAGCTCAAACGCCAGCTGGAGGACTCTGAGAATGAGCTTAGCGAGTCAAAGGTCCATCCTGTTGATTGTCCTGACAAACTCCACGCTGAGAAGCTGCAGAAGAAAGTCACTGCACTGGAGAAAGAGGTTAAATTTGGTTTTATTGTTTAATTATCTATTAAATATTGATGTACGTAGCAATTGTTGGACACATTGAACAAATTGGGTAATTCATAGTTATTGGGTAATCAAAATAATGGCCTTCTTCTGAAAGCTGATCTAAATCAGGGTTTCCACATTCATGGAATAATCCTGGAAAATCATGGAATTGAAAGCTATCACGGAAAGTCATGGACAAGTCTGGGAATATTTCAAGTAAAAAAGTCATGGAAAAGACATGGAATCTTGCACAAAAACCATTTGTGATGATGCGCAGCATCTGTGAATGGCAGTCCAGTTTGAAAATACTGTACTTCCTTTGTGTGCATATGCTCTAAACTAGTTGCACATTCAGTGCACTGGTGTGATGCTTTTGAGGTGCTCAGTGGTCTTAGTGTCAAACTGGAAGGCTGAAAGGGAGTGACGTCTCTTGCCCTCTAGAGCAATATAGGCTCCTAAGATGCCAAAACAGCAAAGGACTTGGTCTTGCAAAGCCTGAGTTTGTGTCCATGGAATGTTGTGTTTCAGATTTCTGTGGGAACCCTGAGAATGCATATAGGTTAAAGACACAACATTTTTCCTTGTGTACTGCTAGTGCAAAAATAATGTGTAACACATCTTCCCCGCATCACTTTGCCTCCAGATCCAGGAGCAAGTGGCCAGCAAAGAAGAGACACTGGACAAGTGGCGTGAGGAAAAGGACAATCTCGTCAATGCCCTAGAACAGATGGAGCACAGGATGACTTCCCTTCTTGAGACTCAGAAAAACAATGAGGCTGTGTTGGCTGAAAAAGATCAACAAAATGAACATCTGGAGGTAACAATTATAATTGGCCTCAATACTTATCTATGTTTATTTCCTTGGGCATACAAGATTACTTTAAGCTTGTATATTGGAGGTTTTCCTGGGCAGAATCTCATTCAGCCGATTGCAGCTACGCGATGTCATGCACAAAACCGATGAGTAATAGGTACTGCACACGTATGTGCGTCATGTCAACACTTGCGCGCACCCATTCTTGGTTTCGCTGAATTACAAACCAATACTAACTGAAATTTCAAAAAAATGGTCACTTGATGCATCTTTGGAAATGGCCTTCTTTTATTGGTTTCTTTAAAATGACAGCATGCCCGAAAGAATAATTTGACAGGGAGTTTATTGTGATTACTTTCTTTAAACCAAGTATCTTTAAACCAAGTAAGCTTTTCAATGTTACTTTGTCAGTAACTTTTTAGATAGCTGCAAATGATCTACTCTACCTTTTTAAGTACTCACTGGCTAGTTTCATTGATCTTTTGATGGAGGGGAGGGGTCTCATTTTCTGGAACTTGAAGATGGTGGTTGAAGACCTGAGATGGTGGGGTGGCATTACAGCAAGGACCGTGAGGTCACAGATTTGGGTGGTCTTAAGGCATGAAACGATTGTACATGGAACAGAGTTGAGCCATAGTCCATCTTCCCAGTGTGTTTGCTTTGCCCCTGAGGTCACTTTAAAATGCTTAGCAAAAAATTGAGTGATGATCTCTTGTGTTATCATACTAACAGTCCCCTTCCACTTAGCGTTTGTTTGTTTTTTTTTTTTCATTAAAGACGCAGCTGTCCCAATCAGAGTCAAATCTGAAGGACTCCAACCTGATCATCGAGGCCCTTGAGCAGGATAATGACAAGCTCAGAAGCCAGTTGGAGGACTCTCATAAACAGAATGAGGCAGCGTTAGCTGACCAAAATGAAGTCAGTGATCTTAAGGTAATGACCATATAACAGGCAATAGTGTTAAATTCCTCACTTAGCGCATTAAATGTAAAAAAAAAAAATTATGAGGTTTTTTTGTGTATTTACTCGACAAAATCGTAATAGTTTTAAAACTTTTTTACAGACTTAAGGTTGAACATTTTTCTTTGGCATGGCAAAAAGATTTAGAGGAAGACTGTTTTTAAAGAAAGATCATTTTCAAATGCTAAACAGGAACTTGACTGACGATGTTCTCCAAAAACACCTTGCATTTTCTTTTGAACTTAAGGCCCAGCTATCTGAATCCGAGTCCACCCTGAAGGATTCCAACCAGGTCATCAAGACCCTGGAGCAGGACATTGAGAAGCTCAGAAGCCAGCTGGAGGACTCTCAGAATGAGCTTATTGAGTCCAAGAATCATCGTGTTGATTGTCCTGACAAACTCCAAGCTAAGAAGCTGCAGGAGAAAGTCACTGCACTGGAGAAAGAGGTTTGCATTGGGTTTTTTTTTTTTTTTTGAAATTTGTTTTCTTTCTTGGTTTTCTTTTTTTTCTTCTTTTTTTGTTTATGGAAAGTCTAATACGTAAGATGAGAACTTATTGGAATCATTTAAATGAATGCGAGGATTTTTCGGAGTTCTAGAGAATGCAGTTTTACTATACAATACTTAAAAGACAGGTATACAAGCCAAATTGCTAACAAGTTGCAGTTAACCTTTGGGCCTAAGAGTTAGCTTAAGTGCAGTCTTAGTGCAACCTCATGTTAACAACCGGGCATCTTCCGTGCATCACTTTGCCTCCAGATCAAGATGCAAGTGGCCAGCAAAGCGGAGACATTGAGCAATTGGCATGAGGAAAAGGACAGTCTTGTCAATACCCTTGAACAGATGGAGCACAGGATGACTTCCCTCCTTGAGACGCAGAAGAAGAGTGAGTCAGCATCATCCGAGAAAGATGAACGCATCCAGCATCTTGAGGTAATAATCACAGTGGACAGCTTCTGGGTTTTTTTTTTAAATTAGTGAAAGCGAAGGGAAGTTTTGAGTGACATTCTTTTTTATAATGATCTCTAATTCTATCTCTTTCCATTTTTTTTTTGGTGAACTAAAGACACAGCTGTCCCAGTCAGAGTCAAGCCTGAAGGATTCCAACCAGGTCATCAGGACCCTCGGACAGAATGTTGACAAGCTCAGAAGCCAGCTGGAAGAGTCTCAGAAACAGAATGAAGCTGCCTTTGATGAGAAAGTTAAACGCATTGAGGATCTTGAGGTACTAATTTCAGTGGTCTTCAAATGTATCGTTTCTATGGTACTTTCAGTCTTACGCAGTCACTTATCAGAAATCTGTTGCTGGAGTTTGGAGGTTTTCTCGAACAGTTAATACAAGGCATGCAACTTTTCCTCGGATCCACTAATTTTCTTTTTATTTTCTTCTCATGAATGCCATTACAAACTGAAAAATAATGTTCAAAGTCTTGTGCGGTTTGGAATTTCCTCTTTTTTTTTTGGTTTTTTTTTTCAAAATTCCCAGTTGCAAGTCTGTAATACAGTTCCACGTATAGGTTGAGAAAGGGTTTTTTAAGAACTTTCGCTTTTACAATGCTTAAGCCAGGAATAAGCAACAATTTGTTTTGAATTATCCCCAACTCTCCCCATTTGCATCTCCTTTGGAAACTACAGACGCAGCTGTCCCAATCCAAGTCAAGCCTGAAGGACTCCAACCAGTTCATCAAGACGCTTGAGCAGGATATTGAAAAGCTAATAGGCCGGCTAGAGGACTCTCAGAAACAGAATGAGGAAGTGTTAACTGACAAAGATGAACGCATCAAGGATCTCGAGGTACAATTATATTATACCTCACAGTAACTTGACAAAAGAACTTTCTTTTTGGACTGGACTGGAGTTTTAGAGTTTTTTTTTTTAAGTCATGAAGGAACATTACCGAGAAGTGGACGACCTACCGAATCAATGAATCAATGGGGAAACCTTGCTCAAAGTTAAGATGGGACTGGTACCAAATACCCTGTGAAATTGTTCTGCCCGAAAGTGGTATAGTTTGTAATAAATCAATCATTGAAGGTTGTTTTAATTAAGAAAGTTCCTGTTGGCTCTCTTTTTGATATATGTTAGCAACAGAATCCTGTTACGAGAAAAAAAATTCCGCATATGTTTCTCTGTTTTCTCATGTGTAGGAGCCATTTAGATAAAAACCTCCACAGGTTAGTTTTTGACCAAGTTTGTTGCTTGAAATGGGAAAAATGGAAAAAACAAAACATGCACATAATAGAAATAATGCTACGTATTTTTTAAAATTGGCAGTTCAATTTAAAGGTTATCACTTTACAATGGTAAGCTAGAACTGAGCAGCCATCTTTTAGGGAGATTGGGCTCAACCTGATCACGTTACAGATTGTGTGAGATTTTTTTTCCTCTTTTTGTTTATATAGTTCACAGCATAAACTTGAGACTTGGACTCGAACATCATCCCTGATCCCGAGTTGTGCATATTACTGTATGAGACAATGTACAACCATATAGTGTGGTAGCCAATCACCCTGCACTTGTAACAAAGACAAACGCCAAACCTGTAGTGTATTTTGTTGTTTAACTCTCCCCATTTGTATCATCTTTGAAACAAAAGACGCAGCTGTCCCAATCCAAGTCAAGCCTGAAGGATTCCAACCAGGTCATCAAGAGACATGAGCAGGATATTGACAAGCTCAGAAACCAGCTGGAGGATTCTCAGAGACAGAAAGAGACAGCGTTTACCGACAGAAATGGACGCATTGAGCATCTTGAGGTAACAATTACAATTGAACTGTCACTCGACAATGTCTCACCGGGATTTATACATAAACCGTTATAAACGTTCATTATCTGATTGGTGGGTCAGTGATCACATGTCATTCCACAGTAAATGGAAGTTCCATTTCACGGCTAGCTTTTGGCAGCTCCGACCAATCAGATGATGAGGATGTATTCAGGTGTTGTGTAAAACAAAAAAATGTATCACATTCGTGCAATGGAAAAGATATATATATGAGGTGACAAATTGAATGTTCCATTCCACTCAGTTTCGCCTTGTTTAATGGAACAGTCCATCTGTCACCTCATGAAATTGTTCTTACCATTGCACTCACAAACATTTTATTATTTGTATATTAACGACAGTGTTGTTCTTTTTAATTATTCCAAACTCTTTCCCTTTGTAACTCCTTCTGGAACTAAAGACGCAGTTATCTGAATCAGAGTCCACTCTGAGGGACTCCAACCAGCTCATCAAGACCCTTGAGCAGGATATTGACAAGCTAAGAAGCCGGCTGGAGGACTCTCAAAGACAGAATGAGGCAGCGTTAGCTGATAAAAATGAAGTCCTCAAGGATATTAAGGTAATAATCATAATCAATACTAGTGTTAATATCCTCATTTAGCGCATCTAAATTTAAAATACAACATTTGCTTTCGCCATAATTTTCAGAAAGAGATGGATTTTGGGGTAAGGATGTTTTTGTTACACTGACATGTTTAAAGTTTTGTGTTCATAGATACTGGAAAAACCAAGAAAAAAAATACTGTTCTTGTAGTCTGGTTCCCTGATCTATATACACAAGGAAATTTTCAGATCAGGGAACCAGATTAGCTGGCTTGCACCCGTTCATGGCTGTGTAACCGATTGCAAACAAAATGTGGACTAAATTTGGTAAAATGGGGCTAGTGTTTGAAAAAAGTCAGGTTTTTTTCCCAACGACGTGATGGTTGGCTGACCATCGTTGCAAATTGATACAAAATTCCACTTTCCTCGAAAATGACAGCACACCAGGTGCCATGATTTCACAGGATGCTTGAGACTATTATTCACTTACTTCAGGTACTTCATAATAATTTGGCAGTTTTTTTACGTTTGCAAATGTAGGCCTATATCACCTTCTATTAGACAAAATGTGTACGTTTTAAAACTTTTTTGTATAGTTCACCTGGTTGCATTTTATTTTTTCGGACTAAAGATGCAGCTGTGTGACTCCAAGTCAAACCTGAAGGACTCCAACCAGGTCATCAAGACGCTTGAGCAGGATATTGACAAGCTCAGAAGCCAGCTGGAGAACTCTCAGAAACAGAACGAGGCAGCGTTAGCCGAAAAAGATGAACGCATCAAGGATCTTGAGGTACTTGTTGTAAGAGATATCAGATAAAGCATGCACAGTCTCTTGAAAGTAACATGTCATATTCGATTTCCTCTCTGGGCTAGGCTTTAAGGATGGAGGTTCTCATGGCCACTGAAAATGTCCTAGAATTCTTCTGGTGCACCACGAATTGACGTATAGTATGTGGACTGTGCACAGGATACGTCACTTCATGGCGCAACCGACAAATTTAGGTCAGGTTTGGCTGGTTTTCGAGACTTGTCACTTTCCATGCTTTAGCCAGGATTTTTGCGTGGTATGCCCAACTCTCCCCTTTTTGTCTAAAGATGCAGCTTTCTCAATCCAAGTCAACTCTGAAGGATTCCAACCAGGTCATCAAGACCCTGGAGCAGGATATTGACAAGCTCAGAAGCCAGCTGGAGGATTCTCAGGAACAGCTGAGCGAGTCCAAGAGGCATCCTGCTGATTGCCCTGACAAACTCCAAGCTGAGAAGCTACAGAAGAAAGTCACTACACTAGAAAAAGAGGTTATTATTTTGTTTGTTTTATTATGGAAATGTCTATTTCATAACGTGTGACTGCCCTTCAGAAAGAGATTGAAAATGTTCAAATTTCATTATTTTTTTATGGAAATCCCATCTAGATACTGTTTTGAGGATTTGATGGGCCCAATGAAGAATTTACCAGAAATATTTTCCTTCAGTGTGGAGCTGTGCATGTGAAACAGATACCTGAGTACCCGGCCATTGATGTCAGGAACCTGTCCCAGATTATTGGATAGGGTACTCGTAACAAACTTTACAAATCACTAAGTTACATCTCAGACAATGAACAAGAAAGGTTTGAAAGAGATTCATGGGAATCTTTCAAAATGAAAATCAGGGTACATGGGAAAACAAAATATATTTCATGTTTATGAAGCTCGCAAAAGTTGCAGTTTTACACCGTAACCCTAACTACCTAGTGGCTTTTACTTAGTATTGGACCAAGTCTGCCAAAATCCATCACTGACCCTGCTTCATATAATGCTTTAGGACCAAATCTAATGAAATCACCACAATACCACCACTACTATAGGTGGGAATGGGAATGGATTTGGGAAGGTTAGGGTTAAAGCATGCTCATTGTACACACCTTGTATCTTGCTGTATTGATGCACCTATGTGGTAGTATTATCGTGCAGACCTTTACATGTATGAACAATTCGAGGAGCAAATTCAGAAATTCAAATTTTTGGGTGGGGTTTAATTGGGTGCCTGGGTAACCATGCTTTTCTAATCGGGTACTCGGTTCACGTACTACCCATTAATGTACACCCCTACCTCAGTGAGTTATCGTAACAAGTAAAACATTCCTTGTATAGAGCTTTTCAGAACAAAAGTTGACTTTGAAGACATAGGTTACGCTTAGTAAAAGAACTTCCACAAACTTGATTTATCTTTGCTGTGTCTCATTCTCAGTTGGCTACCGGTTCATTAATTTAGGATCCAGCTTATCCGAGTCTTGATTGTATTTTGTTATAAGATGGAATTTTGCATTGGGGTGATATAAATCAAATTAGGTTTTGCCCTTCACCAACGTTCAAACACTGTATACTCAGTGTGTTACCTCAGGGTGGGTTGGAGAAGGGCTACCTCTGAAGGATTGTCAGTTAAACTTGCTGACCGTCATAATGAAATTGAAAAACAGCCCCAATGTAAAATTGGGTTCCGGTAGCATCTCAGCATCTCCACTGTTTCACTTTGCCTGCAGATCAAGGAGCTAGTGGACAGCAAGGAGGAAACACTCGCCAGATGGCGTGAGGAACATGACAGTCTCGTCATGGCCCTGGACACGAGGGTAACGTCCCTCTTTGAGACACAAACGGAAAACGAGGCAGCACTATCTGAGAAAGATGAAAGCATCCAGCATCTTAAGGTAACAATTAGAACGGTTGTCAAGTTTAATCAGTGTCTACTCTCTGACAGCACTCACAACTACTTGACAGGAACTTAATTTATCAACTGGATTTAAGGTGGGAGGTTTCTGATGGATGCTGAAAATGAGCAAAAATTTTGAATACAGGGTGAGTAAAAAAAACAAAAGAAACCCAAATGTCGGGACTATTGGTTTAGTGAAGTTCTTCATGTAGCAAATTCAAAATCTAGGATATGAAAGCCCGATTCATAAGCTTTCTTTTAGTACAAGAATCATTCAAATCACTTATGTACTTTTCAAGTTACGGAATTGTAAACACAACCACCGTTTTAAAGTTCTGTCCACGGATCACAAAAAAGGTGTGCATTCTTTCAGCAAAACGAAAACAATTCACACACACCCCTATGTGATTTGTTTTCATTTTGCTGAAAGAACACTGAAGTTTTTTGTGGACAGAACCTTAAAACGGTGGTTGTGTTTAAAATTCTGTAACTTGAAAAGTACATGAGTGATTTGAATGATTCTTGTACTACAACAAAGCTTATGAATTGGGCTTTCATATCCTAGATTTTGAAAGTGCTACATAAAGAACTTCACTAAAACAATAGTCCCGACATTTGGGTTTCGGGGTGTTTTTTTTACTCACCCTGTAGGTTCAGAGGTGGGACATGTTTTCCAATGAGGTCACTTTCAGATGCTTGTTAAGAAGTTTGAATATGATGGTGTTCTCTTTTCATTGTTTCCTCTTTGCATCTTCTCTGGGACTCAAGACGCAGCTGTCTCAATCAGAGTCGACTCTGAGGGACACCAACCAGGCCATCAAGATCCTTGAGCAGGACATTGACAAGCTCAGAAGCCAGCTGGAAGACTCTCAGAAACAGAATAAGGCAGCGTTAGCTGATAAAGATGAGCACGTCGAGGATCTTGAGGTAGCGATTATAATAGATAGCATCATTAATTGTAGGACTTCAGTTGGAAGATTTTTATTTGCACTGAAAATATTCAACAATTTACATTACTGTACCTCATACAGATTCATGATCAAGAGCCGAACTCTCACTGGTCAATTCACCATCACGTGCCAGATGTTATTTTTGCTGTTTACCAAGCGTGCGCGCGCGGATTCACGCGCAGGGCAAATACGCATCCGTAGTAGACTGTCGCATGGGTAAGACAGTGTACTACGCATGCACTTTACAAATCAGTCGTAGAACTGTCCCACGCTTGTAGTACACACACACAAACATCACCCAAGTGAGCTACACACAAAGAGATGGTTAATTTTCCCGAGCTCAATGATACCGAACTGGAGAACATTTATGGACAATAAAGATGCCTCCTGTGCAAAAGAAAGTTGTCCACAAACAACTGTTTCAAAAATACTGTATTGTAAAGAACTGAACTAGCGAAGTTGAGCAATAATATACTTTTGGTTAACTGGACAAGTTCTATGACGATTTTATTTTTGGTGCATACTGGAACGAAAAGTAAACTTGGCAACTGAATATGTACAAATGTATGAAGTATAGTAAAACAAATATGACATAGTTTATTTCGGGTGGACAGTCAATATTAGCTCCCCTCGGTATCGGAAGTTGACAAACTAGTTCCCGAGGTGAAGTTTGTCAACTTCCAATGCCTTGGGGAGTGAATATCAACTATCCAAACCATGTTATATTTGTATATTATATAACTGACATACAGATCCTTGTCATTTGATTGGTGGAACTCACATCACGTGACATTTGTTATTGCTCCCATTCACGCCGCCTCTCAAGTACTATCCGCCCATGGGGAATGGGAAATACTATTCAACAGTTAGGATCATGATGCGGTATTTGTGTGCAAATGCATGCTGGTGTGTGCGTTCAGTGTTGCGCGTAGCGCGTATTGTTCCAAAGAGCAAGCGCTACAGCGTTGGATTCTAACATTTTCGTGAAGGGGTGGTTTCAAAGAGAGAAATACATTTTCCTCCAGTTTTGTATTGAAATAAAACTTCAAATATATCAAATGACAAGGATCTATATGTCAGTTATATAAACAAATATTGAGTGGCTTTAAATTGTGAAATGGGAGGAATATTATTGCTCGGTAAAATCTGGTCTTTTCCATTTCACTCGGCTTCGCCTTGTGAAATGAAAAGGTCCAGATTTTACCTTGCGATAATATTCCTCCCATTCCACGCCGAGCTACTCAATATTTGTATACTGTAGCATAAAGGTCATGTTCCAAGACCTAACCAGGATAGAGCAACAATGTTATATTGCTAAAATTATTCTAAACTTCCCCATTTTGCTTTTTTCGTAAACTAAAGGCACGGCTATCTCAATCAGAGTCCACCCTCAAGGATTCCAACCAGGTCATCAAGACCCTAGAGCAGGACATTGACAAGCTCAGAAGCCAGCTTGAGAACTCTCAGAAACAACTTATTGAGTCCAAGAATCATCCTGTTGATTGTCCTGACAAACTCCAAGCTGAGAAGCTGCAAAAGAAAGTCACTGCACTGGAGAAAGAGGTTGAAATAATTTGTTTCTTTATTATAATTGAAAGGTCTGTTATGTTTTTAAAGTTTACTAGAAGCTATCTGACACATTAAAAAAAAATAGGATTCACCTTGAGAGTTATCTTAGTGATTTAAACATTTATTTGAGTTGCAAAGGGTGCAGATTTTACTAAGCAGAAAGATGAAGTTATTCCTAAAAGATAAAAGCTACAAAAATCAAATGTAACACCAATAGCAACTATAACCCTAACCAGGGTTCCCACATTCATGGAGAATCCTTGAAAATCCTCAAAATAAAGCTATTGTGGAAAATCATGGAATTTGGTTATTTTACAAGTAGTCATGTGAAGTTAATATTCCTAGAAAAAAACAATTCATGGAAAAGTCATGGAGTCCTTCACAACCCGTACGTGAAGATGCATAGTATTTGGCTATGACAGTCTTCCAATTTGTGGTACTTTCTCTTTTGCATGTGTGCTGTACACTTGTTGCATGTTCAGTGCACCATTGTGATGCTTTTTGGGTTCTCAGTAGTCGTGTGTCAAACTGGACTGGTCAAGTGTATTGTAGATAGGCTCCAAGACACCAAAACAGCGTAGGAATGGGAAAAAACTGACGCCGCTTCCACGATTGTGTACAAAGTCTATGGGGAGTCAAGAAAATTTTCAAAGTATTTCCAAACAAAATTGGAAATATTTCTCAGTCCCAGATTCATGTCCTATCATCATTTTTGCAATGAATGACCTTCATTGAGATGATAACTGAAAAAAAAGTGGCGTCAGGTTGCAACATTTTTGCCTATGAATGGGTCGTGGCAAGCCTTAATTCTGCCAGTGTCGTGTAAAAGTCATGGAATTATATTTTTAGATTTCTGTGGGAACCCTGCCTAATGTTGATCCATGTAACAGTTGTCCATGAAGATGTAGAGCCTCATGTTAAGATCTGCCCTGGACCATTTTGCCTTCAGGTTATGAAGCAGGTGGCCAGCAAAGAGGAAACACTCAACAAGTGGCGTGAGGACCGGGACAGTCTCGTCAAGGCCCTGGAACAGAGGATGACTTCCCTCCTTGAGACACAGGAAAAGAATGAGGCGGCGCTAGCTGAAAAAGATGCGCACATTGAACAGCTTAAGGTAAAAGACATTAACTTATATTTACCCATATCTTCATTTTAAGCTTCTTAATCTGCCATTGCATATTCCTGCATGAAGAGATGAAGTTGCAGTAAAGTGTCTTGCTGAAGGACACAGGCATTATGGATTCCAATAGCAAGATTCCAAAGCTTTACAACTCTGCTGTTAGATATTCCTACATGGAGAGAACGGTTGAAGTAAAGTATCTTGCTGAAGGACACATGTGCATTATGAGTTCCCATTGCCAGATTCCAAAGTTTTAGAAGTCCCCATAACAGTTTTTTTCTCAACTTGGGACTCTGCTGTTAGATATTCCTACATGTAGAGATGCAGTTGCAGTAAAGTGTCTTGCTGAAGGATGCATACATTATGGATTCCCATTGCAAGATTCCAGAGCTTACAAGTTCCAATAACAGTTTCTTCCTTAACTTTGGACTGTGCTGTTAGATATTCCTGCTTGGAGAGAAGCAGTTGGTGTAAAGTGTCTTTCTGAAGGACACATGTGCATTATGAGTTCCCATTGCTAAATTCCATACATATTCTGGAGACTGAATGAAAAATTTGGAGAAAGTGCTTTCATTCAAAAATTTGAAATTTATTTCATTAAATTTCTTTGCAGACTAAGATGATAGAAAACATTTCAGACTCTCAGAGTGTTACTGATGATGAGAGTTACATAGAGGACACATCGAGTACCAAGACAAAAGGGAGGTCAAGGAAGGGGCGGGGCCAAACCTCCAATGTGCAAGGAGAGCTTCAGAGGGAGGTACAGCAATTGAGAGAACAGGTAAGAATGGAAAGGTTCATCTAGTTTTGCACCTCTGTATTATGAAGCCATGAATACGACAAGAAAAAAATACTATCTGGTAAATTAAAAATTGAATTCTCATTCATGATTCAAGATGGAGAAGGAGAGAAATGCCAAGGAGAAAGTCGTCGCCGAATCCAAGAGAAACCTTGTCTTGAAGAGCCATGCCATCCAAGAATTGGAGGACGCCAACCGCCACTTACAGCAGCAACTAGGACTCATTGAGGTAATTGATACAAACTGGGTTGGACCAAGCCAAAATGTTGTTGGATTTTGTATTAAGTGAAGTCCCATTCATTGTGCACAAAAATGTACGATTTTTGTTCACTAGTCTTTAACCTGAATTTTGAGTCTGTGATAACGAAGTCTACTGTACACTAATTTGGCGAACACAATTTGAGGCCACATTCTCCTCCTTTCTTACTTCTCATGAATGCCATTACTAATTGAAAAATACTGTACAAAGTCTTGTGTGGTTTGGCATTTCCTCTTTTTTTCCTTCTAAATTCTCAGTTGCATGCCTGGTAAAACTTCCTATATTCTGACTAGGCTTATCCATTCATGGGAAATGGATAGACTCTGTGAAAGGAAAGAAATCATTACAATTGACAAATATTGCAAATAATGGACCTTAACAGTATAATCAAATGAAAAATTGGACCGCAACTTTCGTTAAAACAATCATGCAGATAACAGCTTGGTATGGAGTCTGTGACAAGACTGCTCTGTGTGTGGTACCAAGAAGTTTACATGAAAATTGAACTGGCAAGACTTGCATGCCCTATTGCATTGAGATTTCAACCGAGCAGTCAATTAGCACCTTTTTTGAAGACATAACTAAAATCCACTGGTAGACTTTGGAGGATTTTTGCAGCTTTGAGAACTAAACCCACTTTGCAAATAATCATTAACAGTATAATCAAATGAAAAATTGGAGCGCAACTTTCGTTAAATCAATCATGCAGATAACAGCTTGGTAACACTGGAGTCTGTGACAAGACTGCTCTGTGTGTGGTACCAAGACGTTTACATGAAAATTGAACTGTCAAGACTTGCATGCGCTATTGCATTGAGATTTCAACTGAGCAGTCAATTAGCACCTCTTTTGAAGACAAACTAAAATCCACTAGTAGACTTCAGAGGATTTTTGCAGCTTTGAGAACTACACCCACTGTTATACATGCTTTTAGGACTTGATGCCTCCTATAAAGTTGAACTACAAAGCATGTATACTAACGGGTTCTTGAATAGTGGTTGATTCCAATAACAGGTTGGGAAAATTCCTAGAGAATACCTAAGGTTCGTTATGGGCTCCCATCAATGGTAAGAAAGGGAGACCATTTGGAGTGACATTTAAACACATTGCTGACGAGGCCTGACACTCATGCGAAGACACATACTTCACGCTATACGGGGGTGAATCAGTACATGCGTACATGGTGTGTCCCATACATACACTGGGCTCTTCACAGTGGCAAAAAAATACCGCCTCTTGTCCATGCAGGAAGCCCTTAAATGATGGACATGAAAAACAGTTGTGTGTAATCCTTTCAAATCACCGCTTCAGGTTACCGTGGACGTTAAACGTCTTTCACGCAGCAGCTCTGAGTCCTCCACCACAACCAGACAATCGGCACCATCATCATCCCCACAGCCAGACCCAGACTCCCCCGACCTTTTCATCGTGGACGTCAAAGATCAGGAGAGTTTTCACCAACCCGGTAGACGTCGCACTCGCGTGGAATTGGACCTCACACCGCTCCAAAAGAAACAGCCCGCTCGCAAGACGAGGGCTAATACGCGCAAGGCCAGGAAACGAAAGAGTACAGAACTCTTAGAGGTTTGTTCCATGCTTCCTTCTCTTTTTGAGAAGCCTCTCTTTTTGAGTACCAGTCAGCCAGATATGTCCACATCCTGCACGTTGATTACATGGGAAAGTGTTCAATTGCTTAATGTCAAGAGGTTTACATTCCTTAGAGTGTATAGCTGCTCACCCCCTAGCAATGTCCATGCAGTAGACATGGAGTATTGCAAGCCTCACAGCAAAACCTTTTTAAATCTATAAAACCTATGAAAACCCTATGTTTCAATTTGGGAGCCTAATTATTAAAGTAACCTATAATAACCTATACAAATCGAATTTTTTATTTTCTGTCATACATTTCAACAGTTTCAAGTTGACCCACAGTTCAGTTATAATTCCAAAACAACCACGTCAACAATAGAGGCCTACCTCTCTAACTTTTTTTTTTTTTTTTACAAGTGTTTCAAATTTGGTAACTTTATCTATTGTGGAGAATTTGAGATAAGCAAGTTGATATATTTTTGCTACCTCATGCTAAATAATTGCACGGGTTTGCATTCCAAAACCTACAAATGCCTATATTTTGGCTCTTGGAAATCTTTGAAAACCTAGTTTGATTTTTCAAAACCTATTAACCTTTTTTTTGTTACAAGTGTTTCAAAATTTGGTAACTTTATCTAGTGTGGAGAATTCGAGATAAGCATTTAGATATATTTCTGCACGGTTTTGCATCCCAAAAACCTACAAATGCCTATATTTTACGGGAATACAAACTGTGCTAACAGGTTACATCCTGAGAATGCCATTCAATCCATTGGGATAAAGTGCTTGCACATTTATTCAAGAAAGCCCTGCAATAAATTCTCCACTCTACAATTTCCAAGCACAAACACACAAACATTGCTTCATGGCTTAAGTTGTCTACAAACTTGATTTTTACATGCCTGTTCCTGTCCTTTTTCAACCTCTTAAAGGAAATTGACATGGATGCCTACCAAAAACGCAGTCGGCCGGAGGAGCAGAGTGCGGCCAGGCCAGTACGAAGCACTCGGAAGCGCAATACTAGAGCTAACAGGGGCGAGACAGATCTGGTAAGGCTGTGAAATTGTTAGCCTTTGCAATATCCTCTGCAATTGTCTATTTTGATGTAGTCCATGGCTTGGTATTAGATTTATTGTGCATGGTTTTTGAACTACATGGTTTTTTTTTCCAAGTGTCATCACAATCTCTATGTGAATCAAAACTGCTGTACTGTCAACTTAAGTTCCATGCAAAATGTACCAATTTAACCAAATTTTACCCGTCTTCCACACAAAACCCTACTTTTTCATAAATTGTTATTGTTTTGTGTGTTCAGGATCAAGATGAAAACACCCTCGCGGCAGAGACTCCCTCAGCAAGCAATCGTGGGAAGAGAGCTGCCCTATCACGGATCGGAGACCTCCTACAAAACACTCAATTTGCAAAATCAGGTATTCTTTCATAGTCTGAGTCAAACCTCTGCTGTGTGAAAGTGCCAGTTTCTGTTAAGTGAACTTCTGCTTAGGCTTTGCGCTTTTCAGATTTGCTTCAATCTTTCCAAAATCTTGTGTTGATTTCTGAATCAGTAGTTTAACAATCCTTTCTGCTTCACATTTCCTTACTTCTGATTTTGTGTTTGCTAAAGCTTGATTGTGTTGTTGTTTGCTAAAATTCTGTTTGTGCTTATAGTTTGTTATAGTTTTTAGCCATCTAATTCGACTTTAATAGAAAGTAGAAATGATTAACCGCTCTATTCACGTCTATCAAGGCCATAACCTGCTAATACAATCCCATCATCACATAATAGAGAATTTATAGAAAATCTTCCAGGTATTCCTTGGCCATCAAAACAAAGGAAATGAAAGAGAAGTATCTCAAGCAGATTGGAAGTCAAGTCCATAAAGTCAGTACAATCACAATTAGTCAGGTGACAATTCAAATCACAATTCAGGTGACAAGTCATATCCCAAGTCAAGTCTTAAATCAAGTCTCAAAGTCAAGACAAATCACAAGATTTATCACAAGTCAAATCACAAAATTAGTCAGGTGAAAAGTCAAATCACAAGTCAGGTGACAAGACAAATCACAAGTGAAATCACAAGTCAGCAGCTGATTTCACGAAGAAAAAAAAGTGCATAAAACTTACGCAACAAATTTGCTGCGCAATAAAGTAACGATCGATTTCATGAAACTTGGCGTAGCTGCGCAACGTTTTAAATAATTTAAACATCTTGGACAAGGATAATAACAGCGTTTACGATGGCGATTTGTGTATGAATTTCTTCGTCCGCCATTTTGAAAGTAATTTTGTCTTTCTTCGGAATCTTGTGGCAACCTCTAAAAGCCTCTGTTAAGAGTAAAATAGAAATTCATTTACATCGAACAAGCAGCTGTGAGTGTCATGTATCAACCTTGATAAGTTGTGCAATAACAGGCTCCATGATGATCGCGATTTGCTGGTAAAATGGGTCAGTTTCATTCGCTACGCCACAAGTTACGCCACCTGAAATGATTGTGCAAGTTACGCCAACATTTATTACGCAAGTCGCAGACTTACAACTACGAGACTTTTGTGAAAAGTGTCATAAGTGAAATGTTGCTCAGCGTGAAATATTGTGCAGCTTACGCAATAAATTGTGGGGCATGCGGAGTTGCGTAAGGTTTTATGAAATCGGCTGCAGGTCACAAGTCATGTCACAAGTCAAATCGAAAGTCAGGTAAAATGTCAACTCACCAGTCAGGTGACTAGTAAAATCACCAGTCAGGTCACAAGTCAGACCACATGTCAATAACAAAAGTTAGGCTATAATACAAATCACAAGTCAGATTGCAAGTCAGGTCAAATCACAAGTGGGGTCACAAGTAGGAAAGGAACTAAGACAAACGATTGGCTTTGTTGACTTTTTGTCACATTAGCCTCTGACTTGACTTGCGTGTGTATGACTTTAAGGACTTGACTTAGAATCTGTCCAAAAGTTATGGAACACTGTGCAAGTTCAATGTGTGACTGTGTGCATAACTGCATAGCCTACAATATTTTGGTTACGGGGTCGGAAGTCAAATGAAATTGTATGGACGTGAAATATAAAAATCTCACTCTTGAACAACTCTGATGATGTGTTGATGGTCCTCAATGGCCTTGCTCCTTCCCTCTGGCTATACCCCGCTTTCTCTCTTTTCCGCTTGTGTTTTCAGCTGCCTCTAAGTCTAAACTCTCATCTCGCTCCCAAACCTCAGCCAAGAAGTTAGTGGAGTCGGCCGCAGCCCACATGACCTCCCCAACCAAGTCTCCAGAAGTGCAGGAGGTTGCCTATTATCCTCCACCCACCACGGAGAAGAAACGCAAGAGGCGTCTACTGAAGACGGACATCTCAGTACCGTTTGAGAGCTCGCCATTTGAGGTATGGTTTGGAGTTCTTGACAACCCGGCATGCTTTGACTTTGAATGCAGCAAGACAAATCAGAATGTATAATACGTGTATCGGCTCAAAATGGCACTTGCCAATAGGTCTCGTTCAAATGACTTCATTTCCTACAGACCATCCACGTGCATCGGCATTTTGAGCATCAAGTTGCATAACGCGCATCGGCTGCGTCGTATTTTGAACACAATTCGAGCAACAAGCACACATGTTTGGAACATTTTCAACACTGCGCAAATGCATGCTTGATTGTACAAAATACGCAGTTGCAGTTCTCCTACAGAAATGGCCTACATTGAACGAGCCCTGTATATCAGCTTCAGGCAATAAAGTGAAAATTATTTCAAATATGATTGAGGCATTTTATTCCATTATCAGAGTTAGCAAATGATAAAAAACAAACATTTTAACTCTAAAAAATTAGTCATTAGCCATCTTCTTCAATAACTGTATTGCAACTCTTCTTGAAATAATATTTCAAAATGTAAATTTACATGGCAATACCAAAATTAAAATGCATGACTTACATATTTGTGTGGCGTTCTGGCAAAATGAGATGGAACTTGGTACAAGCAGTAGTGGAGAAAAAGGGAAAACCGAATGGGGTAATATTTTTTGATTTTCAGTTTTATTGATATTCATAATCTTTGATATGTCTTCTACTATACATATATTTTTAAGAAATTGTATTTAAATCATGGAATAGAAGAGTTTTTAAGAGAAAACAATGGGCATCTTCATTTTCACAAATACAAAACTCGAAACTTTAAATGCCTTTTTCTCAGTATACTACCTTTTGGAAACGTTGATAAATGCGAATTTAAACATCCGTAACTTGTAAACGGCATGTTTTATTGAAGTGTAACAAACAGTATTATTTTGGGGAATTTTATTCTCTCTCCTATGGGCTCCGTGCGCCGACAAAGAGGGCGCCCTTTTACCTAGCAACGACGTCCCAAGGGCGGGACATTTCTCTGGTTCACGCGCACTGTTCCTTGTGTGTAACGCACGCGCACCAGGGGATTTGTTCTATGTACACGCAGTGGCTGCGCTTCGTGGCAAATGAATTGCATTTGGGCAAGATGGCGTCAGTCGGTCACCCCCATTGATTTCCATATACACAGTGTATATGGAGATCAATGGTCACCCCCAACTGTACTCTCTTTGCCGGTGAGGGGGTACTTGTGAACGGAGCGGATACTTGCAAACCCTCATTTTGACCTCTGGCCAGTTCTGTCTCATTTGCCAAAACAACTCACCTTTTTGTTCACAACCTCTACATGCAGTGAGAAATCTATTGCTGAAAAGATGTTCCCCTCAAAAGTGAAACCGTTCCTTTTCTTTGTCACCACAGGTCCTGAACGCTGGTGAATCAAAGAGTGACAACTCTCATAGTATTGTCACACGCAAGCTAAGATCACGCAACACAAGAGTGTAAGAAAGAAAGAAAAAATAAGCACATTGTTGTCTTTTATAGCTAAATGTAAATAATTTACCTAAAGCTCACAATTTGTCTTTTGATATAAGGCATACTATAATTTAACACAGAACTAAAGCCAGGTTCACGTTGGACTTTTGTGGTAAAACATACTGGAAACGGTTGTCAACTTAGCCCAATTAAATCCAATGCAGATAGCTGCAGTACGGACGGCAACTGCTCAGTACACCAAAAAAAATGTTATGATCATGTGACTTCCGTGTGGGTCACCTTTATTGACCTCTACTGTATGTGTTTTGCGATATTTTACAAGTTCAGCATGTGTTGGTCTATGTGTCGTGTTCTGCGATATTATTGGCATTTTTTTCTACAACCACATCTGATATAAGTTTAAGAGGTCAATAGCAGGTTTTCCTCATAAAATTCAAGGTGTCCTCTTAAAGGGAATATACAACATTTGCAAAAACCAAAAACTACCAAATTTTTATAAAATACCTTGCTGGACTGTCAGTGAACGACAGTCTAAAGCATCCTGTGAAATCATGGCACTTGGTGTGCTGACATATTCAAGAAAATTTGTATTTTTGTATCAATTTCCAACAGTGGTCAGCTGACCAGCGTTGGAAAAAACTGGCTCGTTTCAAATAATGCCCATAATTTACCATTTTTAGTTAGTCCACATTTCATTTGCAATCGATTTACACAGGTACATTGTATGAACGGGTACAAGCCAGCTGGACTGGTTCTCTGACTTTACAATTCCTGACGTCCATAAATTGCTCTGTTGCATCTCAAGTGGGGTCAGGGAACCAGACTTCAAGAACTTGAATATTTTTCTTGGATTTTCCAGCATGATCTACAAATGCTAACCCCCAAATCCATCCATTTCTGAAAATTACACCAAAAACAAATGTTGTATATTCCCTTCAAGATTCATGGTGCGGTAAAGTTTATGCAGCGAATGACTTTCCACAGGCTGCATTTACTCCAAGTGTGGATGCACGGTAGAATAACCATGATAATGGAATGTTAACAATCAGTCACAGGTCACTTTTTACAAATAAGTCCAATGCGACTGCATATTTTTCAATATTACTACATGGATGCTATTATACATCTTCAAATGCACATCATGCCCTTCAGTGATAAGAATTTTAATGTACAATTGTACAACAGTAATTAAACATGTAAATAACTATACAGTAATAGATAGCAAGAGTGTTTCAGCCATGCAGTGCTTCAGGGGTGTATTCAAACTTGTATCCTCAGATTGATGGGAAATCTGTAGGTCAAACCACATTTGCCAGTTTAGCCCAAACACCTGTCGTATATTTTTCTTGGGCATTTTTTTTTTCACCCTGGACGGGTATCATCGCAAAAACAGTTTGAAGATAATCACATGTCTTGTTGTATAACTAACATACTTTAGTATAGTATCAGTGAAAATATCAAGTAATGTTCTTTATGTACATAGTCTTCAAGTAGATTTGATTTTCACTGCAATAGGGAAAACAAGAATGGTGTGCAGAGAGCTATTTCAGATTCAATACAAACTAAAAGTGTTTCCTGTGGCAAAATAAGAAATGTACATGTATATACAATGTCCAAGTATAGTAATACCTTTCAACTTCTTTAAGAGTACATGTATTAATGGACCTTTTGGCATAACAGCAATTTTGGAGAAAACTAGATTTGTTCTTGGACGAGCATGAGAAGACATTTAGTGCATTCATTGTTAATGAATTCAATATAGATCCAAGATGGCTGTCATGAAGGAAGTCTATACATGCACACATATTTGATATGGCAAACCATGACATTTTGTCAACATTGTAAATAATGTTAACAGTGTCCATTTCAGTGTCCTGTATTTGTATTTTTGTACTTTTCTAAATCATTTCAATTACCGAACAAACCTTTTAACAGAAATTACAAAGCAAATATTGCATAAATGTTCCATTGATCATTCCATAGATAACACTTTTGTGTACAAACAGTTTGGCTTTCTAATAATATTCCTCAGTGCTGTGAATATGGAAATTAAAGTATACAAGTCGACTTTTAACAGCAAATAATCTGTCTTCCTACGCATGCATGTGTAACTATTAAACAACACTTATTGCAGCAAACATTATAAAGTTTAAAAAGTTACACTTCAAAAGTATTGGTAGTTTTGCCGAAGTAGTGGGCACGATACCTGTTGTGACCCACCCATGCTTGTATAGATACACATACAACAGCAAGCTCCCATAAACAGTGCCCAACTTATCAACATGTTGAAGTTGTAAATACAAGAAAAAAAGCCTTTTCTATGTCGTTTTGAGCTACTTTTAAACACTTGCGGCAAAAGCTGTGTGGGCCAACACGTTCCAGATGTCAAATATATTAGTTCTAAATTTGAAAAAAAAATTCAAACTTCTAAACAAAAATTGTGAGCTCCCCCCAAGCCAAATTCTGGAAGCACCACTGACTGTTAGGAAATTGTAAGGTGACCATCTTGGAGTAATCAACAATAAACACGTGGGATTAGCGTACTGTTGTCGATGTGTGGCCCAACACAAATGATCTGAAAAGTGAATATCCAGCGGTCTCAAATGTGTGTTCTGTAATACATGTAATTGTGCTCTAGACTTCATGGAGCAGATGCTAGCTAGGGTAAGCTGTAACAAATAGTCCCAATTGTTTTTGTCACTCACTGATAGTAGACTTTAGGCCCAATTTTAAACCAATGAAATGGGCCTACTACAACTTGGTAGCGGATATACAGGGCTTAAGCGACTGCCCCTCCATTTGGGCAGCAAAAAGAAAAAACCTGAACCCTAGACCACCATGTATTTACCTACAAAAAAAATCATTTCGAGAATGATTTAGGCCTAGCGCCTATAGGCCTTTTTTTTTACTGATGAAATCCAACACTAGATTGAAATTATCAGCATATAGGCCTATATCATTATATGCTAAAGCCTAATTTAATTTAGTTCAAATTTAACATTGTGCATGCAGTAAAAAATTTGTGATTGTACTACTAACTCGTTGAAGTCTTTGGGAATTCCTATTATCAAATCGATCTGAAACCCACCATGCTAACGAAGGAAAGTACATCATGGCATGCTTGTTGCATGGAGTCCGCTGTTCTGCAAGGCCTGTGTGATTGCAACGCAAGATTCATGATCAATGTTCACCAACTGTACATCACGAAGATTCATACTGGATTGACTACTAAATTTCAGCAAAGCAGAAACAAGGGCATCGGCACAGACATCCTTGGGCGAGCCAGCTGATCCCGAACCTATCAACGGCACTGCTAAGGAGCGCACCTCATTTTCCTCTGCTTTGAGCAAACAGTTCAGAAATGTATCCTGCAGTTCATTGCTAAAGTTCGGGCCATTTTTGCCTGGTCCCACGGCATGGATGATGAGGCAGTTGAGATTGAACCCCGGTGTGAGGATGCATTCCGTTATGTTCAAAACATTGTTAGGACGACTCTTCATCATGTCTAAACAATGCTTCTGTAGTGGAGCACCAGCAGCAGACGCTAAAGCCCTGGACACACCTCCTGCGTTACGCAAGGCCGGGTCCGTTGGATTGACTACAGCGGATACTGACTGCTTTGTGATGTCACCCTGGCAAACCGAAATTTGCATTCTCTCCCTTGTTACAAAGGTTCCGCTGTATGGTGATACATGTACTTGTCTTGGTGATACGTGTACTTGTCTTGGTGATACATGTACTTGTCTTGGAGTCATCGAAGCAAATCTTTGGAAGGTATCAGGCCTAGTACTCACTGATACAGGAGTAGCCTGGGGAGGCAGTGATACTGAGGCACTCTGGTCAGTTACCATCATCATGGCCATCTCTGCTGCTTCACGTTTGTCGGGGGAAGCCTTCAAAGAGCGTACCTTCTTACGAGGCTTAGCTGCCACAGGGGGAACCTGCTTTACCACCTTCATTGCAACATCCGGCTGAAGCAGCTCTTGCTCATCCGATTCGCTGCTGCTTGAAGGACTTGGGTCTTCGATTCCGTCCGCCAATGAATTAACAAACCGACGAGCTATCATCAATCCTTCTTCATTACCTTGAATTAAAATACCCGTTCTACTGCCGGATTCTGGAGCGATCTTCATGTGATTGTGCTCGTGTTGCTTTGCCCAGCTGTCCAATGACTTACCATAACGCTTGAGGAGGACATCCATTTTGCTCTTACTCATGTTAATGAAATCTTTGTTGATGACGTTTTTTGCCAGGAAAGCTTGTATGTTCTGTTTGACCTCTACCAGGCTAGTCTTGAATCCAGCCAGCTCTACCATATCTAACAAACAAAGAAAACACCGTTAAATCCAAATATGGGAAACAAATTTGTTGATGTCAATAGATTACTATTTATTCTTAAAAGATAGTTTTTAAAATAAAAAACATACCTTCTCTTTCACTGATATTCACCACGGTAAACTTCTGCTGGTTTGCTTCATCAAGCAGATCTCTCCCTTCTTGGCTCTTCAGTACAGAAAGCACAGTCTGATCCTTGATTGGAATGACATCCTCTTCTATTTCTTGATTGATGTACGCTTTAGCTTGGACCATATCCTTCTTAGTGGCACCTAATATGATGATCTTGCCATCATCGGATCCATTACACGCTGCTCGAATGCCCTGTGAACCCAAGATCTCATGGATTTTGTCGGTATGATTCTGAACGAACTTGACTTTGTTACGTCCAATTTTGATTTCTACTTTCTCTAGACTGTCCATTTGTCTCCGCATCGACAGCTCTGCTTCCTGGACGATCTTACTTGATCCTTCAAAAATGAGTGTGACTTCATCTTGTAATGGGATTACAGTGATCCTCAGGTTTGGAAAGTCCTTTTCAGTTTGGTCCTTAATGCCACATTTGATAAAGGGCTGGGACTTCTCATCTGTCAAGAGTATGTCTACTTTTATTTGCTGATCTTCATTCTCGGCCTTTGCTCTTAACTCTTCGATAACTCCTTTAATGTCACTGCGTCCGTTATCAACGTCTTGCTGCTCCCCAACCAGAGTGACTAGATGAGTGCTGGCATCCAGCTGAATGGAGAAGCTCTTGGTGTCAAATTTATCTATTATTTCGATGACGTCTTTCCAAAAACGTGGTGGGACTGCTATCCTGGAAGACTTACACCTGTTTAGGAAATCGGTTAGAACTTGGGTAGCAGTTTCAGACCATTTGAGCCAGGATGGTTGTCGCTGTCCATCTTCCAGTAGAGGTTCCAGACTAGCTGTTGTCTTATCATCACCATCTGGCCATTTCAGAATGGCCTTTGCATCCCTAAGCTTCTGAGTCAAAGTCTTCTTTGTGTGTTGGCCCTTACCGAAGATGAACTCCATGATGGGTTCTTGGACTTGTACAGTGACTGGCTTTGGGACATGAGGAGTAGGGGCATCTAATGGACTCAGTCTTCCCAGACATTCATGGTACTCTTCAACAAGTAGCTCAGTGCCGCCAACCTTGTGGGCACCCCTTTTCGACAAAACATCACCGACAACTATTGAAAATTAAAGCAAGCAACTTTAATGAGTAAATGAATGAATACCTCCATGAATGGAATGACTCGAGAACTGTTGCGGGGCTCTTGCAATAACTAGAACATTTCAGTAATGGCAACAATGTCATATCATTTTTCGGAGTCCAATCGGCTACTCTTGAGGATCAGGTCCCTGTATGTGACATTTTTTCTAGTCGTGATTAAGTTATTTGAATGTTCTAGCTCCTTTAATTTGTCATAAGTTCAAAAACATTATTACTGTGGTGACAGTAAAACATAATGTGTCTATCATCTTCGACCTTAAAGTTCAGCTTTAAAAAAATAGTGGTAAAATTCTAAATGTCTATTTGAATATATGTATCACATTATACCTTTCCAATCTTGAAAGTAGACAATAGCCTGAGTGTCCGTTGGTCCCTGCTGTACTTCTCGGACACCGGTGCCGCCACTTTTCTTTTTGTTGTCAAAATACAACTCAATCATCTCCAAAGATGCCTTTGGCGAGACCCCTTCAAGATAAGCATATTTCTCGGACAAATTTAAGTGCTGTAAATCTTTCTTTTTTTCAACTGGTAAGGAAAACAAATTTTTCTCTAAATACCGAAATTCAGAATTACTTTTGCTGTTTTGAGAGAGAGAGAGAGAATTATCTAAATAAAAACATTATCCATGTTCCGGCTACTGACAACAATTCTCACCTTGCACTAGGATAGAGTCCGACTCCTTCAACTGCTCTGTTGTCACAAAGGATCCTTGCAACTTCTTTGTAGAAATCCTTTTGATGACTCCCTCCGCGTCTACAGACAATCGAAACAGTTCATAACTATTAAATCACCTATCAACCATTTCTGTATACTGCAGAAAACTCGGAAAGTCTTCAAGAAGCCGGGATAAGTTGAACAATTAGTGCCGTGACAGGCAGGCTGACAGCCAAGCTGAGGGGGTTGGCATGCTGTTCTGCTGGTGCACAATTTTTTTGGAAATCACAGCTAGTTTCTGCTGCAATAAACTTGGTTAACAGCAAAGACAAAACTGCATGTTTTAAGTTTTATAAAAACTAATTACCTGTGATATCCTCTGTAAATGTGCAGATTGCTGTTCTAGGCATCTCACCATATTGTATCTTGAACTCATCCGTACCAGACCGATTCTCAATGAACATTGTCACAAGCTCTGAATTACACCCATCAGGAATTCCGCTGAGAAACAGACATCGCTTCTTGACTGGACGAGGGCGAGGTTTCTCCTTCACAATCTGTCGCACTGACAGAGCTGCACCATTAACCCTATGTGATCTGGCGGTAACTGACCGAGCAACTAAAAAACAACAATCACAAAAGGTTTTTAAAAAAATAAATGAAATAACAATTGCAAAATAGGATAGAAAAGTAATCACGACCAACTAAACAATTCTAGTCATGCTGTAATTTTAGTTACAGTGTATATTAAAGGCGGCATAAAAACCTAAACACTTACGACGATATCTCCATCAATGTGCTCAAGTTAATACAGAATATTTTGGAAGTAATCTGCACTCTGCTATCATAGTAAGGTTGTAAACTGGAGTACCCAAAATATAAACAGTACGCCAAAGTCTGGAGGCGCCAGACTTGGTTTGTCTACGTATCTGTTTTGGTAGAATATTTACATGGAGAAAAATTGTGGGGTTTTCCCCAATGCCGCGTGTTTACCTGATGGCTTGTCAAATGTCAGCATGATCACACTAGTCTTGGGGTTACGTTCAAATGTTTTGAGGTCACCTCCTCCAGATTTACTAGGGGTCTCAAAATAGAGCCTGAGCATCTCATCTGACGTGGATGGCTTGAAGTCAGTCACCTCAACAACCAGCTCATCATCTTCACCTTCTGAATCTGAAAAGTCATTCTCACCGGAAGAAGATGACAACTGGTCTTCATCAAACTCTGGATCAACACACGACGAGTCATCATCATCATCATCACTACCTCCATCCTCACCAAGGTTGTTTTGTTCGTTATTCCCAATACTTTCCTGAATTTTGAAATGGAGGAAGAAAAGCCACTTACAAGTCTTTGTCCTGGGGATTTGCCTATATCAGCATTTAGAGTGTTTGGAAGTAAAGCAGACGTTCCCACACTGACATGTCTTTTGAAATCTGTCGTTTTGGAATCGATATTAGGATTAATTATAAGCATGAGCAACTATAATAATCCAAAAACAGGCTTACCACTACCACATTGGATTTTATGAAGGATTCAAGGTAAGACTCCAGATTAGAATGAACCGAGGAGATACTCTCATCTTGATGACAGAGCTCATCTGGATGTATTTCCAGGCTGGTCAGAAATCCATCAATCTCTAGCTCATGACGTGTCTGTGCTAATGCCTGCTGAACACCTGTTGATGACCATTTGATAACAAATAGATATCTAAATATGCATGGCCCAACAGGAAAATGTTGATGAGAATAAAGAAATCAACCGATAATCAGTGTAAGATCTCAACATACAACTCTTGTATTATTTATTAAATCGCCATTCCGATGTTTTTACATTCAAATGGTGAATAAATCGCTGATTCGCTGAATAAAAAATCCGGTGGTCATGCCCCTGGATCCCTTAGAGCAAGCCTTCACTTAGCCCATAAATGTGGCCAATTTACTGGTCTACCTCCGTAAATAAAGGCCACACTTCCACCATGTACAAAAACATGTTGAATTTTGTCAAATTTTGATTTTCACATTTAGGCTTATTTTGTAGTTTATTTTTGCTTAAGAAGCATACTCTCCCTCTAGGCTAATCAGAAAGTGCTGCCTTTTTCAGATGTCTAATTTTCGTGAAATTTCATGTTGAAATTTTGATACGCAAACATGTGCAAACAAATCTGGACATTTCACAAAAAAATTGACATCTGAAAAAGGCAGCACTTTCTGATTAGCCTATAAAGAGGGCGAGTATGCTTCTAAAGCAAAAAAATCGACAACAAACTAAGCCTAAATGTGAAAATCAAATTGACAAAGATCGACATGTTTTTGTACATGGTAGATGGTTTATTTACGGAGGTAGTCCAGTAAATTGGCCACATTTATGGGCCTAGCCTTCACTTAACCCTTCCCTCAGCTCCATGCTATTACTAAGCTGGTTACTTGCCTTCATTCATTCAAGACAAATCTCCCCGTACCACACATGATCGCATATTAAAACCAACCAGTGAAAACGAACCAATCATAGCCAATGTAATTTGTAAAACAAACTAATTTAGTATAATTAAGTCATTTACATTTCCAACTCACTGCCCACACATAAATCAACACCACACTCACCTGAAGGCTCAGCGAAAGCGACTGTCATCCACACTCCACCGTCATCCTTGAAGACGATATTAACATCCTCCACTTCGCAACCTCCGCTGACTTGGTCTTTTTGGAAATATGTCCAAATTTGATTTTTCAGTTGAGGTCCTTTGGATTGATATTTGTCAAGAGGTAGTCGAAGGCGAATGGAAGTCTGCGAATGGCTAGGAGTAGGAATATATGCCATGGCTTCGGAACGTAAGGATAGTCTAGTATCTGTCGGTGAAAGACCGAAGCAATTTCAAGCAATTTGATACTAGTAGAAAATGTTGACGCAAATTGAAACGAATCCAAAGGTAGGACCTAGTATAGTAGCCTACATGAATGAACTGTCATTGCCTGTTGCTGTCGATATTGCACACACGGCCACGGGAAATCCCCAACCTAGATTCGGCGCAGGCGCAGTAAAGAAATTTCTTTGTTCTGTGACCTTTTCCTTAAGGGTTACCCAACCTCGTCCCCAGAGCTCACTTAAGTTCCCCCTGGATAGCAAATTTGGCTATCCTGATTCAACACAGCAGTGGCGTGGGGGGGGGGGGGGGGGGGGGGGGGGGGGGGGCTGGAACATTTCATGGGGGGGGGGGCGTCAGGCAGATCAATGATATTTTTTATAGACACTCAAAATCTTAGTGGGGGGGCGACTGGGGGGGTGGGGCGTCAAGGTTTTATAGGAAGGGGGGGGGGCTGTCGCCCCCCCCCCCTTCCGGCTACGCCACTGACAGCATAGCAATACAGGAAGTAATGGGATTCGTCTGTACTTGATGCTTTATTTCCCGACGTGTAGGCCTTTGCCTATATAAGCTAGATTAGTCACGTTCAGTGTGAAGGTCCACTCCACCTCACAGCGCTGCATGCATATTGGCTGGTTACTATTTTAACTTTGAAGGCCGATAGCTGCGACGAATCGATTCTGTTTTACCCAAGAAACCGCATACAAAAACCAATACTCATTTAAACCATAGCCATATGCACCACGCACTAGACTATGTATGCAGATTTTGAACATGCAAAAAAGTCCAACTCAATGTGTGATAGTAAGCAGGTAGCCGTGGGAGGGTACTGCTCGACAGTACGAGTACGAAGTTGAGTGAGTGCCAGCATATCGTTGTTGTACGTGCGACATTCAGTGTTTGCTTTTCGGTATTGCAACACACTGGAAATCCCTGAGCACGCAATAACAACATTTACAATAACGGGGTGCTTTAGAGCTCTGGTTTAGGGACTTTCTCAAAAATGGTCCAATAAAAGAACTATAATGGCCTTCACGTCTGCGGATGTTATGCAAACATTCCCAAATTACACAAACCATAGAGCTCTATGCACAAACTTAGGCCTAATGAAATATTCCACAATGACAATGTTTCTGATTTAATGAATCGGATGGGATCACGCCATCCCTTATAAGAATCCACTATAGTTTCACCATAATAAATATGTAGTTATTAAGTTTTACATGTGTACATTCTATTTTACACGGTAATAGAGTCATCATGCTGGACAACAACATACAGCAAGTTACATGAAGCTGTCAGTACCGTACCGTGGAAGCTTTATCGCAACTCCCCTGTGCCTCCACCCATTATTTGTTGGATGATGTTGAGATATGTTGCAACGAACGTGCAATACTCATTCGAAGCGATTTAAAATGGGATTCCCAACTTTATATGTAAAACTTACCAATATTATATGTAAACGTATTGAGCCCCTGAGAACTCTGAACAGACATCTGTAAACTAATTTTTTTTCACTGACTTGTTCATTAAAAAAAATTATAATAATGTGAATTTGTTTTAATGTAATTCAAGGTGTTAATGCACTAATCAAATATCAAGGTGTTCATGCACTAATTAAATATCAAGTTAATGTATATCTACTTGTTTGATTTAATGTAATCAAAAGTGACGAATCATACTTTATCCCTCAGTGCAATCTGGATGATTGTACTGATTATTTCACAATAAACCGACCTTTTATCAATCGTATTTTAATCGTTAACACTTTTTAGGGTTTTTTTGTTTGCTTGTTGGGGTGTTTGTTTGTTTGTTTCTTTATATTTTACATTTTCTGTTATCTTAATTCGAAATGCCGCCACGTGTTTTATTTAATAAACTAGGCCTATCCAGTGACTTTTAGTTGTGGATATTTTTGCTTTGGTTTATTACCAGCGACAGAAGGTCAAAATACCCCCTTTCTTTTTTTGGCGAAAATGCTTGGGCTTTGCTTTCAACTCCTTAATGATTTTATTGACATCAGTACATCCTTTGTCAACATCTTGCTGCTCTCCAACCAGAGTGACTAGATGAGTGCTGGCATCATGCTGAATGGAGAAGCTCTTGGTGTTCAGCTGATTTATTCTACCAATGAAGTCTTTCCAAAATGGCGGTGGGACTGCAATTCTGGATGACTTACACCTGTTCAGGAATTCAGTCAGAACTTGGATAGCAGTTTCAGACCATTTGAGCCGAGATGATTGTCGCTGTCCACCTTCCAGTAGAGGTTCCAGCCTAGCTGTTGTCTTATCATCACCATCTGGCCATTTCAGAATGGCCTTTGCATCCCTCAGCTTCTGAATCAATGTCTTCTTTGTGTGTTGGCCCTTCCCGAAGATGAACTCCATGATGGGTTCTTGGACTTGTACAGTGACTGGCTTAGGGACATGAGGAGTTGGGACATCTAATAAACTAAGTCTTCCCAGACATTCATGGTATTCTTCAACCAACAGCTCAGTGCCGCCAACCTTGTGGGTACCCCTTCTCGACAGAACGTCACCAACAACTAAAAGCAAGCAAGTTTTAATAATGAGTAAATACATTTATACAGCCATGAATGGAATGACTTGGGAACTGCTGAGGGACATTCAGTAAAGGTATCGATTTCATATCGCTTTTCGGAGTCCAATCGTATACTCTCTAGGATGAGGTCGCTCGATGCTGGCATGAACTTGATATTTGCCGAAAATAAGAGCTTTTTGTAGTCGTGATTCAGTTATTTATTGGAATGTTCTAGCTTCTTTAATTTGTAAAATGTTGAAAACCGAATTAACCACAATGACGGTAAACATGAATGTGTGTATTATTATCTTTAAGTTAAGCTTAAAAAAAATCGTAAAATTCCAAATGTCTATATAAATACGACCATTGCATTATACCTCTCCAGTCGTCAAAGTAGACAATAGCCTGAGTGTCCGTTGGTCCCTGCTGTACGTCTCTGACACCGGTGCCACCACTTTTCTTTTTGTTGTCAAAATACAACTCGATCATCTCCAGAGGTGCTTTCGGTGAGACCCCTTCAAGACAAACATATTTCTTTGACAAAGTTAAATGCTGTAAATCGTTTTCAAATGGTTATAAAGCAATATAAGTATTTGGTCATGTCACTCGGAATTCCTTTATATTAAGAGACAGTTATCGCCAAAACATTACCCATGTTCCGGCTACTGACAACAATTCTCACCTTGCACTAGGATAGAGTCCGACTCATGCACCTTCTCTGCTGTCACAAAGGATCCTTGCAACTTCTTTTTGCAAATCCTTTTGATGACTACCTCCATGTCTACAGACAATCGAAATATTTTTATTACTATAAACCGACACTTTTTAAAGAAGGTGTGTTTAACAATTAGTGCCCTAACAGCAAAGCTGAGGGGTTTGCATGCTGTTCTGTCAGTGCACATAATGTAAATTTTAATCAGTTTATAAATAGCCTTGTAAAATAAAATTCATAATAATATTCACATATGATAACCTGAAATCGTATAGTTTGTTGTTGCAGACAGTGCGGCAATGACAAAACAACATATCTCAAGTTTAAACAAAACAAATCACCTGGGATATCCTCCGTGAATGTGCAGAGTGCTTTTCGACGCATCTCACCATATTGTATATCGAACTCATCTATTCCAGACCGAGTATCAATAAACATTGTTACAAGCTCTGCATCACACCCATCAGGAATCCCGCTTAGAAGAAGACATCGCTTTTTGACTGGACGAGGGCGAGGTTTCTTCTTCACAATCTGTCGCACTGACAGAGCTGCACCCTCAACCCTATGCGATCTGGCGGTTACAGTCCGAGCAACTAAAAAAAAACCACAAAGGGTTTCAACAAAAAAGCAAAATAACCTTTGAACAATAGGATGGAAACGTACAGCACGACTTACTAAAATAATCAAGTCACGTTGTAATTATAGTCATACGGCGGCTCATAAATTCAGCAGTTAAAATGGTATTTCCTTAAATGAATATAGAATACTTTGGAAGTAATCTGTACTTTGCACGAGGCGGCATAACATTGTAAACTGAAGTACATAAAGCATGAAAAGAACATACAAGCCTGGAGGCACTAGACTTTATGTATCTATATTCACCCGTTTTTGTTGAATATTTAGATGGATTGTGTTTTCCCAATACCGCGTGTTTACCTGATGGATTCTCAAATGTCAATATGATGGCTCCAGTCTTGGGGTCATGGTCAAATGTTTTGAGGTCACCTCCTCCAGATTTACGAGGGGTCTCAAAATAGAGCCTGAGCATCTCATCTGACGTCGATGGCTTGAAGTCGGTCACCTCAACAACCAGCTCATCATCTTCACCTTCTGAATCCTGTGACTCATCCTCGCCGGAAGAAGAGCACAATTGGTCTTCATCAAACTCTGGATCAACACACGGAGAGTCATCATCATCATCATCATCATCATCCCCCCCATCATCCCCATCCTCATCATCATCATCATCATCATCACTACCCCAATCCTCGCTCAACTCGTCTTGTTCGTCAATCCCGACTCCTCGTTGGCAGAGGGGTACAGAGTATTCTTCTTGAACGTCATCGTTACTATGACCCCCGATCTTGTCAGGTTGATTCGATGAATGACCTGACAACATTGTCTGGTCACTTCGATATGATAATGAACTTTGGTTGCAAGCGGAATGTTGGCTGATATTTTCCTGTACAGTTTAATTGGAGTAAGAAATACAAAAGCAATTTATAATTCTTAGGACTTACATGTGGATATCAGCGGTAATTTGGATACATTGTATATTAATTTATGAGAATGAGCAACTAATAATCCGAAAATAGGCTTACAACATCTTGAGGTGATTTAACCGGGGGAAGCTCATCTGGATATACTTCCAGGCTGGTCAGAAATCCTCCGTCAATCTCCATCTCATGATGTCTCTTTGCTAGTGCCTGCCGAACACCTGATGATGACCATTTGATTGGGAATTGATGGGCCCACCAGGGAAAAATTCATGTGAGATTAAAGAAAAGCAAAGTTAGAGCCGATGCAACTGATACTCGTTGCAAGATCCTAACATAATTACAACTCTTTTTGTTTGTTTATTTAATCGTTGTTTTGATGTTTTGACATTGAGTTGGAATGGTGGATCAGAATAAAGGTAGGGTTGCACCCCCCCCCCCTTCAGCTGCCGACTTGTTGTTACATGTATACTGTGACGTGTTTAACTGGGTCAAATATAGTAAATGGAATGCTAAAGTTTCTCAATTAATTCTCAGATTGCCTTCAGGCGAGAGCATCTTAGATTTAAAGAATTCCGGGAGCATGCCCCCGGGATCCCCACTTGAAAGCCTTCCTGACAACCCCCCCCCCCCCCCCCCCATTTTAGATCAGATTCACCCTTGTCATTGGTTTCAATTAATCAGGCCTATACTGGGTACTAAGGCAGCTGACCACCGTGCCTTAATATTCAAACATGTTCAAACCAAATCTCCCCTTGCAAACAACCAGTGAATCGGAAACCAATCACATAGCTGATTCAACAACAACCGAATAATTCACCTCCCGTATATACTCACTCTTTCGCCTCATTACGTAAAAAATAAGAATCAACAATTCACTCACCTGAAGGCTCAACGAATGTGACTACCATCCACAAGCCACTGGCATTCGCGAATACGATATTAACATCCTCAACTTTGCACCCTCCGCTGGCTTTCTGGAAATATATCCATACCTTATTTTTCAGTTGTGGTCCTTTTGATTGATATTTGTGAGGAGGTAGTCGAACGCGAACTGATGTCTGAGAACGACTAGGTATGTATGCCATGGCCGAAGGTATAAGGATATTCTATCTGAGAATATATGCCTATATTTTCACGCAATTTCACGCGAATGGTAACGATCCGTACCGTACCTGTATCGATTTTTACATGAACACAGTCTGCCAGTTATCATAGTGTTATTGCACACACGGGGAAGTCCCCAACCTAGATTCAGCGCAGGCGCAGTAGAGAAATACCCTTATAACGCTGTGTGATTACAATGCACTGCAACCTCGTCCCCAGTGCTTACCTTATTTCCAACCACGTTTCCTATAGTAAGCCCTGGATAGGAAACCTTATTCCTGTATCCTGATTCGATACCGCAATTTGCTAGTATTTATATCGTGTAGTTGTTAAATTCCAACGTGCATTGCGTGTTTTCATGATCATTGTAATTATAACGTCCAGCCTTCTCAAAAATACTCCTTTCCTTTCCAGTTTGCTCATAATATGAAATGTGATACTGCACATTAGCGGGCCAGATTGTAACATTTTAACTTTAAAAAATCGTGCTATCATGATCACGGCGCAACAAATTGATGTTGTTTTTACCCCAGACACCGCATACAAAAACAAACGCTAATGTAACGTTGTTGCAGACACCAAACTACTCCTCATTTGCATACGTGTTCAAAAATCTTGCGCATGCGAATGATCCAATACCACGGTGAGAGAGCAGGTAGTGGTGGGCGCGTACTGCTCGACACCCTGGGGACGAGGTTGAATGCACTGTGACCCAATCCGTCACCAGGGTGTCGAGCAGTATATGCAGTATCACATTTCATTTTAATATGAGCAAGTTGTAAAGGAAATAGTATTTTTAAGAAAGTATGGACGGATTATAATAATTACAATGATAGTGAAATCAAATAAGCACTGGAGACGAGGTTGACTTACCTTTTCTTTACTTCTTTACGATGATTTCTCAACCTTGTTTCCAGGCGTTACTTTATCGTTTCCAATCCTGATGCAATACATCATGTATGCCAATCTTTATTCAGCGTGATTTATTAGGTCATACTGCACATTGGCTAGATAAAATTAAGATTATAACATTTTACTTCAAGGAAATCGATTTTTCGGATCTCGAGGCTGACAGTACCGCGTCGAATAGATTTACCTCGGACACCGCATATGCCATAAAACACTGGTTTAAAGCACAGACAAGCATCAGATGACATATATTCCAAATTTGTATACAAATTCATGCGCCAATTTTTTGAACATGCAAATGATCACTGAATACAAGCCTGAGGGTGAGCGGGTGCAAGTATACAGTAGTGGGGGCGTACTGCTCGAGACCATGGGAACGAGGATATGAGGGTTGAGTGATTTCCTGCCAATGTTCAGGCCCATATGTGGCTCCTGGGAAATCAATCTTGAACATTCATGACTTGGAGTTTTGTGGTTCTAAAAAACCTCTGTCCTTCCATAATTATGTCGGTGAGCGGCAATGGCTGCTGATCTTCAATTGCCATGGCGATCGAGACACGTTTTGATTTCTTGAGAGCTTCTGCCACCGCCGATTATATTTTTTCGGTGGGGCTGTCAAGGTCAAATATCAGTCGGATGCTATAGTACATTGTGCACTTTGTGACGGAAACATGAATAGTTGCACGTTGGTTCATCATGCCATGGAGAACATTTTCAGACGTGGTGGCATTTCATTTGACCTCTGGTGACCTTTGAGAGGTGAATGACCTGTACATATACTCTGTTTATTGTTCTTAAAAACACCACTTTCCTACGACCCAGGTCTGCGTCATAGGTCTTCAGGCCATAAAAACAATGCTCAGATGTGGGGGGAAATCATATTTGACCCCTGGTGACCTTTGATAGGTTAAGGACTTTTGTACACCGTATATCTCGTTATTTATATGAAATTTTACTCTTTAAACTTCCGCCTTTTGTAAGACCCAGTTTGAATGTTAGGCTTTCATTCTATGATTTAAAGGCAATGTTTTCATGCCATGGAAAGAATTTTCATACGTGGGCATTTCATGTCTGACCTCTGATGACCTTCAAGAGGTCAATGAACTTTATAGACAGTGCAAGAGAAAGGTATCTAGAGTCAGTGATATGAATTCAACCCCCCCCCCCCAATTCATTGTTGGGTGACATCTGACCTCCATTTCCTTTTTTTTTTATTGGCAGACGCAACATGCCGGATGCGACTTTATGGCAATATGGAATATGCATAAATTCACTCTTGTGTACTTATAACACTCTGTTGTATCTAGATTGACTTGGGTCGATCTTACTGTGGCTTGGCTTCCTGAGGAAAAGGGCTGTCGAAATTCCTGGTGTTTTCCCATCAGATTCCTCATTTTTTCCCCATTTGATCCAGTCAAAGTTTACAACTACATGCATTCTAAATGTTTTCTTTTAATAACACATTGGAACATTATAAGTAGTTTATAAGTAGTTTATAAGAAAACGTTACTTACAAATCAAAAAAATGTAAACGCTAAATATGGAAGCCCGCAGATATGGCAGGTTTAAATTAAGAGCGGTTTGGGCAACACTTGCTGTGTTTTAATTCCCCACGATTTTCCTATCTTAGACCCCATATATCTCTCAAGTGCAACAACACAAAAAAGTGTTTGTACTAAAATCCTATGCGCATCGATATTCGTGTTCCAGGGACTAAATTCGTGTTATGGTATGTTTTCCGTGAAAGCACAACCCGTGAAATAATGGGGAGGGGGTCATCATGGTCGCTTAACTTTAATGTACATTTATTTCAAACAGTGAAAGGGCCATCTAGGCCTACTGCTTCCAATTCACACGATGCCTTTTGCTGCCAAGTCTTCCTTGACTCGCTTCAGGTAATCAGGGTCAGGATAGCCGTACCTTGTTCTGAAAAGAAACAAAATTATTGTGCAAATCAATAACTTCACTATCTGCGATTACAACATAATTAAATCAAATTAACAGCAATATGGCTTCGCACCTCTTTTTTCCTTTTCCCCCCTCTTTTTTTCCTCTGGGCCCAGGCCCAGTCAGACTGATATACAGGCCCACTCACGGCTAGCAGTTAAATGTGTTTGTCCAGACGTGCACAGAGGAACATTTGAAAACTTCGATTTCTCTACAAGCCAATCAACTATTTCAAACGGAAAGTATCGATAAAATAAGGCAGTGGTAAGTCAAGCTATACTATTCCCCCCCCCCCCCCCGAGTACTACTATTAGAGTACAAGTACTTTGATGATCAAGTACAATTTCGATATGTCGAGTACGAGTACTTTGCTGCCCGAGTACGAGCACCGTCATTTCGAGAACGAGTACCTTTGACATTGAGTACGGGTACGATACTCCCAAAAAGTACTTGAGTAGTACTCGAGTACGAGAACCGAGTACAAGTACTACAACACTGGGGTCAGCCTATAAGTCCTCTTTGCACCTGGCAGTGGTGGATCCAAGGGGCGCGGAGTGGGCCTCCCCGGCAATGACCGAAATTTTCTCAATAAGGCCATTTTTAAAATTATTTTGTTTGACTATTGGTCCCCCCCCCGACACACCATCCGTCCCCGGTAGTAACCAATATCTGGATCAGCCCTGGCACCTGCCTGATGATTGACTCACAGACTGAACAACTCCTCACTCATCTCAATGAGCCGAGCAGTTACCATGTAGATGAATTTGGGTGCTCACTGTAGGGCCTACTCTCGTAGCACGCTATAGGGCTATTGTACAAACCTATTGCCCATTACAGATTATCTGAGCAATAGTAAGCGCAATGCTATCGCCACTGAAGGGGGCCTTCGTGACAGAATTGCTAGCGTGCCCGGATTGGTCTATAGGATTATCCCTAAACGCCAATGGAGGACTAAATCCGGCCCATTGCACAAAATAAAAGTACAAGGACTTCTAGTAAATAATAGCAAATCTGAATCAATTGATCATAGTTCTGTGAGTCACATTGGACCATCTTTAGTAGTCTTGCCTTGTCTTGTTCCTCCACGATATTTAATTTTTTTCAACTTACGGTCCGCCAGACATGTTGGTTTTATGATGAATGTCATTCCAGGTCACAATGTTCTCTTGACCGCTGGTGACCGACCGTCCGACCGTGAACACAAGGCGTGCTTCGAATGCTATCTCAAGAAGACGAAGAACCTCCTTGCCTTCTTGGTTGTCAGGTAGGAAGGCGGTGCGTGTAATGCCGGTGAAATGGCTGCCTGGGTTGGGATGATCAGCCTATAGTTGAAAGACAGACAAGGTGGGGAAAACACGACAAAATGAATTAGCCCACGTAAAAAAAATCAAAAAGATTTAGCAAAATATGATCGTATTCGGAAGAGCGTAAGCAATTCAGTGGGATATGTCATCAGCTTGACATCCTGGACGGATACGTAGTGAAAACATTGACGGTGCTTGTCCACTGTTTACATTGTGCATGAGTTTCAAGGTCTCCGAACGCATCAGAGAATTATGTTGTAAAGTGATGTCAGTGTACATTGTGGAAGAACTATTTTAACATTTAAATACAACTAAACTTCATCAAGTGTCCAATGTAATAATGCGAAGTATTCGCCATTGTTTGCATTTTTTTCCAAATGAAAAGCCCCAATATACTATGCATTTTTCAACGATGGAAAATCTATGCTTAAACACCGTTGCCATTAATTGTTATTTAATGGACTTCTTCTTTTTGTGGTTCCTCTGATCACGGACCATCCTCTGATCAACTTGAGCATCAACACTCAGACTGTTTGTGACAATAAAAAAAATCTTACTGTTTGCATCCCACTCGGTATGTTATACCGTATAGTGATAACATTATCGTCGGGATAACCAGGGAGATGAAAATACGAGGCAGTCTCACTCTTCATTGTTCCATTGGGCTGGTTCCCTCTGGGCTCACCGCACTCCTTGCGGCATACAGGACATCTGTAGTTGCTCTTCAATGCTCGAGCGATGCAAGATTTACAGAATCGATGTTTGCATTTGTCCAGGACTACCTCGTCGCCTGTGATCTCTGCCAAGCATATCGGACACTGCTTGGTCTCCGTACTACCAGTAGAGGTGTCTTGGATGTCTGTAGCCATCGGATTGGTTTATACAGCGTCTTGTTGGCAGCTTTGCAAATAAATCTCGACTAGATATGGTGAGACCTTGTAGATAATCCTGATATTCTTTCAGCACTTCCTTTCCCGTCTATTATGCGCTATGATCATGCAGCCTGAGTCCACTATGCTGGTTAGCTACAGGCTTGCAATCAAAGCTCGGTCGTCCTTGCGATCCGCAGCAAAAGGATCGGAATTGCCAGGTTTCTGTTTTGGGATCAAGAATGAGGTGTCAGAAAATGACTGTTCAGTCTGAGGTTGACTCAAGTGTGTCTCAAGCTTAGCAGTGCTGCCACGTTTTCTTCCCTCCATGGACCATGGTCGTTCTATACCTACAAGTAATCACAACACTGTAGTGGAAGGCCGAGACGCCATGTTTATGAGTTTTATGTCGGGGAATATAACTGCATCCACCGCCGTGTGTCGTTGCCAGTGCAACATGACTCATTGTATTGTGACGGATATCCTCATCTGACCAAAGTACGGTGAGTGACAGATAAGCACTAAATCAATATACCCTCGTGCTTTCGATATTATAAGTTGGCCCCATCGCCTGATAATAAAGGTCATCTTCTATGTTGTATTGAGGAGTGCGTTAAGTTTCATTAAATAACAATTAAATTGTTATTAAAGCAATTAGTGTTTTTGTTTACAGTAAACAACATTCAATGATAATTGTGATAATATGTAAACGCAGTTTCTTGAATACCGGCGTATTTAAAAGCACATGATCTTTGTTTTTATTCATTTTCTCTTTTGAAGTACATGTAGTACAATTGCCCAGAGTGGTAAATGGGATGCGTAACAACTATATCACCCATAACATTTTCAGCTTAGTTGATATTGTAATTTTGTTTGATCCCACAGGTTAAAAGGGCCCATGCAATGTATTTTTTAAGTGCAATCCTTGAAAACACCTTTGTGATCCCTATTTTCAATTTCGGCTTGCCATTGTCAAGGGTATTTTGTTCCTTTTCTTGATTTTTATGCTGATGCAAATCTCCATATTCATGAGCAAAAGCGTGATGTCATGGCAGAAACCTCAATGTTACTAGTGTCAGCTCCCAAAAGTGCCAGAATGTTGGATATTTCGCTGTCGTAAATTTTTTTTTTTTTCTAGTGATTCGTTGCTGTGTCTGTACATGGCATTTTTTTTTGGGGGGGGGTCATCATTTGAACAGGAAACCCCTAAAACGAACAGACACTTCCTGAAAGACATCACAGCAACAGCGTCCTAAGTTATCTGGAAAAGCATTGACAATTTTAAATGCTGAAAGAAGTACACTTGCCAATAAAATTAATCAAAAAGGGATGTCAAATAGTTTTTATATATTTACGAAGATAAAAAAGTTGCACATAATATGTTACTAAGAAATATTCTTTTTCATGGACCCTTAAAGTCGTTCATAATTCTTTCGATTCAAAAATTGCAATTTCAGCTGATTAGTGTGCAAACCGTGAAAGTCATGAGTGTAATCCCCGCAGCTATTAATGAATATCGTCAAATTAAAACAAGTGCGATTGCACAATAAGCTCTGGCCGTGTTGCCAGAATTCTTGCATGAATGTCTGCATAAAATCATTCAAAATGATCCTGCCAGAGCTTAAAAATGCGACTTCGGCAAATGCGACGCCGACGGCACATATAGAACACCATACTGTTAAAATTCATTGCTGTTGTAGATGATTATGTAGTATAATGTAGTATAATAGACCCCACAAGGGAGTCTTTAGAAGTCTATCTGCCCCAGAAGGAAACAAAGGAGAAGAAGGAAAACAAAGGTCTTCCCCACAAGTATATGGATGTAAGATCTTGGGGCGAGGTGTGTGTGTTGGGGGGGGGGGGGCGTAATTTAGCCACCCCAACTACTTCGTTGCATCACAGTGAGTACACTACACGATGTATGCCAAATCAAGTGCTAATATGATTATCTATAGTATTGGAGGTTAGTATCGACAATAACGAAATCCTGAACGATTAGCTTATAAAAAAAACCCAGAAAATTAAGCACGACAAAACAATATCACAGACGAAGGGATGCAGCGGCTTTTATTTATTTTAACGATTAGCTGATAAAAAAACCCAGAAAATTAAGCATGACAAAATAATATCACAGACGAAGGGATGCAGCGGCTTTTATTTATTGCAGCGTTTCAATTTAAGGATAGATACGTTTACTAATGGGGAACATGTACAGCATACAAGAGTTTAGCCAGTTTCGAGAGCTGATTCTTCAACGGAAAATGAACACCAACATCATGCGTGAGTGAAATTTTTGAGATTTCGTTCGTATCAGAATGGGCTTTATTCACCAGTCGGCTATATTAAATTGAAAGCGATGTAAAATCTTCAATTTTGGAACTTGCAAAGAGAAATCAAACCGATGACATAACGTTAATAACAAATTAATACCAGTCTGGATTGATGAATAATTTCAAATATGTGATTAAACATACCAAAATGTTTTAAGCCACATTTAAAACAAAATTGAAAGTGAGGCTAGAATGCATATATAGTCTGGCACCATCCCATTTAACAGTTCACATGAAACCTTCAGGAAACACGACCAAAATGGCTTCCTCGTGTATAAGGTCCATGATGATATGCCCATCGCGAAGGAGTTTTCGGTGTGTGTTTTTTATCCCCTTCCCCAATCAGTTTTTGATGATGAAACTCTACATACAAATATTTATCCAAGCAATAAAAAGCAATATCACGTGACTTTTTGCCAATAAACTGTTTTTGCTAAGCTACATTTTTGTATTACTTAAGACAACTGTATACTTCAGTAGCTACATGGAATAAACTTATGTTCCCAACTGATTCAAAATTGACTGTGCGTGCTTTCACCCTGATAATAAGCTAAATGGACATTTCATTCGTGCATGCGCAAACTTTCATAAACGATGTACTTCTGTGGATAAGCAGAACACGTCACGGGGTCCAATAAACAGCAAGATTAGAGCACCACGTGGATTTACTTATACAAAATTCCGTGTCACAATTCATTGCTCACTTGAGATGTCAATTTAGTCTATAAAGAATCTATGTAAAGTTGCTAAAAATCCCCCTTGTTTTCTTGTTAAAATATAAATATGAGTTGAAAATTTGTTGGGAGAAACCAAAATCGAATTTGTTAGAGAGCACGGACAATACATCTTTAAATGCAGTCTAACAAACCAAACTTTTTTGTTGTTTCTGAATCCAATTTGTCACACTTGATCCTTCAAGAGACAGTACAGAACTACTCCCCAAAAATTGACATGATTCACAAAGTGAAAAATAATCAGCAAGTAGGCCTATACAAAATCTTCATAAATCAATGCACACTGAAACCCGTCTATATCTAAATCTACAGCAATTCAAATACTCTATTGTAAATTATTACAAACTAACACCACACTGCAAAATCTTCGCATGTTAAGCAATATTAGGCTAAACGCTTTCCTAAACACTTGTTATCAGTTTAGAGCAGAGTGTTTAGCATTTGAGCATTGATGTTTAGGAGTTGGACACGTAATCATATAGCTTCTAAACATGTTTACAAAGTGAAAGCAAGATTGTGTTTAATTGCTAAACACAGTTTTTAGAGTGTACAATAACACTATTTGTTTTAAACGCAGAGTTTAAGCCACATTACAATAAAAATTAATCGAGGCTATACTGTGCACGTCGTCATACTTTTGTTGGAAATAGGACAACTAAGAATTAAACACTGCCGTTTCTGTGCTTACAATGTATTCTCGATGACATTAAAATCCCTGAAATACCAAATTTGCCTGGAATAAATGACCCACTGGCTTAAGTGTTACAACTGTTTGACAATGTCAAAGGACATTATTACTGTAAAATAAAATCATCCATATTATAGTCATTGCATTGTTTTGAGGACTTCAAATTTCGAACCGAATATAAATAGCAGGAAGATGCAATATGTGATAAGAAATTAGTGCAACTGATTCTGAGACCTATACCCAAGCATATCTTGAATATCTTCTCTGTGCCTATGCAGCCTTTAATATAAAGTGACTTCAAGTCCTTCATATAATGGGAAATGCCTCTCAAAAATACAAGAAATCACCAAAATTCCTTCCCTGTTTTGATATTGTATTGTTTATGACCAACCATGCCTGTTTCTCCTTTTATGCTTCATATATCGGATGACGTGGGAAATTACCTTAATTTTCTGGAAAAGTGTCGCTTGACAAAACACTAACGATTAACAATCTCCACAAGTTTGTTTCTATAGGCAAACTATACAAGCATTACAACATGTATCAAACGAAAAAAGAAGAAGAATAAATCCATCTTATTTCTCATATAGCTTTCGAATACTAAGTCTGGGTAAATACAACTGGGTATAACTTGATTGTTTGTATCTCCATATAGTAAGAACTATCATCGTCATCATCAGCCAGATGGAAAGCTTCGTAAGTGAGCTTTAACCACATCAGTCACAATAAACATTCATTTAAAAGCAATGAAACATTATGCATTGCCACTGTTATAACCTCTATTCGTATAGGATTAAAAAAAACAGATTTGCATTCTTCAAAGTACACCGTCCATGATGCTTTGATACTTGCCATAATGAAAGTACAATGCAAACCTTGCCATTACGAGAAATCAACCTTTCAAATAGATTGAAGTATTCGTTTTAAAAAAACGTGGAGACTGCGTACTTTCATAGATAGTACAGTATTAATATTGATTGCAAGTCTTTGGTATACTTTGATGCTTACTTGATATACAGTACAGTATAATATCATAAGCAGGCTTCTCTTCATATCATTTAGATTCACTGCCAATTGTATATACATAATGAATCGAGAAATGAGGAGATAGATAAAACCGAAATATCGCAAATAAACCAATATAAAGTCAGTTTTCTACTTAAACAGTTACATGCACTCTCCTTTTTTCAACTTTTACAAGGTTTACTTTTACTTTCAACTGTCGTATTTATATAGACATTAATTTGAACATTTGGAGAATAATTGTTCTATTACACTCTTCAATATAACAGCGGAAGTACATGTACTTCAACATTCAAGTTATAATTTCGCGACATACTTTTGTCGATAGTTACAAACATTTCGCAAAAGAACTTCATGGGACTATCAATACAGTTTAAGGCCAACATTTATTGGAGAAAAAGCGTGTTTGACGGACTGATATTTAAACTATTACATAAACACAACGTTTCTTAATGATGGTTCGGCACATAAACTGCCAATTGATCACAAAGATTTAGTTACGATGATTGAAGCTGAAAGAATTTTTTTTTTGCATCACTGTTGTTCAAATTCTTTTGAAGTAATTATTTTAGCCCTTATTTACAGGTTGCAATGCGAGACGGAGAGAACCAATGCAGGTCGTGTCACATTCACGTGGGGAGCTTCACTGAAAACCCTTTGCTGCCAAGTCTTCCTTCACTCTCTTCAGGTAGCCAGGATCAGGGTAGCCATAGTTTTGTCTGGAAAAACCCAGATAACTTCTTTTAATATCCAATAAAGTAATATGCTATGAAATATGTGAACTATTTTACTGTCAAAGCATAGGCGTAGCCAGCGGGGGGGGGGGGGGGGGGGGGGGGGGGGGGAGGGGGGGTATTTATAAAGACTGCCTTTTCCATTCAAATGCCTTTCTTTTATAACGGGCTTTACCCCCCCCCCAATAATTTGTAAAGAGTGCCCTTTTTTTAAGAAGTGCCCTTTTTTCTGAAAAAGTGTCCTTTTGTAAAAAGAAGTTGTGCCCTTTTTTGTGGCAGCTGCCGTTTTTGGTGCCTTTTTCTGAATTTCGCACATGTATCGCCCTGAAAACCACCATAATATATTGGCCGTTGGTGTGCATAATCGTCGGTTTTGAACAGCGCTGCCACCGACAGATGGTGCCCCCCCCCCCCCGCTTTTTTATTTTACCGAGGCCAAGTGTCCGGGGAAAAAACCTTGTCTACATTTCACCGCGGATGTGCAAGTGCCCTTTTCAAAAAAATTACCACCCAATAAAAATGACGGTGCTACGCCACTGCAAAACTTTGCCGTTCTCTCTTTTTCACGACTCGGTTTATTTTTTTGGTCGTTCAATTTTTTGGTGAACAGTTTTAATTTGGTTTCTTTCCTAAAGAAGGTGCATGGTCACATTTGGGACAATTATTTCCTCTTCATCATAGGTAAACAATGAACAGTACTGTTGACACTCGAGAAAGACTTTAGGATTCAAGCGATTTTGGATCAACTTCTTGTTCATTTGTAAGCTTTGTTGAAATGCAATTTATTTGAGCTTACGGTCCACCAGACATGCTGGTTTTGTGATGGATATCATTCCAAATCACCGTGTCACCCAGACCACTAGTAATTGACCGTCCAACCGTGAACACAAGTCCAGCACCGAACGCTTTTCTCAGAAGGACTAGAACCTCCCTTCCTTCTTGGTTATCAGGTAGGTACGCAGTTCGGGAAGTGCCTGTGAATAGCTTCCCAGGGTTGGGATGGTCAGCCTACATAAGTACAAATAACAAGAGGGAAATTAACGTTTTGTAAAATCGGTATACATGTACCAAAATTGCCCATGGTTATATACTTAAGAAAAAAAATATCATCCAAATTGTGATATTGATGCTGTTTTTCACGAGCAAAGCGATGTAATACGGCGTAGTTTTAGTCGGTTGGTTTAAGGACATTACATTGCTAATGAGAAATATGTACAATATTTACTTTAAATCTTTACTTTCTTGAAGGGTTAAAAAGATATCTTACCCATTGTGTGCCACTTGGTATGTGATAGGCTATGGTTATGACTCCATCTTGTTCGTAGCCAGGGAGATGCAAGTACCTGTCAGTGTTGTGTTTCATCGTTCCTTTTGGCTGATTGCCTTTAGGTTGGCTGCACACTGTTTGGCATACAGGACATTTGTAATCGTTCTTCAGCGCTTGATCGATGCAAGTTTTACAGAATCGGTGGTTGCACCTGAGGGCCACTTCGTCAATCATTTTATCTGCCAAGCAGATAGGGCATTCATCTTTCTTAACATCGGCAGATTCAGCTCGTGTTGTTGCATCAAATGGACCGCCTCGGTCCCCAGTGGACCTACCATCCTTAAACTTAAAGAACGTATTACGGTTGTCAGTCTGCAGGAAAACTGTCGCCTGCGATGCTGCATTACTCTTCAGATCGTCTAATGCGTTTACCGATTGATTATCGATGTCACCTCGGGAACTTTCGATCAGCCTTGTTCCCCGTGCCCCATATTTGACGCTTTTAGGCGATATAATTTGTGAAATCGATGAGGTTTCTCGGTTGTGGCTGAGTCTTCCTAAACATTCATGGTACTCTTGAACAGAAACCTCAATACCACAAATCTTATGAACTCCCAGTTTTGACAGAACGTCACCAACAACTGCAAGAAAGAATTTTTGATTTAAATAGTAAACAACAGTATGAATGCAAAGTAAAATCACTCTTAAACGATGGTAAAACTCTGAATTTAAAAAGTCTTGGCATGTACCTTTCCAGTCTTCAAAGTAGACAACAGCCTGAGTGTCCGTTGGTCCCTGCTGTACCTCTCTGACACCGGTGCCGCCACTTTTCTTTTTGTAGCCAAAATACAACTCAATCATCTCCACAGGTATTCTTGGTGAGATCCCTTAAAGAGAAACATGTTTTTTGACATTAAAAAAAAGAAGTTAAAGATTAAAGAAGTTAAAATCAGCGACTAATTCCTATTTTTTGAAAAAAAGCGTTTTCATTGTACATTATCCCCGCAACAATTCACAGAAGCCAATAAATCACAAATAATTTATTAAACGTATGTTTAATGAGATTTGCGATTTTAATGAAATTTGGTTTCCAAGACTGAGCATCGGATGCAGTATAGCTTAACGAAATGTCATCAACATTAGTATCTTTCATGCATTTGTTGGAGTTTATCTTGATCTTCTGCTAAGATACTGTTAACCTGACTTTAGATTAGGTCTCACCTTGCACTAGGATACAATCTGTCTCATGCACCTTTTCTGCTGTCACTTTGGCTCCCTTCAACATTTTGAAGAGATGCGTTTGATCACTTTATCCAAGTCTAAAAGTAGCAAATAAGTTTCATTAATGTGTAATGGCATGCCTGATACAAACTATGCTTTTAAGGTTTGGCCACCTCTAGTTGCCTTTGTATTTCGTTTCAATACTTATATTATTTTTTCATTTCTGTCATGAAGAAGAAATAAATGTGATTTGACACTCTCGAAAGTACAACGAGCAGCAACCGACAACTTATGCCGAAACAGAGAACAGCAATATTGTTTTACTAAAACCATATTTTAAATATTTTACTCATGTTAGGTAATTCTCTGTCCCTACGCAGTCACTTTTTATTATACCCCCTTTTTATATATTTAAAATTAAGTACAATTAAACGCGGGAGAAACCACATTTAGTCCACATGCAACAATAGAAATATAAAATAATAGTTATACCAGAGATGTCCTCATTGGATGTGCAGAGTGCTGTTCCAGGCACCTCACCATATTGTATCTTAAAGGCACCCGTACCAGACCGATTCTCAATGAACATTGTCACATTTTCTGAATCACACCCATCAGGAATTCCACTCAGAAACAGACATTGCTTCTTGACTGGGCGAGGACGAGGTTTCTTCTTCACAATCAGTTGCACCATCAGGTTAGTTCCTCCAAGCTTATGCTGTCTTGCAATCACTTTGCTAGCAACTAAAAGAAGAAGAAAAGAACTATCAACGCAAAAAAAATCAGAACCAAAAATGTTGTTTGCTTTCAAATAGCCATCTCACCTCCAAACCTATGGCCCCATTCACTAAGTGCCAAAATATAGGAGTGTGCAAGTGCTGATGTGTTTGTTGACATACATACACAAATTATTTCTGTTGTATTTGTTATAAAAATGACAGAGAGGATTTTGTATTTAATGGCATAAAACTTTACAAAAAGAAAATGACATACGTGATGGGTTCTCAAATGTCATTCTGATGACTCCAGTCTTTGGGTCATGCTCCCATGTCTTGATGTCACCTCCTCCAGATCTTCTGGGATTCTCAAAATGCATCTTGATCATCTCCACTGATGACGATTTCTTGAAACCGGTAACCTCAACAAATTGCTCCTCCTCCTCCTCTTCTTCCTCTTTCCCACCAGGAGAATCCTCCTGAAAGAGATTAAAGACGGATCAATGCAGATGAATAAGTCTGCACATAACAAATTGGAAAGACAGAAAATGTCTATGCTGGACCCCGCCAATAATCCTCATTGTACCTGACTCCCCGAGGCTGCATTCAGCGAGTCCCTCGTGTTCACATAAATTTACACCTGTGTGCACAAACATCAAGAATATGAACTCGGGTACGGGAGAGTACACTCTCTGTATTAACCCTTCAAGCTTCAAGCCCAAAAAATGTACGCGGTGGAACCACCATGGGAGTTTTATCACGTTGCGTGGTTCTAGGTCGATAACCCTGGCATGGACGAGGGCGAGGTTTCTTCTTTACAATCTGACGCACTGTGAGATTAGTACCTCCAACCCTATGCTGTCTTGCAATCACTTTGCTAGCTACTAAAAGAAATTACAAAATACCAAAGCAAAAATAACAGAACCTAGAATGCTGTTTGCTTTTAAACAACCATCTCTCTTCCAATATTATGGCCCCATTTACACCTTACAATTATACCTTAAACGATAGTTTAAAAGGAAAAATTAGGGATATGCGAGTGTTGATGTGTTCCCTCGTAAAAGTACACGAATTATTTCCATCGTACCTTATTTTGAACGATTTTACTGGAACAGAACTTTTCAAAGATGTCACCTCCTCCAGATCTTCTGGGATTCTCAAAATGCATCTTTATCATCTCCTCTGATAAAGATTTGTTGAAACCGGTAACTTCAATAATTTGCTCCTCGTCCTCCTCTTCCTTTTGGTCTTTTGCTGTCTCCTAAGGTAATAAGTGGATTTTCTTAATTGGTGTGTTAAAATATTATATTTGTATAAAATTGTACATATACATGCGAAAACAGATCGACAAAATTGATGTCAATTTGTAGCTACCTTCATTATTTTGTGAATTACCTCTTGTTCATCCGATTCGCTGCTGCTTCGAGGACTTGAGTCTTTGATTCCTTCCGCCAATGAATTAACGAACAGACGAGCTATCGTCAACCCTTCCTCGTTACCTTGAATGTAAACGCCCGTTCTACTGCCGGATTCCGGAGCGATCTTCAAGTGATTGCGCTCTTGTTGCTTTGCCAAGCTGTCCAATGACTGGCCATGACGTGTAAGGAGCACATGCATTTTACTGCCACTCATTTCAATGAATTCTTTGTTGATGACGTTGACTGCCAGAAATTCAAGTATGCTTTGTTTCACCTCTTCCAAGCTAGTCTTGAATCCAGCCAACTGTACCACACCTAGAAAAAAAGACATTCAGTTGAGGTTAACCTGCAGCTAACAAAATATATATATTTTTGTACAATTTCTCTATAGATATTATCAATAAAAAGTGCTTGCCTTCGGTTTCATTGATGTTCACCACAGTAAACCTCTGCTTGTGTATTTCATCAAGCAAATCTCTCCCTTCTTTGCTCTTTAGAACAGAAAGCACAGTCTGATCCTTGATTGGAATGACATTCTCTTCTATTTCCTGATCGATGTATGCTTTAGCTTGGACCGTATCCTTCTTAGTGGCACCAGATATGACGATCTTGACATCATCGGATCCATTACACGCTGCTCGAATGCCCTGTGAACATAAGATCTCATGGATTTTGTCGGTATGATTCTGAACGAACTTGACTTTGTTGCGTCCCGTTTTATGTTCTACTTTCTCTAGACTGTCCATTTGCCTCCACATCGACAGCTCTGCTTCCTGGACGGTCTTGCGTGATCCTTCTAAAACGAGTCTTATTTTATCTTGTAAGGAGAAGACAGTAATTGTCATGTTCGGAAAGTCCTTTTCAATTTTGTCCTTGATGCCACATATGATAAAAGGCTTGGACTTCTCCTCTGTGAAGGTTATGTCTTCTTTTGTTTGCTCGGCTTCATACTCGGCCTTTGCTCTCAACTTTTCGATAACTCCTGCAATGTCACTGCGTCCTTTATCAACGTCTTGCTGCTCCCCAACCAGAGTGACTAGATGAGTGTGAGCATCAGGCTGAATGGAGAAACTATAGGTGCCAAGCTGATTTATTCTATCGATGACGTTTTTCCAAAAAGGCGGTGGGACGGCAATCCTGGATGACTTGCATCTGTTTAAGAAGTCGGTCAGAACTTGGGTAGCAATTTCAGACCATTTGAGCCAAGATGATTGTCGCTGTCCATCTTCCAGTAGAGGTTCCAGCCTAGCTGTTGTCTTATCATCACCATCTGGCCATTTCAGAATGGCCTTTGCATCCCTAAGCTTCTGAATCAAAGCCTTCTTTGTGTGCTGGCCCTTCCCGAAGATGAACTCCATGATGGGTTCTTGGACTTGAACAGTGACTGGCTTAGGGACATGAGGAGTTGGGACATCTAATGGACTCAGTCTTCCCAGACGTTCATGGTACTCTTCAACCAATAGCTCAGTGTCGGCAACCTTGTGGGTTCCACGTTTTGATAAAACATTCCCAATAACTATGAAAAATAAAACAATATTTTTCTGTTTCAGTAGTTGAATTAAGATCGCATTTGTTCGCGGGAAAATGAAACGAAGACTGGAATTAGGCTGATTGGAGGTAAACTTCTACAAGGTTTTGAAGAGATAGAAAATGCACATGAAGAAGAATTTTACTTTTTAGGACATGGTGCGCAAACACAAAATAAATACAGGCGTTCGGTTGAAACAGTTTGACGTCTTTATACTATCAAACGTTTAACTTAAATGTTATTTAGAAAAAAAATACCAGAAGCTTTGCGTGAAATTTTGACGTACCTTTCCAGTCCTCAAAGTAGACAATAGCTTGAGTGTTAGTTGGTCCCTGTTGTACATCTCTGACATCGGTGCCGCCACTTTTCTTTTTGTTGCCAAAATACAACTCAATCATCTCTAAAGATGCTTTTGGTGAGACTCCTTCAATACAAATAAATTTTTGTCAAAGTTATTTATGGAAACATATTTTTATAAGAGGTTTAACTAATGAAGACATTGGAATATTCCCAATTCAATTTGAAAATGGTTCCCGAAATGGTTGAGTCCTCGAAGGCCTACTTAAAACAGGTACAGTCTTCTGTGAATTGTCATTTAAACATAGATTCTGTTCATGTACATTGATGTAATTGTAAATTACTCACCTTGCACTAAAATACAATCTGACTCGTACACCTTCTCGGCTGTCACTTGGGCTCCTTGCAAAGTCCTTGAGGGAAATCTTTCGATTACATTTTCCATGTCTACAATAAAAACAGTTTGCCGTCGATCAAACATTTTTGTACACAAACAAATATAACAAAGGGTAAACTAAATTGAGGGCAAAGAAGAATTCAACGATGAATGATTGGCATACAAATAATTAAGCCTATACATTCCTGTCTCCTGATATATCATTCAATATTATTTGAGTGATTCTACACCTAACATATTTGAAAGAACATCAATATAGGCTGACATGTGTACCTGGGATATCTTCTTTGAATGTGCAGAGTGCTGTTCCAGGCATCTCACCATATTGTATCTTGAACTCATCCGTACCAGACCGAATCTCGATGAACATTGTCACAAGCTCTGAGTAACACCCATCAGGAATTCCGCTCAGAAATAGACAACGCTTCTTGACTGGACAAGGGCGAGGTTTCTTCTTCACAATCTGTCGCACTGACAGCGATGTACCATCAACCCTATGCGATCTGGCGACAACTGAGTGCGCAACTACAAATAACAACCACAAAAGGTTTCAACGACTATCTAAGTTAATACATGTATGTGGATAAAAAGGATTGAACAGTAAAGCACGACCAAGTAAACAAATTATGCAGTGATTTTAGTCTAAAGGCGCCAAAAAAATTCTAAAAAACAGGGGCGGCGGAACCGGGGGAGGGGGTTACTTGCCCCCCCCCCGAATTACCCCTTTTGCAGACATATTAAATGTGCCCCCTCGAGCATAAAATTTCCCCTCGCGATGAAAACACAACTGACAGCCCTAAAATTTCTGATAATTTGTTTTTAGTAACCATCTCCCAAAATGGTATAGAGAGTTCTGATATGAACGAGGAATATGAAAACCAAGCCCAAACACCCTAAGAATGCGCCCGAAAAATGGGCATATAATGCGTAAGCATATCGATGATGGCCGGGTTTGAAGAGCGTCCCCGGTTTTGGAAAATGATACCAGATCCCAGCCCCCCACACTATTTGATTTTACGGAGGCTAAGTGTCTTAAAAAAACACCGTGTCGACATTTCAGCACCGATGTCCCCCCCCCAACAAAAAATGCTGGATACACTGCTGCATTGACGGAAGATACCTTTTACTGAGCAAGTGCCCCGTTATTGGTGATGCCCACCCAACAGTTTGAAAACCATTCCGCCGCCGCTGCTAACAATATTTTTTTTCAATATATTTTAATCAAGTACGATTATATACTTCGAAATACGATTGTGTATAGGAGGCGGCATTTTTGGCAACGCTGAATTCCACAAAATATGTGAAAGGCATATATCGATGTCTGGAGGCGCCATACTTCAGAACTCATGGATAATTGTGTTTTTCCCAATACCGTGTATTTACCTGATGGATTCTCAAATGTCAATATGATGGCTCCAGTCTTTGGGTCATGGTCAAATGTTTTGAGGTCACCTCCTCCTGATTTACGAGGGGTCTCAAAATAGAGCCTGAGCATCTCATCTGATGTCGATGGCTTGAATTCAGTCACCTCAACAACCGGCTCGTCATCTTCACCTTCTGAATCTGATGAGTGATCTTCTGGATCATGCTAAATTGGATACAGGTATATAATGTTAAGAGTTGATGGCAGCTACAAAACAGGGCAAGTTAATTCAAATTAAGTGTCTACTTTTTATGCTGCAGAGTAAAATGTCATGAACGAAGCTCGACCAAAATGTAATCTTCGTCTCGAAGATTGCAATACCCAGCACCATTCGGGGCAGATCAGAATAGTACCTCCAAGTATCCGTACACCCTAGTGTTGCCTTTTATATCAAATGTCTCAAAAGACAAGGGGGGGGGGGTCCTTTGCCCCATATCTTGTTATGTCCAGGAACACCCTAAATTGTATAGACGTGTGATTTTAAAAATAAGATAGAAGCGATGATCTACTAAATGGCGGGTTCAGGGGAAAGAAATATAGAACCATCGACTGTTTTAGGGTTATTTCAGCAAGTACGCTCATGTGGCGTAATATTTACGTAATTATATTAATGAAATGGTAGGATACTATTTTGCACTCCTTTATAATACTCCGACAGATCGAAAGAGAAAAACAATATTACTATTAATAACGGAATAAATGTGTGCTCAGCCGGTTTTAAACACTAACTTCAAGACCGGTTGAAGTCTGGATGGGCGATAATGACCCGGGCCGCAGGCGAGGGTATTTATCAACATCCTGTGTCCAATCGGTCTTGAACATTGTGTTTAATACCGGCCAAGCACATATTTATTCTCTTTAATAAATTTTCGGTAAAAATCAAAACCTGTCGGTCCAAAATTCAAGAAAAAAGTGAAACATTATAATTTCCAACATTTTTTTTTAATTCATGTTTTTCTAAAGTCCCCTCTAGCCGTATTATGGAATTACCCTGTCGCAAATTTTTTTTATGGAGATTGGCGCTCGCGTCGCGCGTATGCTACGCGATGTGGCGCAGAACACAGCTGTGCCGTGGTTGTGTGAATTTAGGACTATGAAATACTGAGTCAGTGGTAGTATTGGCATGCCTACGAAATAATTGTAAATGTTCAACTGAGAAAACAGTAAAAGGCACCGGATTTCATAGGAGTCCAAATTTCATGTAACACTGGAAAAATGTTTAAGACCAGCCAGCCACGGTCTTTATCATCCGTTTAACCCTATTAGGGCCGGGCTATTTTGACCATCTCTATGCCGGGGGGGGGGGCCCTAAGATCTCGGCCATCGAAAGATAAACAATTTTGAAACTCGGTACATGCATAGAACAACTCATCATGAACATACCCAAGAAATGTCATGACTATAGGTCAAAGGGTTTTGGAATTATGACTAATTAATTATCCAATGTGCTAATGGTACGTATATGTACACGACGTATATGGGAAAATTCAGTTTTCACGGAGCGTAGCGCCGAAAAAGTTTTCGCTGCGCGACAACCCGTGGTCCGATTTTTATAAATTTGGTATCAAAGATGCGCAAGGCTCGAGGCTCGGGTCGCGAACTTTTTTTTAAGGCTATCGCGGAAAACGTCGGGGAGGGGGGGGGGGGGGCGGATTCCGCCCCGGCCCTTTTAGGGTTAAGACCGGCCACGTGACGGGCTCTTGACCAATAACAATGGGTTAACTGACTAGGTATTTGTGAATGTGCACCCAATGCAGTTCACGAATACCTCTGCCAAGTTGCGATTCACTTTCGTGGAGATAATTGGTAATGTTAGAATGCAAGTTTAACGTAAAATTGATTTAGAAAATCTATATAACACATTTTATTGAAGACAAAGTCCATATTCAAACTGTTACTTGACAATTAACACATACTCAGTTATACATGTGAATAAAAACACAATATGTAAATGTAATTAGAACCGAAAAGTATCAAATACATAAAGACATAATAAATAGACCACCTTGAGTTGATAAGAGGATGCCTGGTGAGACGCCGAGTCTATAAGTGAGAGCCTTCGAGACAGCTCATGTGGATGTACTTCCAGGAGAGTTCGAACTCCGTCAATCTCAAGCTCATGATGTTCCTGTTCTAATACCTGCTGAACACCTGTTGGTGACGGTTTCATTGAGATGAGACGTCCAAGGGAATAAAAAGGTATATGTAAAATAACGTTTTCACAAGATTTGTACGACAGTTGGTCAAAAATTGTTGCAGGCTCATATCATCCGCTATAACAGAACATCACGGTGGGAGGGGTAGTGGCAGCGGCGTAGCCTGGGGGCGTAGGGGCCGGGCGCAAGCCCCCAATAAAAAGGGTTGCCCTCCCCCGCCCCCACTGAAAACTATTTTGTCTAATGCGACCATGTTCAATGGGTGTAACAGAAAGTGGGCACCCCCAGTGTAGCCTAACAACATCCAGCCCACCACGCCCCCTATACAGTGAGAACCATGGCTGTAAATTTCTTATACACGTAACGTAGGTCTATACAAAGCACCCTTTATTGCAGGAGGAAAACACAAATTATAGAAATATTGAATTCAACGAAGTTCGAGCAGGCAGGAGAAAAATGTTCCATCCTGTGACTAAGCTATAATTGAGATCCGAATAGGCCTTTAGTTGGACATTCCCACCTGCCACCCACACAATAACGGTCCCAGTTTTGGTCAAGTGGGAATAACTTTTGCAATCTACAGCAGTCTTCTTTTTATTTTATGACCCTGTTTTTTGTTGTTGTAATTTTGAACAGTATCTATAAAAATGTCATTATTTTGTGCATTCACGGTGTGTCCCTGTGTTCACCATCTCCATATAAATTTTGTGTTGCATTTTGTCGTTTTCATATCAGACTTTCCCAAAACATTGATTTCCCTCAAAAACAATTCAAAACCCTGCCCTCTTTCCACGAAAGTACATTCATGCTTAATTTAGGCCATTATAATATTATATCGCTAGCCACATGTATTAAAACTCAATTCTCGTTCTTTGATAAGAACGCATTCGAGATCGAACGGGACCCGTAATTGCTCCATAATATGCATATGTGAGATCGCTCACCTGAATGCTCATTGAAAGTGACTATCATCCACAATCCATGGACATCCTCGAAAAGGTTGACATCTTCCACTCCGCAACCTCCACTTACTTGAGTCTTTTGAAAATATATCCAGACTTTATCTTTAATTTGTGGTCCCTTCGATTGATAGCATCTAAGAGGAAGTTGGATGCGAATAGAAGTCAGCGAATGGCTGGGATTAGTCTCCATAGCTAACTGCAAGGATTGGGAGTTACATTTTGTGAAACTTTGATACTGGACGCCGTTAGTAATAATAGGATATGAATATATGTACATGTACATGTACGAAGGGAATCATGCAGTTGTCTTCCTGTTATTGCACATACAGGAAATTCTTAACCTACGTTCAGCGCAGGCGCATTAGAGAGACAACCTTTATCGTCGTATTGAACTGTGACCTTTTCTTTCAAATTGATTTCAAGTATTTGACGTTGCATGTAAATGATGCCATATTGTTAGCTTGCCGGTATGCAACACATTGGAAATTCCCAAGCACGCAATACCAAAGTGCATTGTGCACGGAAATCCATGGACATGTACTTTATAGTAGTTCAGGGTCTTTCTCAAACGTTCTGACAAAAGAGCGAAACACCTGCCTAGGGATTATCTGCTAAAATTCCTAAAGATCACGAATTTAAATATTAATTTCGAAAGATTGTGAAGTTGATAGGTCGAGCAGCTCACGACATTTATTGCAATCGTTGGGAAAATGTTTTTTATTAAAAAACTCGTTATAGACAATTAAGGCGGCACCAAATTTCTGCAGTGACACCCGGCGCGGCTCGCGCAAGTCGCGCTCATAGGGAGGACGCACCCACTTTGGGCTCCTTCGACCAAAAAGATTACCAAAATGCGCGTGCGCCTCGTCTTTAAGAACGCGTGCAACATGCACGTGAGGGTGACACCACCGCAGTAAAAGCTTCGAATTCTGGTCGCCGGATTCCACTATACTAGGCCCATACCATTCAATGCGCATTGATGTTCCACTGACATATTTCGTATCAAAACACATCTCTTGCTGGTACTTTATATTGGTTGGCTGAAACATGATCACGTGGGGTTCACTAATAATGGCTAGTGCGTCAGCGTGAACTAGACGCGCGTCAAGACACCGCGCGCGCGTAATTTCCGGAGTATAGTGTGACGGTTTGGTCACTGAGGGCGCTGTCCAGCGCGTGAGTTGGTCGAGCAGCATCGCGTAGTGCGCGTAGTGCGTACCAAGTCCTGGATCCCCAGGGTCCTTGCGCGCACATACTGCAATTTTGGCCAAATATTAGGCTCCCGCCTAAAATCGTTATAGTGTGTAAGTTATTACCTAGTTTTAAAACAGTTTAGTTGTGGATGGAACATGACCAGAAACTTTGATTAGTGAATCATCAACCCGTCTCCATGTTTATTCCTTTCTTTGAGTTTAATTCCCCGGCCTTTAGTTTAGTTCTGTTATTCTCCCGAGATTGTTCAGCCAAGCTAGCCCACTCGCGTGAGTTTAAGTCCTTGACCGCAACTGTTCGTTACAATAGTATACAAATATTGACTGTTTCGAGTGGTGTAGTAAAACAAGCCTCCCGAGGTGATCCATGAAGCATTTTATTTTTCTCGAGGCGAAGCCGAGGGAGAATAAAATGCTCCACGGATCATAGCCTTGGTCAAAGCGCTTGTTGTTATTCATCCGGCCGTGTAGCGCGGTAAACGATATCTTCGCTAGCGCTATGGATGCAGTCATATGTCCATGCATGCAGTGCATTAAAAATACAGTGCGAACAGCGACCTCACGCGGCCACTGTTTTTATGCAAATCAGTTGGACCCAATATATCGCCTTGGTTCAATCGTCTATGTGAGGTTTTGGGGTTGGTGCTCATTATGTTAATAGCCTTAGCTTACCTTAAATGTCGTTTTCTTATTGGTCGATCGTTGCGTGGAAACTTGCATAGTGAAACGTGGCACCGTACATAATCCATATACGTACACGTTGTGTGTCTCTGCACACGGCATCAATGCACAAAAAAACTGTTATTTCTGTCACGTCCGCAAAAGGCGAATAGCTGAAAATAATTTGATGAAGTCCGGATTTACCAAGGTGTGATTGGACACTCCACATATTAGCCCCGCCTACACTTATCTGTATTCGCATACGAGGTCGTGCGCTAGAAATCCAGCGCAAAATAAAGAAAAACATATGCTTTTGCCGACGATTAAACCAAGGCGCTAGATTGGGTCCAACTGATTTGCATAGAAATGGTGGCCGCGTGAGGTCGCTGTTCGCGCTGTATTTTTAATGCACCGCATGCATATCGCTAGCGAGGATATCGTTTACCGCTCTACGGCCGGGATGAATAACAACTAGCGCCTTGACCAAGGCTGCATTGATCAGCGAGGGAGGCTAGTTTTACTACATCACGATATAAAGCGGTCAATATTTGTTTTGTAACAGATTCTGCTTGATTTTAAGTGATAACTGACAAATTTAATCTGAATAAAATAAAATGTTACTTCTATATTTGAATACGTAATTAGTTGAAAATTAACTTGCACTTTTTCTTACTACCCCTTCACGAAATGTTGGAACACAGCTCTGAAGCGCTCGCGCTTGGAAACAATACGCGCAACGCGCAACACCCCCCCCCCTATGCAATTTGCACACAGTGCGTATCCGGAGACGCTTTGAAGCCGCTTTGGGCGCAGACATTTTGAATTCATGTGCG